GCGTTCTAATCGTCGCACCGGGTCGTTGCACCCGGCGCGCGGTCCCTTCGGGTGCAAGGTTTGCGACGGCGACATCGTTTGTCACCGCTTTCTTCGCAGAAGAGCGCTTTTGGCGCGCGTCCGAGTTTCCCGTCCGAGTGTTTCACACTTCGCGGCTTTTCGGAACGCGAAAATTTTCGCGAGTCCCGCGGCCGCATGATTCAGAGTTCGGTACTTGCCGCCGTCCCCGGCTGCCAAATAGCCGGCCGGTAGACTCATCGGTATTTATTGACCGTCAGCTGTCCCCGTTCTTATTAAACTAAAAGGAATCGTTTCTCCGTAAAATACATTATCCTCGCCGGGCGTCCCAGAACTGTCGTACTTCGTTCTCGACGTCGAAGACGGACATCGGGTGGGAGGCGAACGAGAAATAATGACGAGCGTTTTAATGTGCCCGTTTCAACGCGGAATCAATGGCACGACATGTTTGATGTGCACGATACGATTGAAAACGCCGACCTCAGCGAAACGTGTTTGCCGAAGTTCTCTCTAGGGATTTCGCATAATCTGGGTTTTGTTTGTTATTCATCAAAATCTATTTAATCTGCGAGCTCAGAGCGACGGGCTGAAGCTCTTACTGCGTATCGATCGGTCGATACAGACTGTCTCCCTTCACGAAGTTGTTCATTATTCATTCAAAAATATATACGTCAACTGAGACAGAGAAAGAGAGAGAGAGAGAGAGAGAGAGAGAGAGATGCTGATAATAAGATCGTAATAAGGGAAAATTGATGGCTCGCTGTTGATATCAATGTAGATAGATGTTGTGCAACGAACGATAAATATACACGGGAGAACCGTGACACTTTAAGGCTACACGTATTTTGACTACGGACTTATCGAAATGCTCAAAATATGACTCATTCGTAATCAGTAAAAGTGCATTGCATTACTATTTATTCGTAGGTCACGTTGGAATTTTCTCGCGGTGGTAAGAAACTTTCGTTTGCGAAAGCAATCGTTCGTCAAACTGTCGCGACAAGGAACAATCGATATCGGAGACGTTATAGTAGCTACGTCGTCGAGATATAACGCGGTGTGAGAACGTGGCCGCATACAAATCCACACAGATTTAATTCCGCGATATCGATCGTGGCATTTCAACATGCAGAGACCGGTCCTCGCAAATCGCGGAAAATAAAAAAATCAGAATCCATTTACGTCGTGTATACGTACGACAGAATCGATAAACGGTGCTGCATGCGCATTAAGTCGCGGATCGGCGGCGAGCGGACAGACGCACTCGCTTAATTAATGAAAGCCACGCGTGATAGCGATTCGTAAACAATATCGGATAACTCGTGCGGTGCGCGAGAGAAAGAAAGCAGCAGTCGCGATCGCATGTCGTGTCGTGCCGTGTTTTACGACAGCGTGCACTTTCACAGATCGTGGCCGCACTCGTTCGAACGAGCGCGGCCATTTCATGCACCAGCGGAAATCGAAATAAAGAGAATTTCCTTCATCGCGCGAAGAACGCGAGCTGCGATTGACACGAGCGCGATGAATTGCGCGTATCGTTACGCGATCGCCGGAAGCGATCGATCTGGAAACGCGATCATCTTACAATTGCAATCGAGTGACGCACTAATTAAACGTTGTTGACTCGAGGATATTTTGCTCTTCGAGAGAAAACTCAATGGGCATGCATTTTTTCAAGAAAAGAAAATGTAGCGAAATTTAAAAAACATGAGACAATTTGAAAAAAAGACATAATACCAAAATCCGATTACTGAGACAATTTTCTGAAATACAACTTTAACGAAATATTGGAATTGATACAGCTACTAGTATACTGAAAAAATAATATAATATAAAAAAATGAAAAATATTTATTTGGCTATTAATAATGTACTTACTTATATCAATATAAATATATATTTTTATATCTGAGAAAATTTTTTCATGTATGAAAAGATACATTTTCTTAAATCTGTGCTTTTCTTTCCATGTAAGCAATCATTTATTCTATTTAAATAAAAAAAGTTTAAATTTAAGTGAACATTTTATCAGCATTTTTTCTAGTTTTGAGATATTTTTTCTCAGTATATTTACCTACTTGAATACAGCAAGAGTGTTTTTAAAATTAGTAGTTATTAATACATCTGCATAATAAACTAATTAATATATTATTTTCAGTGTAAATTGACTGAGTCATCGAATTTCGAGATTTTTCGCGACATTGAATGTCCAACGAAAATTCGTTGTACGTATTTTTCCGATATTTCGCAGTTCGTATCGCAGACCTCAAACATTTCGAGCGAAACGTGACGAACGACAGCGTATCGTTCCCCGGATTTATCCGACGCCGTTATTTATCTATTGTTTATTTATCACGCGCTCTCGCGCGGTTCGCTTTAAGCGTAGCATGGGAGGTTGGTGCCAAGACATCGTCGTCGGCAGTTTCCTCTCGGCGAAACCGAGTCGCGACACAATGGAACGGATATTTGGAACAATGTGAGAGTACTCGTAATTGCGTTTTGGCTCTCTCTCTCTCTCTCTCATCTTTGCATTCGGAGCTTGGCCCCACGTGGCCACATGTGTCACGTGTGGCGCCGAGGCAACTCACACGTAATGGCAGAACGGAATATATCATCACTGTACTACAATTTGCTTTACGCGTCGTGCAAAATTACAATGCATACAATAACACATGGAGACAAGACGAGCAATGTCAAGCGTGACGCACGTAGCCGATCATCGCAGATTCTTGATTTCGAGAACGATACGGAATTGAAGAGTAATTATGATGCTGTTTTTGTTATTCTAGTCTCCTTCCGTTCGCGCATTGTTGTTATTATTTTCTGTTATTGTCTGTCGTTATTTTCTTGTGTACGGCGAAAATTCGATATTCATGTATAATCACGTTGCATCGACGAATAAACATCCGTTAAAATCCGGGAGATGAATGGAAATAAAGAGTAAACGAACCAACGAGTCAAATTAAATATCGAGTGGCTGTACGTTGAATCTCATGTATTTTACGTACAACGACAGCGTGACGTCGGTGTACGTAAAACAAAATGTGTTACAAAATATAAAAAATAAGCTGCGATGACTGGCCAAATTCGATCGTAAACCTCATAACGTTCTGGTCGTTGCCCTTTCGACGGCGCCGAACGTCGCGACGCAGACTCTATAGAGGTTGGACACTTAACCGTTCCAAAAATCGATAGGAAGCTGCATCAGCGGAGCGACAAGAGCTTCCACTCGGCCGAAAATCTCACGAAAGTGCCGCCGCATATTACAGCATTATTTTTACGATCAAACAGGATTGTTTCGAAGTGCGCGGCACTCTAGCTCTAGCGATTTTACTTCACTATCTTGTCTCTCTACGCTTATCTTTACAATAATATCGTTTTCGTTGTAAATAACGCGCGAATTGACCACGAATAATTTTTATTCTTCATCGTGAAATAACTCAAGGAAAGGCTTCTGAGAGAGGTCGTGCATAACGTATACAAAAAACAATCAATAGACTAATTTATTAGTATGTTCGATATCAAGTCCGGTGAATAAATGAAGAAAAGCTTATCTACCTGTGAGTTTACCGACTGCTACGAGTATACCGACTACTTCAAACGGACCCGAGATATTGTATATGTTCGTTGATACAACAGTCGAGCTAAGTTAACAATAGAGTTGTAAAGCTGCGGGAGACGGTTGCATAATCGTACTGGTAGTCGATTGAGAAGGTTATTTTCGGTCGCATAATAATCGTAGTCGTAGTGGTTTGAATTGGTTCAATCCCAGTTCCAGCGACTGCGACCACAATCTGTTGCTGCGACGGATTAATCAGAGAAGAGAATGAGTATCTAACTCTAGGAAAAGCGGAGCAAAAGTAGATAAAAGTGAACAAGATAAACGTGTTTCGGAGTACATAAAATCAATTTGTACAAGCATGATTATGAAATAGAAACCGAAGACGACATATTAGATGAATATGATTCAGGGCAAGCCTTAATTACTGAATCGGAAGGCATTAAAAGCGTAACAGGGTGGGTTTCATTTTTACATTAAAAAATAGCATGTAAACATACAAAATTAGGCAATCATTTGCTGCTTTACGAGTGATTTCGGAAAAAAGTGCTAATAGCACTCTTCGGACGCACAAAGATCTTTTGCTCTCTTATCGGTTATTACCGATAGCAATCGGTTGTTACAACAAGCGACTAGCAATTAACGTATGTAGACAAGCATGGCAATATGACTCAATTAAAAAAGTTACGACTTTAAAACAGCGACTCAACTAATCGAGTCTGCGAACACATTGTAGACCCTGCTTGACTCGAGTGATAAGCATCGCAGAACGACAAGAGCGCATCGATGTTATCGACGATGTTACGATCGAAAGTTATAGGGGAACTTTTAAACGTGCAGTCACAGATGTCACATTGCGAAAAAGATGATACATTTTTGACCAAAAATTTTTGCTGAAGAACTTATTCATACACGTATAATCCGATACCCATAATATACTTGTCTGATTATCTCAATAATAATGCTTTCACTTTACAATTATTTCTATTTGTTTCCTTTGTAACGATTTCCGATTAGCCTACATTATTACGTATTAAATTTGTATTTGCGTATTTGAGTCTGAAGCAGTTTGCGGGCGCCATTATGGCGTTGCAAATTTGGTCGCCGATTAACGGTTATGCCCGCGAGGTATTCACGGATTTAACGAGTTTGGTCATTGTTACATTGCCTATCTTACGTTATCAGATATCAAGGAGATTGTTGGATATCAAAACTCACCCGTAGCTGTAGATTTTCAGCAGTTTCATCGACAATATCCCCGGCATATTCTCGTAGAACCGAATCCTCCGCTCTGCACCATCGAAATGAACGACTCAAGTTGCTGTTCGGCTGGCGCGCATTTCTAACCTAGCTATCGAACTCAATCGGTACATCACAGATGGCACTGAATGCTGCTTCCGTTGTCTCACTTGCATTGGTAGTTTGCTACTTGTTACGATCGACCGAACGATAGTCGCGGACTTTTTTTAATAATCGGAGCTGATCAACGTCGAACGGCAGCTGTGTGCGATTATGGCTTCTGCGGTGTTCACTGCTTCCGGAGTTAGTAAGTTTGTCTCAATGTTTTGTTGAAGTGTTTCTCAGCTGTGCATAACGTCGCCGCGATATACATTCCGGAGTTTGGTAATTATACAGCTGTTTTGGTTAGGATCGCAGATGAATCCGATAATGGAACAATTTATGGCAGGCAATTATCGGTTTCGAGCGATACGCGAGTAGAATAATCAATAACGAGTTTTGTATGTTATGTAATATTGTTAAACGGGATCATGCATAATATATTTATAATGATATGCAAATGTTTGCATATCGTCATTTATTATATGTGACCTAAGTCGTCGTGTATTTATACGCTCCGTCACTAAAAATGCGTGTTATCTAGAATAAATACTAATCGGCGCAGCCGATTCGGATGCAGCTGAAACTTTCTTTCCTGTGAATGTTGATAATTAAATGCAAGCAGTTTAACGATAGACATGGTTATTATGCGACAGGTAGATACAGTATGAAATAATATAAATATACTTGTACTTTGCCCTCTCATATCATACAAATATCTCCTCATTAGTGTTGTTCCATTTCTTTTCAAGATTTCAAAGTTATATTATTTTCATTTTCATTACAAGAAATATAGACAGGATGAATAAGAAGATAAAACAAATGTGGAGTCTTCCAGAAAAAAATTCATTTTTGTCAAAAATAAAAGTATATTAGGTAAAATAACTTGTTCTAGAAAGAAAACTAAAGATTTGCGGGAACGCGATTATTTTCGAGGTTAGGTAGTGTACGATCGAGATATCGATAAGCTATAAATGGCTACAAAATACGGGAATAAATTTTAAAGTTCGCACATATATGGTAAATATTTGTATGTTGTGTGTAACGCGTATATTTTATTCCTTTACTTGCGTATTATGTCACAAAAGAATATTTTATGTGTTCTTCTGCATTTGTGAAATATAAATATACGAAATTATATCTTGTAACATTTGGATATAATTATATGTTCTAATATATTCATAATTGCTTCTTAGCAGTACAGAGGTTACAAAGAATCGTTCAGAGAACTTACTCAGATGCCAAATTCCCTCAGATTACAACTCATTATACAATAATTCCTAGGGAGACGGATTCAAGATGGAAAGGTAAGCTTTTTTCAGTTTTTATTGCTTATAGAGATAATACAGATAATATTACGAGTATCTTTTTTATGTATTAGAAATAAATATGGAGAGGTATGTGGACGAGACCGATATTCTCATCGTCGGTGGTGGTCCAGCTGGGTTGTCGGCAGCTATTCAGGCCCGTAGACTAGCAGAGAAGCATGGCAAGGAACTCAGAGTTACTCTCGTTGAAAAAGCTTCCACTATTGGTGGACATATCCTCAGCGGTGCTTGTTTAGATCCAGTAGCTTTGAATGAATTGTTCCCAAACTGGAAAGAGTTAGGTGCACCGCTGACTACTCCTGTGACAGAAGACAAATTTGCCTTTCTCACTGAGAAGAAGAGGATATCCATACCTATTTTTAAAGGAATGCCAATGTACAATCATGGAAATTACATAGTGAGACTAGGACACGTCGTGGCATGGCTCGGCGAGCAAGCAGAAGCCGCCGGCGTCGAGATGTATCCCGGTTATGCAGCGGCGGAAGTTCTGTACCATGAGGACGGATCCGTCAAAGGGGTAGCTACGAACGACGTTGGTATTGCTAAAGACGGCTCACCCAAAGAAACGTTCGAACGAGGCATGGAACTTCACGCGAAATGTACCATCTTTGCGGAAGGCTGCCATGGTCACCTCACGAAACAAGTAACGAAGAAGTTTAATCTAAGGAAGGATTGTGAGCCGCAGTCCTATGGCATTGGGTTGAAAGAGGTAATTATCACTTATTACTTATACTTTAATATTGCGAGTGACACGAACGTATTGTAAAGAAAAATGTGTTTCTTGGTAGATTTGGGAGATAGAACCAGGCAAACATAGACCCGGAGCAGTCGAACATACAGTCGGCTGGCCACTTGACAAGAATACATATGGTGGATCGTTTTTGTATCATTTGAAAGAACAAACACCTCTAGTTGCTGTAGGCTTCGTAATAGGCTTGGATTACAGCAATCCCTACTTGCATCCGTTCAAAGAGTTCCAGAGATTTAAGCAACATTCAAGTATTAGACCAACGTTTGAAGGGGGAAAAAGGTCAGCATCTTTGATAGATAACAATATATTTCGAATATGTACTCTTTCGCGCTTTTCATGTTCGTTTTATTTTCAATTACAGAATAGCCTACGGCGCTAGAGCCTTAGTAGAAGGCGGTTTCCAGTGCATCCCCAAACTTCAATTCCCTGGCGGTTGTCTCGTCGGATGCACGGCGGGTTTTTTGAACGTGCCGAAAATTAAAGGAACACATAATGCCATGAAGAGTGGTATGTTGGCTGCGGAAAGTGTTATTGAAGCGATCATTGACGCGGAAAATAACGCTTCTTCAACGAAGGGCTTGGAACCAAAGACGTATACGGATAAAATAAAAAGTAGCTGGATCTATAAAGAACTAAAAGCCGTGAGAAATATGAGGCCGAGCTTCCACTCTTCTCTCGGATTATACGGCGGTTTAATGTACTCCGGTTTCTCCATGTTCTTGGGTGGAAAAGAGCCGTGGACCTTTTCACATGGAGGTAAGTATTGAGATGCTTCCACTATGAGATTCAAAGAGATCTCTTGAGATACATTATAAAAGCAATAATCTGGAAATTGTCGCATCTTGTGTTACAGGTGCTGACCACACAAAGCTAAAATCCGCAGCTGAGTCTACGCCCATAGAATATCCCAAACCGGACAACGAGGTATCCTTTGATCTCCTCTCATCGGTGGCTCTCACTGGTACTAACCACGAAGCTGACCAACCAGCCCATCTAACTTTGATGGACGACACTGTACCAGTGAAGAGAAATCTAGTACACTTTGGCGGTCCGGAAGGAAGATTCTGCCCAGCTGGTGAGTCAATTTATTGCATAGATTATGCCAATTTTATATGATTTTGCATGATTATCTAAGCTGGCCGCCTTAATCAGACCTGCCAAATTAAAAATTTCAATATTTAAGGGATATCTGACTAATTTGATTGAAATTATGCATCCTACAATTATCTTGTTAGTATATTGCAACAACTAACATCGTTTATAAACTTTGCATTAATAGTATGTTGAACAAATGATGTCTTTCATATAATCAATGAATTAATTAGCCTTATACATATTTCTTTTCGTTCATAAAACATAATTGATTCATATCAATAAGTGTATATGCTTGAATGTGTAAGAAAGACGACTAAGATGTATGTGTGCAACGAGTTTGATTTTCAACATTCACATTTTTATATTATCATACGTGTGAAACTTTATTCGTTTATCACAGGCATACGACTCTCGTGATTTTCGTAGCTTGATATGTCAGAGACAGCTCTCGATGTCGATGCTCTCGGAATGGATTTTGTGTCTGGTTTCTGGTTCTGGTTTTTATGCTTGACTCGGCTTTTCTATTTGTGATTCAACTGTGCACGTATCTCTCATTCATTTGTGCGATCGTACGAAGCAGAGGAGAAGGAGGAGAAGGAGGCGCGCAAGGAGGATGCCATTATCGAAACAAGCGTAATTTGTTTTCAGGGGTTTACGAATTTGTGCCATTAGAAAGCAGCGACGGCGAAAGGTTACAGATCAATGCTCAGAATTGCATCCATTGTAAGACTTGTGACATCAAGGATCCAAGCCAGAATATCAATTGGGTCGTGCCCGAGGGTGGCGGTGGGCCAGCCTATGACGGCATGTAAAACGGATCAGTGATCTATTGATGTCCAACTGTTCGATCGTGTATTCTTCAACAGTGTATCCTTCCGAATACATTTCCTCAGGATATTCTCAATAGCGACTCAATGTAGATTTTATATTCATTTTTTTAGAGGAAACGTCGATATTTTGTTGTGCCGTGATCGTGTTTTTGAACATACGAATTTACATTTGATCGTGATTCTTAACGAATTGTGGATTAGGTTTATTCCATTATGGTATAATTATTAAACATACAGCGTCAATAGAGAAGTTATTTCTGGTTCTGGATAATTGATATAAAAAATTAGCTTCAGTCGGAGAAAGGAGAGGCAAACAGAGCGAGAAAAAAATATATATACGGTCGGTCTATTCTTTTTTTACTCATCTCTGTGTACATACCATTGGTTTTGAAAATGTCATTAGGAAAGTTTGCAAAATTTATAATTTGCCAGAATTATTGAACCATATGTATATCGTCAAATATGAGATTGGGAATAACATGATACATTAATTGATGAAAATCTTGAAAAATGTCGGTGCGTTTTTTACGTGAAACATGTTTTAAATATTTTTAGAACGCGAAGGAAAAAGTTTTTATAAATATGTGTACATACTATTATATGTATTATATAGGGTGTTTAGAAAAAGGGCATATAATATTCACAAAACAGAGGAAAAAGTTCTAATAAACAGGTTGAAAAATTAATTATCGAAGTTATGAACAATTATTTATTTCAATGAAAGCAAGTGACCTACTCGCTTCTGGTGTTTACAAAGATTTTCTACAGATCTGCCTATTTCTACACACGTTTTACATCTTTGTATTATAGATTTGTGGGCTCTCAAAAATTCTTTAACTGCTCTTTGTTCTAACTATTTGACAGATATTTTGTATTCTTTGATTTAATTTGTTTATGTCATTTATTGATGAATAATACACCATGCTCTTAAGATATCCCAATAAAAAGAAAGTCCAGGAGATTTAAATCAGAAAAGCGAGGATATCATATGACTGGGCCATCCCGCCCAATCCATCTTTCATTGAAGGAGTTATTTAAATATTAAATAAATTAGAGAGATCATCAGAGAATAATACAAAATATCTGTCAAATAGAACAAACCCGGGAATTTTTTAAACAGATCACAGTCCTATAGTATGAAGATTTAAAGCATGTGCAGAAATAGCGGGGAAACATACATAGAAAATTTTCTGTAAACTTTTTAAGCACCAAAATCAAGTAGATCACTTATTTTAATTAAAATAAATAATTATAATCCCGACAATAATAACTTTTCGATCTATGTTTAGGACTTTCTTCCTCCATCTTATAAGTAATTTGCTCTTAAAGTCCAGAATCTTTTTTTTTTAAATATCCTATATATATATATAATCTATGAAAATATAGAAAAAACAAAAACCAAATATATACATATACATATGACTGTTATTAGATTTTAATTAATTTGTATAAATGTAAGCACAGAAAAATTTTGAATCGCATATATTTTTATACAAAAGAGAAATGAAATATACATACATATATATATATATATACATATATATATTTACAATCTAATTTATTGGCGTACGATACAAGACTTTTTGCTGCCACATCCTCCGTTTGTCCTCTGCAAGTAATTTAGTTCATATCCAACTTTCTTTCTTTTCTTCCTAAAACCCGACTGAAACGTAATCCCAACTGTTTTGAAGACTTGGTATTGTCCAATCTCACTTTCTATTGAAATTTGCGTTTCAAAACGCGCGCTAATATTTATGATTCACTGGCACACACATAGGTAAATATGTGCACACACGACGGCGGTCCATAAAATTCAGACTTTATTCCAACGATCTCTGATATTCAACGGTTCATAGGATATGTTGATTCAACAGAGTGGAACAATCAAATGTGCGAGAATATCGGAAAATATCGTTCTGGACAATCATCTCCACGTGGCGTACATGCGTACAGCATAAGCGATCCGCTATTATCTTTCATTATCCGCAGATCGCTGTGCGCCTTAATTTTTGCACGTATTATCGTTCGCAAATTTGTCTGGCGATTCGACAGATTGCAAGTTTGCATTTTTAAAGCGAGAGCGATTTTCCCCGTGACCTCGCGCGGTCGCCAACAATGCAAAATTCAACAGGACACGCAGTCCGTTTCTTACCCTACATTAGTTTCTTTCCTCAAATGATCACCTAGCGGTTGTTGTATATTACCGTATGCGCCACGTATAATAGTTTTCGACCGGTAATTTTAGTCGGACGCTAGTCATTCCGGGCATAAGCGACATTTTGTTCGCGCTGCCTCTGGGATGTCAATTAGCTCTACGTGGAAAGTTTTCTTTTTTACGGTATAGCGTTTAGCTAAGCCCTGAGAGATTTTGCGCGACGTCAACCACATGACTTATAGACAGTCGCACTGAATCAGAAAAGGTTTCTGATAAAATAAAGCTACGAAGTGCCACGAAAGCAGGGTTTCAGGTGCGAGCTTGCAGTTGTAATAATCAGAATAATTATCAGAATTAATTATCGGGTGGTGCGAATATAAAGGAAGTCCAGGAAAAAGAGATAATGTTACCTACGAGTACCATCGACGGTTCGATGGAATTTACTCTACGGATGATCGGTATCTGGCCGGACAGCTTGTGCAAAAATTTACCGCCTGTCCTTTGGACCATAGTGATGTTAGCTTGGCAAATTTTTCAATACTGGTATCTTTTCACCCACATTGGATCCGACACCTTGATTGACCTTGCGTACTGTTTGAGTCAGTACTTATCGAACAGCCTGCTATTTCTGAAGTTGAGCATTCTTTGGTGGAACAGACGGTAAGAGATCGTTAATCAGCGATATTGGCAATTGATGATATACCCGTTGCGTCAACGAGTATAATGTACGAGTAAACATTTCCGTGTAATTTCACAATTTGTGCTTAAGCAAAGAAGTTTTACCTAAGTGTTTATTTGAGACTTATTTGTTTATATTGTACACTGTTTATATTGTACAATACAAAATATATTATATCTTCGTACATCGAGAGATAGAAAAATTTAGATCCTTTAGCACAAAATAATTTAGAGATGTCACGATGTGTTGAAAAATGATAATTTCCACTTCGATTACTTTATACTGTTTTATTAATTAAAATATTGAGACAACTTTATCTTTTTTCTAATTTATATATAAGTATTTTGGTATGCAAAATGTTTCTTAATTGGCGTTCATTAATTACGAGGGTAGTCCCAGAAGTACCTGACCTGACGTATAGATAGCGGTTGTTGTTTGAAAAGAATGACTATGGTAGAAAGTACCAACTTTATAAAGCTTAAGTTTGAAGTTTGACGATGCTACGTTGTTTGGTATTTGTTTGGCAGCCATCAATAGTGAATGCTCTCAGTGAATTTGTAAACATGGAAAAAATTGGTCATCGTTATGTGATACAGTACTTTCATTTGAAAGGCCTCAGTTTAACCAATATCAAAGCGGAGCTAGATTCTACTCTGGAGGAGTCTGCTCCTTCGTTTACAACAGTAAAATATTGGATGGCAGAGTTTAAACGAGGCTATACGAGCTGCCAAGACGAACATCGCAGTGGTCGATCAAATGAGGTGACCACGCCAGAAATGGTGAAGAAAATCCACAAAATGGTATTGGATGATCGTCGACTGAAAGTGCGCGAGTTAGCAGACATAGCAGGCATTTCAAAAAGTGCTGTACATCGCATATTGACTGAAAATTTGGACATGAGAAAGCTGTGCGCAAGATAGGTGCCGCGATTGGAACAAAAACAGCGTTGTGAGGATGTTTCAATCGAGTGTTTGGCGAAGTTTCGCAGCAATAAAGCCGAGTTTTTACGTCGATTCATAACCATGGATGAAACATGAGTCCATCACTTCACACCTGAGACGAAGGAACAGTCAAAACAATGGACCAAGGTGGCTTGATGGCTATTTTGAGGAGCTCGACGATTCCCACTATAAACAGAGTATCGAAGCTATTGAACATCGCTGGGAAAAGTGTATTGAGCTAAAAGGAGACTATGTAGAGAAATAAAGATATTTTTTCCCAAAATTTTTGTGTTTTCTTTGTTAGGTCAAATACTTCTGGAACTACCCTCGTATGCTATTACTGCTTAGTAAATATCGAACTGAACATGTTTCGGCTTAATATTTACTAAGCAACAAGCAAAACACAAGCCATTTTTTTGTGTTGTGTGTGCTTAATAAAGCAATATTATATATAGTGTAATCAATCAATGTGTTAGCATTCCGCCTTTCCTATATATATATACTTTAATTTACGTATACTATAAACAAGCAAACTATATACATGCTAACTACATACTATAAACATGCAAATAACGATGTTGATTGGCTCAATTTTATCTAATAATTACACAGGCCGACATTTTTAAAACCCTGAGACAAGACTATACTTTTCCAAAGGTTTTCGGTCCACTGAATCCGAATCCGGCAGCGGAATTGCTCCATCACATTAGGTTTTCGAGATATTTTAATCTGAAAGTGCAAAAAACATAGTTTTTCGCTATATTCGGGGCTATATTACAACGTGAATTAATTTTTCTCTACAAAACTCGTTACAGTATCTGAAAGTACTACTCTTCGCCTTCAAAATGCATTTTGAATTTTTCATATATCTTATTTCTTCTCGGAGATATCGTCTGTTGAAATTTTTTAGTTTGGCGTTTTCGTTACTACCTTACAAAAAAAAAAGAAGTTAATCCGGCAGGTGAAAGTTGTGTAATTAAATGTTTTTTGGGACGCTAAATCCGAATTCGTTGTCGGTTCAACCCCATGACCATCAGGTCATGGTTTGTCCCTAACCTCAAAAAAGATTTTCGATCAAAAAAAGGCGAATTCGAAAATCTTTTTTGAGGTTAGGGACAAACCATGACCTGATGATCATGGGGTTGAACCGACAACGAATTCGGATTCAGCGTCCCAAAAAACATTTAATTACACAACTTTCACCTGCCGGATTAACTTCTTTTTTTTTTCAAGGTAGTAACGAAAACGCCAAACTAAAAAATTTCAACGGACGATATCTCCGAGAAGAAATAAGATATATGAAAAATTCAAAATGCATTTTGAAGGCGAAAAGTAGTACTTTCAGATACTGTAACGAGTTTTGTAGAGAAAAATTAATTCACGTTGTAATATAACGCCGAATATAGCGAAAAACTGTGTTTTTTGCACTTTCAGATTAGGATATCTCGAAAACCTGATGTAATGGAGCAATTCCGCTGCCGGATTCGGATTCAGCGGACCGAAAACCTTCGGGAAAGTATAGTCTGGTCTCACGGTCTGGAGTTTCGTAAAATTTTGTCGGCCTGTGTTATCATTTTATTAAGCATCTCAGAAGAAAATAGTTCAGGACCTCCCGGTTTAATTTTCATTAGAGAATACCACTGTGAATTTAGTGAGTGTCCATTAAGAAACAGTCTGTATAAATATAAATTAGGTGGTAAAATATTAAAATTTTATGAACATTTTTAGTTTCATCTAAATAAAGATGTTTTTCTCATCAGAGGTCAAATTATTTTCGCTTGTAATATATACAAGTTATTATGTAACGTTTTGATATTATGCCATTAACTTGTTCTCCTATATGTCAAAATGTCTCTAAACTATTCTGATTGCTGATGTAAACAAATAATTCGTTAAATGCTATTGTTTGTATCTTCTACTTTAATAATTCATATTATATTGTTCAGTATTATTTTCGACATTTTTGCGACAATGGCCGAAGACTGGAATGTGTGCACATCGGTCAGTTCAAAGACGCAAATGATAAACAAAGCAATTTTGTGTCATCGATTTTCGAAATGCACCATCGGTGCATATACGATGAATCTGCTATTATTTGGGATAACTAACATATTCGTTCAGAAAAGCGTGAGCTTTGATCAAGTCGATGAGGAAAGGCAGCTTCTCATTAAAATGAAACTGCCGTTCATGTACAACACGTCGCCGATTTATGAAATTGTTATGATCACGCAATTTCTTCTGCAATATACATTAGCACTCATAGCGGGAATGTTGAACGTTTTTATTGTGACATTAGTAAGTTAGCTCTGTTTGGAGAGCGTTGAGTTCCCTTTTTTCTTTCTACTCGCTGCGACATGTAATCTGAAACAAAGAGATTCTGGTTTTAGTTAGCGTCACATTTTTAATTTTATATAATTAGCATGTATGCTTATTTATTTATACAATTATATCATAATTAGTATCTAACTCACAATTACTATGTAATCGTATAGTCATTTATATGTCGATAATATTTTCATAAAATTTACCACATTTATGTTACAAAAAAGAAAATAGAGAAAATAGAGTTCATTACACTAAATTTGCTTCAGATATAGCTGATAACTCTCAGTCTCTCTCTCAGTGTTTCGGATAGTTCTGAATCGTCACTTTTAGATCCTCCATATTGCCGGTCAGATCGAGATAATGTGTCAGGGATTGCTGGAAATGTTGGTATCCGAAGACAAGAACGAATCGCACATAGCTACGTTGAGAGATCTCGTAATCAAACATCAAAGGATTATTACATTTGCGGACAATATCGAGAATGTGTTCTGCTATGCGGCGCTATTACAATTTTTGTCAAACACGCTTGTTATTTGTTTTTTAGGATTCTTGATTGTGACTGTGAGCAAAATCCAATACCTATATATTTTTCGAACAGCATTTTGCAATTTGTCTGAGCAACCAGTTTTTGAATTGCAGTCACTCGATTCCAATGAGGTGCTGATGAAGACCATTCCCTATTACCTCATCGTAAACATAGAAGCGTTTATACTTTGTTGTACTGGCGAATACTTAAAATCGAAGGTGAAAAAATGACTTAGCAAATGTAATTATTTTCGCGCTATCTGTGTAGCACGGCACGAGAGATTGATTCTCGGCCGGGATCGGCCGGGATAGAAATTGTGTCCTCATGAATAGAATGAGGTAACAAACAGTGGAATTGATCGGAAAATAATGTGTCGGGTTGTCTGAAGAACAATTCTAAATTTGGCAAATCCGTTGTAGGAAATCCAAAATTTTTTATTACACAACTCAACAATTGTCGAGCTCATACGACTTCGTAACACTGTCACGTAGAAATATTACGTAGAAAAATATTTACATAGTGCGACTTATTGTAGAATGTTATTTTAGAGCAGATTCATAACTCGGTCTGCATACACATCGCTCTGGTACGAATTGAAACCTGCTCAGAGCAGAATCCTTATGCTGTTGATACTGAAGTCACAGAGACAGTTGACAGTGACAGCTGGCAAATTCGTAGATTTATCTCTGGAGACTTTCACAAACGTAAGAAATCCGCAACTTCCGTTTGCTCTCTACGAGAGAGAAACGATATAATAAAACACCAACATTTTAAGTTCAGTACTCGTATTTAAGTTCAACAAAATTAATAACGTTTTCTTCTCGTAGATCCTGAAAGCTTCGGCGTCTTACGTGTCGGTGTTACACACCATGTATTGAAACACAAAGCTGTCCAGTGTGAAACGCAACTTGACAATGCATCCCTGAAATGAAAGTTTTAACTAGGAAAGTAGGAAAACTTATAAAAACAATTTTTAAAAGGATCATGCACACAGATGTATTTTTCTGTACACTCGTCTTTATTTTTAGTATTGGTTTCACTTGCAGAATAGAGATGAGTCCATAACTTAAGAAAATATAATTTGTTTATAACATAATCGTTTACCAGCTAGGCAGCTAAAATGTCCAAAAGACATCGAAAATATCCGAAAAATATCTTATTTGTTTTACATATTTTATAAATACCTTAAAGTTATATGTTTTTCATTTGTCCCGTTTATGTTGTTATGTTATACTTTACAAGTCGCATTGATCGGTATTTTTCTCTCTGGATATCAGTCGTCTAATATTCAAATAGATACTTCAGTGAAAGATGGATTGGACAAGATGGACCAGTTTCAGGTTCCTCACTCCTGATTTTAAAAAATCCTTGGATTTTGTTTATGAAGATTTCTCGGAAGCATGGTGTACTCTTTACTGATAAATGACAGACGAATTATATCAGTGCATATAAAATGCTTGTCAAATTGTTAAAACAACGCCGAGAATTTTATAAAAAATTCACAATTCTATAGTACAAAAATATAAAAATAGGAGGAGGGCATATAGAAGATCTTCTGTAAATTTTGTAAGCACTAGAAGCATGGATAGATCACTTATTTTAATTAAAATAAATAATTGTTCATAACCCTAACAATATTAATGTTTCGATGTATGTTTATCAGGATTTTTTTCTTTCATCTTGTGACTACTATCTACCGTTGAAGTTTAGAATCTTTTTTTTAAACACCGTGCGTGTATGTAATCTATAAAAGTGAAGAAATCAACAAAAAGCAGCCAAACATATACCTATACATATAACCGTTATTAGATTTCAATTGATTTGTATAGATGAAAGCATCGAAAAATTTTAAACTACTAATATTATAATTTTATACGACGGAAATGAAACACACATACACACATACATATTTACGACCTAATCTAATGGCGTAAGATAATTTGTTTTCGTTGTCACCTTTCCTATTTGTCTCCTACAAATTTAGTTCATATCCAAGCCCTTGCTCCTCCTCTTCCTGTTTACCCGTCTGGAAGGGTGAAACATATTCCCAGCTGTTTTCAAGATTCAATATTGTCCACCTCTTATTGAAATTCACGTTCCAGAACGCACATTAATATTTACAATTCACAGGCACGCACGTACTGTATAATACACAGGTAGATACACGCACATAGGAAAAAAGGCGAGTCATAAAGTTCATTCCAGCGATGTCGAATATATTCTCTTTACGGAACATGTTGTTTCAACAGAGTGAAACAATCGAATATGCGAGAATATCGGAAAATATCATGCTGAAGAATCATCTCCACGTGGCGTACATGCGCACAACATGAAGCGATCCGCTATTACGTTTCATTATTCGCAGACCGCTGTGCGCTTTAATTTTTACGTGTATTATCGCTCGCAAATCCTCCCGGCGATTCGACAGATTGCAAGTTTGCATTTTTAAAGCGACAGCGACTTTCCCTATGACCCCGCACGGTCTCCAGTAATATAAAATTCAACGGGACATGCACTAGTAGTTCGCTTCTTATCCTACAACAATTTCTTTCCTCAAATAATCACCCAAGCGATTGTTGTATATTACCGTGTGCCTCGCGTATAATAGTTTTCGACCGGTAATTGCAGTCGGACGCTAGTCGTTTCGGGCATAAGCGACACTTTGTTCCCGCTGCCTCTGGGATGTCAATTAGCTCTACGTAGAAAGTGTTTTTTTACGGTACAGTATAGCGCTCAGCTAAGCTCTGAGAGATTTTGCGCGACCACGTGACTTGTAGACGCGCCGAATCAGGGAAGGTTCACGACGAAATAAAGCTACGAAGTGCCACGAAAACAGTATTTCAGAAGTGAGCTTGTAGCTGTGGCAATTATCAGAATTAATTATCAGGTGGTGCGAATGTAGAGGAAGCCCAGGAAAGAGAAATAATGTTACCTACGAGTACCATCGACGGCCCGATGGGATTTACTCTACGGTTGATCGGTATCTGGCCGGACTGCTTGTGCAAAAATTTGCTGCCTATTCTTTGGACCATAGTGATGTTGGCTTCGCAAATTTTTCAATATTGGTATCTTTTCACCCACATTGGCTCTGACACCTTGAATGACCTTGCACACTCTTTGAGTCTGTGCTTCTCGAACAGCCTGCTGTTTCTGAAGTTGAACATTCTTTGGTGGAACAGACGGTAAGAATCGATAATTATCGACAGTTGATGATATAGCCGTTGCATTAACGGGTAAACATTTCAGTGTAATTTCACAATCTGCAATTATGTTAGTCAAAGAGATTTTATCTGAATGTTTCTTTGAGACTTATTTGTTTACACAAAATTAATTACATCTTCGTACTTCGAGGATTACCGTACAGAATAATTTAGAGATGTCACGATATGTTGAAAAATAATAATTTCACTTACATTACTTTATACTATAATATTTTATTAATTAAAATATTGAGACAACTTTATCTTTTCTTTAACTTATATATAAGTACTTTGATATGAAAGATGTCTCTTAATTAGCGCACATTAATTATGTCATTATCAATCATGTCATTACTGTTTAATAAATATCAGGCCGGAAAATATCGAATCATCTTTTTATGTGATATTTAATAAAGCAATATTATCCGATATAATATAGTCAATCAATGTGTTACCATTCCGCCTTTTCTATGTACACTCTGTATATACTATAAACTACATATACTACTATAATCTACTATAATCTACGTATACTATAAACGTTCTGCATCATGCAAATAACGATGCTGATTGGCTACATTTTATTTAATAATTATCACTTTACTAAACATTTCAGAAGAAAATAATTTAGGATTTTTTGGCTCAATTTTTCATCAGATCCTCTGATGAATTTAGTGGATATCTTAAAAAATATGTTATACAAATATAAATTGATAAAAAGAGATAAAATATTAAAACTTTACGGATATTTTTAGTTTGATCTAGGTTAGATGAAAACGTTTTTCGACAGAGTTCATAAATCATTTGCCTCCATCCGCTTAAAATATATAAACATTTTTATATAATGTTTTGTTGTTATGTCACTGATTTGGTCTTCCATATGTCAAAATGTCCCTAAACTATTCTGACTGCTGTAAACGAATAATTCGTTAAATGGTGACGTTTCTATCTTCCACTTTAATAATTTGTATCGTATTGTTCAGTATTATTTTCGACATTTTTGCGACAATGGCCGAAGACTGGAACATATGTACATCGATTAATTTAAAGACTAAAATGATAAACAAAGCAATTTTGTCCCATCGATTTTCGAAATGCATCATTGGTGCGTATACGATGCCTCTACTATTATTAGGGGCAACTAATATACTGATTCAGAAGAGCGCGAGCTTTGATCAAGCCGATGAGGAAAGGCAGCTTTTCATTCAAATGAATCTGCCGTTCGTGTACAGCGTGTCGCCGACTTACGAAATTGTCATGGTCACTCAATTTCTTCTGCAATACACATTAGCGCTCATGGCGGGAATGTTGAACGTTTTTATTGTGACATTAGTAAGTTGGCTTTGTATTCAAGAGCGTTGAGTTTCTTTTCTTCTTTCACTGCGACACATCATCTGAAACAAAGAGAGATTATAGTTTCAGTTAGTGTCACATTTTTATTTTTATATACATATTTGTATTTTACATCACATTTGTATTCTATATTATATATATACATTGTATTTATGTTAAACATTATATCACATTTATATTTTAATTACTATATATAATTATTTATTTATACAATTAAAAAAATCTCGCAATTATTATGTGAGCGTATAGCCATTTATATGTCGATAATATTTTCACAAAATTTACCAGATTAACGTCATAAAAAAAATAGAGAAAATAGAGTTCATTACACTAAATCTGCTGCAGATGTCGTTGATAATTCTCAGTCTCTTGGACAGTTCTGAATCGTCACTTTTAGATCCTCCATATTGCCGGTCAGATCGAGATAATGTGTCAGAGATTGCTGGAAATATTGGTAGCCGAAGATGAGTATGAATCGCACATAGCTACATTGAGAGCTCTCGTGATCAAACATCAAAGGATTATTATATTTGCGGACAATATCGAGAATGTGTTCTGCTATGCGGCGCTATTACAGTTTTTGTCAAATACGCTCGTTATTTGCTTTTTAGGATTCTGGATTGTAACTGTGAGTAAAATCCGATATCCATGCCTTTTTTTGAACAGCATTTTGCAATTTATTTGAGTAACCCCTTTTTGAATCGTAGTCGCTCGATTCCAACGGAGTACTGATGACGGCCATCTCTTATTACGTCATCGTGATCATGGAAGCGTTTATACTTTGTTATAGTGGCGAATACTTAAGCTCGAAGGTGAGAAAATGACAAGACGAGATTAATTATTTTCGTACCACATGTGTAACGCCGCAAGAGAGATTGATTCTCGGTCGGGATTTATCTAATAGAAATTGTGTTCGTATAAATGGAGTGAAGTAATAAACAGCGGAATTGATCGGAAAGGAATATGTCAGATTGTGTGAAGAATAATTTTAAATTTGACAAATCTGTTATGAGAAATCCGTAGTTTCTTGTTACATGACTCAATGGTCATACGACTTCGTAATACTATCACGTAGAAATATTACGTAGAAGGATATTTACTTACAAGTAACACTACTCAACTGTCACTCACCGATTTCAATGAAATTTGGCATACACGTAGAACATTGAAAAATATTGAACACGTGTTTTTTTATATCGATTGGCAACGTATTTTAAGGGTGGAAATTATCCCTTGATCCCTGAACCTGAAAGCACTATTTCAACCCTTTGTACATATTACATGTGATTTCCGTCAAACTTGTCTTCCATTGAACTAGTCAGTAAGGGGTTTTTAGGGTCGCTGATTACGAATCTGGAGATAAAATTACAAGAGTCAAGATGGCGGACCTAATATGGCGAACCGGAATTGCAAAAAGGTTGCTGATTCGAACCAATTTTGGTATCTGGAGGTTTTTGGAGTCTCTAATTACGAATTTGAAGTTGGAAGTCAAAATATAATTCGTTTGTTACACTTTATTATTATTATTATTATTATTATTATTGTAATGTGTTTTATTTGTAAGATTTTTAAGAAGGTTTATTGTAAACTTTCAAGGATATTAATTATATAAGATATCTATATCTACATCTTATCAAGATATACTGACGGATAATAATTTTTTGGAAGACCAACTTCCTAATCTGAAAAAAACTGACGCGATAGGTCAATTTTTAATACCGATTCATTGTTAAATTCAGTAAATGTAATTTCCTAAGGCAATATCCTCCTTCACTGGTATAATTTCGATCTGTTATATTGCATCATATTCCGCCATCTTTTTTTTGTAATTTTATCTCCAGATTCGTAATTAGAGGCCTCAAAAACCTCCAGATACCAAAATTGGTTTGAATCAGCCATCTTTTTACAATTCCGGTTCGCCATATTAGGTCCGCTATCTTGAATTTTGTAATTTTATCTCCAGATTCGTAATCAGCGGCCCTAAAAATCCCTCACTAGTTCAATGGAAGACAAGTTTGACGGAAATCACAAGTAATACTATATGTACAAAGGGTTGAAATAGTGCTTTTATGTTCAGGAATCAAGGGGTGATTTCCACCCTTAAAATGCGTTGTTAGCCGATATAAAAAACACGTGCTCAATATTTTTCAATGTTCTACGTGCATGCCAAATTTCATTGGAATCAGTGAGTGACAGTTAGGTAGTGTTAGAGTGATTTATCATGGAATGTTATTTTAGAGCAGGTCCCTAACTGAGTCCGCATACGCGTCGCTCTGGTACGAATTGAAACCTGCTCAGAGCAGAATGCTGATGTTGTTGATACTGAGATCGCAGAAGCAGTTGACAGTGACAGCTGGCAAATTCGTCGATTTATCTCTGGAGAGTTTCACAAGCGTAAGAAATTCGCAACTTCCGCTTATTTTCACGGGAAAATAACGATATAATTAAACACCGACATTTTAAGTTCAATACTCGTATTTAAATTCGATAAAACTAATATCGTTTTCTCCTCGTAGATCATAAAAGCATCTGCGTCTTACGTGTCAGTGTTACACGCCATGTACTGAAACACAAAGCTGTCAAGTGTGAAATGCAACTTGACAATATATCCCTGAAATGAAAGTTTTAATTAGTCTTTAATTAGGAAAGTAGGAGAAATTATAAAACAATTTTTAAGAGAATCGTGCACATATATATATTTTCCTATATCCCCATTTTCATTTTTAGCATTTATTTCACTTGTAGGACAGAAATGAATCCATAAATTATAAAATATAATTTTTTTATGACATAATTCTTTTCCAAATAGCAAAAATGTAAAATATCATCTTACTTGTTTTACATGTTTTATAAATACCATAAAGTTATATATTAATTATTCGTACCTTATCGTATTTATATTGTTATATTGTTATTGTACGATACTATATGAGTCACACTGATCAATTCTTTTTCCCTTAAATAGCATTCATCTAATATTTAAATAGGTACTTTGGTCAAATGGATTGGGCGGGATGGACCAATTTTATAGCCTCCTCGCTCCTGATTTAAAAAAATTCCCTGGACTGTTTTTTATGGGGATTTCTTAAAAGCATGGTGTATTCTTTACTGATGACAGACGAATTATATCAGGGCATACAATGCTTGCCAAATTGCCAAGAACAAAATCGAGATTTTTGGAAAAAGATCACAATTTTATGAAGATATGAAACATGTATAAAAATAGGAGAAAAACATGTTGAAAATCTTCTGTAAACTTTGTAAGCACTAAAAACGTGCATAGAGCATTTACTTTAATTAAAACAAATACACATATTTACGATCTAATCTGTCGGCATAAGATACAATTTCTTTTACGTTATCGCCTTCCCTGTTTGTCTTCTGCAAGTAATTTAGTTCATATCCAAGTTTTTGTTCCTCATCTTTTTAAACGTTTACCCGACTGGAAGGGTGAAATGTATTCCCAACTGTTTTGAAGACTCAGTATTGTCTACTCGCTATTTCCTATTGAAATTTACGTTCCAGAACGCGTGCTAATATTCACAGGCACGCACGTATCGTATAATATACAGGTAGACACACGCGCATACAACGGCAGACCATAAAATTCATTCTAGAGATGTCAAATATATTCATCGCTTCACGAAACATGTTGATTCGTTAGAGTGGAACGATCAAACGTGCGAGAATACCGGAAAATATCGCGCTGGACAAACATCTTCACGTGGCGCACATGCGCACAGCACGAAGCGATCGGCCATTACGTTTCATTATTCACAGGCGGCTGTGCGCTTTAATTTTTGCGCGTATTATCGCTCGCAAATTCGCCCGGCGATCCGACAGATTGCAGGTTTGCATTTTTAAAGCGAGGGCGACTTTCTCTGCGGCTCCGCGCGGTCGCCAACAATGCAAAATTCAACAGGACACGTACTAGCAGTGCGCTTCTTACCCTACAACACTTTTTTTCCCCATGTGATCACCCGAGCGGTTGTTACACATGCGCTCTGCGTATAATAGTTTTCGACCGGTAATTGCAGTCGACCAGTAATTTCAGTCAGATGGTAATCGTTCCGGGCATAAGCGGCACTTTGTTCACTGCCTATGGGAGATCAACCAGCCTTACGTGGAAAGTTTCCTTTTACGGTATAGCATGGCGTTTAGCTAAGCCCTGCGAGGTTCTGCACGGCATTAGTCACGTGACTTATGGACAGTCGCGGTTAATCAGGAAAGGTGTCTGATAAAGCTGCGAATCGCCACGAAAATACAGCTTCAGGCGTGAGCCTGCAACCTACAAGTGCGGCGATTGTCAGAATTAATCGTCGGGTAGTGCGAACGTAAAGAGAGCCAAAGAAAGACAATGGTACCTACGAGCACCATCGGCGGTCCGATGGAACTCACTCTACGGCTGATTGGTATCTGGCCGGACTCCTCGTACAAAAATTTGCAGCTTGTCCTTTGGACCATGATGATGCTGACTTCGCAGATTTTTCAGTACTGGTACCTCTTCACTCACATTGGCTCCGACACCTTGCCGGATCTCTTGGACTGTCTGAGTCTGTGCTTCTCGAACAGCCTACTGTTTCTGAAGTTGAACATCCTTTGGTGGAACAGACGGTAAGAATCGTTAATTAGCGATATCATAGTCAGTTGACGTGCGTCAACGGATATATTGCGCGAGTAGAAGTTTCTGTGTAATTACGATTTGCGGTTATTTTAGGCAAAGAGTTTTCATCTAAATGTTTATATTCGAGATTTGTTTGTTTTCATAAAATATGTTTTATTCCTCATGCTTCGAGGGATACTATATAGAATAATTTAGAGACATCTCGACATATTGAAAAATAATTTAGCGTTTCTTCCATATGTCGAAATGTTCCTAAGCTATTGCTGACTGCTGACGTAAACGAATAATTCGTTAAATGCTAGCATTTTTATTTTAATAATTCGTATCGTATCGTATTGTTCAGTATTATTTTCGACATTTTTGCGACAATGATCGAAGACTGGAACGTGTGCACATCGGTCAGTTCAAAGACGCAAATGATAAACAAAGCAATTTTGTCTCATCGGTTTTCGAAATGCATCATCGGTGCGTATACAATGACTCTGATATTATTAGGGACAAGTAACGTACTGGCTCAGAAAAGCGCGGGCTCCGATCAGGCTGACGAGGAAAGGCAGCTTTTCGTTAAAATGAGGTTGCCGTTCGAGTACAGCGTGTCGCCAACTTACGAAATTGTCATCATAACGCAATTTCTTCTGCAATACACGTTAGCGATCATGGCGGGAATGTTGAACATTTTCATTGTGACATTAGTAAGTTGGCTCTGTACTGGAGAGCGTTGAGTTTCTTTTTTTCTTTGTTTCTGCACATCGTGCACATCATCTGAAACAAGAAGAGAGTTCAGTTTTAGTCAGGGTCTTATTTTTATTTTTATACGATTATCGTATACGATTATTTTTTTACACGATCATATCATAATTAGTATGTAAAAAATTTCGCAATTACAATGTGATCGATGTGTCGATAATATTTTCATAAAATTTATCAGATTCATGTTGTAAAAGTAAGAAAAAGAATAGAGAAAATTAAATTTACCACACTAAATGTGCTTCAGATATCATTGTTAAATCTCAGTCTCCTGGACAGTTCCGGATCTTCACTTTTAGATCCTTCACATTGCCGGTCAGATCGAGATAATGTGTCAGGGATTGCTGGAAATGCTGGTAGCCAAGGACAAACCGCACATAGCTACGTTGAGAGATCTCGTGATCAAACACCAAAGGATTATTAAATTTGCGGATAATATTGAGAATGTATTTTGCTATACAGCGCTATTACAATTTTTGTCAAACACGCTCGTTATTTGCTTTTTAGGACTCTTGATTGTCACCGTAAGTAAAATCCTATGCATTTTTCGAATTTTGTAATTTTGTAATTTGTCTGAGCAACCTGTTTTTGAATTGCAGTCGCTCGATTCCAACGAGGTGCTGATAAAGGCCATCCCTTATTACGTCGTCGTGAACATAGAAGCGTTTATACTTTGTTTTACCGGAGAATATTTAAGCTCGAAGGTGAGAAAGCGACTTGGCAAATGCAATTATTTTCACATTATCTGTATAGCGCCGCATGAGAGATTGATTCTCGGCCGGGATTCATCTAATGGAAATTGTGTTCGCATAAATGGAGGGAGTAACAAACAACGGAATTGATTAGATAGGAATGTGTCGGATTGTGTAAAGAACAATTCCAAATTTGGCAGATCCGTTGTGGAAAATTCGAAATTTCTTATTATATGACTCAATAATTGTCGAGCCTCACACGACTTCGTAACACTGTCAAGTAGAAATATTATGTAGAAGAATACTTACGTAGAGTGATTTATTGTGGAATGCTATTTATAGAGCAGATCCATAACTCAGTCCGCGTACGCATCGCTCTGGTACAAATTGAAACCTGCTGAAAGCAGAATCCTGATGCTGTTGATAGTGAAGTCGCAGAAGCTGTTGACAATGACAGCTGGAAAATTCGTCGATTTATCTCTGGAGAGTTTTACAAGCGTAAGAAATCCGCAACTTCCGTTTATTTTCACGAGAGAACAACGATATAATTAAACACCGATATTTTAAATTCAATACTTGTACTTAAATTCAATAAGACTAATATCGCTTTCTTCTCGTAGATCCTGAAAGCTTCGGCGTCTTACGTGTCGGTGTTACACGCTATGTATTGAAACACAAAGCTGTCAAGTGTGAAACACGACTTGACAACGTATTCCTGACGCACTCCTGAAGTGGAAGTCTTAACTAATAATATAGGAAAAATTATAAACCAATCTTTAAAAGGATCATGCACATAGATGTATTTTTTTTGTATACCTGTTTTTATTTTTATTTTATTTGTTGCACTTGCAGGACAGAAAAGTCCATAACTTAAAAAAATATAATTTGTTTATAACACAATTGTTTTCTAGACAGCAAAAATGTCTAAAAGGCATCTTGCTTGTTTTGTATGTCTTATAAATACCATAAAGTTATACTTTTATTTTTTGTACTATTTTTGTACTATTTGTGTTGTTGCGATACACTTTACGAGTTTCACTAATCGGTGTTTCTTCTCCTGAATAGCACAACACGCATATCGAAAACATTTATTTACGTAGAGATATGTTTTTCGCGACGTGAACAATACTTTGCAGGATTCAAGTCGAAAGGGAAATCCGCACTCTCAACAGCATTCGCGAACGCAGAAACACTGTGTGATGTTTTGCGCATCGGTTGCACCAAGTACTCCAACGCCCTCCCTCGAGCAGTCGTCCTCCATTTTGCTTTCGTTGGTCGCCCCGTAGTTGCACCGCGATGCACAAGCTCACCCCGACCGCTTTTGCACCCGCTTGCATTTTTAAAGCAAATAACGTCGCGATTGCACCCTCTCGCTGTGATGTTCAACGAGAAAGAGCGCAAAACTTATTACCTCGTTACTTTTCTTCGCTGAAATCATAGCCGTAGTTTCTTTTCTTACAATACGACGCATGTGTGCAATGAATAATTTCGACGATCGGTCAGCGGCCATCGGAGGGTGCCCGCTTGGGCGACGAATTCGCCAGAATCCTTGAGGATTATTCGAGTGGCAGTCGAACGTTGAGATTTCGACGTCGTATCGAACTGCTAACAATGTGGTAATACTTTTGAGCGGCTACGATTAACGGCGACATTGAAAGAAAAAGAGATAAAAAGAGAGACAAGCTGTTTTATCCTGCGAGCGTGCCTCAGATGCGGCCTTATTAATCGCGACCGAACGCGAAATGAGTTTCGCGATCACCACTATCAGCCCTTCCGTTGAATTCGGACTGCGCGCGATCGGCGTTTGGCCGGGGTTTCCGTATACCTTTTTGTGTCGAATGCTTTGGACCATCACCCTGGGTGTCGCTCAGACTTTTCAGTTCCGATATATCATTGCCTGTGCCAAAGCTAACGATTTCCTCAATCTGGTGGACAGTGTGAGCACCACATTGCCTTACAGCTTGCTCTGTCTGAAACTGATCATTCTCTGGCTGAATCAGAGGTAAGAGGTAATCCTTTCGTACAGCTCTTTGATGCGAATTCGAAATGTTCTCCCTCGAATAGTCTTCCATATGGACTTATATACATGAACTGAACGCTTTACTGCGAAGACCTTATCTGAAAAGGATGACCTGCGTCATAGATGTTCGGATCTTTATTTAGCTTGACTATTATTGGAGGAAGCTGGACAAAGATAGCATGTCTGTGGGCAGTAGAAAGAAAATATACCATAACTGTCCGTTACACTTTGTCTCCAAATCTTTCATCGAAAGGTGCAGTCTATATGGAGAAGAAAGATTGACTGGGTTAACGTGACAATAAACGAGCGTTTTAGTTGAAGGAAACAGAATTTTCGGTTCTTGTTGATTTAAATTCGGTTCTACTAAAGAATTAAAAATTCTGTTGCTCTCGACGCGTATTGGTTCGTTGGTTTGCCATGTTAATTCAACCGACCTTGCTTCTCCGTGTGTGTGTATATAAGTCTACGGCTCTTCATCAGTACGTATCGTAGGTGATCCGTCTCGTGCGACCTACAGCGAGTGACAAACGAATAGCTGCAATTTTCTTTGATATTATTCCTGTTCCTGTCGGATAGACTCCCGATTTGAGTAGTTTGCGCGACGGACGTTAGGGGTGATCTTTTCAGACTGGTTAACAAAATTCTAACGTTGATGTCGCAAGACTGGCGCGATGGCGGTGCTGTCGCTTTCAATGTACGCACTATGACGGACAAAGCGCGTCTCTCGCGTCGATGCTCGATGCTGATCATCGGGGTGTACTCGATAGCCGTTGTAGTCTACGTCTCCGTTATAATCGAATTCAACCACATCCACTCCGATGAGTTCAGCAATAAAGAGCGACAGTTCTTTCTCAAAATGAAGTTCCCCTTTGACTACGACGTCTCTCCCATCCACGAAATCATCCTGTTCATTCAGTTTCTTCAACTGCTGAGTAACGCCTCGGTAATCGGGATGTTGGACGCATTCATCATAACGTTGGTGAGTCTTCCATTGTTTAGTTAGTTCTCGTCACTTCACGGTGATTTCCCGCTCCTCGGACACATTGAAAAATTGCTACTGAGAGACTTGATACGCGTTTTATTACGGATCCTAGTTGACGGTCCGTTCTTGTCTTAATGTTGAAAACTACTAAGATAAGAATCAGGCGGGATAACAGCTTTGAACAATTATTTCTGCGGAAAGATAATTAATATTTCGATGACTATATGTCTGAGGGCTTCGATAAAATTAGCGTTTCAATCCTGAGAATCTGTCAATCTTTAAATGACGAAATCTGCGAAACTATATCTGTTTTTACAACACAGCGCCTTGTTTTTAGATGCTGCACATAAGTGGCCAGGTAGACATCGTATGTTACAATTTGTGCAAGCTTTTCTCGGAAAAATATGAACACAAATCGTACGGAGAAGCTATTGGTATGATTATTCGCAAGCATCAAAATCTCATCGCGCTGTCGAACAACATCGAGAATTTGTTCACCTACATCGCATTGATGCAGTTCTTCACGAATACATTTGTCATATGTTGCATAGCGGTCGTCATTGTAACAGTAAGTAAAACTCTTGTAGGCTGTCTCGTGTCGTTTAAGCACGTTTAATTCTTAAGTTATTACGCTTACTAACAGCAAATCTTCAACGTTTCAGTCGCTCGAATCCAAACAAGGATACATCCTATTGTTGAAGTCTTTGTTCTTTTACATCGCTATCACCTTGGAGGCGTTCATTTTTTGTTTTTCCGGAGAATATCTCAGTAACAAGGTTAGAAAACTGTTTTTTATTGTAAAACTGTTGATTTGGAAAATGACTAATTATTTTAATATCGCCGAGAGAATTATTTTGTTATGCGAATTTTTCGACATGATGACGACTCCTTTTGTGGAACAAATTCGTAATATTCTTTTTAATCTTGTTTAGCTTCTATCTTTCCAGAGTAAGTCAATCGCGAATGCAGCTTATGAGGTGCTTTGGTATAACGCTCAACCCAGCAAAAGTCGAATTTTGTTGACTCTAATGTTGAGATCGCAAAAACGATTGACTTTAACAATCGGGAAATTTAACGACCTATCTTTGGAAGTCTTTGCGAATGTAAGATTCAACAGAAGACTATGTGTGTGTGTGCGTACGTATTCAAACAGAATATTTTCTTTAGTATACAGCGATATTATATTTCAGATTTTAAAAGCTTCTGCGTCTTACGTATCAGTGCTGCTTGCAATGTCTTGAACAACGAAAAGATCAATTATAAAGTTTACATACAAGTATATGTATATTGTCATTATAAGTTATATATTAGTATCTTGTGCATGAGTATCCTTATGTATCATTTAATCGTTTTCATACACGTTTTATAAATTTTGTAAGTGTAGAAGTGCATGTTAAAAATAATTCACGAGGTACGACTTAAAAATATACAACAGCATTTACCTTATACTGCGTGTTTACCTTTGCACAGGTACCATAGTTTAATCAAGACGATTGCTCGAAATTTTCTCGTTCGTTTAGGTGCAGATCTTATTACATCACTATATATAAATATGTCAGCTTGTAACGGTGCCTAATACAGGCTGCTTTGAGCAACTTCCGACTCGGGATCACCTCAAATTTTATTATTCGCGTGTCTGCACATGCATTTAAAAGATTGCATATGATTTAGTTAAGTCGAAATTGTCATCGCCTGTTGCGTTCTTTATGCATTTTGACCAATCTTCCACAAAGATCCACCACTTATTCGGAAAACGCTTCTCCAAGACGGTCACACTGACGATCCTCACTCGCGCAGGCGCATGGCAGGCTTTCCCTCGTTTCTTGCATTTTTAAAGTAAATCACCCGCGATAACCACGATCGGCGGCCCATCTCCCGGAAGTTACCACCACAAAGTATCATTCTCGTCGCACGATTCCTCGCTCCTCGAAGACTACAATCATCCTTCGATCGTCGCAAACTTTTCTTCCCCGCATTCTTAAGTATGTGACGAAAATATACGTCTCACGATTGGCCAGTGACGACCAAGGTAGGGCCTGCTTCCGAGCGCACATGTTAATATTTTGAGACTTATCTGCTGGTGAAGGTCCGACGTTGCGAACGAAGCCGCACTCGAGGAGTCGCACCTTGTTCGTCGACGTAGCGGAAGCGGAAACTCGATCTAACGTGATGATACCAACCAGTACCGTCAGCAAACCGGTGAAAATCGGCCTCCATCTCACTGGAGTCTGGCCAAACACTTCTGTCTTGTTCAAGCTGCTCTGGACGTTGGTGATGGGAACAGGACTGATCTTCCAGTATCAATACTTACTTAATCACTTCAGCACCAACGATCTGCCGAATCTGATAGACGGTTTGAGTACTACCTTGCCGTATAACTTGCTGTTTTTCAAGCTGGTTGTCTTGTGGATCAACAATCGGTATGTCTTTTTCATGGTTTTGTTCTTCATATCGCTCTTAAAAATCTCTTAAATGTGACAAATGTGTCAGAGTGCCTAAAAAACTGATCCTTTAGTTAAAGGTGTAAAATAACTATGGTCCTTAATGGATTAATATTGTGTTTTGTTTTTTAATTGTAAAACTATTCCTAAGTAGAGATACGTGTCGTATGTTTATTTTCGATCAATTAAAAAATTTTCAAACTTAAAGTAAGTCAGATATATTACGTACTTTGGAAAACTATCTGTTTACAATAGAGATTTACATTAAAGATGCCATTCTTGATATCGCGACGAGGAAAGGTAGAGTGGTAAATCTTGGTAGTCAACTTGTCAAAATCGTGGCTGCTTTCTCTTCTGTGAATCGGCGAGAACGCATTTGGCACATTGTAAATATACAATGCATCCGTATTGCGACGCGTCGCGAAGTATTGCGTTGCAGAGTATTCGTCGATATCCTAAGGGCGATGTCCAAAGATTGGCGCAAATATTCCAACATGTACGCCATGATCGACAAAGCGGTGCTGTCGCATCGTTGCTCCAAATTGATCATCGGCATTTATTCGACGGCGGTGTTGCTCTACAGCACCGCGTCCATCGACTTAAGAAACAATGGCGGCAGTTGTCGGGAGATGCTTATAAAAATGGAGTTACCCTTTGCCTCCTGCGAATCACCCATTTATGAGATCGTCATGTTCGTGCAGTTCATCCATCTGCTGGCGGTCGCCTGGTCTATAGGTGTGATTGATGCGTTAATTGTGACGTTGGTAAGTGGAGAGAAGAGGGAGAAAAGTAGAACATACTTAGCCGGTCTGTCTGTGAACATTGTGCTAACTCGTTAAACTATTACGATGCTTCCAATAAGGCAGTTCTAGGTTTGGTTGGTTGAGATTCAGAGTGATTATGAGTTCTTATATTTTCCAGTTCATTTAGTTGGTTGGGAAGCGCAAATTTTCCGTTAGCTGAATTCAGAATTAAGACATATGTAATGTCGCTAACTAAACAGAAATCGTATTCTGGCTATAAAGTGAACGCTAAGTATGTCCTGCTGATCCTAAAATTGAAACAAAGTTATGCGTGACGCTCATGTAAAAAAAATTAAACTTAGAGTTAGTTAAAAAGGCATACTATTAGCGCATTCGCTATACATCCAAAGTAAAGCTCCACGTTGGATCGGTGATATCGAAGAGCGATCGATATCCAGGCCCTGTCATCCCTTCTCTTATGGGAGTTCATCAAGTTTGCACCCCTCGCGTGACTCCCACCGACGACCGATATCTATGCGTCTTCGATCCGCGATCCTTGCGTGCGTCAGCATAATGTTGCGGTAAGGTTCCCTTGTAGGAGATGATTCCTGATGCCTTTCTTCGGCGTATGGCTTCCGGTTGCTTCACACATGCTGTTCTTTCTCGCAATATGAGGTAAACACAAAACCTCTCGACCATATTTTCTTTCTTTTTCTCTGTCTTAAACGCCTTCTGGAGTTTTATTTTATCGCCCATTATTGTTGCACCTCTCGTCTGGGTCCAACATTCCTCGGCAGTCTCTGAGTTACCGAAGCGACAAATATTGAAAACGTCAGTACAGAAAATTAAAAGTATTTAAAACAGTCGACTCAGCCATTTGTTCTCTTCCGGTAGTCGCTCCTTTTTTAAATTAACCGTTTGTCATGGTAACTCTCGTAACAGATAAATTGTCTGCATGCAGTCCGATGCAGACTTATTTAGCAGAAATTCAATCAGCGCATTGTTAATACAGATGCTATATGCCATTATTCTCGAAGCGACAAGAAATCAGTTTCTACCATGACAAAAATTAACAACGCGAAGGAGTTACATGTTATGTACATTCCTGCAAAATGTAATCCATCTAGAGATTTAGTCGCTCATCATAATTACCACGTATACATTTACCTTCTTTCACGCATAAAGAAAAACTGACTGTCGTAAAATGTAGATGCTGCACATTGGCGGGCAAATAGATATCATTCATCAGCAATTAGACGAGATCTGCCCCAACGACGAACACTACGACTTATCCAGCGGCGTCGCGAGGTCCTTAGTCAGTAAGCATCACAAAATCATTGCTTTCTCGGAGAGCATCGAGAGCCTCTTCAGCCAGATCGCGCTGATGCAATTCCTCTCGAACACGATGATTATGTGTTGCATCGGATTCCTCGTGGTAACCGTGAGTACTCGACCCGCTCTGGAATTTTATCTCATAAGTGCTGATTACACGCCACCGCACTGGTTTTCGTTGTACTAGTCGCGCCTGCTCCACCAAACTTTTTGGCCTTCGCAATTTAAATACCACAATCCGTGCTTGTGCCGGCGCATTTGATGTACTCCGCGAGTTTCCACGCACACATCTGATTGAAAACAAATAAACTTGCAACCAAGTCTTCAGCGACTGACTTTGAATATCATCTCTTACATCAACACTTTGTTCAATATCGTTTACCTTGACCAGTTTGTTTGATCCACAGACGTTAGGTACCGACGACGGCATCAGGATGTTGATAAAGACCTCCTTTTTCTACATCGCCATGACCATGGAGTCGTTTATTTTTTGTTTCGCCGGTGAATACCTGAGTAACAAAGTGAGTACGCGAGATCGCCGCTAATTCGAGGTGTTCTTAACACTCGCATTGTAGGCTGTTGAAAAATTCCACTGGGTTCTGTTGCTGGTATAAAAGACCAGCCTGACGCGAAAACAAAGCACCATGTCACACACCGGACGGCATGTTGTCCTTTCCACGCACCTGTCTGTCGTTTGCATTGTAGAGTAAAACGGTCGGCGACGCGGCATACGAATCTCTTTGGTATATCCTGAAGCCGCGGGACGGCCGCATTCTGTTGCTCATGATAATGAGGTCGCAAAGACGGCTGACGATCACCGCAGGAAAATTTATGGACCTGTCGCTGCAAGGATTCACGAACGTAAGATTTCACTAACGATGCGATTTCGCGGAAAATCGGCGATGTGCGACCACCGATAGCTACAACTGTCTCGATAAGTCTGCTGCATTGTTGTTCCTAATTGTGCGTGTCGATCCCGAAAGTAACTTTATACCTCTCGTGTCTCATGTTAAACGTGATTACGTTTGTGTGTGTGTGTGTGTGTGTCTGTTTGCATTGAAAATCATCTTACAGTGCACAATTTCTCAGATCGAAATCGATACTGAATAACGATCATTTATAAAAAATCCATATGATGAAGCTTTATGTTCATTAATTAAGTTAATTTGAGATATATAATTTAAGGACAATACATAGTCGACAATACTTCACGGGAAAGTAATTACTGGGGAAATTTTATGCTCGTTATTTGTAATAATTGTTGTCGAAGAAGATTAAGAGCAAATATTATTGATATTCTTCATGTTGTTTGTAACGATACGATCACTTTGTTGTATCAATATATTAACATACGATAAATCAACACACGAATTAACACACACGACGGACTGATTTACGCTATGCTGTTTGATATTTCAGAGTTTGAAAGCCTCCGCATCGTATATATCCGTTTTGTACGCAATGTATTGATGCTGATGAAGTTTAGAATAATTATGCATACATGCTGTTTCCTGCAAACGTCTAAATGTCATTCGCGTTCCATGCAAAATAAATGAGTCATTCCGAACAATTTCGTCATATCGTGGATACACAATATGACGAAATTATTCGCGACTGAGAACATTTGTCTGAGCATTCAGCTGAATTAAAACTCGGTCGACATAATTAAGTGCAAAAAATTGACCGAATAGAAATCTCCTACGGGAATCTTTCCGTTCCTACAACCGAATTTTCATACAAATGGAAAATGTTCTGTTATTAAATGACAGAAAATTCATTTATTTAATTCACTTCAATGACACTAATAGAATTGTTCTTTCCTCTGTAGGAAATTAGATATCGGAAGAACCATTGAGGTACTAATTATAATATTACCTGCAATATCATTTCAGCGTATACGATCGATTTTTCTCCTCTCGTTGGACGATATATCTGAAAACAACTCTGCAAATATGAACGCGTATCTGTATTTTTGACTCTTTTTGTATTCAAAAGCATCCGAGAACAATCGATGTCTCAACGCCTCAATCGAGAAAAAATTTGTCGCTCATATTTGCACACGCACACTCACATCAAGTATTTGTCAGTAAAATTAGATAAAAAATACGAACAATGCGCAGTATTATTGTATCCTCGTAAGAATCGCCATCTGTTGCATCACACTACGAGCACCTGGAGAGGTCATTGCACACGATCCGCCATTTCCACCATATACCTGCCACCATATATCTTGGAAAATTCTTGGTTGCTATTCTAGACCCGCGACGTTCGCTCGCGTAGACGGAAAAATCGTCTTCTATGCATTTTTCATGCGATCAAGCTATCTTGTCATCGAGATTTTTTGCGGTAAAATGAAACATTGTGCAGTAAGACCGCACAATGTGCACGATCACAACTCGTGTAACTCCTCGTTCGTGTAATCATCGCTCGATTGTTGCAACTTTAATTCCCCTCGCCTCGCGTGGGGCACCGTATAACTCTCGTTCTCAGTCGCCGGCAATTGACCGGTGATTACCTTGCTATGGCTGCATTTAGTCGTCGACCGCTTGCGTGATCAACTTACCGCTATCGCAGTCGTTTCAGCAGCCTCGGCAACGCCGTTGACGCTATAACGTCGACGTGGCTTCGCGACGTTGGCGAAGTCACCGGCACGTCGACGGTGCTTTTACGTTGAACGTCTTCTCTTCGTCGAATTGCCAGCCGAATCGCAGAAATCCCGAGGTTCAACCGGAGTAACATTTGACGGGAGCACCTACTCTGATACTTCGGTACACAAATCGCAGGATGCCGCAACGCGAGAAGGTAAAGATGCCCGCGAGCGTCTTCGCCCTCTCGATGGAGCTGGGTCTTCGATACGTCGGGATGTGGCCGGATGCTCCCTGCGCGTTGTTCTGTCGGTGTGTTTGGATACTGACCACCACCATAGTGCAGACCTGCCAATACTGGTACCTCATCCTTCACTTCAGAACCGAGGATCTATTGAACCTGACGGACAGTTTGAGCGTCGCATTGGAATATACCGTGATGTTCTCGAAACTCATTATTTTATGGTTGAATAGTCGGTAAGAACACACCTTTCTCGCGTCACACTGTCTCGCTCGAAAAAGTGGCAGTATTTGTATCATTGTTTCCAAAATACCGCCACTCTTGAGCGAGATTCCATTCCAAGATTTAGAGAGAGAGATCATCTTAATTCGCACCGTTAAATACCGAGAGAGTACCAGGCTCGCTCCGTTGCAAAAACTTAGCCGTCACCAGCTTAGCTGAGTGCGAATCGTTCGTTCATCATCTCGAAACACACACGAATAGAGTAAACTGCCGCAGTATATTTAACGATGTCCTAGCTTCGATGGCCATAGATTGGAGGGAGGCCGCGTTGAACGACGTGCAGATTATGACGGGCAAGGCCAGCCTGTCGCGGTATTTCTCCAACTTGATCATAGGGCTGCACTCTGCTGCGGCCTTCTCTTACGGCCTAGGAGTCCTGGTGCAGAGCAGCCGAAGCGACGAGACCAACGCGAACGGCGTGCCGATTCGCGAGTTTACGCTCAAGCTGCAGCTGCCGTTCGAGTGCAACCAGTCGCCGCGCTACGAAGTCGTGCAGTGCCTGGAGTTTCTGCACCAGCTGTCGGCTTCCGCCGTGACTGGCATGCTGAACTCACTGGTCGTCACGTTTGTGAGTGAAAGTCTGCGGAAGGACACTGCCCACAGCGGTGCTTCCTGTCCTCGCGAGCGTGCCTCCTTGTTCGATCAACGTCGATCATCCGAACAGCGGTCGTTTTCAGGTTCTCCACACCTGCGGCCAGATAGACATCCTGTGTGACGCGTTGAAGAACCTCTCCCCCGGCAAATACACCCATCGCCTGACGTCCTCCGTCGCGGGCGAGCTGGTCGTCAGGCACCAGAAGATCATCGATTTCTCCGACAAGATCGAGAGAATCTTCTGCTACATCGCGCTCATGCAGTTCATGTCGAGCACGTTGGTCATCTGCTGCTTGGGCTACATGGTGGTGACGGTGAGTGGTCGCTCGCGGGATCTACACAGAGAACATTTTTTATCGAATAATGCATCATACTCCGCAACTGGGAGTATATTCACACCAAAGTCCCAGTTTTTATGTGTCTCATTTATACTCTTTAATTTTTACATCATTTATATATTCTTTGTGCAACAGTTATTGCAACAATTATTCAATAGCTTGTTCTTTTCAATTTTGCGACATGAAAATTTATTATCCCATATGCAAAATAATTCCGCACATTACTTTTTCCGCGTGTGCTAGAGTTCTGCAAATGCAATTTGTCACCCGACCTAATTCGCGTGTCATACACCCTCGATTCATTCATTCTCGCATGTTTACCAATATTTAATCCTACCCGACAATCCTTGCTGGACGTTCCTTGTGAAAATAACCTAACCTGTCCCCTTCTATTTTAGCTTTCTCCTTTTCTGAGTGAACGACAGCGGGTTGGTTTATAACATCCTCATCCTTACAGAGCTCTACCCTACGCTTGATACCCTACATTCTTAGTTACCTAATATAAACGGACTTCGTCCATGCAAAACTCTAATGTCCACATTCTCCCCCTCGTGATCGATTCGATGTTGCAGTCGATCAGCAACGTGCAAGACTCCGAGTCGGTCGACAGTCCGGCGCTGATGAAAGCTATAATATTTTGCATGGCCGCCACGGTCGAGGCGTTCATCTTCTGCTTTTGCGGAGAATACCTCAGTGCCAAGGTCGGAACGCACAATCGATTCTCTTCATCCGCACTCTAGAAACGTCTACGATAACACACGCATTTCAGCCAATCTCGCGTCGTGCGTTCACTCTGACGATGACGATCTTCGGGCAACGACAGTCGCGCACTTTCACGTCACAAGAAACACACAATCGTCTCTCTTTGTGATTCTCTCTGTTTCTTTGTTTTTTATATACATGGAAATGTTGCTTTTATATCGAATAACTTGAGTCGATGTTGCGCTATTTCGCTCATAAAAACTGAAAGGTGTGACGATTTCAATTGTGCGATCGTCACGGCTATTTTCGAGTCATTGTTGCCGGACGTGTGACGTTACGATACGAACGATGCTTGAATGACGATTTTCATGCCCACATTCGCGTTTATCGACGACACGACATTCTTACGACACTCTTCTCCAGAGCAAAATAATCGGCGACGCGGCGTACAAGTCACTCTGGTACGATTTGAAGCCCGAGCAGAACAGATTCATTCTGCTCATAATGTTGAGATCACAGAAGAGGCTCACCATCACCGTCGGCAAGATGTCGGATCTGTCGTTGGAGGGATTCACGACCGTAAGACTCCAATATTGTGTGAAGTTATTCCGTTAATAAAAGCCTGCTCGTGTTGACCAGCTAACGCTTGACATTCATTCCGAGTACAGCCGATGCACTTTTCATCTTCTTCTTTTTATTTTTCGACACGATCGAGACGAGTCGAGCGAGAGATAAAAGTTTGAGCAATTCTTTCGTGATGGAACGAAATTGACGTTATTGCTTTTCTAACGAAAAGATCCAACTTTCGAGAGACTCGCTCGTTCTTCGTGTTCAATCTCTCTGTGTTATCGTTTAATATGATTTTTTTAGATAATAAAGGCCTCCGTTTCGTACATATCGGTACTGCATGCGATGTCTTGAAGCTCGGCAGATGAGTCGCCGGGTCTAAATGCCGGTTACGACGATTACCACACCGATCATAGTCGACTATAGATGATGATGATGATGATGTGTGCGTGCGTGTGTGTATCATTAGTTTACCTTCCACAATTTGTAATAAACTACTTAGGCTCCCACGCGACCACTATTTGCATGGATACACAGATTCCCTTCTTGGCACGAGGGGAGATAATAATTCGCCGATTTACATTTTCGTTTCTCGTACGTTAATTTAATTAAGCGAGAACAATCTTTTCCTCAAAGGAAAACCTCAACGTTCGCTTCACCTCCGTGTATATTCATTTCGTCCTATTCGTCGCGCTTTCAACGATCACTGCGCGCTCTTCGGAAGGCTTTCATGCATTTTTAAAGCGAAACGAACTCAGCTCACGAACAACTTGAGTCGTTTTCCCCGAGAGGGGGAAGGGGCGGGGGGACAGACGGTAAAAACGAAGAAGCTGATTCTTTCGCTCTGCGCCGCCTTGTGTATAATCTAGCAAATTGTGGCAAGCGACAGTGCAACTTCATCGTTATCTTCCACGAAGTAAGAATAATTGCGATTGATCGTCGACTTTTTGCCGTATCTGACCTCTTCCCCTCCTCTCGATCGCGCGCTCACCCTCGTCTTCGCCACGTCGGACGTTGCCGTTGTTACGTCGACGCGATATTCGCGTCGGTACTCCTCGCGCTCGCGGCGATCTCCACGAACGAGGAGCCCCGAAGAAGACACTCCGAGATTCGGCGCAGGTATGAAGGGGGTGCGCACGAGCACCATCAGCGAGTCGGTGGAAGCGGGCCTGCGATTAATCGGCATGTGGCCGTATTGCGTTCACGCGGACGTCAACTGGTGGACTTACATCGCGTCGGTCGCGGTGGTGCAGTACTTCCAGTACTCGTATGTCTTCGCGCACTTCGACATGGGCAACTTCTCGGACACCATAGACGGCCTCAGCATCACGTTCGGCTACAGCCTGGCGTTCTTCAAGCTGATCAATCTCTGGTTCAATCGGCGGTAAGGTAGCCGCGACCGCGTTCACGCCGCTCTTCTTCGGGACGAGCGAACGCGACGTCTCGGGCTCGCCAGACTTTTCGATTCTCTGTTTCTGAATCGCGCGAGTGATCAAGTAAGGTAAGGAATCTCCATAGAAAGTTGTACGTCATATTGGCCGCGATGGAGCAAGACTGGAGCGACGAGATCGCGATCGATCCGAACATTGCCACGATGACTCACCACGCCGACCTGTCTCGTCAATGCTCCAACGTGATGATCACGACGAACGCGTTGGCCGTGTTCTTTTATACGATCGGCGGCCCGATACTCCGCTCGACGATCAACAAAGGCGACCACGCCGCCACCCGCGAGTTACCCCTCAAGATGGAGTTTCCGTTCGATGTTTATAAGTCCCCGGTCTTCGAAGTGGTGCGGGTCGCCCAGCTGCTTCATGATCTGTCGGTGGCTTGCATCATCGCTATACTAAACTCTCTGATCGTCACGCTGGTAAGTTCGCTTGCTAATTGGCGTTTCCGGAGATACTGACACTTCTCGGATGCAATTCGGAGTGTCCAACGGAGAGAACTGAGAATCGCTGGGAATTCTTCGGAAACGAGTTCTTTCGTTCGACCATCATCGATCGCATTCCGAACTGCATCCGAGAAAGTGTTGTAAGAAATATTTAACGATCATGCAGCAAACGCGTGGCAAAACAACGAAAGAAGCATGACAGACAGTCAGGGTTATCGGCAGCTCTAAGAAGCGGGTAAACAAAAAAGGAAAAAACAAGAAAATAGACACAAACAAAGAAACAAAGAATCGGATGGAGAGAAATCTCTAATAAAAGAAGAAGAGACAAAAGGATAGGGGCTTTTTGGCTCCGACTCGTTAGATGTAACAATCTTTGACCGTTTAGCAAGCATTAAACAATTCGTTAGCGTATTCGAGCAGTTACGCTTTGTTCCGCAGGCATTTAGTATTTCCGCACTTGGGCCAAATCGTTTTTTAATTTGTATACGCGTTCACATTTCACATTTGTAAAGTAATTTGATTAGAGATATTATAATTGTTTACATATTGAAGGGAGTAATTCGTTTCCATGCCTATATCCATAATAAATTTCCTACAGTGGTTCAGATGGCTTTGAAAACCAACGTACATACAATTCAATTTTCCTCTATTTAAACAAAAATATTCAAAAAAAAATTTAATCAATAAATAGACAAAGCCAGCAAGAGCCAACGCAAAAAATATGAGTTACGAACACATTTATGTATAATTATGAATTCGCATGCAAAAATAACTAAACGTTTTGCTCGAATTGTTTCCGATTCTCTTCGGTATCCATTGTTCTCGAATATTATCGACAAAATGTAACGAACATTGCCGTGAATAATTAAACATTCACCGCGAAATTCCACGAGAAAGAGAGAAACCTCGTCGCATGATTGACGAACGTCATATTGGTCACATGAAAATTGCATTATGCACGTTTTCTTTTGATTATTATAAATTCACCCCTGAAGAGGTGATTAATCTGAAAAACGATATCGGCGAAATGTGTGACGACAGTACGTGTGAAACGCGTGTCTGTCAAGCTGGTTATTTTAGGTGCTACACGTGAGTGGTCAAATCGATATCATACGGCGAGGGTTGCTGGAAATCTCCCGTAATAAGCACGCGTCCAAATCATCTTTGGCTGCTATAAAGCTCCTAGTCGGCAGGCATCAAAGGATCATCGACTTGTCGGACAATATCGAAGATCTCTTCTCGAGCATCGCGTTGCTACAATTCGTTTGGAACACCTTGGTCATCTGCTGCATAGGTTTCGTGATCGTGATAGTGAGTCGATCTCTCTCCCGTAACTTCATTTCTTTCACGATCATGATATTTCATGGTAACTCCCTCCCTTTCGTTCCTCGTGACACCTGTGATAATTTATAGTAGAATCTGCAGAGTTTATATTAATATTCACAGACTCCATACGTTGTCGCTTCATTTTTTTTTCTAATACTGAAACTTGAAACTTTCACATTGAGGGCTGTCGAGATCGTAAAGAAAACCGCCCGACCTTTGAAGACCAATAGTGTATCACTTAGCGGTCGTCCATGACACTTTGTATATTTCGCGTTCGCAGTCTATCGGCACGGAGGAAGGCGCCACAGTGATAACGAAGTCTCTGATCTTTTACGTCGCGATAACTCTCGAGGCTTTCGTGTTCTGCTACGCCGGGGAGCACCTCAGTGCCAAGGTCAGTGTCAATGAGCGTAACGGTAGCGATTGTAGAATCCTTAGAGTTCCCCGCGTTAACTTCTCGAGAAAAAGCGAACGAAGAAGAGAAAGACAGGAGAGAAACTTAACCGGGTGCGATTCACCGTGGAAGCTCGTTACCGTTGCAGAGCAAGTCCATCGGTGAAGCCGCGTATGAGTCTCTCTGGTACAATTTGACACCCAACGAGTGTCGGATCTTACTCTTCCTCATACTGCGCTCGCAGAAGCGACTGACCATCACCGCCGGCAAGGTGACAGATCTGTCCTTGGAAAGTTTCACCACCGTAAGTCTACACCATAAATTAGACTTTTAGTGTAGAAAGCGAATTTTAATGCAGAGACTTTATCACATAAAAACCTATTAACACGACGCATCTTTCTGATTGTCACAGATCATGAAGTCGTCTGCATCGTACATATCCGTGTTGCGCGCGTTTTATTAGCGAATGATGGCTGCGAAGAGCCGCGCTGCGCAGAAGGGTTGAGTTCTCCGTTTTGGAAGACGCTCGTCCCGACGACGGTAACGTGCGAGTGAATATTCTACAAATAAGAACTCTGTGGTTCCTACGCGATATGGCAAGCACTACTTATCTCTTCGATTCAGTTGACCGGAATGCAAGTGTGTGTGTGTGTGTGTGCATGAATGTATTATGTGCATGTGAAATTTAGTTTCGCGAAAATTTTACTTCCGCGGAAAATATGTGCGGAGAAACGTCGAAACACCTCGGCGACAGATATACGCGTCCCTGTTGTGTAAATACAATAAATTAATTACATATATACTTTGCAAAGTGCCTTGAGGTACTTTGAATAACATATGTACGATTTAGAATTGCCCATACATGCGCACGAAGTGACATGTTTCGTGTGTATATAAAAAAAATAAGATATATTACGGTAGAAAATAATATTCCAACTTTGCAGTACAATTCGCACGTTCGAAGCGAAGCCGCTCCTACCAGGCCGATCTTGTCGTCGTCTTTCCTAGAGATGCTTTTTTCCCGCCAAGACAACGTACACAGGTCTCCTCCCCCCGTTGGATATAGACACCTATAGAAATGGTCTTCGGGGAGAGGGGGTAGCAATTTTCGAAGCAATTGTCTTCTGTCTGAAGGCAATTACACGCTATTGCGCGATATGAAGTGCGCCATCTCGGCAAAAGAAACACGACATGGCTGCATTTTGCATTTTATTCGGTACATTTGCGAGTCCCGGAGAACTAACGCGATTAAAGTAGTCGACGTGTAATTACGATTGATCGCGGTCTCAGGAGAAGACCTGCGCTTCGCGAGGCGAGCACCTCCATGATTATTCCGCGAGCGACGTTCGCGTTTTCAATCTTCAACCTTATCGAACAAAGTTGACGCGCGCTTTTGGCGCGTTGACATTTCCGCAACGTCCTGCAACATTCAGCGATAATCGCAGAACGATGAAGCGCACAAGCACCATCAGCCGCCTGGTCGAAATCGGCCTGCGTTTCGTCGGCATGTGGCCGGACTCGGAGTACGCGACTCTTTATTGGCTCATCTACATGACGACGATAGTGATAGTGCAGTATTATCAGTACGCGTACGTCCTCGCGCACTTTGACCTTAGTGATCTCTCGCTCCTCATGGATTGTCTCGGTCTCACCTTGGCGTACACGCTCGCCGGCCTCAAGCTTTTCGTTCTGTGGTGGAATCGCCGGTAAGACGACTTTCGCGCCGTGAAACTTGCTGGTGATATTTTTGTAAAATGCCAACGAGATCGTGTAACCTTTTCTTACGAGCGGAAACGTGACGAGTGACAAGTTTTACGTGGACTAGCTTTAGCGATCATGTAACTCTTCGGGTAATGGAAGTGTGAGGCTTTCCACACGTGAAACTTTTCGCGCTTCACGCTTCGGAGAGAAAGGAGACATGATCCGTCACCGCAAAGATCGCGTTTGCTACTTGTCGGATTTCAAGTCAAATCAGTCTCTCCCTTGTCTCCGCGAGTAAAGAAACTTCTCGATACATGCGATTCTCGACACATGAGCTGTTTCCTGTAGAATATTCTACTACATCCTGACGGCGATGGATCGCGACTGGAGAGAATGCGTAATCAGCGGCTCGTATGTGTCCACGATGATGAGCGTGGCGGATCTGTCGCGTCGTTGCTCGAATGTGATGATCAGTATTAACGCTTTGGCCGCTTTTTTCCTCTCTATCGGCGAGCATATGATTCACACGATAGGAGATGTCAGTCGGGTGGCGAACGCATCATCGCGAGAACTCCCCATTAAAATGGAGTTTCCCTTCGAGGTCAGCAAGTCGCCGGTTTTCGAATGCTTTTTGGTCGGGCAATTTTTATACGAATTGTTGACAGCCTCTGTGGTCGGCATGGTGAACGCTTTACTCGTGTCGTTGGTAAGTCTGTTCGCTGAAGTTAAAGAATCTTCCCTCTGATATGTACAATTATATTGGCATTGATACACTACGTCGTGCGGCTTAAAATGACAAATGAACTCGACAAGTTTGACTATTATTTTTTACACGATATATTTTAGTATTTTAGAATCTATTATTATAACACTCAAGAGACAGACATCATCAAAATCCACTGAAACAGCGATAATTACGGTAATTTTACACACGCCACATAATTAGTGCGCTATATAATTAGTAATTATATATATATATATATATAATTAGTTTTCGTTTTTTACTTTCGTATACTTATGGTCGCAACGGTAACAATATCCTATAAATCGTGCCTGATTCATTCGATTAGCAAGTGGCAGAGCGGCTAGGCGATAATTGTTATAATAATAATTGAATAATAATTGTTTCATATTTACAGATACTTCACGTGAGCGGCCAGATCGATATTATGCGGCAAGATCTGGCCGAAATTTCCGGCAACAAATACGACGCCGGCACGTCGCTGATCGTTATTAAAGACCTCATTTACAGGCATCAGAAGATTATCTCACTGTCTGAGAATATCGAGAACTTGTTCTCTTACATCGCGCTCATGCAATTGCTGTGGAACACCTTAGTTATTTGCTGCACCGGTTTCGTCATCATAATCGTGAGTAACGACCTGGCCGTCGCATCGGGCGCTACCGATGGAGAACACTGCACTACACTTGTTGCATTGTAGACCATCGGTACCGACGTGGGTATAACGACTTTGTTCAAATCCGTAAGTTTTTATATCGCGATAACTCTCGAAGCTTTCATATTCTGTTTCGCCGGGGAATTTTTAAGCGCCAAGGTTTGTAGACGATTGTTCCTCGTACGCGACGTGAATACTCATCGTGATTGTCCGTCTCTATCTGTTTGTATCGTATCATACGTCGTATACACAACGTGTATTTCTTATTGATACATGTAAATTTTACTGCATCATTGAAGTTACATCATCGTCTGACTAAATCACTGCAAACTTTTTACTTGAAATCACGTGTTCGTTCGACGAATATGCTCGCAGCAACGTAGGATTACGTTTTGCTTACCAGGTTCGTCCTGTTTTCAGAGCAAATCGATCGGCGACGCGGTGTATGAGTCGCTCTGGTACGACATGCCGTCGAGCGACAGCCGCATCTTGCTGTTTGTGATACTGAGGTCGCAAAAGCGGCTGACCATCACCGCGGGCAAAGTTGTCGATTTGACTTTGGAGGGATTTACGAGCGTACGTGGCATCTCATCCTTCGTTTTCACGCGCGATACTGCAAATAACAATGCAGATTATTTTCTTCCTTCGACTATTTTTAGATCATGAAGGCCTCTGCCTCGTATGTGTCGGTGCTGAACGCGATGTATTAACGTCGGAATGAGACCCCGCCGCTCACCGTCCGCGTATATTCACCGACATCCACAACTCAATCGGCCTGCAGTTATCTTCGTCGGCTGAATAAAATTGCACGAGTGACGAGACGTCAGATTATTTTTGCCGTGTGAATTATTCCTTATAAATTCAGCGGATCATCATCCTCCGTTTGCGGTAACACAACCGATCGACCTCGATCTCTTTCCCGTAACATGGAAGCATCTTTGTATTCCGGTTTGTCTTTACGCTTCTTTTTTGCAGGATCCCGAAGGAGATCAAATGCCAGCGAATGTTCTCTTCGTCTAGCTATACCGTGCTTGTGGAGTATAAATTTTTGACTGAAACTTGCAACCGTCGTGCACTTGTCCAATCGTCAGATTGGTCATGTGTTTTTCATCTTTCTTTATGAATATATATACCCGACTGGTACAACTGGTGTTACAATGATACGTTGCGCGTTATTTCACCTCGTCTCTTTTCCAAAATCGACGCTTATATTTACCGAGATTGCAGATGCGAGGTCAGGGAATAAACACGGCCGAATTTCTTAAGAGAAAAATGTCCCTTCTGTCGAGACATTCATTTTAAGATCAGTGATGAGAAAATCCTGAAAACATGCAATTCATGCGGTTCGACTTACATTTTGAGCGGTCCGTCCTTTGTCGTCGCAGCGGAAACGTCTTTGTCTTCTCTCGCTCGAAATGAAAACGAAAGACCACGTACATTGAGAAAATACTCGATTGCAACGACAGAAAGAAGCGGGGATCGGCGAAATCGGTTTATACCATGCGCATATATCTTTCTCTCTAACGTTCAACTGTAATGAACGTTCTTCATGTTTCACGTGTATGTGTGTGTGTGTATTTTTCCCCTGCATTGATATCTCGCCGATGTCAACGTCCAACGTTATTACAATATTCGCGAACGCTACTTGTCGACGGATATAGTTCTTCTCTTCGCGACGGAAACTCGCGTTCACGAGGAAATTACACGTTGCACAAAACGCTAAATCGCTCGCTGACTCAGAAAGGAGAGAAAGAGGAATAATGCCCATTTTTTCCTTATCTTCCTCTCAGTCGATATTCATGGAACTTAATGCAAATAGCCAAGGTATAATTATAATTGATTCCTTGAAGGAGTAACTCGCGCGCGCGCTTTGTCGTCTCCGCCGCGATTACCGCGGGGTGCTTTAGCCATCATTAGCCGCGCAACATATTGAACGACATGCACACGTGCGTTCCGCCAAGCCCGTTGATTTTTAACGTTCAATGGTGAACAAAGGAGGATGAAGCGCGCCAACACCATCAGCCGTACCGTGGAGATTTGTCTTCGTGTGGCCGGCGTGTGGCCGGACTCGGCTTACGCGAACTTCCATTGGCTCGGCTACATGACGTCGATCGCGATAGTGCAGTATTATCAATACGCGTACGTGCTCTCGCATTTCGAGCTGAACAACCTCTCGACCCTCGTCGACTGCCTCAGTCTTACCATGGCGTACACCCTCGCTTTCATCAAGCTCTTCGTCCTCTGGTGGAATCGCCGGTAAGTTTCGCGCTCTCATGAGCGAAGCGCTGGTATTAACACCGCGTGAAGGTGCAACACGCGAAGAAATGTAAGTGAGAAGGTTTAAACGATGAAAAAGTAGAAGTGACATTCTCCAAACTCTGGGTAGATTTAATCGACGATTAATTGGCAGAGTCGTCAATCGAAATTGCTGTTGGAGATGAAGAAATTGAGAGAAGGAAATTCGAAATTTTACTTGGTAATCTTACCAGTCAAACGTAGGTTAGATTTAACCGAAATTTGAAGGAAAACATCCCAAGATGTAAATTCATTCGATAACCGTAGTCGATGGTTCCCCTAACGATCTAAGAATAATCGACTGTAGTTGGTCAATTTGTTTATTCCTCACGTCTTGCTGCTTATGTTTCTTGTGCTTACCCCTAAAGTCTTACATATTTTTCTGAGTGCAGTGATTTCAATCTCAATGCAATGGCCTTAATTTGTAACTTTCAATCAATTGTGACAGTGTCGTTATTGTTACATTATCGTTACTCAGTTTTTCTATCATTGGATTGATCAAAAAATTCCTTGGAATCTTCCGATCAATATGAAAGGTAAAATTCTGAAGAAACTTTGAAGTCAATTATTAAATCTGCGCTACGATAACGTAATGATTTCGTCAAAAGTTACAGGATAGGTTTATAGATAGAGGATTGGATTGATATTGACTGTCATCGAATAACGTCACACATACATGCGAACATATTTTCGAGCTCGGAAAAGAAGTGATTGGTAACATATAGAATGTTCGTACAAGAACCTTACTTTGTGCAGGACATTTGATTGCCTACTAAGAGCGATTGACCGGGATTGGAGAGAATGCGACTTCAATCAATCGTACCTGTCAACGATGATAAGCATGGCAGATGTGGCGCATCATTTCGCTAACATAATTTTCATTTTCAACGTCTTTGTCGCATTCTCTCTTTCAATTGGCGAGCACTTCGTTCAGTCGATGAACGAGGACAATCGACTCGCCAACAGCACCCGAGAACTCCCAATCAAGATGGAATTTCCATTTGAGGTTAGCAAATCGCCCATTTTCGAGTGCTTTCTGATCGGGCAATTTCTCTACGACATGGTGATTGCTTGCATAGTCGGTATGGTGAACTCTTTGCTCGTCTCTTTGGTAAGTTTCCGCGGTGATCGATGCGATTCGTGCATCTCCAGATGTAGATTTGACATTCTGCAGTTGAAAATGCACAATTATTGCAAGAACTTAATCTATTGTGAAATAATAAGTAGCCAAATTGGTAAAAAAATTTTTTATCTGCTATCAAGATGACGACCGTCTGTTGTTTTTATATGTTTTAATAATGCATTCCATATTTTATGGTTCCACATCTCATCATTTACAATTATAATATCCTGTCCAATATCATTGAATTCGATTAATATTACAATTAGGAAAATAAAAAATTATATTCTAATTATTTGTATATTTATCGTATGTATAGGTACTCCATGTGAGCGGTCAAATCGATATAATGCGGCAGAACCTGGAGGAATTTTCTAATAACAAGTCCGATCCCGATACATTTTTTATTATTATTAAAAATCTTATTGTCAAACATCAGCAGATCATCTCTTTATCGGAGAATATTGAGGATCTATTTTCGTTGATCACATTGATGCAGATTCTATGGAATACCATAGTTATTTGTCTCACCGGTTTTGTGATCATAATTGTGAGTAATGTCGGTAGTTTCTCTTCACGGTTTAGATAAAGAAAATTCTCTCCTTTTACTTGAATGGTTACAGACTATCGATAAGGACGTAGGTATAACGAGTTTGATGAAATCTGTGAGTTATTATATCGATATAATGCTGGAGATTTTCATAATCTGCTTTGCTGGAGAATTTTTGAGCGCCAAAGTATGTAATAGTTTTTAATATCTTAGATAAGCGTCTAATCTGATTATTTAATAATATATTATAACATATTAATTTTCTGCTGGTATAAAGAAAAGGAGGTGATAGCGTAGGAAATTATAACGTCTTGTCTCTAAAATATTTATTATAAGTAATTTTTTCATTTTTATGCGCTATACTTAAGTATGAGGAACACATACTGATGAGTAAAAAGAATATCTCTTTGTTATATTTAAACTGTTTTCAGAGCAAGTCAATTAGCGATGCACTATACGAAACACTGTGGTACAACATGTCGCCGAGTGACAGCCGGATTTTATTGTTCATGATCTTAAGGTCTCAAAAGCGACTGACAATTACCGCGGGCAAAGTCATCGACTTGACTTTGGAAGGCTTTACAACTGTAAGGCACTGTTCCGTAGATATAAATAGAGACTCCTGTTCATTTATATATTAAATTACTAAGATTTTTTATTAATCCCTTACAATTTTTTAGATTATGAAGGCTTCTGTCTCCTATATGTCAGTATTAAATGCAATGTACTGAGTTTCAGAGAATATTAACAGAACGTTGTATGTATATTTTATATAGTTTCGTATGCAGTGGGAATGGTTTCATCAGTCAATTGCCATTGATGATTGAAACAGAATTACACAAGTTATAAGAGAAAATCGTTTAAATGTAAATCATTGTTGACGAATTCAGCAAATAATAGTTTCTTTTTCGATAACAGTTATGTCGACTGAGTTTTTCTATGAATTATAATTTTCCCTTTTATAATTTTGATAGTGTGTGAAAACTTTAATGATATCCATCAAAGCTTTTATAGTCATTGAATTTATTTTTTATATGATATAATCATTAAAATATTATATTAAATTTTTATATGATATAATCATTAAATATATCTTCTAAAGTTTTTTTAAGACTACAGGACTTTTTAGTTCAAACAGCCCTCTTCCGGCGTTTTCTTCTTTACGTTGCTATAAACGTGCAAATGCAGGATTTTATATGCATTTTTACTGAACAAGCATGCATAAACTTATCAACAACAACAACAATAATCTGCGGTGCCTTCCTAAACGGAATTGTTCCCTGTTATTTTGTTGTTAAAAATTACATTTTGCACGCGATTATTCGCTTTCAAATGCTATCCGAAACACTTGGATAAAGTCTGTCAACAACTATCAATATATCAATCTAAAAATCGACGACATAGAATGATATTATTCATATCATTTATAACGTCTTACGTTATTACACATACGCGCTGGTAAAGCCGGCTCGAGGCTCGCACGGGATAAAAATGAACACAAAGAATGCATAAGAGAAGGGCAAATGTCAGTGTTCGACTATAATGTCTGCAATGACAGCACTCTTCATTTTTTCTACACGGTTTACGCGTCTACGTTCAACGTGTAGTGTTTCTAGTTAGTATATTTTTTTCTATCGGTAGATATAATTTGCTCATACCGGCTTCTAGAATGACAACTCACATTTTCAAAGTAATTCACGTTACGATGCAACTCTGTTGAATCATTCATTGGCTCAGACAAGGGAGTTAAACATGATCGCGTTTCTTCCTCATACTGCGCTCGCAAAAGCAACTGACCATCACCGCCGGCAAAATGATCGATCTATCCTTAAAGACAACAGCATAAGTCTACGTAAATTCTACAAAATTAAACATCCGAATTTTGGTGCGGAGACTTTATCCCGTAAAAACGTATTAACTAAACGTATTAATTAAATTAGTGAAAACATAATATAAAAACTGGACGTATCTCTCTCATTGTCACAGATCATGAAATCGTCCGCGTCGTACATATCCGGGGAGGAGGGCTCCCGTTTTATTAACGGATAATGGCCGCGCCGCGGCAGAAAGGGTGAGCTTTCTGTTTCTGGAAGACGCTCGTCGCGACGACGGTAACGCGCGAACGAATATTCTAAAAATAAAAACCCCGTAGTTTCTACGCGATATGGCAAAGACGACGGTCTTATCACTTCGATTCCGTTGATCGGAATGCAAATGTGCGTGCATAAATGTATTATATTCGCCGGGGAATTTTTAAGCGCCAATATTTAGAGACGATTGTTCCTTGTACGCGATGTGAATACTCGTGATTGTTCGTCTCTTTCTGTTAGTTCTGTTCTGTTCATTCTGTACTACGTCATACATCATGTACATAACGCGTATTTTTTATTGATACATAACTTTTGTAACTTTTACTACATCATTGAAGTTACATTATCATCCACCTAAATCACTCTTTATTTCAAATCACGTGTTCGTTGGACGAATATGCTTGCAGCAATGTAGGATTATGTATTTTGGACCAGACCTTGACCACGTTCTGTTTCCAGAGCAAGTCAATCGACGACGCGATGTATAAGTCGCTCTGGTACGATATGCCGTCGAACGACAGCCGCATTTTGCTGTTTGTGATGCTGAGGTCGCAAAAGCGGCTGACCACCACCGCGGACAAAGTTGATTTAACTTTGGAGAGATTTACGAGCGTACGGACATCTCGTCCTTCGTTTTCACGCGCGACACTGCAAGTAACAACACAGATTATTTTCTTCCTTTGACTTTTTTTTAGATCATGAAAGCCTCTGCCTCTTATGTGTCGGTGCTGAACGATGTATTAACATTGGAATGAGACCCCGTCGATCACCGTCTGCGTATATTCACCAGCATCCACAGCTCAATCGGTTTGGAGTTACCTTCGTCGGCTGAATGGAATTGCACGAGTTACGAGATGTCAAATTGTTTTTGCCGTGTAAATTATTCCTTGTAAATTCAGAGGATCATCATCCTCCGTTTACGATGAAACAACCGATCGACCTTAGTCTCTCTCCCATGACATGCAAGTCTCTTTGTGTTCCGGTTCGTCTTTATGGTTCTTTTTTGCAAGGTCCCGAAGAAGATCGAGTGTCAGCGAATATTCTCTTCGTCTAGCTATACCATGCTCGTTGAGTGTAAATTTTTGACTGAAACTTGCAACTGTCCTGCACTTGTCCAATCGCCAGATTGGTCATGCGTTTTCCTCATTCTCCTCTTTCTTTATAAATATACATACTCGAAATATACATACATACATAAATATACATACTGATACAACTGGTGTTACAGTGATACGTTGCGCGTTATTTCTCCTCATCTCTTTTCCAAAAGTGAATTGTTTATATTTACCGAGATTGCAAATGCAATGCGGTCGGGGAATGAACACAGCCGCATTTGCATCGAATTTCTTAAGAGAAAAATGTCTCACCCATCGAAACATTCGTTTTAAGATAGGTGACGAAAAAATCCCGAAAACCCGATTCATGCGGTTCGACTTACATTTTTAGCAGTTCGTCCTTTGTCGTAACAGCGGAGACGTCTTCGTCTTTTCTCGCTCGAAATGGAAACGAAAGAGCACATACACTAAGAAAGTACTCGGGTACAATGACGAAAAGATGCGGGGATCGACGAAATCAATTTATACCATGCGCACATATCTTTCTCTCCAATGTTCAACCGTAGTGAAGTTTCCTCGTATTTCATGCATATGTGTGTGTATTTTTCCCCTGCATCTACGTCCCGCCGATGTCAACGTCCAACGTTATTACAATATTCGCTAACTTGTCGACGGATATAGTTCTTCTCTTCGCCACGGAAACTCGCGTTCACGAGGAAATTACACGTTGCACGAAACGCTAAATCGCTCGCTGACTCAGAAAGGAGAGAAAGAGGAATAATGCCCATTTTTTTCCTTATCTTCCTCTCAGTCGATATTCATGGAACTTAATGCAAATAGCCAAGGTATAATTATAATTGATTCCTTGAAGGAGTAACTCGCGCGCGCGCTTTGTCGTCTCCGCCGCGATTACCGCGGGGTGCTTTAGCCATCATTAGCCGCGCAACATATTGAACGACATGCACACGTGCGTTCCGCCAAGCCCGTTGATTTTTAACGTTCAATGGTGAACAAAGGAGGATGAAGCGCGCCAACACCATCAGCCGTACCGTGGAGATTTGTCTTCGTGTAGCCGGCGTGTGGCCGGACTCGGCTTACGCGGACCTCCATTGGCTCGGCTACATGACGTCGGTCGCGATAGTGCAGTATTATCAGTACGCGTATGTGCTCGCGCATTTCGAGCTGAACAACCTCTCGACCCTCGTCGACTGCCTCAGTCTTACTATGGGGTACACCCTCGCTTTCATCAAGCTCTTCGTCCTCTGGTGGAATCGCCGGTAAGTTTCGCGCTCTCATGAGCGAAGCGCTGGTATTAACACCGCGTGAAGGTGTAACACGCGAAGAAATGTAAGTGAGAAGGTTTAAACGATGAATGAGTAGAAAGTGACTTTCTCCAAACTCTGGGTAGATCTAATTGAAGATTAATTGGCAGAGTTGCCAATTAAAATTGCTGCTGGAGAAGAAAAATTCAGAAAAGGAAATTAGAAATTTCACTTAGTAATTTCGCTAGTTAATCGTAGTCCAGATTAAATCGAAGTTTGAAGGAGAACATCCCAAGATGTAAACTTATTCGATAACCGTAGTCGATGATTCTCCTAACGATCGAAGAGTAATTGACTGTGATTGGGCAATTTGTTTATTCTCGACTTCAATCTCGATGCAACAGCCGTAATCTGTAACTTTCAACCAATTTGTGTCAGTGTCGTTATCCTTACATTATCTTTGCTCAGCTTTTCTATTGTGTGTTGAGTTGATCGGAAAGTTCCTCCGAGGTACTCGGTAAAGATGAAAGGTAAAGTTCCGAAGAAACTTTTGGTCAAGCTTTTATTAGATTTGCGCTACGATAACGTAATGATTTCATCAAAAGTTACGAGATAGGTTTATAGACGAGATAGGTTTATAGACGAGATAGGTTATAAATAGATAGAGGATCGGATTGATATTGACAGTCATCAAGTAACGTCACACATACACGCGAACATATTTTCGAGCTCGGAAAAGAAATGATTTCTAACACATACGATGTTCGTACAAGATCCTTACTTTACGCAGGACATTTTATTACGTGCTAAGGACGATTGACCGGGATTGGAGAGAATGCGACTTCAATCAATCGTACTTGTCGACGATGATGAGCATGGCGGACGTGGCGCGTCGTTTCGCTAACATAGTCTTCACTATGAACGCCTCTGTCGCATTCTTTCTTTCAATTGGCGAGCACTTCGTTCAGTCGATGAACGAGGACAATCGACTCGCCAATAGCACCCGGGAACTCCCGATCAAGATGGAGTTTCCATTTGAGGTCAGCAAATCGCCCATTTTCGAGTGCTTTCTGATCGGGCAATTTCTCTACGACTTGGTGATTGCTTGCATAGTCGGTATGATAAACGCTTTGCTCGTCTCTTTGGTAAGTTTCCGCGATGCGATTCATGCATCTCCAGATGTAGATATGACATTCTGCAGTTGAAAATGTACAATTATTGCAAGAACTTAATCTATGACTGTAAAATAGTAAGTAGTCAAATTGGCGGAAGAATTTTTTATCTGCTATCAAAATGACAATCATCTGTTGTTTTTATATGTTTTAATAATGTATTCCATATTTTATTGTTCCATATCTCATAATTTACAATTATAATATCTCGTCCAATATCATCGAATTCGATTAATATTGCAAGTAGGAAAGTAAAAATGATATTCTAATTATTTATATATTTATCGGACGTATAGGTACTCCATCTGAGCGGTCAAATCGATATCATGCGGCAGGACCTGGAGGAATTTTCCAATAACAAGTCCGATCCCGATACCTTTTTTATTATAATTAAAAATCTTATTGTTAAACATCAAAAGATCATCTCTTTATCGGAGAATATTGAGAATCTATTTTCGTCGATCGCGTTGATGCAGATTCTATGGAATACCGTAGTTATTTGTCTCACCGGTTTTGTGATCATAATTGTGAGTAACGTCGATGGTTTCTCTTCACGGTTTAGATAAAGAAAATTCTCTCCTCTTACTTGAATGGTTACAGACTATCGATAAGGATGTAGCTATAACGGGTTTGATCAAATCTGTGAGTTATTATATCGCGATAATGCTGGAGGCTTTCGTATTCTGCTTTGCTGGAGAATTTTTGAGCGCCAAAGTATGTAGTAGTTTTTAATATCCTTGATAAGCGTTTAATCTGATTATTTAATAATTGTAAAATATATCATAACATATTAATTTTCTGTTGTTATAAAAAGAAGAAGGTGATAGCGCAGGAAATTATAACGCGCGTACATCTTATCTTTAAAATATTTATTATAAATAATTTTTTCATTTTTATGCGCCATACTTAAGTATAAAGAATACATATTGATGAGTAAAAAGAATATCTCTTTGTTATATTTAAACTGTTTTCAGAGCAAGTCAATTAGTGATGCACTATACGAGACATTGTGGTACAACATGTCGCCGACTGACAACCGGATTTTATTGTTCATGATCTTAAGGTCTCAAAAACGACTGACAATCACCGCGGGTAAAGTCATCGACTTGACTTTGGAAGGCTTTACAACTGTAAGGCACTGTTCCGTAGATATAGATAGAGACTCCTGTTCATTTATATATTAAATTACTAAGGTTTTTTATTAATCCCTTACAATTTTTTAGATTATGAAGGCTTCTGTCTCCTATATGTCAGTATTAAATGCAATGTACTGAGTTTTAGAGAATATTAGCAGAATGTTGTATGAACAGTTTGTATTGTTTCGCATGCAGTCGGAAGTTTCATCAGTCAATTGCTATTGATGATTGAAACAGAATTACACATGTTATAAGAGAAAATCGTTTAATTGTAAATCATTTTTGACGAATTTAACAAATAACTGTTTTTTTTTTTCGATGACAGTTATGCCGACTGAATTTTTCTATGAAGTATGATTTTCCCTTTTATAATCTTGATGATAGTATATGAAAATTTTAATGTTATCCTTCCAAGCTTTTATAGTCATTGAATTTATTATTTTTATAATTTTGAATCATTGAATATATGTTCAGAAGTTTTTTTCAAAACTACAAGGATTTTTTGATTTAAACATCCATTCCAGCGTTTCTCCTTTACATTACCATAAAACGCGGATTTTATATGCGAACGCAGAATTTTATTTGCGGTTTGCTGAATAAATATGCATATACTTATGAACAACAATAATAATCTGCGGTACCTTCCTAAACGGAATCGTTTCCTGTTACTCCGTTGTCGAAAATTGCATTTTGCATTAGACTATCCGCTCTCAAACGCTATCCGAAACACTTGGATAAAGCTAGTCAACAACGATTGTGTCAATTGTCAGTATATCTATTTAAAAATCGACTACGTAGAATAATATTACTCATATCGTTTATAACATCTTATATTATTACACGTTATTACACGCGCTGGTAAAACCAGCTCGAGTCGCACGGGACGAAAACGAGCACAAAGAACGCGTAAGTGAAGAGCAAATGTCAGTGTTCGACTATAATATTTGCAATGACAGTGCTCTTCACTTTTTCTACGCAGCTTACGCGTCTACGTTCGACGTGTAGTTTTTTTAGCTAGATCGCATGTGCATTTTCTTCCGTCAGTCGATATAATTTGCCCGTAGAACCGGGTTCTAGGATAACAACTCCCATTTTCAAAGCAATTACACGCTATGATGCAACTCTGTTGAATCGTTCATTGACTCAGAAAGGCAGTTGAATATGATCGCGTTTCTATCATCCTTTTCTTTCTTTCTCTTTGTTTCTCTTATCGGTGCACTTGCAAGCTTCTCTGTAGAAATAATGCGATCAGAATAACCAATGTGCAATTACGACTGATCGATCCTCGGCGTCGCTCTTACCTTCGACTCATTGTCTCCGCTATAATTTTCGTCGTCATCGCGCAGTTCACGCAAATCGAGCGTCATGCGTTTCTTGCATTACCGTGCAGTTGTCGAGAAACGATGGTCCGCACAACTACCATCAGCCGTTGGGTCGAGATCGGGCTCCGTTTCATCGGCATGTGGCCGAACTCGGCCTACCCGGATCTTTATTGGACGTCGTACATGATGTTCTTAATGATAGTGCAATATTATCAGTATTCGTACGTTATTGTGCATTTTGACGCACATAACCTTTCGTTGCTGATGGACTGCCTCGGCCTTTCTCTGGCGAACAGTCTTGCTATGTTAAAACTTTTTACCCTGAGGTGGAATCGCCGGTAAGACACGCCGTCGCGGCTTCGTTGCATGAGAGCACGTTGTCAGTGTCGGTAGAATGCAATTTTTTTATTGTACATGCAAAATATTGCCGACGTGGTAAAGATACTTTAACAGAAGAAATCCGATTAATGTTCCTAATGTCGGAATGTTCCGACGAGAAATTCCGACATTCGGGAGCTTCCTGTGAAAATGGAGTTCTCCTTCGATTTCACGATTAATGTTGGGTAATGTTCATTACCGAGGATCGTTTCGTGCATTGTTTTATTGTAAAATTAGCAAAAATATTTATTATTTATTACTATTTACTATTCACCGTCTGCCTTACCGTTTTACATTTGTTCCGTTACTATTATCGAAGTAAGTCTCCAGGCAACTTCAAGTGCTCGTAATATTTCGAGTGTACCTCGATCGCAACTGTCCACGACAGATCGCCATGTAAACTACTTTCTACAGGATATTCCATTATATCCTGTCGGCTATGAATAAAGACTGGAACGATTACATTGACTGCGATTCTTACCGGTCCACTATGATGGCAGCGGCCGATCAGTCGCGTCGTTGTTCTTATTTCCTCATCGGCGTTCACGCTATGGCTGGTTTCTCCTTGTCGGTCGGTGCTTACTTGTTCCGCCCGACGAGAAATTCCGACATTCGGGAGCTTCCTGTGAAAATGGAGTTCTCCTTCGATTTCACTAAATCGCCGCTTTTCGAGTGCATCCTGGTTGGGCAGTTCCTCTGCATCTTAACGATAGCTTCTATCGTTGGCATGATCAATGCCTTACTCGCTTCGTTGGTAAGTTGACGATGATTATAAATATCATTTTTATAATCAGATGCTACGATATGAAATGACGGGCATTTCTCACCGCTGATTCTCCAGATTGGCGCCTCTTACATCCTGCCGCATTTCTGTCTTTTGCTCGTAGGTACTGCATGTAGGTAGCCAGATTGACATTCTGAGACAAGATCTGATGCAAATATCCATCAAAAACGATCCCTGTGAGTCGTTATTCATCATCAAGGATCTCGTTTTCAAACATCGGAAAATTATCGCTCTGTCAGATAAAATAGAAAACGTGTTTACGGCCATTGCGTTGATGCAACTGCTGTGGAACACTTTGATCATCTGCTGCAGTGGTTTGATGATCGTGATTGTAAGTAAGATCAATCGTTTCGCGCTTACTCTGTCGTTAATTTATTTACCGCTGCTTTTGTTACTCGCAGACCCTCAGCACCAATAAAAACGTTATAGTTTTGGCGAAGTCTATGCTACTTTACGTTGCTAAGACAATCGAAGTGTTTGTATTCTGTTACGCGGGAGAATTTTTAAGCGCCAAGGTATTCTAATAAAATTTGTATATTTTACAATCTTCCTTCTCATGCGTAATATGTGGGTAATAATCGACATGCACAGTTACGTGTATAAACTATTACATTCTGAATGATTTCTGCTGTACACAAAATATTTCATATCTTTTAGATAAATATTTTAATATTTAATACATTTAAGAGCTTTGAGCGATGAAAAAAAATTTGAGTAAACGTGTTTCTATTTTGAGTTTGAATTATTACCTTTTTCCAGAGTAAATCGATCAGCGATGCGGTGTACGAGTCGCTATGGTACGATATGTTACCGACCACTAGTCGCGTTTTATTGTTCATAATAGTGCGATCCCAAAAACGACTGACAATCACCGCCGGGAAAGTTGTTGACTTGACTTTGGATGGATTTATGAGTGTAAAAGATATTACTCTACCGACGCGTCTGTCTCATTTTTCGTATTCACAGAAGGAATTTTTTTTTCCAGGTTATGAAAGCGTCTGCTTCTTACATGTCTGTGTTACATGCGATGTATTGAATTTGGAGAAATATGATCCATTTGCGGTCGCGTCTAAGGATAAGCCTGAAAAAGTTACATACGTTGAAATCCATGATTTACGAGGCACAGAAAATTGAGTTGTGATTAAAATGAAAAAAAGTCGGCCTCTATAATAGGCCTCTAATATTAATTTATTTTATACAAACAATGTGTGCTGAGATATGTAATGGCCGGCTTGTTCAAAACTTTCTCAATAAAAATGTGTTATAGATACGAAATACACAAATGCACTGTATCAGTGTAGTATATTTTAATAATAATTTTGTAAAATATATAGAAAATAATTCACATTCGTTAACCTTTTTTTCCAGCAACGTCGACTATATCTCAATTTATTTTATCTGCAACGTTTTTCTTTTTTTTCGATATGTGCATCTGATTTCCATTCTAATTTATTAATGCTTTCTTTCTAATGCAGCTCATTGATGACTATATATTTGCTTTTAAATTTTTAACGAAAATTTATTTATGTCGCTAATGCGTTTAATCCTCGTACGAATATGACAGAAAAACGAGCGATATTTTCCACGTGTCTTTTATCGCACGACACAAGAAAGTAGAGAGAAATACGAATATAAAAATAGAAAATAAATTTTAGCATTGAACTGTGATGAACGTGACGCACTCTTTTCTCCCTTCAGTTTAAATCTCATAAAATATTAATGCTTATTACCAAGACGCTTACCAAGCGCTTAAATTTGTTCCGTTGAATGATAGCCGGTCGCGAATAGAAATCCACGTTCTCGGTGTAATTGCACGCTATAATGTGCCATTAAATTGTTCGCTGACTCAGAAGGAAAACGCATATTGTTTCGTCTTTCTTTTTAATCCGCACACGAATCCGAAGTATATAATTATGATTAATCGATGTCCACGACGATGGGCTCTCCACTTTGTTGCTCTCGTCGCAAAAAATAATACAACGCAGCTCGCCATGGTTACGCGAAATGTATTGAGCGGTGCGTCTCCGCTTTTTATATTTGCGTCACCGACTCAGGGAATCAGGGAAAAGGGCGTCAGCCCCCTCTCCCTATGGTGGCCGCTCCCTGTCAGGACGGAGGCGGACCTTGGGTGGGCAGGTGAACTCCCCATTGTGCGGGTACGTCCCTCGTGTTGACATCAGCCCAGAGCCGCGGAGTTGCGGAGAATACGCAGCCCAGGTACTCTTAGGTTCAAAAAAAGTTGTCTGGATCATTCGTCTATGACTCGGGCTTTGGCCTGGAATTTCAAAGCATTCATGACCCTTGCCGTGATAACCACGCCTGCTCCGCGGAGCTCCGTTGTGCGCCGATAAAGTTCGGCACGTTCCTCAGCAAGGAACCCTAGCGGGGGCAGGCTAAGGTCATCATCGCCATAAGGTTCTGTAGTTCCGAATCGCCCTGATGACCACCGACTACATCGCCTGGTGCATCAGGCGTTTGTATCAGTCGATGGCTCTTAAGATCTGAAGATTGGCGCCCCATACATGGCGACCAAGGCGATCACGCCCACATATAGGCGGCGAACTTTCCATCTTGACCCTCCCAGATTTTTCATAAGATTGGCTAGCACCAGTCCAGCCTTAGTAATTCGGGGGAGGGCTAGCCACTTGAAATGTGCCTCAAAGTCCCAATGGCCGTCCAACAGGAAACTCAGATATTTAATCTGGGTCCCTATCTAGATGCAAACGCCATCCATCTTGGCCCTTAGTAGCACCTCATATTATACGTCATGGAAGAACAAAGCCTCCGTTTTATGGGGCGCCACTTTCTTATCCAAAGTCTAAATAAAATTCATAGTCGAACACAACCTAACTTTATCGAAAAGACGGGTCTCCTCTCAGTTGTCTCCCCCGGTCACCATTAGCGTGTCACCTACATAGCAAATGGCATGGCAGTCCTCAGGGAGGAGGGCAGTCCTCATTACCCAGTTGTACGCAAGATCTCAAAGTAGGGGTCCTAATACTGACCTCTGGGAGACCCCGAAGTACATCGTCGCCCTTCAGTCCGGAACTTTGCTTCTATAGTTAACGAGGTCGCAGTTCGCTGTGACTCGAAAAGTATAAGGGAATCCCTTAGCACTCTAGGGTCTTCCGCATTTCCGTCCAAGAGAGAGTGTTGAATGCGTTAGTGATGTCTAGCGACACCCAGCCTCTGACTTCCACGACGTCCTGGACGAATATTGTCGCAAAACAATGTTCTGACGCGTTGTATTGCGACAATAGTGAAGTGGGCCGCAATCCGCAAACTTTTCGCTCTGTGGTGGAACCGCTAGTAAGATGTCTTCGGCTGCGACTCGTCATGTCCCCATGACGATTAACATTATTATAACTGCAACAATAAGATGACATATTTCTTTATTGTAAAATATTGACATATGGAAAACGATCTTATGCACTAGAAGAAAAATGATGATCAATCTCAGCAAAATAACGGTCATTTTCGATGCTAATCATAATGTATTTTATGATATTGTGTTTTATCGTATTATGTTTTGTTCTTCTGACAGGACAATAATGGTAGCAATGAACGTATAAAATTGTCATTAATATTATAATAGCTTCCATTGCTTGAAATAAGAATGTTTCATATACATTTCACTTTGAAAAGAGCTCCGTTTCGTTCTCGAACGGGAATTCGCAATAAATGCGAGGAATATATAGTTTAACAACAACGTTGAAAGCTCATATACATATCTCATAAATACACCTCCATTATCTCCTCGCTCGAAGTTGCAGTCTGCCAGCTTGCTACCCTCTTATTCATATTTTCCGTCTTCTCAGAAAAAAATCCGGCTTCTTTGTTCGACGATAATGCCGTGTAACTTCGCTTCCACGGCAAGATCTCAGAATTTATTAAGAGCTCAAGGTTTTTTCTTCCGATACCTTCATTACTGTCTTCCTTTCTTTCTACTTTTTTTTCAAACTAAGCTTGCCTATCACAACCGACCACGGGCGCCTGCATTTTTAAAGGCGGTCATTTCGCATGATGATCATACTGCGCGCATGTCCCTTTCTTGCAAACCGTATCTTTCTTTTTAATCGTCGATCCATTTTCACAAATTGTTGTCGCGCATCGCCGCCGCCGCTAGATGCACGTAATCGCGATTGATCGTCGTTGCTCGCGCCATCGTGGTGGTCACCTCGTGAAGCTACCTGCCTCGTCTCCGAAGAAGGGGAGGCGTATCGCGAAGTTGCTCCGAGGGATCAAACCCTCGAGCTTCCTTCGTGGCCGCTTCCTCATCGGCAGTCGTCACTCGTTGCGCAAAGACGAGTACGCGATCGGCCAGTCGAAGTGATGGTCCAACGCGAAGCTCTGCTACGCTACCATGTCGACGATAAGCCCCTCGTTGAAGATCGGCCTCGGTCTGGTCGGCATGTGGCCCGGCACCTCGCACGGTACGCTCTACTGGCTTTTCTACATGGCGAGCCTTGTTGTGATGCAGTACTTTCAGTACTCCTACGTGTACTCGCACCTGGACTTCAACAACTTCACGAAACTGATGGACGGCCTGGGCCTGACTCTGGATTACACGCTGACGATCTTGAAGTTGCTGTGCCTATGGTTTAATCGCCGGTAAGACCGAGCAATGAGATACAATGCGAAGCTGCTCGAGGCTCGACGAGTTTTTCTCCCCTTCATGAACTGAGAAACCGAGATCGGTTGCAGGGTATTCGCGGATATTTTGGCAGCGATGGACGACGACTGGAACGACCGCAGCAGCAAGCTGCGCGAGTGCGTGATGAGCGACAAAGCTAACTTAGCGCATCGCTGCTCCAACGTCATAATGTCTATCAACGCAATGGCTACTGTTCTCTACTTCGTCGACAGCCAAGTGCGGCGACGCATGGTTTCCAAAGACGGCAAATACCGTGAGTTCCCGGTACAGGTACAGTTGCCGTTTGACGTCCAAGAGTCGCCCACTTTCGAGCTCGTCCTGGTGGGGTTGTTCTTTCATGTGTTGGAAACGGCGACCGTGATCGCGATGTTGAACGCGTTGATCTTGACTCTGGTGAGTTCGGTCGTGAAGACATCCTTGAGTTGAGCCTCAGGCTAGTGTCAGGTGAAGTTATACACGTGAATGATACTTGAAACTTTTCTACCGTCGGTGATATTGCAAATCAACGATAGTTTGGTCATTGATCAATGACGATCGCTGACGTCAATGACATTGTAACTGTCGATGATGAAAATATCATTGATTTGCGATAACAAGCTGAAGAGATCTTTTAGAGATGATTGATTTTCATCTGGCTGCACACTCAAATGATATTTGAAGCTTTTCTGCCAGTGATGCTGTCACAAATCGATGATATTTTCATCTTTCTTCGATCTTTTACTGTAATTGATTTTTACTTTCATCATTGATCTTGCTCAGTCAATGATTTCGCTCGAATTACCTCGAGTTCGGGCAAGAGTTGCTGAAAAGTTGAATTTTCACTTGGAGGTGCTTCACGTGAGCGGCCAGATCGATATTATGTGTCAAGAGCTGAAGGCGATTCCTTCCATGTGCAAAGCCAATCCGTCAGCCACGAAATCGCTCGTCAGGCTGCACCAAAAGATCATATCACTGTCGAATAATATCGAAAACTTCTTCTCGTTTGTCGCGCTTCTGCAATTCGTATGGAACACCCTAGTTATCTGCTCCATAGGATTCATGGTCGTGATAGTGAGTAAAAAGATTCTTTTGATCCTCTTCATCGGTTATCGAATTTATATGGCAGATTATAATAATAATTATTATTATATTAATAATGGATAATAATAATATGAATAATAATAATTATTAATATAATAATAATTATTATTCATCTTATACAGAAAATAAAACAATACAACGTCCAATTTATCCACTGAAATTTTTGGGTGCAAGCAAGATACGTTATAACATTATTTAACGTGACAATATCTATTTATAAAAAATGTATTTATAAAAAATACATTTTCTCTAAATGCTTATTATCTTCGCACCATTTCTAACGTTATATTCCGCAGTCCTTTGGTATGAACATGGAAAGTAAATCCGGGGTACTGATACAATTCATTATTCCATACCTCGCAGTGACCATAGAAGCCTTCGTTTTTTGTTTCGCCGGCGAGTACCTGAGCACCAAGGTAACCGCGTCTCGTTCCGTTCATCGTCAGTTCCCTGATTATATTTTTGATCATGAAAATATACGCATTCTTTATATATCACTGCTAAAAAGCGATCGTTTTCCACTCACTTCGCACAGAGAAAAATTTTGCAGCATTGCGATACATATTCAACTTTGTAATCCGTAGCCTTCCTATCTTTTTCAGAGTAGATCCATCGGCGACGCGGCGTACGAGACGGTTTGGTATAATTTATCCATCAGCGAGTGTCGAGTTTTATTATTCGTGATTCTCAGGTCTCAAAAGCGACTGACGATCACAGCTGGAAAAGTTATGGACCTGTCACTCGAAGGTTTCACTTCCGTGAGTCTTTCGCATTAAACAAAACCAAATGGTCATCTCGATTCACACTCTCGCTTGAAATAAGCATATCTTACAGAAATACATTTTTATGGGAGTTTTACTTAAAACAAGCATATTGTATAGGGTATCATGATATTGTTGGATAAATGTCTAAATCGGAATCGTATTTAATGATTGGAGAAACATGTTGATATGCGTGTGTCAAATCGACTATTGTTAGCTTTCGAAGAGAACCGTTCCTGTTGATATATTTCTGTCTGCATAAGAACGTCTTTTTAGGTTATGAAAGCTTCGGCGTCGTACATTTCAGTGCTGCACGCGATGTACTGAGAATCGAATCAATGTACGTTGATCATATGTGTATAGTAGTTTCATCGTGGGCGAAGTAGCAATGTACATTTGTAGAACTGATAAAGGTAGATGATTAGCGTCGATTTTGCCTTTCTGTTATCTCCCAACCCACAACCCATGACCGATATCACTTTACGGAACAAAGAGAACAAGTGCATGCGCACATATGCTTTAACAATAACATTGAAAAGAAGTAATTATTGTCACTGTGCATGTACGTTTATTGAAAGGAGCTAAACATTGCAGCTGAATTTCTATTGCCGCTTTATCCCGAACGGAAAGCGATATTTTCCTCCTCCGTCAACGCAAATATCCCGTTAATATTCCAGCGAACAGTAGCCGACGGTCACGTTGTCATCGTCGTACTTTGCACAAGTTTAATTTTCAGACCTATTACGAGCGTAATTTTTTTCCTCTGCCACTCGTGACAAAGTCCGCGACAATCGCGGCTACATTTTTACAGCAAATTATCTTCTTCAGTTTTTTATCTACAGCGAGCACTTCCCGCGATAGTAAAACGTCGGCGGTCAATGCTCTCCACTTTTTCCGAGACGCGACGGAAAAGCGCATAATCAACAATCTGCTTGCGCGAACATCGTCGTGCAGAGCGAGATACATAATTGCAATTGATCGGCCTGCTACCAGCCGGTGGTTTCACTCTCCGTAATAAAATTGCTACCTCCTCGCGTAGGGGTGGGGACCGTGCCACGAAGAGAGAAGAGAGACATCGTCTTTTCGCTTCGCGCTTCTTTCGCGACCGTTTGCTCCCGATAGTTGCTGAGACCGATGATCTGGTCTGAGAGCACAATTGACTGGCCACTTTGACGCATCCCAACGGTAAATTTATGAGCCGCCATGTCGACCACCAGCACCATAAGCTCTCCGCTGAAGATCGGCCTCGGCTTGATCGGCATGTGGCCCGACTCCTCGTACGCGACGGTCCTCTGGCTCCTTTACATGCTCAGCCTCGCCGCCATGCAGTATTTCCAGTACTCTTACGTGTACTCCCATTTGAGCATGAACGACTTCTCCAAGCTGATGGACGGCCTGAGCGTTACCCTGGATTATACCCTGACGTTTATGAAACTGCTGAGCCTTTGGCACAATCGCCGGTAAGATCCGCGGTTATCTTCAGAGGAGAGCGAAAAAGAGGTAGGATGAGGAAGAAGAGAAGCGAAGGTCAACTGAAGATCAACGATCGATCGCAGGATATTCTCCGACATATTGGTCGCGATGGACGACGACTGGCACGGCGACTGCGTTACGGATTCATACACTTGCGTGATGACGAGCAAGGCTGCTCTGGCACACCGCTGCTCCAACGCGATGATGACCCTCAACACCTTGTCAACCGTCTTCTACTTCATCGGAAGCTATTTAAGTCACCGCACGATCTCTGCGGATGAGCCGCGGGGGTTTCCGGTGCAGATGCAGTTTCCGTTCAACGCCACCAAATCGCCGATCTTCGAATTCATCGTGCTAGGGTCGTTCCTGCACGTGTGGGAGACTGCGGTGGTGATCGCGATGCTGAATTCCTTGATTTTGGCATTGGTAAGTTGGCAGACGAGAACACATACACACGTATACATGCACGCAAACATCGAGTAGTACCGAGATGAATGGTGCGGATCTTTCCATTCAATCGATCGAATCGTGAAAACTCGCGAGGGCGTTATCACTCTCGTGATATCGCAGTTTCTATTTCGAGGTGCTTCACGTGAGCGGGCAGATCGATATCATGTGCCAAGGCCTGAGAGAAATTTCCGTCACGAGCAAGTCAGTTACGTCAGCTACGAGGTTGCTTATCGAGCGACATCAGAGGATCATATCTCTGTCGAACAATATCGACAAGTTCTTCTCCTTCGTCGCGATGATACAATTCTTGTGGAACACCGTAGTGATCTGCACCATAGGATTCATGATCGTGATAGTGAGTAAAGCCGCTGCGCTCGCAGCGGGAGAGAAAAAATCCGCCTTGAGATCATGCGGAGTATCGGGATTTCGTGCTTTCGATCGAAATGGGACAATAGCAATCGTTGTAAGAACAACATTGTTCCAGAAGAACGCGTTTCTGTCCTGAACTCTTAATACTCGAGTCACATTCACGAGACTTCGCACACGCGATACATATGTAATTCCGCTGAAATAATTTCACGTACTTTTACGCAGTCTTTAAGCACGGACATGGACGGCAAATCCGGCATATTGATACAATCCATCATCCCGTACATCGCGGTAACGTTAGAAGCTTTCGTTTTCTGTTTCGCCGGCGAGTACCTGAGCATTAAGGTTAGCACGACTCGTTTTGACCTTGAGTAGTCTTTCAAGTTGCCAATTTCGAATATTCTCAATTATTAATTCCTAATTATGTTCCTCATTTTGAGTTCTGAGTCCGAATGAGTCTCCTGTCGTGTAGAACTGCGAAATATCTCTTTAGTTTTGCAAATTTTATCATAAGATGTGTCTCTACATGCATTTTTTACGAGCTTATGAGATGCAGCATCCAGCTTGTCTCGCGATTGTCTCGCAATGCCTTCGCCGTAATTACGATCAATCTGTTCTTCTCTCAGAGTAGGTCCATCGGCGATGCGGCGTACGAGACACTTTGGTACGACCTGTCCACTAAAGAATGCCGAATTCTGTTATTGATCATCGTCAGGTCTCAGAAACGTTTGACGATCACTGCTGGGAACGTCATGGACTTGACTCTGGAAGGCTTCACGAGTGTAAGATTTTTACTCTACATAACAGACGCACAATTGTGTCTTAATTGTAACATAATGTAATCGTGTTGTTTTACAAAAATGTATACTTGTGACAATTCGTATCTGAATGCGTAAATGAGTATCGCGCGGCCGACGTTGATATTATTCCGAATGTGCCATGCAAACGTTACACACTAATGACGCGCATCTTGCGGAGGATACTCCTTCGCTTCGCACGTTCTTATTTCTATTACCTCGGCTATTTCTCTCATCTACAAGGAAACTGTTTTTAGGTCATGAAAGCCTCGGCGTCTTACATTTCGATATTGCACGCGATGTATTGAAACCGCAAGTTCAGTTCACTTTCACCTGCGATTGATGTAATTAAACATGTGACCTATCAATGTACGTTTGTAGAAGGACTGATAAAAGAACAAGGATAATTCAATCAGTTGGATGAACTCGTTTTGCTATAAATCCCTCCGTTTCAGATAACGCTTGCATTCGAAGAAGCGAAGGAGAAACTGAATTTACAATTTGACAAACGGCATATTTATTTCCACGTTTTTGCGCAATAAACATGGAGAAGACGCCATTACATGATATAATTTTATTATTCGTTGTTAAAAAGCATGTCATATAATTACGTCACATTAAGAAATTGTATTTTTCAAGACTAAAACGTCATCAGTTGTTTTTCAAGTTTACTCCCGTACTCACGCTACAGCATCTTCCAAAAGTCGAATGCTTTTGAAACTTATCCACCATATTAAGCAGTTTTTGGGCTCACCGTTACCCACGTCTCAAGAAGACAACAAATTAAACAGAATCACCTGCTTCCACGCAATTCGCTCCTCGTCAATATTTCCTTCCTGCATTTATCTTCTTTAAGCCTTACGATCGAAATACCGCGCGATTTAGTCCCTCTTAGGCAGAATACTCGATGAATAATTACGACCGTCCGGCCAAGCCGCCATGCGCCGAGTGATCTTTCAAGCGAGCAGAAAATGCGACCAGAAAATATCCTTCCCATCGTCGCTTCAAGACTCCGTCTCGTCGAGCTAATAGACAGAAAGACCGACAATTGCTTGCGTCGAGATACTGTCAGCACTATTTCTCGTCTAGTACGGTCGGGGTACGTATTATCAGACATCGATGGAGCTATAAGACCTGTACGTATTTAATGAGTACTCTCGACTCATTGTTATCCTACGCCGATGCTGATTGATCGGTGGCCATCGAGGTGGGGACGAGCAGAGTACGAGCATGAAGCTCGAGAATCGGTCAGCGCTCTCTTTCTTTCTTTCTTTTTCTATCTCATTGTCGGTCGGATACGTTGACTCTGACTTTCGTGTCCGCGGTCACGGCCGCGAATTTCTTTACGAATGCAAGTCATGAGCACTATGAATCCGTTGCTGAAGATCGGCCTCCGACTCCTCGGTATATGGCCTAATGTGCGGTACGCCTCCGTTTATCGGCTAATTTACATGTTGAGCATTCTAATCCTGCAATATTGTCAATATCTGTACATATACTCGCACTTTAAGCTGAGCGAGCTGCCGAATCTCGTAGATAGCCTGCCCGCGGCTTTGGACTACACTCTGGCGGTGTTTAAATTGCTGACGCTTTGGACGCATCGTCGGTAAGACATCTCGCAGCGATGTAGTCGTAGAACATTGCCTCTTTATCTCTCTGAGAGATGAGATTGAGCCATAGTGCTGTTTTAAGGGTTTCTCATGTTTTATACACAATCCTAAATATTTCCTAAACAACAGTGTTACTTTGAGTCTCGTTTCAACACATCCGTATGCAATTTCGCGCATAAGAAACGAACGTCTTCGTTCCCTTTCTCTCGTTACAATACCTGAAAGATTAAAGTAACGCATTCCAGCGTAATTTATCAGATACTGGCTGCTATGGATGACGATTGGTGCATGTCCATGCACGTCGAACAGCATTTGCACCTGATGACGGCGAAAGCGAACGTCTCGCATTTCTTCTCCAACACCGTGTTCAGCTTTGCTACGGTCGCCGGGTTGCTTTTCCTTCTGGGCGAATACGTGTTGAACTTTTTGCATTTAACAGAAAGCGCCAATGCCTCTTCACGGCATTTCCCTATAAAGCTGCAATTCCCTTTTGAACACGCCGACGAGTCGCCGATCTTTGAGCTGCTCTTTGTCATGATATTCTTGCACAACATGTTGAACGGGTACATAATCGTTATTCTAGACGCGCTGATTTTCAGCCTGGTGAGTGTGCTTTAGATTTATCTACCTGTCAAAAATGTCTAACAAATCGCGTCGCGAGCCAATTGTGTCCCGCGGATCTTGTGAAGTTTCGATCTCCCTCCCTCCCTTTCTCTGTCTCTCTCTAACATTTTTGGGAAGGAACTTCTTTTTTCTCTATTGCGCCTCCTTTGAGATCTTTGCAGATGCTCGAGTATGTTTCAGGTGCTTCACGCAAGCGGGCAAATCGATATTATATGTCACGAATTTAAGAGCATTTCTGGAGACTTTGCTCCTCTTGGATCTTCCACGGCCACGATAGGAATGCTGATCGAGAGGCACAACAGAGTAATCGCATTTTCCAGCAATGTACATAAGATTTCTTCCTTTATAGCGTTAATGCTTGTTCTCTGTAATTCCTTGATATTCGTTTACCTCGGATTTCTCATCGTGACAGTGAGTACCGCAGTCACCGCACGCGAATACGCGATGGTCAGTAAACGTGAAAAGAATTTCACTTGCTTCTTACATATTTGTCGTTCGATAAAATAGTCTGTTCATGGTGGCGCCGGCGTTATGCTATTGGTGAAAGCTGCTTTTGCTTCCAGCGTCATACTGGTGGAAATCTTTATTTTCTGCTTTGCCGGAGAATATCTTAGCTACAAGGTCAGTAAGTATTAAGCAATAATCAAAATTACGATTGAGTAATATAATAATATTTAAGATACACCAATCGCTTAGTTAATTGTTGAAAATTGAGGTTTATGACATTTTTCAAATAACGTGTTTTCAAAATTTTCAAATTTTTATTCATGTTGATGTGCGAATAAAATTGAGCTTTTGAACACAAAAGTCGAAAGAATGTGGAAGACTATAAAAGTCGATTACCCTGTTTCTGTCTGAGTGTTGATAATAATTTTCATTGTTCGTATTGTTTTCAGAGTAAGTTAATCGCCGAGGCAGCCTACAACTCTTTATGGTACGACATGTCCTCTGATCAGGGTAAAATGATGTCATTCGTGATAATGAGATCCCAAAAACAAATAACGCTCACAGCAGGAGGACTCGCGAATTTATCTTTGGAAACTTTCGCGAATGTAAGTTTGCCGCTATTAAAACACTTTCCAATATTACGGATGATTTAATATTTTATTTTGCTACGTACCAATCTGTGTTCGAACTATTTCGCTTTATTTTAGATCATAAAAACATCGGCATCATACATATCTGTCATGCTCGCTATGTATTGATAGTGCCCACTACGACGCCACTATAGTTGTAACATAATTAGCTATAACATAGTTTAGAAATTAATTAGATAGTTTAGAAATTAAAATCGAACACGAAATAAGATCAGATACGGATGAAATTTTCCCATTGAGGTTGCGCGACTCTTACACCCGACAATTTTTGCGCGTTTTCAATTATTTAGTATTATTCGAATACACGCTGTTCCCACTTGCTTCCATTTGTTTTACACCAGGATATTAATTAAAATATTGTTACTCGGAAAAATATAAAGCAGCTCTAGACAATCGTCTGACGTATTCGCTATTAAATATTTCGCGAGAATTCTGCACATGTACAGTTTTCAAGGCATCCTTATCCGCCTGTACCTCCGGCGAAGCTTCTGCGACGAGTCAATAATTGATTAAGATTTTTTTCACTTTTGAAACTTTCGTCACATGCGCGTCTCGAAACACGCAGTTCCCCGTGGCATTTATGAAAATTGCTCGTCATTACTCGCCCCTACGCAAGAAAAGACGCAACGTTCTCCCTTCGTTTATTTTCTTTTTCAATACCCACGGCCACGCACGTGGCACTTCACTTCCGACCGGTGGGAATAATTAATTTACCGGAAATTACGGTCATTCAACCGTCAGTCACCGTACGGTTCTCAGTGTGCGCAAAAAACGCGATGATCGCTCACTTTTCATCGATAATATCGCTCTGTCGTGGAGGAGAATTTGCAAAAAAGAGAAAGAATAAAACTGACCACCAATCAATGTGGATGTGGTTATTTTTTTTCCGACGCTCGGTCGGGACGCGAATTATTAAGAGTGGAATTAAGTGGAAGTGGAATTAAGAACGTCCAGGCGGATAATGAACCGTGTCTCGATTCTTGCCGCTATACCACATAATGTATAATAACGATTGATCGCTGGTCAACAAAGTGGGGACGCGGCACGTGCAATTGGAGAGTTCAGCTGGTCAGAGTTCATTATCGCGACCGACAGTGCCGTGCGTGCACTTTTACAGAACTTTCGTCGCGTCTCGGTACCGTTGGCAGATGACATTCACCAGCACGGTCAGCTCATCGCTGAAGAGCGGTCTTCAGTTCCTCAGCGTGTGGCCAGATGTGTCGTACGCTGCAGTTTTCCGGCTAACTTACATGTCGTTCATCCTGATCGTGCAATACTTCCAATATTTGTACGTGTTCGCGCACCTGAGGCTGAGCGAGCTGCAGGATCTCGTGGACAGCTTGCCGCCGACATTAGACTCCAGCCTGACGATCATGAAGCTGATGACCCTTTGGACGAATCGTCGGTAAGATACAGGCGACGCGACTTTCAGCGGCCCCGATCCGATTTGGATGCGGATCGGATTCTTTTTCAGCGTGTGTAAAGTTCGTCCGCTGATCCACGGTTAAAGGACCTTCGCTAGGTCGAGATCTCGCGTTAAACGTGGCTTGATAATCGCGACAAGTTGACGCATACAAGTGAATTTTGCACACCGCACACAATATCTGTAAAGCGACCCATTGCAGCGTGGTACGCGAGATACTGAGCTCTATGGACACTGATTGGCGCGAGTGCGTGAACGTCGATCAGCAGTTGCGCATAATGACGACGAAAGCTAGCGTCTCGCATTTTTGCTCGAACGCTCTGTTGAGCTTCAACACGTTCGTCGCGGTGCTCTACTACGTCGGTGATTACACTCTCGCTCTCATGCATTTCGCCACGGCCGGCAATGACACTTCACGACCGTTTCCCATGAAGATACTATTCCCCTTTGAAGCCGAGCGATCACCAATCTACGAGCTCCTCGTCGTCGCCTTGTTCCTCCATGCCATGTTGAACGTGTACACGCTTACTACGCTGAATGCCTTCATCTTCACTCTGGTACGTCTCGCTAACTCTATGATGAGTCGCGTCGTAAGCCAACAACATCGAATGATGTTGATGAAAAAAATTTGGTTTCTCTTCCGATTTAACGCAGTGAAATTTGGAAGATCCGACGATGTTTAAATTTTGAACGTTTAAAAATTTACAGGTTACAGATAAGAAGATTTTTATCGTTGAATAATCGACTATCCTACACGTGTGGAAGAACATTACGTTCCGTTTTCTTCTTCTTCTTCTTCTTCTTCTTCTTCTTTCTGTCTTTTAATCGAGATATCGAAACGCATTGTTCTCTTTAAACATGATACTTAAAATTTTTGCAGACACTTAAGTATATTTTAGGTACTTCACGTGAGCGGACAAATCGATATCATATGCCAAGAGTTCCAAACTATCACTGAGAAGGTAACTTACGGATCGACTGGGCATGCGATAGGAATGCTGATCGAGAAGCACAATAAAGTCATCGGTTTTTCCGAAAATCTCGACAAACTTTTTTCTTTCATGGCTTTGATGCAAATCTTTTGGAACACCTTGGTCATCTGCTCTCTAGGACTCCTTGTGATAACAGTGAGTATCACAGCGAATGATCGCAATGATTGATGTTGCATTCATTCAGTTTTCTCGTCCGGTTAACGAAACAGGCTGTTCATAATGAAGCTGGCGTCGGTCTGGTGAGAACCTTATTGGCTTACGGCGCTATAATGATGGAAATTTTTATCTTTTGCTTTGCGGGAGAATACCTTAGCATTAAGGTTAGTGGGCATTTAAAAAACATTTGGTATAATTAATTCTTTCATGTAAACTATTTGATGATCATAATACTTGGACCGTTTCGGAACAATATTTGGCAATAAAAATGAATGCATATTTTTGAATATACATATCTTAAAATATATCGATGCTGCTTTCAAGTTGCGAGACCTCTTCGATAAAAGTTTTCCTATACTTGCATGTTTTATTCAAGCTGCACTTTATAGTTATGATGCAAAAATCCACGAAATATATTATAACTTTTCATCGTATTATAAATATTTTGTGATACTTATAGGATACTGACACTGTTTGTAATTTTTCTGCTAATGGGAGTTGTGATTTTACATCAATTTCTGTTTGTTGCATTGCTCCCAGAGTAAATTACTGGCTGACGCAGCGTACGATTCTTTATGGTACAACATGTCGTCCAGTGAGGGTAAAAATATATTATTCATAATTATGAGATCTCAGAAACAACTGACTATCACGGCGGGAGGAATCACAAATTTATCGTTAGAGGCTTTCGCGAGTGTAAGCTTGTGGATTTTTCTTCATCCACTACTTAATACTTTGTGTCTTCTCTAAGTAATTCCAGCGCTCGTTGCAACATATGTCGTTTGCGTGTATACATATACGCACTTCCTCACACATAATATTTATCCTCGTTTTATTTTAGATCATGAAAGCTTCGGCTTCATATGTGTCCGTCTTGAATGCGACGTATTGATATCATTTAAAAGTCTAACACTGCGACGTTAAGACTAAATGACGTAATTGTTACAAGATGGTAATCTAAAAACTGTTATCAACCAAATTATACACCATGATGATTGTAGGCTGTACATAGATACCGACTCTATCTGCACAGGTTGCAGACGCTATTCTTATATTTAGTACGATACAATAAATATTGTTTTGTTGCTTCGTTGTTACATTGCATTATCGGATATTTTACCTGGAGAAAAGAACACGTGTGTTGTCTCGTACCGTGTTCGACGAATTTGTTATATTGAATCTTCATAGTTGATTCAGATTCTCTTTGTCTTGGTACTCTTTCCAGGTATAAGCTTCACAGGAAGTCAAACTCTGAAACACAGAAGGCGATTAACTATCATTACGTTACGCGTTCTCAGTATAGAGGAGACACAACGTTGCTCTTTCACTTATTTCTTTGAAAGAGTTTATAATCATGGTAACGATACGAGTACAATCGATTTGAATGTTTAATGAATAATTGCGATCGTGTTACCAATCGTGTTTGTTACTCCTCAGGATATATGAAGGACGCGAAGATTCGCTTTTTCCTCCCTTTTTTTCAACCTCCCTTTTTTTAAGAGGGCAGACGAGTTCGTTTGCACTGACATGAAGCGTATGATTTATCGAGGTGGACGAAAAGACTATTATCGTCCATCGCGTGATATAAAGTTCATTCTGATTCACGATTGGATACATTGTTTTCATGCAATTACAGGACAGCCGGGCAAATAATAAACTCGAAATATTCAGTCAGACTGCGCGGGGCGTATAATTGCAATTGATCGATGGACATTTGAGCGGAGATACATGGTGTTGAGCTTTCTAGAGAATCACGAAGTAATTTCATCATATTATGCAACATAGTAATTGCTGAATATGTTGAAAAAATCGAAAGAAAGTGCATTTCCGTTAATCTTTTTTGAAAAGCCGTATTCTTATATAAAAGTTTTTGTATTCAAGAGCTTTACTTTACAAGTAATTTTTTATGCAACAATATTTATAAACAAAAAAGTTACAGCCGATGCCCGGCAAGCCTATTTTCAAAAGCGTTCTGCGGTGAGCAGTGCTGTTCAGAACTAGATTATCTGAAATAAAAAATGCAAAAAGATTTAGTTAATATACGATTCCTAATGAAATTGAGAAAAAGATAAATTTATAGGAAACTGCTTAGAGCGTGTAACAGATGTAGATTCACTTTTCTCCGAAACGAGGATTAATTGAGAAAATTTCGTTATCGGGAAGCTCATCCAAGTCGTGCTCAACACTATTATTTTTGTTACAGCGTAATTAGTACATAGAGCGATAATTTAAAAATTAAAATTGAATATAACATTATTGACTGTCGGCTAAACCTTTTCGTTGACTTGTCAGCATTCCAGATTTATAATTTTTAAACATTCACAGATTATTAAATATTTCATATAAACTTGAGTATATTCCTTCTCTTTGTTACGTACATATGAAGACAATAGTACTGAGAAAAGATACGTAGCTTCGGGAAATTATCCAACATATTCACTATTGAATGTTTCGTGTATTTCCAAGGCACCTTTGTTTACCTGCACGTATAATTGAACTTCTACGAAGAGTCAATAATCGATTATAATTTTTTCACTTTTAAGACTTTTGTCATATCTGCATCTTAGAACGACGCCGTTCTCTGTCTCCTCTCCTTGATTACTTCTGTTAAAATTTGTGAAGCCAAATATATAATTCCGTTTGAATAGAATCGACGCTCGGAATTACTTTCACTTTTCAGGTGATTTTTGGATGTTTCCTCCCATTTACTTCCCCTTATTTTCCTTTTATTATACCCGTATGCTGCTGTCTATAGATCTGACAGTCACGCTCCCCACTTTAGAACCGTTGATGTCACAACATTTAAGAAGCATTTATCAATAGCTGTAAAATTACCTGTCATTACAGTTACTGATAAATTCCTATAACGATATATTAACGACCTTGAAGTGAGAAATAGCGCTATAGCGCTATATCAGATCTATGCGTGCGGGTGCAGTAAGGGGAAGGTAAAGAGAAGTTGAGAAGTTAAGCAATTCCGAGCACTAGATTAGAATAACTAACGCAGTCATCGAATATTAAATGGCCTGCGGTACACGTGGAAAACATGAGAATCACTCGTTTTGTATCGACGATATCGCCATGACACAGGGGAAAATTGGTGGAAAAAGAAATCCATTGACGCTCGCAGAGACGAACATTCATCTCCTTTCTTTTTCCGATGATCGTTCACAACACATTATTCAGAGCATCGATGAAATTGCAAGACTCCACTATGGGAAATGAGCTGCACCTCGACTCAGTTGCCCTACGCTAGGCATAATGACGATTGATCGGCGACCACCGGAGTGGGGATGCAGTACGTGGGGATGCAGTACGTGGGGATGCATTTGGAGGATCGGAGATCGGTGTTCTCTCTTTCCAATTCACCGTGCATCCTCTCACCCTCGCTTCCTCGCGTATTCTCGGGGTCGCTGACAGATGATGGTCACGAGCACGATCAGTCCGCTGCTGAAAAACGGCCTCCAGCTGTTCGGCTTATGGCCGGACATGCGTTACGTGACCGTTCACCAGCTAATTTTGATGTCCAGCATATTGATCCTCCAATACTTTCAATATTTGTACGCGTTCACGTACTGCAGGTTCAACGATCTGCCACATTTCGTGGAGACCTTGACGGTGATGTTTTATTACAGTTTGACGCTGATCAAGCTGACGACGCTTTGGACGAATCGTCGGTAAGATACCGCGTCAGGCGGCGCGATTTTCAATTCCTCCGATTTGTTGCCGCGTTCGAAAATTTGACCGACGCGGAGTCGGTCTCTTTATGTGCACGTCCCTAAATATTCGTTAAAGAGAAATGACTTAACAATTAGCTTGCGTTAATGTCGGTCGATGCGACGGTGAATAATCTCAAGTAGAAGTGAATTTCGCACATCGCACCGCAGTCTCTGATTAAAAAGTGACATATTGCAGTGTGGTGCGCGAGATTTTGGCCGCCATTGACTCTGATTGGGACGAGTGCGTGAACGTTAATCAGCATTTGCACATGATGAGGACGAAAGCCAGTGCCTCGTATTTTTGTTCGAGAGGTTGGTACATTTTCAACACGTTCGCCGGCGGGCTTTACTTCGGGGGTGATTGCGCGATGGCTATGTTGACGAGCGGCAATAACACTGCACGACCGTTTCCCACGAAGCTACTGTTACCATTCGAGACTGAGCAATCACCAGTCTACGAGGTGCTCGCCTTCTCCTTGTTCCTGCACGGAATGTTAATGGTATACATAGTGGCTACTCTGAACGCGTTGATCTGCACATTGGTATGTCCTGCAAAATTCTACGATTTTGCCGACGAGCTTTTAGAGAGTTTTTACATGAAATAAGCGAAAAATCCGACTTGGATGTGCGAAAATATTCATCGTGATTGTATCGTATTCATAATATAAATATTTATAAGTCTTCTCAGTCGCGGAAAATTTTTTAGTTGAGTAGTTGAATAACCGATTATTGTGCGTTACATGGAAGATAGATTACGTTCTGCTTTCTTCTCCTCCATTTAACGGAGATATATTCTTCAGAACGCATTTTCTTCTTGAGACATAATACTTGAAATCTTTGCAGATACTTAAGTGTATTTTAGGTACTTCACGCAAGCGGACAAATCAATATAATATGCGAAGAGATCAAAACTACCTCGGAGAATATGATCGATCCCGAATCTTTTGCGTCTACGACAAAAATGCTGATCGAGAAGCATAACAGAATCATTACATTCTCCGAGAATGTCGACAGGCTTTTCTCCTTCATAGCTTTGATGCAAGTTCTCTCGAATACATCAAGTACCTGTTTGTTAGTACTCGCGACTATGTCGGTAAGTATCGCAGTGTCGCAGAGAGTATTCGAGTATGTGCTAATTGAAATCATAATTTATTCAACTTTTCCTAATCTTTTAATGAGACAGTTTCTTGATGATGAAAATAACGTCGGCTTACTGAAAACCATATTTGCTTATACCGGTATGACGACGGAAATTTTTATATATTGTTTCGTCGGGGAATACCTTAGTCATAAGGTTAGTAAACGTTTAGAAATCATTATACCTAAATAAACATTTCACACAAACTGATTTTACAGATAATTATGAACCATAAGAGTTAAAGCGTTCGGGACAATTTCCGATTGAAAACAATTGCAACGGACACGTACTCTTTAAAATTTTTATACACATTAGATTATTTTGTCATTATTTTTAATTTTCTCGATGAACCTTTCTTTATCGTGTATGTTTCATCCAAGAGGCACTTTAATCTTGCAAAAATCCGTGACGTACATATGACTACTTTCTATTGTATTACGAGCATATATTATTAATATGCTACAGACGTTATTTCTAATTTGTCCACTAAACGACAATATTATTTTATTCTAATTTATGTTTGTTATTTTCCTATCAGAGTAGATCACTCGCTGATGCCGCGTACGAATCTTTATGGTACAATATGTCTTCTAATCATGGTAAAGATCTATTATTAGTAATCATGAGATCTCAGAAACAATTGACCATTACGGCAGGAGGAATGGCGAATTTATCGTTGGAAGCTTTCACGAGTGTAAGCTCACAGACTTTCCTGCGTCGATATTTTTGCAACAATTTTGCGTACTTTTGTGGGTAATAATCTGTTTCGTCTTATTTTAGATTATGAAAGCGTCGGCGTCGTATATATCTGTCTTGCATGCGATGTGTTGATATTATATAAAATTATAACACGGGGGCAACACATTTGCCAAATGATGCAATAGGTACGGATTGATAATTTAAGAATTATTATTATCAACGAAATTAAATGATAATGTCACATGAAATGTGGGTATATCGATACAAGATGTAAGTTGTAGGATCCAGATTTATGCAGGACCTAGAATACGATATAAATACTTAATAAATATGTCTTTGTTGATCACTTGTTATATCTCTTAAACATTGAAATATTTTTACCAAAAATATATAACGTGGCTCTGTTCAAACAGCTTCAAACCGTGTCCGATGTGTTCGAAGCTTTAACTTTGCCCAGAAGTTTCAACAACTTCACACATTTTAAGCAGCGTACTTTCGCTGCCTGTGCTTGCTATGATTAGATTTCTATCAATACCTAATTGCTCCAGATCGGTTTATTTTACGAATATAAATTTTCCACACGTATGCAAGATATTTTCAAATTATACCTAATGTAATAAGTTCGAAAAATACTTGTTTTCCCTTCGTTACCGTGTAACGTATTTAATATATTTTTTCTCGAAAAATACACGTGACTTGAAACTACTGCTCAACGTAATTTCCACGTCATCTTTGTTTGCCTGCAACTGTAAGTAAGATTCTACGAAGAGCAATCGATTAATTTCTTTTTAATTTGAGACTCTTGCCAGATGTCACTCCTAGAACGCAGTTTCCTACGGTATTTATGAAAATTGCTCGTCTTTACTCGATATTCGCTCTTAATTCAGGAGGAAATATACCGTCCTCTCTTGGTTTATTCTTTTAAGAATCGCAATCCATTAGAATAACTAATGCACTCATCAAATGCTAGATAGTCCTTGGCACACGTATTAAACGGAAAGATCTCTCGTTTTTTACCGATAGTGTAATGTCACTACGGGAGAAAATCCTCCAAAAAGAAAAAAGAGGGAAGAAACGAACAACCACTTGAGTACTGTACGTGCAACTTTTTTCTTCCGGTGGGCGGTTGAAGCGCATTATTCAGAGCGTCGATGAAATTACAGGACGTGCATGCAGATAATGAGCTGCATCTCGATTTACTGTAGTAATACCGTACAACACGCAATAACGATTGATCGCTGCTCATCGAAGTGGGGATGCAGCACGTGAGGATGTGCTTAAAAAAATTCGTTCGACGCTTCAGTTTATTGTTCACAAGAGAGTATCGTTCATGCTCCGACTTTCGCTTCCACGTGTATCCTCGGAATTGTTTCTAGATGATAGTCAGGAGCTCTATCAGTCCATTGCTGAAAGTCGGTCTTCAGTTCTTCGGCATGTGGCCGGACGTGTCGTACGCCACAGTGCGTCGGATGATTCATTTGTCGATCATGCTGTTTATACAGTACTTTCAATATCTCTACGTAATCACGCACTTTAATATGAGCGAACTGGAAAATCTTGTGGACTGTTTACCGGCAACCTTTTACTACAGCTTGACCGCCACCAAGGTGATCACTATGTGGAAGTATCGTCGGTAAGATATCGCGACAGACAACGCGCGAGTTCTTCGAGTTCCTCCGATTTGTTTCCGCGTTCAACGTACGAGATCGACGCAGAGCCCCCTCTCCCCTCCTCCCAATACGTACCATTTGTCCCTTGATCTTTATTGATGTGGAGTGTGACTTACTAATTACACCGTCTGAATACTAGTCGATGCCGCACAACGTATAGTTTCGCGTACAGGTGACAATGTCACCGCAGCGAGTACCTCTATCCGATTAAAGGGACACATTGCAGCGTGGTTCGCGAATTACTGGCCGCTGTGGACACTGATTGGCGCGAGTGCGGTAACGTCGATCAGCATTTGTACTCGATGACGACGAAAGCTAGGCTAGCGAAAGTTTGCACGTACTCTTTGTTAGTTTTCAACTCGATGGCCGGGATACTCTACTTCAGAGGCGAAAACTTGATTACTGTCATGCGTCTAATGTTGGGCTTCAATGTTACCTCACGGCCGCTCCCCATTAAGTTATTATTGCCCTTTGACGCTGAGCAATCGCCGATCTACGAGGTGCTTTTCGTCGCCCTGTTTGTGCATTCAATGTCAATAATGTACACGGTTAATTTTCTGTCCGGGCTGGTCCTTACTCTGGTACGTTACGCAAAATTCTCTGATGCGTTGATCGACAAGCCAAAAACGTGGCTAAAGCGGGCATGCTGATGTAGCTTTACTCGCGCGATTTAACGCAGTTTACGAAGCTAGCTTTTACGTAAAACGGCGCTGAACATTTTGATCTATCTGTATGAAAATTCACTGCTTACTTTAGTTAAAAAACTTCTTACAACTCAATAATCTATTATCACACACAAAGAATCTCACGTTCTGCTTTCTTCTTTGCTGCTTTCTTTCTTCTCTTTTTTTTTTTTATCGAGATATCCTTCAAGACGCATTTTCTTCTTTAAACATAACACTTGAAATCTTTGCAGATACTTAAATATATTTTAGGTATTTCATGTAAGCGGACAAATCGATATAATACATAGAAAATTCAAAAGCTTCTCTGAGAAAATTTCCTATTATGGGTCTTCCGAGACAATAGGAATGCTGGTCGAGAAGCATAATAAAGTCATTTTATTTTCCGAGAATGTTGACAAGCTCTTCTCCTTTATAGCTTTGATGCAAGTTCTTGGCAATACCTTAGTTATCTGCTTCCTGGGGCTTGTTTTTACGACTGTGAGTATCGCAGCGTCTAGTGCGCGATGGTCCAATTCATTCAGTCTTTCTAATCGCTTAATGAAACAGTCTAGTACTGGTGCTGATGCTGACCTGCTGAGAACTATATTCGCTTACGCCGGCATAACGGTGGAAATTTTTATGTTTTGCTTTCTCGGAGAATATCTAGGCCTTAAGGTTAGTGAATCTTCAGAAATCATTAAACATAAATCATACTCGTCACACAACTCAATTTTATAATTAATAATTAGCCATAGTATTTTAATCGCGTTTGGGACAATTCCCGTTCCCAAAATGATTGCAACATACATACATTTGTACATTTCTCAAATCACACACATCTTGAAGAAATTTGACATTGCTTCTAAGATAGTTATCGTAATAAAGGGTGATATGCTATTCCATACATAACCCTATACTGTACACTTCATGAATCAATAAAAAATTTACAACTTTTAATTATAAACCTGTTTTCTATCAAAATTACTTCTTGCGTAAATTTTGGGACACCTTTTATTTGTAGGCTAATATTTCTACTAAACTACTAAACTATTTCTACTAAATTTCTACTAAAGAAAAATGTTTCTTTACTTGAATTTGTTTTTGTTGCATTGTTCTCAGAATAAGTCACTCGGCGACGCAGCGTACGAATCTTTATGGTATAACATGTCGCCTGGTCATGGTAGAAATATATTATTCGTAATAATGAGATCTCAGAAACATCTGACTATCACACTGGGAGGAATCACGAATTTATCATTAGAAGCCTTCACGAGCGTAAGATTACGAATTTTTATTTATATATTTTCTATTCTATTATATCTATTTGATACTTTGCACCTTCCCTGAGTATAATTTTAACGCTTTATATGTATTTAACTACATTTGCAATATATTATATATATATATATTTATCTATATATATATGCACCTCTTTGCTAGTAATTTATTTCGTTTTATTTTAGATTATGAAAGCGTCAGCATCATATATGTCAGTCTTGAATGCAATGTATTGACATCGCTTAAGACTAGAGCGCGGTAACTGTAATACTATATGGCGTATTTAATATAGAGAGACAATTTAGAAACCATTATAAACAAAACTATATGTAAATTGTATATTGAATCATCGATTTAGGATGTAAGTCGAGGGGATTGTTGCGGATTACGGAATCTAAGCTTATATTTATTACAATGCAATAAATACCTCATTGTCATTTTATTGTTACGTGCTGTACATTAAAGTATTTTTACCTGAAAAAATAACTGGGTAGGTGTGTAGCTTTACATCATGTCTGGCGAATTTACTGATGAACTTTCACTGGGAAGTTTGAGCATCTGTATACAGTTTAAGTGGCGTTTGTTCACTGTCTTTGCTTGCTTAGTTAAATTTCTATTAATATCTAGTTGATCCAAATTTTTATCTTACTCTTTCCACATATTCTTTCCAAATGTCCGCAGGACATTTTCAAATTACGTTTAACAAGAGCTACAAAGAGTGCTTTATTTACTTCATTACTGCAAAGTATGGTATATATTTATTCGAGAAAGGCATGTAGTTGTAGGTTGATGCGTTAAATGTAACTGCTATGAAATATTCTCTAGAAAGTATATGCATGTACAGTTTCCATGTCATTTTGTTTTCCTGCAACTATAATGAAGGTTTCACGAAGAGTCTAATCGATTAAATTTTGTTTCACTTTTAAAACTCCTGTCAGATGGTCATCTCGTAGAAAATAGCAGTTTACTCTTTTTTGCTCGATTATTCGGATATTCACTCTTAATTCAGGAGATATATAGCGTCCTCTCTTAGTTTATATCTCTTAAGAATCGTAAACTCTCGTGTAATTTCGTTCCGCTCCGTTAGAATAACTAATGCACTTATCGAACTCTAAATAGCCCTCGGTACACATATTAAATGCAAAGATCTCTCGCTTCTTATCGATGGCATAGCGTTTTCACGGAGGAGAATTCTCGAAAAAACACAAAGAAGGAGAGCTACAAGAATTGCAATCGCTTGAGCTATGTGTAACGCGAGTAACTTTTTTCTTTCGGTAGGCAGCCCAAACGCATTATTAAGAGCGGCGACGAAATTACACTGCACGTGCATGAAGATAATGAACCGTGTCTCGACTTCTTTTAATGCACGTAACGCATGTAACACGTAATAACGATTGATCGTTGCTCGTTGAAGTGGGGACGCAGCACGTGGGGATGCGCTTGCGTGGGTTCGCTCGGTGCTCCCTCAGTTTGTCATTTACGAGAGAGAATATCGCACATGGTCCGGTTTTTGCCTGCTGGTCAACTCTTGAGATCGTTGACAGATGATAATCAGGAGCTCGGTCAGTCCACTGTTGAAAGTCGGTCTTCAGTTTTTCGGCGTATGGCCGGACGTGCCGTACGCCACATTTCGTCGGCTGATCCATGTGTCGAGCATACTACTCGTGCAGTACTTTCAATATGTGCACGTGGTCGCGCATTTTAATCTGAGTGAGCTGCAGAATCTCGTGGACAGCTTACCGGCAGCTTTTTATTATAGTTTGACCGGCTTCAAAGTAATGGCTATGTGGAAGTATCATCGGTAAGACGCCGTGGCGGATGACGCGATTTGCGTTCTTGCTTTGCTACGGGCAACGAAATCGACCATGGGGTTTCCAATTTTTGCCGTTCATCCTCTGATATTCGTTGAAGTAGATTGTGGCTTACGATGAATTAATTAAATAGTAATTACTCCGTCGAAGTATTAAGACCGCGGTGTATACTTTCGCGTAGCTATGATAACGTCACATAATATCTCTGTCAGATTAAAGAGACACGCAACATTCCAGCGTGGTACGCGAGTTACTGGCCGCCGTGGACACTGATTGGCGCGAATGCGTTAAAGTCGATCAGCATTTGTACTTGATGACGACGAAAGCTAGGATTTCGCAATTTTGCTCGTACATTGTGTTGATTTTTAACGTGACGGCTGGGGCGCTTTATTTCGGAGCCGAAAATTTGACTGCTATCGTGCAACTACTGGCGGGCTACAATGTTACTTCAAGACCACTTCCCGTTAGGATACAATTACCCTTTGATGCTGAGCAGTCGCCCATCTATGAGTTGCTCGTCATCGTTTTGTTTCTGCATTCGATGACACTCGTATTTCCGGTTAATCTTTTGTCCGGACTGGTTTTTTCTCTGGTACGTTGCGCAAAAGTCGCTGGCGGGCTAATTGACTGTAGAAAAATATTTATTAGAAAAATATTAGAAATACGCGACCTTTTACTTGTGATTTAATGTATTTTTCCAAGGTCGTCAAAAGGTCTACGTCAAAAATCAACAATTTGATGTATGAAAATTTACATGTATTCGTTAGAAAACAATTTTTAAAATTCGAGAATCGATTTTTTATTTTTCTTTTTGATCGAGATTTCCTTCAAAATTCTCTTCGTTAAACATGATACTTGAAATCTTTGCAGATACTTAAGTATATTTTAGGTATTTCACGCATGTGGACAAATCGATATCATTTGTCAAGAGTTGAAAAACATCTCTGAAAAGATGTCTCATTATGGATCTTCGACATATACGACAGGAATGCTGATCGAGAGGCACAATAGAGTTATCTCGTTTTCTAAAAATATCGATAAGGTTTTCTCTTTCATAGCTTTGATGCAAATTCTCGGCAATACTTTAGTTATTTGCTTCCTAGGACTCGTTCTTATGACGGTGAGTATCGCAGTATCTCTACAAATGCACGATAATCGATAATGTGACTCATTCAATCAGTCTGATTGCTAATGGAGCAGTCTCACACTGATATTGACATTGGCTTGTTGAAAACCATGTTCGCTTATATGGGCATAAGTTTGGAAGTTTTTGTAGTTTGTTTTGTCGGCGAATATCTGTGCATTAAGGTTAGTAGATATTTGAAAATTTTGAAATGTAAATCATATTTTTAGGCAACTCAATTTCATTAACTATTAATCAGTTTAATTATTTGGGACAATTTCTCTCCGAGGATGATTATAACAAAATATTTTTCGATATATGTAGCTTAATATATATTGGTGTTTCTTTCAAGATGGTGTTTCATCAAGTCGACATTCTCGATAGAAGTTTTCCTCTTTTTGTATATCCCACTCTAAAAGCACTATAATAAAGCAAAAATTCATAATTTACAGTTTTTCTCTATATGTTATATAAACATTTTGTGATATTTGTAAGCTTCAAATGATGCTTCTGATTTTTCCACTAAAATATATTTGTTTTCAGTTGATTCTCATTGTTTTCTCTTTGTTGCATTGCAGAGTAAATCTCTCGGCGATGCGGCGTATGAATCTTTATGGTACAATATGTCGCCCAGTCACGTTAAAAAATTATTATTAATAATAATGAGATCTCAGAAACAACTAACTATCACAGCGGGAGGAATCACAAATTTATCATTAGAATCCTTCACGAGTGTAAATTTGCCGATTTTTCTGCTTATCTATACTTATTTGATACTTTCTCTAAGAGATTTCAGTTCTTATTATAACAATATTATAAAAAGCGCTTGTTTTAGGATGATTTATATTGTTTGCATATTTGCATATATGCACTATTTTGACACTAACAATTTGTTTCATTATTTATTTTAGATAATGAAAGCGTCGGCGTCATATATGTCCGTCTTGAAAGCGATGTATTGACAAGGCTTGAGATTTTGTGGCACTAAATGACGCAATTAGTATGAATTGTCTACCCAGAAACTGCATTAAAATTATACAACAACTGTATAGAATTTTCATACCGATTCCGGTTATAATCTGAGACTTGCAGGTCACAGAAAATAAGCTTATATTTAGTACGATGCAATAAATACCTCATTGTTGCTTCGTTGTTACATTGCATGATGCAGTATGTTTACCCAGAGAAAATATAACGTAGGTATATGTATAATTTTACTCTCCATATTTAACGAATTTGCCGATGAATTTTCACCGGAAAGTTTCGGCATCTGCACACAGTTTAAATAGCGTTGTTCTCTTTCTGTGCGCGCAATTAGATTTCCAAATGTGTGTATGTATTTTTACTTTAAATAACTTCTTCTAAATACTTTTCTTTGCTTCGTTATCGTAATATACATAATAATAAGTTCCAATATATCGGGAAATAGAGTGAGGACACGTAGCTTCGGACTACTGCCCGATGTAATTACTGTGAAAACTTGTCGCGCTTTTACGTTGTCTGTATAGTTAGGTTACACTAGGCTTTTGCATTTATCCAGTCAATTCGGATTTTTTTCTCTTACCTTTGATATTCCTTCAAACGCACGGCCCATGGAACCCGTCGTAGCATTTATAAAAATTACTCGTCATTATCCGTTGTCCGGCTCCCAGTCCCCCGGGGATATACAATATTCTCCCTTCGTTTATTTCTTTCAAGACTTACGGTCAAGCGTGCAATTTAATTTCATCCTAGCTGGAATAGCTAATGCGGAATTAGCCGATTGTTCAGCCGAGTCATCGAGTAAATGTCTTCGAGTCGCGTAAAAAGCGCGACGACCGCTCGCTTCTTGCCGGTGACATCACATTGTTGCGGAGAGAAATGACCGTCTCTCGAAGAGAAGAGACACGTGCAAATATGTTGCGCTTTTTCTCCGATGCGCGATCAGGGGACATTATTCAGAGCGTCTGCACACATTACAGAAAATGTGAGCTAATAATGAACTGGACTGTTATTACTCTTCCACTGCGTAGCGCATAATAACGATTGATCGGCCAATGGAGTGGGGACGCGACACGTGGGGATGCACTTGGAGGATCGGAGACGATACCCTCTCAGTGTATCGTACACGAGGACAGCGTGCATGCTTCGAGTTTCGTCTTGTCTCGTCTTCTCAGGATTGTCGGACAGATGATATTTACGAGCACGGTCAGCCCGTCGCTGAGAAACGGTCTCCGGTTCCTCGGTATTTGGCCGGATGTGTCGCACGCGGCCGTCAATCAGCTGCTTTACATTTCGAGTATACTGATCATGCAATACTTTCAATACCTGTACGTGTTCGCGCATTGCAAGCCCGGCGAGCTGCAGAATCTCGTAGACGGCTTGCCGGCGACTTTAGATTACAGCTTGACGACCATCAAGCTGTTGACACTCTGGGCGAATCGCCGGTAAGATACTCGCGCGGGGGACGACGCGATTTTCCAATTCCTTCCATCCGGATTCTCGCGCGAGACGAACGCGAATAGTTTCTCGATGTGCGACATCCGTTGATCCTCGCTCAAGCGAGACGTGGCTTAACGATACAAGCAATGATGAGATGTGTAATCTCGCGTGGGTGGTCGATGATAACTTCACCGCACGCACCGCGAATTTTATTTCTATACGATTAAAGCGACACATTGCAGCGTGGTTCACGAGATACTGGCCGCCATGGACGCCGATTGGCGCGAGTGCGTGAACGTCGATCGGTATTCGCAAGTGATGACGGCGAAAGCCGGCATCTCGTATTTTTGCTCGAACGCTATGCTGAACTTCAACACGATCGCCGGGGTGCTTTATCTCCTGGGCGATTATGCGGTCGGGATTGTGTATCATGCAGAGGACGACAATACCACCTCGCGACCGTTTCCCATCAAATTGCTGTTCCCCTTGGAGGCCGAGCAATCGCCGATCTACGAGCTGCTAGTCGTCGTCGTGTTTGTGCACGTCATGTTAAATACGTACACGGTTGCGATTCTCAATGCGTTGATCTTCACTTTGGTATGTCTCGCAAAGTTCTCCAACGAGTTGGCGACAGGTCACCAATTGAATAATAATGTAGCTTCGTTTGCGGCTTCACTTAATTCGTATAATTCACTTTTATACAAGTCGTGGCATGGATATGTAAGATTGCTTCGAAAATGTTGAAAATTATTTGCGTCACCGGTCGGGCCATTTTTTTTTATAGGAATAACTAGTTATCGAAACACGTAGTATGAACGAATATTACGTTGTGCCTTCGGCGGCTTCTTTTTCTTTTAATAGAGACATCTCAGATTCAGAATGTGTTGTCTTCTTTGAACGTAATATTTGAAGTCTTTGCAGACACTTAAGTATATTTTAGGTACTTCATGCAAGCGGTCAAATCGATATCATATGTCAAGAGTTCAGAAACAACTCTGAGGAAACGTCACATTACGGGTTTTCTAGATATACGATAGGAATGCTGGTCGAAAGGCACAATAAAGTCATCTCGTTTTCCGAGAACATCGATAAACTTTTCTCCTTCATGAGTGTGATGCAAGTTTTTTGGAACACCTTGGTTATCTGCTGCTTAGGACTCGTCGTTATGACAGTGAGTGTCGCAACATCTGTACGAACACGCGAGGTAATCGATATCGTGATTCATTCAATTGATCTGATTGCTTAATGAAACAGTCTATTCATGATGAAACTGGCGTCGATTTAGTGAAAACCATATTTGCTTACTGCGCCATAATGATGGAAATTTTTATCTTTTGCTTTGCCGGGGAATATCTCAGTTTCAAGGTTAGTGGATAATTACAAATAATTTTCCTCATTAACCTAGTTTGATAATTTATTACCGACCACAGCAATTCAATCATTTAGGCAAATTTTCATTGAAAACATTTACGGCATACATATTTGGAAAAATAGGTATATCTTAAATCGATATTATTTTTATATTGAGATAAAAGGTTTTCTTTACTTTTGTATTTCATTCAAATTGTGTAATAATTATCATGCAAGTATTTATGATGTAAATCATAATTTTCCATTGCATCGTAAATAACTTTTGAGATATCTGTAGGATACAAACACTTTTTTCTTAATTTTTGTGCTAAAGGAAGATGTTTTATTTGAATTTCTATTTTTTGCTATGTTCTCAGAGTAGATCACTCGCCGATGCCGCGTACGAATCTTTATGGTACAACATGTCTCCTAATCATGGCAAAAATGTGTTATTCATAATCATGAGATCTCAAAAACAACTGAATATCACGGCTGGAGGAATGACGAGTTTATCGTTAGAGGCCTTTGCGAGTGTAAGTTTGCAGACTTTTTTCATCTATAATTATTCAATATTTTATACTTGACCCGAGATGCCTCTCTCTTTCACGTAAAATAATTTCTCTGATCGTATTTTAGATCATGAAAGCGTCAGCATCGTATGTGTCTGTCTTGCATGCAATGTATTGATAGCATTTAAGATATACCACCAAATAGTGCAATTAGTGTGAGATGATAATTTAGAAACTGTTATCAATAAAATTATGCAATAATTGTAAATTAAATTTTTACATCGACTCAGCATATGATCAAGAAAGTTTGCAGACTACAAAGTCTACTCTTATATTTAATATCGTACAATAAATACCTTTTGATTGTTCATTTATATAATGTGTATAAAAATATTTTTACCTAGAAAGAATCACGTAGTCTTTTACAACGTATATTTATCGTTGAATGCACCATGCGTAGATAACGTCTTTTTGTTGGCTCTGTTCGCAACTTGATTTTTCCGTATGTGTCTGGCCAATTGAGACCTTCTTATTTTTGATATTCCTTCTACGTGTGCGCTCGGCAGCATGTCAATGCCTGAAACATTGATGAAAATTACTTGTTATTACGTTACGTGTCCCAAGTGTAAAAGAGAAATTCAATGTTTCTCCCTCTCATTTATGTCTTTCAAGGGTTTCGTATAATCACACGGCTACAATACGAGCCCGATTGGCTTGAATGCGTAATGTGTAATTGCGACCATTCAGCCGAGTTTCCATACGTTAAGGATATTGTAAAGAACGAGATACGATTTACATCTAAATTCCGGCTAAAATTATATAACTTATAATAATAACTTATAATAATAATAAACTTATAATAATAATGCAGCAAATTGCAAGCATGATGCAAATTAAAATCATCCCTCTTGCCATTTGTCATGTCACAGTAAAAATATCCTGTTATGCAGGAAAACAGGAATGAATATCCATAATGTTAAAATCCTTGCCGATTCTTACGATAGCGCGTCATTTACGCGTTCTCCACCTCGAGAATTTTCTCTCTCCACTTCGCGATATTTTTTCGTTCCTCTCGACGATATTATAGGTAATATGCCGTTAGATATAGCTAAGCTCGTGCCCGGCGAGAGACATGCATTCTTAACAGAAAAAAACGCCTCGCCACTGCAATACGGCAATAGCGAGTATGTTGATCGTTTTTGCTCCCGAGCTTGCAATCTTAAAGTGCAATCGGAGAAACGCATGACGCTAGCGTAATTATGCGAGATCAATATGCGTCCGAGAAGAGGCCCTACCGCGCTTCGTTATTCACCCTTTGGCAATCAGTCAGTTGTCTCGTCGTCATCACGCGACGTCATATCGGATCAATCGATGCGAATGTTTTGCATGATAATTGGCGACTCGTCTGACGACGGACGATCTAGCGAAACAGACAGAGGATTGCACGATGACTACAACGCGTATGACAACCGTGAGCATCCCCGTGGAGATGGGTCTTGGATTTATCGGCATATGGCCGGACTCGCCTTACGGCAATTTCCAGTGGTTCGTCTATATGACGTTGGTGGTGATAGTACTGTACTTTCAGTACACGCATATCTTCAAGAATTTCGACATGAACGACCCCTCGGTGCTTATTGACGCGTTGAGCATTAACCCTGGCCTATATTCTAGCTTTTTTGAAGTTGGTCAGCCTTTGGCTAAATCGCCGATAAGCTAACGATCCGCCGATGACAATCGACGCGTTTCCTTCCGACGGTGAAAAGCTCTAAAAAGATCGCGTGAACAATCTTTCATCATTTTTATAATTCGTTAGAAAGATTGTTATTGGACAAATTTCATAAAGAATATTATTATATATGTATTATATAAAAATCATTAATGCAGATAAATTTGGAAACTACGCTGAGAGAAAAAATATCTAAAAAAGAAAATGTCGATGGATGCTAATAACAGGTTTAATTATTTTACTATACATCTTTTTACGCTGAGGAAACATTTTCTTCGAAGTAAAAAAAATATACATCTTCTTAAAACCGTAGATTTTTTTATGAAAGCAATTGTTCGTTCTATTTGAATGGAAGAATCTAGTTGAGTGAATATGTTAGTACCCATCGAATAAACATTTTTAAAATTTTTAAGTATTTTTCTACACAATATGATATTGTTTCGTTTCTCTACCATCTCTTTTATCTCGTGCATCTTTCGCTGTTCTACTTGATTTGTTTTCTTTCATTATGATTGCATGTGTGAGAAGAGAAAGGCTTATACTTGTTGGCTTGAGTTTTGCTTACAAATCTTCTGCTTTCTTCCGTTTTACTGAGCTTTGATGGCACATCAATTTATTTTTGTCTTACGAAATGTTCGAGTCGTCGCGTCATCGTGTGGCGAATATTTTCCCTTTCACGTTATATCCCTGCAGAGTATTCCACGAGATCTTGACGACGATGGACGAGGATTGGAAGGAGTACATCACGACCGACTCGCGCGTGTACCCGATGGTAATCTATGCCAATCTGTCGCGCCGATACTGTAATATTTTAATGTCCATCAACGCCTCAGCCGCTATCTTCTACGCCCTCGGAGGCTTCGTTCGGCGCTCCGCGAAGGACGAGGACAATCCTCGAGGGACCAAATTCGATTTTCCCGTCCAAATGGATTTCCCATTCGAGGTTAACGAGTCTGCTATCTTCGAGATCACGGCGATGGTCCAATTTCTTCATGAATTGTCGCTCTCCTCTCTGGTAGCGATGATCAATTTGCTGATCGTTGGTGAGTTAATCAGCTGTTTCGCTAATTCTTACTTAACGTCAGTCTTTAGAAATGTCCGTGCGATGGAGATGGGGCAACTCGCGTAGAGTATAAGCAATAACTGTACAAGCTGAAAACACAGAAAGGAAGACAGAGAAAGAGAAAGGGACACTCGGACGATTGTGTGTTTGTAACAAATTCAGTACTCGTAGATCCTTCACGTGAGTAGCCAGATTGAGATAGTGCGATAAGGTCTGACGAAAATATCCTCGGAAAGTTATGAGAACATCCCGTTTCCGTCGGAGATGAAGGTACTCATCTTAAAGCATCAACGAATCATTACGTTGTCCGACAATATCGAGGATCTCTTCTCCTGGATCGCATTGATGCAGTTTCTATCGAATACTCTGGTCATCTGTTATCTGGGATTTATGATTATCATCGTGAGTACAGAACTCGATGCGAATTCAACGGAGGAGAGTCGTAGTGTTGTTTTGTTTTCTTTTGTATTGATTTTTTTCTATTAATTTTTTACTAATTATATATCCACGTATCTGCACTTTTATGACTCTCGCTTGAGTATTGCCGCATTCAGTTACCTCGAATAATTATTTCAAGCGACAGCCGCTCTCGCAAGAGCCCGATAGCGCGCGAATTTTTGTCTCCGCACCTCGTTGCTCGCATAACAGACTTACAATGTCCGTTCATCGATCTTGCAGACCATCGTTAACAAGCTGGGAACCGTAGAATTAACGAAGTCCATCTTATTTTACGTCGCGATCACGCTGGAAGCGTTCGTCTTCTGCTTTGCCGGAGAGTATCTCAGCGCGAAGGTCACCACATTTACTAAATTGTGTCTTACCTTCAGAGTAATTTCTCTTTATTTTAGCGCGAGCTGTCGTTACGTGGACGAAAATTGCGTTGCATTACGCGTTGCGTTTCACTCGCAACTGTCGCTTAAATTTGTTTCTCCTTTGAATTTTATCTGTAATACCTCCAACCTCTCAGATATCCGCGAACGACGCCTCGCGCGCCGTCGTCTCTCTCGTCTTCGAATTCAGCTGCATGATTTTCAGAGCAAATCGATCGGTGATGCCGCTTCCGTCTGGTACGACATAACGCCCAGCCAGTGTCGGACTCTCTTATTCGTGATTGTGCGGTTACAAAAGAGACTGACGATCACGGCCGGAAAAATGATGGATCTTTCACTGGAGGGATTCACCAGCGTAAGGCTCGTTCTTATGTAACAGGGTCGCTATTAGGCGCGTCTTGGAGTGAAAGTTGAAAGCCGATCGTGCGAACAATCGGCGATGCAAGCGACGATCGCGTCCGAGTGCATTTTTTTGCGACACGCATATATGAGAAATATTTGCAGTAAAAATAACACATCTTCCCGCAGATTATGAAAGCTTATGTCTCGTATATATCGGTGTTGCACGCGATGTACTGAAGTTCGCCGGGAATTTTGAAAGGCGAAACGCGCGAACGCAGACGGCGAGTCGCACTCTCTCGTCCGCCAACGACGAAATCGACTGTAGGAGGACGTGGGGAAAAGCGCGAGATCTGCTTCCTGAAATGCGACGATCGATCATTAGCACGACGATGACGCGATCTTGATGATGCAGCGTGGATGCTTGCGCGCCCGCTTCTTTCGTATCACCCGCGGAAGAAAGAAACACGCTCGACTCAGGAGCCTAACGTCCGTCTGAATCGCGTTATTCTCAGTCGTAAATCAACGTCTTTCGTTTTTAATAAACTACTGACACTCGTGACGTAAGCCAACATGTTTTGTATATTTCCGAATACACTAACACATTGCGTGCCAAAGTTGCCTCTCACTAAGATTCCTCCCCGGGGTTTTCGCTTCAGCCGTCGTTATTTTCCACCTCTAAACGTCACTTTATGCTAATCGTCGGAATTCGTTTTTGTACTAATTGTTTCATCACTCGTGATCTTAAGACCCCTCAGATAAAACTTTACGACGTGGCACCGGTCGAACTGTCAGCGTCGTTCATTCACGAATGACGTGGCATTCAAGCGTGTTAAGGTACACGACATCATGATGTAATTAGTGAACATATAGTGGAATAAACAATAACGAATAATTAGTAAGCAATAAATACCTCCTCTCTCGAGCAGTCCTGATGTGTGACATTAAATTTCTCTTAAATTTCGCACGACACTTCGACACTTCGGGACGATCTTCCCGCGACATTCTCCCTTTTTGTTTTGTTTCCTTCCTCCACATGCTCATTTCCCGCGGCTTTCTTTCGGTATAGCTGCATCCCGCCATCGCACATGCGCGATATCTCTGAAGACTACATTTTCTAATCAAAATATCCCCGTGTCCCCTTCGCGACGTCCGATGCGCGCATCTCCGCGAATTATTATTCTCTCCCGCCGACGACAACCCGTAATCATCGGCGATACGTAGCGTACGCGCTTTTTCTGTCTCGCCGTCGCATTAAGCACGACGGAAACGCGCGCGTAATTGCGATTAATCGATAACGAACCGGCTGTCGAGGGTCGACGTATTGCTACCTCGCGCAGCTCGGCCGCTGTGGTAGCTTTCAACTGGCCGAAACTCATGTTTAATTTCCGACCACCGAGTCGCTCACCCAGTAATCGTTCACTTCCGACATAATAGGGAGATAGAGTGAAAGAGAAAGAAAGAAAAAGAAAGAGCGAGAGAGGAAACGAAGTTGGCCAACCGATTCATACGAGACAATGCGCTCGGCTTCCATCAGCACTTCCGTCGAGATCGGCCTGCGCCTTGTTGGCATCTGGCCGGGCCTGTCATACGGGAACTTTTATTGGTCCGCATACATGACGAGTCTGGTGGTTGCGTTGTACTTTCAATACGCGTACATTCTCGATCATTTCGATGTGCACAACATCTCGAACCTCATCGACGCGCTCAGCATCACGCTGGCGTACAGCCTCGGCTTCCTCAAGCTGATCTCTCTCTGGTCGAACCGCAGGTGAGAGACCCGCTTCTTCTGCCCCCTCCGGCGAACAGGGAAAGAGGAGACCGGCGAGGACGCAAAGTACGATTTTGCTGCAGGATATTTTGCGATATCCTGCTGACGATGGACAAGGATTGGAGGGATGCGTCGGCGTACGATAACAACTATGATAACTCGCTGCTGTGCATCATGACGGACAACGCAAGTCTGTCGCGACGCTGCTCCAACATGTTGATCAGTATCAACGCCACCGCCGCGACGTGTTACGCCATGAGCGGCCTGATGCGGCAGTCGGGCGACCTTAAAGAGGACCTCAACGTTAGCTCGAGAGAGCTGCCTATCAAGATGGAGTTCCCTTTCAAGGTCGACGCGTCTCCGCTCTTCGAGTTCTTGGTGGTCGTCCAATGCCTCCATGAGGTGTCAATCGCCGCTTTGGTCGCTACGATAAACTCCTTGGTCGTCACGCTGGTGAGTTGTTACATGAGACTAGTCTCGAATCAGTCAGGTGTGAGTTTCTTAGTTCTGAATCGCGATGACAAGTATAATAAAAAGTACCATTTATGTCATATAATTCAAAGCTCAGGTCCGGCTGTGTGAATTCAGGTCTGGGTGTTTCAGATGAGCCTAATGAGACGCAAGTCACAACTGTTGACAAAAATCTGAGTTACCTGCATTTCTTCGTAGTCGTCGCTTGAAACTTATTTCACGTGGAACTGACTCGCGTCCGAGTTTAGATTCTAACATACGTTATGTACGTCACGTGTGATTCAACTCAGAACCTGAGACCTAACTTTGAGCATAGATCCAGCTGTCCAGCTATCGTGAGACGAGTTTTAAGCAACGACTATAAACATAGAAGTAAGCTCTACAGACGAGACGAGTTTACCTCTCTCTTTCAATTCTCTTTTTTAACTTGCCGGGTTGATGTCCGAGGATTTTCGCTGACTATGATGCGAAAAGACGATATTTATCGGTCATTAATAGTCTCATTTAGGTGCTGCACGTGAGCGGACAGATCGACATCCTGCGCAGGCAATTATCAATGATCCATTACGACGCGTCTCGGCCGCATGAGTCGATCGTTGCCAATATAAGGCTGCTGGTCGCCCGGCATCAAAGAATAATAACGCTGTCGGATAACATCGACGAGCTCTACTCGAGCATAGCGCTGATGCAGTTCATGTCGAATACCGTGGTTATCTGTTGCATCGGCTTCACGTTCATCAGCGTGAGTAGTCCGGTCGATTGATCCAACGTAATTCGTAGCACGTAACTAAATTTTCGAAATATTTTCGGGGCTATCGTCATCGTTCCGCCGTAGTCTTTCGCCGAGGTCGGCGTCTCCTTGGTGTTGATGAAGTCAGTTATCTTTTACATTGCCGTGACGCTGGAAGCCTTCATCTTTTGCTTCGCCGGGGAATATCTGGGCGCTAAGGTTCGCACGTTATTCCGCTCCATTACGGCACTATTATGATTTACGGTCTTCTCGCGAGCAACTTCCACGCCTCATCTCGTCAGTAGAGAACTCGATTGATCGACAGCACTTGATCGATCTGCAATCACGCCATTCTTTTAGAGCAAATCGATCGGCGACGCGGCGTACGAATCGCTTTGGTATAAAATGACACCCGCCGAATGCCGGTTCCTGTTACTTTTGATACTGAGGTCGCAGAAGAGGTTGACGATCAGCGCCGGGAACGTCATGGATCTCTCCTTGGAAGGATTTACGACCGTAAGAGGAGTCATGTTTTTATTGCATTTATGCTTATTACATACACCGCGCGAACCGAGAGACAAGCAGCCCGGTTTGCGAGACAAGACTCGTTAAGACAGAGCGGGGAATAATCGGCCGCTCGTTAAGCCAGCGAAATTCATCGTTTTATTTCGGCCAGGTGATGAAGGCGTCCGCCTCGTACATATCGGTGCTTCACGCGATATATTAAGCTGAAGATCGGAAGATTACGACCATTCTCTCTCATCCATCGCGGTCGTGGACGTATCGAGCGGTAAGAAGTGTAACATCATACGCGGCCATTTTGAGACGAGCTGCGTTTGACAAGAAGAAAGCAACTTGCGAAAAATTGCGAGGCAAACGGCTGTTTTTCGGGGAGCGGTCACAGCAGCGAAAGTCGCGGACGGAGCTTTCGTCTCGGATGATTAGAGGCTGCAAGAGATTTGCAGACAGCTTTATGGCAATCTTGAAAACCTTAGATTATTATGCAATATTAGTTGTGAATACCTTGATTTTATATTCATTGTTTTCATCTCGAAGTGAATTAGTAGATTTAATAATAGCGACGTTTCTGGCACTGTGTTATTGTTTCTCCTTCTCTTCATTAATTTGATTCATCTCTCTCTCTCTCTCTCTCTTTCTCTCTCTCTCTCTCTCTCTCTCTCTCTCTCACCCATTTGTTATTTTCTTTATATTATACACAGCGCAGTTGTTGTTCGCTTTTTCACTTGATCAACTTTCAATGCACCCTGTCCAGATTATAAAGATGTCTTCATATTTCGGGGTTTATACAACATTTGCATGGTGCGTTTAAGTGCACGCGATATATCAAGGCGGGACGAAAGTTTAAAATTATCCGCGCCCAAACTCGTACAGTGATTCGTCGGATATCACGCGAAAAGTGCAGTGAACGTGAGCGTTTTATTTATTCAACCACTCGGACTATATGACCCGACATATTCTCTCTCATGGATTCTATTAATTTTATACGCAACGTAATACAGTCGCACATACATATATGCTCGTATCAGTCAAAGTCCACAGTCTCGTCTCTTCCATCGCGGTAACGCCGGAAATACGACGCTGCAAATAATTATTTCTTTCTTTGCCACGCTTCAGGGCGTCTCGACCTGTCCGATCATTACCCCGAGCGCTGTCCCTCATGATCGCGCACGGCTCCTGAATGTTTAAGGATCCCAACGTAATTCCGAAGACGCGACGTTCCCGCGACGTTCTTATCCTCTCTCCTCTGCCTCTTTTTTCTGCAGCAAGCGTAGAGTGTCTTCTGCTACTCTACTCTACTCTTTTTTTTCTCGCCGTCTATAGCCGCAGTTATCTTACCTGACTGTTGCAACCTTATCCGGCAATTTGCCCATCATCGCGTCGACAATATCTCAGAGATATTCCTCCCCCATCGGTTCATGAAGAACGTCAGGGTGGGGGTTATCAGAAGAGTACGCCAGCGTACTCACCCCTGTGTTCATCCGTGTACTCGTCCATGCGTTCGACGTAGTTGTCACACGAAGCGCAAGGCCAGGTTTTCGACGAGGCATCGTCTGAATATTTCGCGACGGTGTCGATGTGAGAAGCAGCCAACGACGAGTCGATCCTCAGCACGGAGCTCCGTCAATGGCCACGAAGATCGACTCGACGCTCGTCGGCCTTGTCAGCCGCTCGATCGAGATCGGTCTTCGCGTGATCGGCGTTTGGCCCGACTCATCCTTCTCGAGTCTCCGCCGCGCCTTTTGGATGATCACGCTCACGATCGCGCAGACCTTTCAATACCGATACTTCGTCGTACACGTGCGCACCGACGACTTATCGCGGCTCATGGACGGTCTCAGTACCACGATGTCCTACAGTCTCCTGCTGCTGAAACTTACGATATTCTGGATACACAGGCGGTGAGTTTGCGACCGAGGAAAGCAGACGCTACTCAGCCGTATCTATGCTAACAGCTCTGGACTGAATTCAAATTAGTTTTCTTTCTGTTTTTTGAAATAAGATAAATGTACGAAGAATCGCTTTACATGTAAAACAGGTCTGTTAGATGCCCTGCCTGCTGAGAGTGCATCTGAAAATATGATGAAATAAACTAAACATGCGAGACAAAAATTGCTTCCTTCGTAAGGCAACTTTTGCCAGGGTCATTAGAAGAAATTTTAAAAGGCAATTCTAATCGCGAAGTCGCACACATACCTGCACAAAGGAAACAGGCTGGTCACCGCATCCTCGCCCTTAATAGCCAAGTTTCTCGCAGGATATTCCACCACATCCTCGCGACGATGGCGCGAGATCGAAGCGACTGCGCGACTGGCTGGGCCGCCTGTTCGATGTCGAGGACGATTTACGTCTCACACCGATCTTCCAACCTGATCATCGGCCTCTACTCGATGTCGGTGCTCCTCTACGGCACCGGGGTGCTGGTCGGTCACACCGACGAGTCCGATGAGGCCGAGGACGAACAGTTCTCCGAGCCGACGCGAGAGCAGTTTCTCAAGATGGAGCTGCCCTTCGAGTCCAACATTTCGCCCGTTTACGAAGTCGTCATGGTCGTGCAGTTTTTCCATCAGCTCGCAGCGGCGACGATAGTCGGCGTGCTGAACGCATTGATCGTCTCGCTGGTGAGTGAATTTCATTTGCCACCTGACGTCGGTCTCTGAAAAACATACTCCACGTGAGACTTACTCCTTTGACTGCTCAATAGAAACGCTTAAAATTTTCTTCCACTCGCCCTCAGATTTATATTTTATGCTACGTGTATGTAGTATGTAAGTATGTAAGAGAGATATAACTTGAAAACAAATCGACAAATCTTATTGATCCGCCTCACGCCGCCGAATCTTTCGGCCGCCGAGTCTCTCAGCTTACACAATTGTGCTTGGCTTGGCCAGCCAATGCCGGGAACACGCTGCAGGGCATCGACAGTTATTTTTAGATTCTTCATGTAGGTGGTCAGGTCGATATTATGTGCCGAGGGTTGTTAGAAATCTCTTTGGGCGACGACGCGTTCGACTCGCCGAGCCCGGTCGTCAATGCACTAATACGCCGGCATCAGAGAATTATCGCGCTGTCGAGCGACATCGAGACGCTCTTCTGCTACATAGCGCTGATGCAGTTCCTGTGGAACACCTTGGTTATTTGCTCCCTCGGATTTGTAATTGTGACCGTGAGTAACGCAGCGATCGAGCGAGCGAATAATCGAGCGCGCGCGAATGTCACAATTGACGCACAAACAACGAAGATCATTCGAAAACTGTTCTCCAAAAGTCTCTCTGTAAACGTCTCTTAAAAAAACTCGAATTCTCCAAAAATCTACTTCGAAAATCGAGTTGGAAATCTTGCGGAACCATCGACATGTACTATTTCCAACCGTGTTATAGTCGATCGGCGATACACAAAACTCGACGATGCTGATCAAGTCTCTCTTCTTCTACATCGTCATCACCCTGGAGGCGTTCATATTTTGCTACGCCGGGGAATACCTCAGCGCCAAGGTGGGAACGCATTGTTATAATTTTACCAATTCCGGCCGAACGATTTTCTGTTAGCGCGACTCTTCATCAACAGGGCAGAATGATCGGCGATGCTGCGTACGACGCGAAATGGTACAATTCCAGTCCCACACAGAGTCGTATCATGTTACTGCTGATTCTGAGGTCGCAAAGGAAGCTGACCATCTCGATTGGGAAGTTTACGGATCTCTCGCTGGAGCGTTTCACTACAGTAAAACGCACTTCGGGATTCGCGCTTTTTCTCTTGCCGTCTAACGAAAGTTACCGCTAGCTTTTTCATACTGTTGCTTCAAATTTCATTTACATACTCGCAGAAAAAAGATAATATTTTTGACCATAAGCATGTATAAATAAGAACATCGCGTTTACATTCTTGATTTGACCAAGCTTTTAGATTAGATTGACCAAAATGCCGCAATATGCAACGCTCTGATAATCCTCACGGAAAGGCTATCGGCTGTGAAAGACATTTCTTCTCCAGATTATTAAGACGTCAGCGTCCTACGTGTCCGTGTTGCATGCGATGTCTTGAAGAGCGTGAACAATCGAAGATGCAATGCTCTTCGTGTACATTCATAGCTATTATAAGAAACGCAACGACCACCGTCCATCGTGAATACACGCGACCTCATGTAAAAAGTACGTCAATACACCGTAATCGACACGACAATTGCATTGAAATTCAAACTGTGTTTCTTTGTGCTCCCCACCTGATCCTCCGCAGTTCTCCCCGCCGTTCTTCGTGAATCTCCACTTCTCCGTTCTCTTTCGATTCGTCCTCATGTGAATTTATGTTCTACAATTTGCATCATCTACGTTTCTCTCTATCGTGCGGGACCCTTAACCATTTGCCCAAAGAAATTATGCACCCACGCGCATTGAACGGTACGCTCGCGTTGCATTTTTAATGCAAATAACGGACGGTGCAGCGAGCGACGAGCAGAGGGTGCACGAGGCGTGCTTCATTGTCATTCTCGCCGCCGCTGTCCCTGTTTTTGCGATCGTAATTATCGATTCGCATTTTTTACTCGTGACTTCCAAGACGAAGAGGTAATATCATGGTAATTCCTATTGGTCGATCACACGGTCGAGGAGGTGGGGATCGCGCGACCGTAGAATCCCTCGGATTTTGCAGTTTCTGCGAGATCTTGCGGCCAATCACATCAACGGACGACTGACTTCGGTCAGTCTATAATCGACAGTTTTGTCGTCCATATTCCAGCTGCAGTCAATGACGCTGCGAATTCCAGCGGAAGAGTCTTGCGGGTCCAGCGGAAGATATTCGGATCGAGTCGAGAGGGTTGAACAAATCCACTGGGACGTGAATCGAGGTTCCTCTCCGTTCCGTTCCGTTGATCGCGTCTGTGAGATGTAGACAGAGACGGAAGATCGAGTTAAGCGGTGTTAATTAGTGAGCAAATTCCGTGCGGATGCCGCCGAGGCTCACGAGATTCACCTGCGTGATGACGAGTGACACGAAGAGCACCATGTGTCGTTCCGTGGAGTTCGGTCTTCGCTTAGTCGGCATATGGCCGGGCACGTCGATGTCGCGCAAATTCTCGTACATAGCTCTGATGGCGTTGTTTCAAATCTTTCAGTACCGATACCTGATCGCTCACTTCGGGGAGCACGATATTTCTCTTCTTATGGACGTTCTGAGCGCGGCCATGGTTTACAGCCTGCTGTTGATCAAGCTAATCATCCTCACCTCTAAAGCTCGGTAAGTGGCATCCTCGGCCGAACTCGATTCGTGAGCGACCTTGAGCGATTTTGATCCCACGCTCGATATTCTCGGAGTTTATCGCAAATTTATAAGACTTCGATAACGTTTCACGAGAAGATCTGTGTCGTCGTCACGTACAAATATCATACTCGTCATTTTCGAAATTAATTCGTTATAGTCTGCTTGATGAAATCATAGCATGCTCAATCGAGGACTGGAAAGAGCGCGACACGTCCGACGAACACGCGATGGTCAGAATGACTTACGCTGCTCGTCGCTTCTCCAATTTGATAATCTTCTCGAACGCGATATCAGTTATATTCTATGCGACCGGCACCCTCATGTGGCATCAGGACGACAATCGGACCTACAACCGGGAACTTTTCCTTAAGATGGACCTACCCTTCCATGTCGAGAGCAGGTCGGTCTACATAGCTGTCCTCGTTACACAGTTTATTCATCAGATAAGCGCCGCTAGTATCTTAGGCGTATTGGATTCCTTACTGTTAACTTTGGTAAGTGAAAATGTTTGCTGATTCATCCGTGTGTTTCCGGCGATTAATAAACGGAAATATTATTGATAATGTACATCAATGTGTTTCATTTAACAAATGTGTTATTTAAATTATATAATATAATTATATTATTAATAATTATATAATTATATTATATATTATTATTCTACGAATTCGGTGCTCAATAAAAATATAAAATATCTCTCCCGAGACTGCAATTTCAATTCTAATATACATTAAATTCTTTCAAAATTCATTCGGCCTTCGTAACACAATTCGCTAGATTAAAGAGAGAATGTCTCATGACATTCAGGTTCTTCACGTGTGCGGACAAATCGATAGTGTGCAGCATAAATTAAGCGCGATTACGCGAAAAGATATCGAACGCGATGCATGCGGGAGTATCGTGAAAATGCTAATCATTCGGCACCAGAGGATTATCGCCTTTTCTAAGAACATCGAGGTCCTGTTCTCGAACATCGCGTTAATTCAATTTCTATCGAACACTTTGATCATCTGTTGCTTGGGCTTTCTCATCGTTATTGTAAGTAGTTTGAAATATCGAACTTTATTATCGGGACACACGATATCTCAATGATTTTAGTCCATCGACCTCCCGAATGGGTCGACGATTTTGGTGAAGTCTGTATTGTTTTACGTCGGCGTCAGTATACAAGCGTTTACATTTTGTTTCGTCGGGGAATATCTCAGTTCAAAGGTCAGTGTATTTCTCATAAGATATCAAAAACGACCGTTATGTGTAATCTTAAAATCTGAAATCGTCTTGAGTCTATTTCAAAATATTGTAGGAACTTTTTCATACAACATGACTGCTCGAATAATATCTTAAATAAAAAATGACGCCCTAAGTACGAGATTGGTTGCTCTACGAGGAAACCTTGCCGTATGTTACAGAGTAAAATGATCGGCGACGCGGCGTACGAAGCACTTTGGTACGATCTGAAGCCGAATCAGAATCGCGATCTTTTTTTCATGATCGTGAGATCGCAGAAGCATCTGACGCTCACAGCTGGCAAATTCGTGGTTCTATCCTTGAAGCAATTTGGCAACGTAAGATTTTCGCGAGGTGACGAAAACGTGCCTGATCGAAAAACCCACGCAAGTGTTATTGAGTCGCGGACTTTTCGGCATTTCTCAGTCGCTTCGTCGCGATCACGATGTTACCACACGGTGATCGTGTATTCTTCTTTCATGTTATAGATCGTGAAAGCCTCGGCGTCATACGTATCGGTGTTACACGCGATGTACTGAAGTTTTAGCGTGCTTTGTGCAGCTACTTACATATCTGTGTGCAGGGAGAATGTTGTACTTCTACTACTACCGCCAACTGTACACGCAATTTGCGAGTTTCCTCAGAGAATGGACGAAGTTTCATATGAGATATGTGCGAATAAACGGGGGATAGAATTGCTTGCTGAAACATCGATTTATGATAACTTCAAGTGCAATAGTTTACAAGCACAGCATATAGTAGCTTATAGCGTATAAGCACAGAGTGATAAATACAATGTTGTTTCTTCCGATTTATATTTTTATTCTCCCAACTAGTCATTATGAATTTATTAAATCATATCTAAATAGTCGACATTTCATTGTGAAACAAAGGGAAGTGGTAACTGATCTCTGTACTATTCAGGCCGGAGTGCCTTAGGGCAGTGTATTGGGGCCTATTTTGTATATTATCTATACATTTGATTTTCCCGTTACAAATGATAATAGGAACTTTTGCAGATGATACTGCAGTTGTAGCTACTGACGTAAATCCTGCGGAGGTGTCTGCGAAACTGCAGAGAAGCCTCGAAGATATTTCTAAATGGCTTAAAAACTGGCGTATAAAAGTAAATGAAGCGAAATCAGTGCATGTAACTTTTACCACTAGACGCGGGAATTGCCCTAATGTGTCTCAAAATGGAATTTTAATTCCATAGTCAAGCGAAGCTAAATACTTAGGTCTCTATTTAGATAGGCGACTTACATGGAAAAAACACGTCATAATCAAGAGAAAAGCAATGGGCATTCAACTGAGGAAGCTATATTGGCTTGTGTGTCGAAATTCACAACTATCACTTGAAAATAAATTGCTGTTATATAAAAGCATCATCAAGCCTATTTGGATATATGGTGTACAGCTGTGGGGTACAACGGCAAACTCTAATATAGAGATTCTACAACGTTTTCAATCAAAAATACTTCGAATGATCACTAACGCACCGTGGTATTTAACTAACAACAGAATCCATCATGACCTGGACATTCCTACAGTCAAAAACGAAGTTAAAATTAAAACCGAAGCATATAAAACTTGTATACAAAATCATCCAAACATTTTGGCATCACAGTTAAAGAACCCGAAGAGCATATTCTACAGGCTAAAGAGAAGGATACCTACAGGACCTAATATCTAATCTTTGATTAGAAGATTTATTGGTAATGGGTGAACCATTGGGCTCATTCCACGCACGACTATCAAAAGCTACGCCTAAACTACTGCTGAATGTCTATATAGACAGATTGCAATAAATTTATATATCCAAAAAAAAATATTTTTATTATACCGGCCAAACAAAAGGAATTACTCATTCCCGAGATATTAAGCGAACGTACTAAAAATTCTCTTAGGGGATGAATTCGCCGAACAAAGCCGAAAGAAAATCGTCCAATTTTTTTTTTAATAATATAGACAATCATCAGACATGGGTTCATGTTATGCTTTATGACCACATTTTCCTGATTTCTTTATCTCACGTAAATCTTCGTTTACACAATTAGCAAATTTCTTATTCAGAAAATCGACGGGTATAGCCATGTAGACGAGCAGAATGATGTTTTTTCCCTTTTTTTTTCAATATCGGTTTTTCTTTTAGTCTTTTAAAGAAGACATATTTAACATATATCACACTACCATTACACATTACCAAATATCACACAGCCGTTTCGTCTCTTTCTGCGTGGAAGAAGAAGAATCGCACGTCGAGATTCGCCTTTTCACCAATGCATTGTCCTCACTTGCAATCCCATCGGTCGACTGTTCGATCCTCCTTGTGAACACCCACGACATGTACTGCGATCTTCAGACAATGGCTGGTCGCGATACGTCTTCACCTTGCGACCTCGCGACATCTTGGCGACACCTTCTTTTTCCCGGCGAAGCAACTTTTTGAACTACGCGCATGCGGCGGGCAGCTCAGGGGAGAAATGTTCTTTTACTTTACGAAATTACTTTCTTCGTTGCATCTTTAATGTAAACGCGCACATTTACATGTACAACCAGCGCATACGAGGCGTCCTCTAATTTTCAATTGCAGAAGCTGTCATCGAGACTGAAATTACTATAACATATAACTGCAGTTTTGTACGCAATGTAGCGTAAATATTTTATGAATAGCAATTCGAATGTGCCAATGGCCGATGACGTGGTGCTGAGTTTGATCGAGCTATCGTAACCCGCGGGCAGACCTCAGCCACGGGTGAAGTTATTTCACGACATAGACCCCGTCCGAGTTCATCTCCCCCACGAGATATCGCTTGTCGTTCACGAAAGGATTTGTACGAGAAGGGGGATGGTGACGAGTACACTCAGTCGGGCGGTAAAAATCGGCCTTCACTTTTACGGCATTCGGCCATATTTACCGACCACCGTATTGTTTCGATTGTATTGGATCATGGCGCTAAGTACGGCTCAAGTCTTTCAATATCGATACGTGATCGTAAACATTGATACGGATGACTTCTCCGAGTACATGGATGGAGTAAGTAGTGCGATGGCCTCCTCGTTGCTCTTCATCAAACTCGCCATATTGTGGAGCAATCAACGGTAAGTTACGAGATAACGCGATCTCGCCATCTGGATTATCGCCGCAGATACCGGACAACTTATATATAAATGAGGTTATTAGTAATTTAAACAGCTGAAATTTTGTTGAAAAAAACAAATTCTTTTCAAACCTACGAGATCCATTACGACTTGCCCCTGTAATTTTCCAAAATAAAATTTATATTCGATCTGATCCCCTGATTAAACGCGAGTCTTAATAGCCTCTCGTCAAGCAAATATTAATATGAACCCGGTGTGCGAACCTAATCTTCTCCGTAGAACATTTCAAAAGATATTACAAATGATGGACGCCGACTGGAGGAATTACACTTCAAACCACTTCGGCTTAAATCTGATGACGAAAACAGCCTATGTCGCACATCGCGCCTCAAGGTTGATCATCGGCCTGCAAGTTGTCGCTGTGTTTTTCTACACTTATGGAGTGCTCGCTGCTAACGCAGGTGATCCCAACAGATGGGAGCCGTACGCGCGAGAACTCATTCTAAAAATGGATTTTCCGTTCAATATCAGCACAAATTCGCTTTATTTGAGCATTACGATCGTGCAGTTTGTTCATCTAATGCTAGTCGCCTGCGGTATCACTGTTATCAATTCGCTCCTTGTCACTCTGGTGAGTCCATATCCTCTCACTTAAAATCCTCGCTGGTGACATGATAACTCACACGTATCCTACAAATATGATTTTCTAATCAACTTCGAAAGTAATTCTTGGTATTTATGCATAAAAGGGGCCCCCTCCCCGATTTAATTTATTTTTAAATATGTTGTTGGGGGAGTCTTTCTGAGTCATTTCATATACATATATAAGGGTCAGACGCAAATAGCTTCAGAGATACAAGTTGAGAAAGGATAGAAATAACACGTATAAAAATAAACGAATTTTGGCTATTATATTTTCATATATTTAGGTGAAAATATATTAAAAAATTCAAACATAAACAAACCAATAGAGTAATTTTGAAAACATAAACAAACAGGCCCCCCCACCTGCACTCCCCCTTGACGGATGAAACTCGCTTCATATAGAAAATCGTATTGTTCTGTGTCACATGATTTTGCGATTTTCTACATGACGCAAGTTCGACCAGACAAGGAGGCTTCGGGTGGGGGGTTTTCGGCCCAAGGCTCCCCCACCCGCACCCCCCTTCGATGTGTGTGTCTGTATGTGTGTGTGCTTCGGTGATTCATTACGTTAAATGAATTTTCATATTTATTACTTTCATCGTTTTTCAGCTTGTATTTTCGAAGCTATTTGCGTCCGACCGTTATATATGTGTATGAAACTACTCAGGAAGACTTAGGAAGACTTCTGGAACAACATATTTAAAAATAAATTAAATCGGAAGGGGGCCTCTTTTATGCATAATTACCTAATTCTCTTCTATCTTTCTCAAAAAGCTCCTCATATCAAGTAAATTTTAGATACTGCACGACTGTGGGCAAATTGATATTCTTTGCGAATGGCTCACGAAAATGTTCTCCAGGGATACGTCACAGTGTAATACAGAAGAGTTCACAACGCGCTCGGTAGTCATCAAACACCAGCGAATCATCGAATTTTCGGACAACATCGAGAATGTTTATACGTATATCGCAATGATGATACTGCTGTCGGACACTTTGATCACGTGTTGCTTAGGATTCATCATCGTTACCGTAAGTAACATGAGCGAAGAAAAATATCGGATGCAGATATATTGTGTACTCGATAAAAAGTTCAATATCGTGGAAGTATCGAGGGAAGGTTAGATTCACTCATTTACATCTTTAAGAGAGATTTCGAAAATATTTCCCTCAAAAAGAATTTTACATTTAGAAAAGATTTTTCAATAATAATATAAATATTCTCATATCACCGAATCTTAATATCGAATCACTAAATTGTGATCACGAAAACCGCAGTCGATTGGCACGCCCAACGGTGGAGCGATTCTGGTGAAGTCTGTGTTGTTTTACATCACGATGAATCTTGAAGTCTTCATATACTGCTTCGCCGGGGAACATCTGAGCGCCAAGGTTAGCGTCCGACGATCTCAACGATCCACCGATCCCATTCCCTTTGTCTTTTAGAGTAGAAAAATCACGGACGCGGCCTACGATTCCCTCTGGTACAACACTCCAAGCAAATACAAGTATGTGATGTTGTTCATCATATTGAAAGCGCAAAGGCGATTGACGATCACGAGCGGCAAAATCATGGACCTTTCCTTGGAACGTTTCACTAGCGTAAGATTCGCCCGCGATGATTGACAAATAGATGTTTATTCTTGTAGCTTCCCTGTTACTTTTTATACTGATGTTTATAATTGCATATTTGCGCGCGATAGATGACGAACAATGGCGTTACAGGTCGTAAAGGCATCGGCGTCATACATATCGGTGTTACTGGCAATGTACTGAAGATAGACAAAGTATTAATACTGGTTGTTAAAATAGCATTGTATGGGCAGTACAGCATTAATGGAATTCACAATAACAATATGAAAATATACGCATTCTTTTCAAATAACGCTCCTGTTTTAATTCTCCCATTCGTTATTTGTTTTTAAATGTATCTGCGTCTTTTTTTTACAATACAAGCTAAAAAAATATGTGCGTGTGTGTTCTGCGTCTAACTTTTTTTTTTTAGTGACCGATATGACATCTGACAATCATCAGTCATGCGTTCATCTTATGCTTTGATCACACATTCAAGGTCTTTTTGCCCCACGTGAACTTTAGATTCGTAATCAGCGAGCTCAAAAACTAACCAGAATACAATTTTAGCTAATTTAATAAAAATTCTATGATCCGCCATCTTGAATCCGCCATCTTAGAAAATTAAGTTTGGAATTTGAACCTCAGATTCGTAATCAGCGACCCAAAAAAAACCCCATATCTTGATTTTGAGCAAAAAATACATTCATAATTCGTGGAAAATGATTTTTTTCTGTAAAAATGTGTACTTTTCACACTTTGTTTATTTATAATAAATGGACAATTTATGTAAAACATTTTTCAACCTTTCATGTATGTTCCTATACCATATAAGAAGTTAAAAAACGCAAAAAACCCGATAAGAATCCCTCAAATATTTCATAAAAATGTGGGAATAAATAGGTGATAAGTATATTTATCACTATGCCTCAAAGGGTCAAGAGAGAGATTTCGGAAATATTTTGTCCTCAAATAGGATTTTATGTACAGAAAAGATTTTTCAAAAATAATATAAATATTCTCATATCACTGAATCTCAATACATCCGATGCAAGTAGCTTAATTTGCACCGATATAATTAATTCCTACCGAATCACTAAACTGTGATCATGAAAATCGCAGTCGATCGGCACACCCAATGGTGGAGCGATTCTGGTAAAGTCTGTGTTGTTTTACATCACGGTGAATCTCGAAGTCTTCATATACTGCTTCGCCGGGGAACATCTGAGCGCCAAGGTTAGCATCTCCGACGATCTTAACGATCTTAACGATCTTAACGATCAATCGATCCCATTCCCTTTTGTCTTTTAGAGTAGAAAAATCACGGACGCGGCGTACGATTCTCTCTGGTACAACACTCCGAACAAATATAGCCACGTGATGTTGTTCATCATATTGAGAGCCCAAAGACGACTAACGATCACGAGCGGCAAAATCATAGACCTTTCCTTAGAACGTTTCACTAGCGTAAGATTCATCCGCGATGATCGACATATAGATATTCATTCTTATAGCCTTCCAGTTACTTTTTATACTGATATTTATAATTGAATATTTGTCTCTGAATATTTCAGCACGATAAATGACAAACGATGATGTTGCAGGTTATGAAGGCATCGGCGTCGTACATATCGGTGTTACTGGCAATGTACTGAAGATAGACGAAGTGGTAATACTGGTTATTACGTAAAATATCATTGAGCAATATAGCATTAATGGAATTCATAATAGCGATATGAAAATATATGTATTTTCTTCAATTAACCCTCTTATTTTAATTCTCCTATGTTATTATTTTTAAATGTATTCGCGTTTTTCTCTCGCAATACAAGTTAAAAAAATGTATGTGTGTGTATGTGTATGTATTAATATTCTAAGATGCTCATTTTTCATAAAGAGAAGTCGAACTTGAGGCTCGAGGTGAACTTTTGCTTTCTCCGTGTTTTTTTATATTGTTCGATTACAATCATACTCATAACTTTTCGCGATTAACCATGATCAGTGCAAACTATAATCTTAGCATGCAGTCTGTCTCTTCAACAACATCCGTACAAACTCGCGCGATAAGTTTTTTGTTTCTTATCCTCACAATAGTCTCCTAGGAACGCGAAACTTTTTAACTTTGCGCTCAACTGGTTCATAGAAAACGGACTCGTAATTTTGTGGGGTAATCAGCGGTAAGATGTGTGTCGTATACTTTTGCCTTTAGTTTAAGATTACACAACAAGTTACATAATAAATATTTAATTATTACGTTTGCCATAAATTTATGAACATATAACATATATAATATCATCAACTCACTATTTACATGTAACTTAGTCATTAATACTCACTCAAAAAGAAAGAGAAAGATATATAGATCACTAAAAAGAGTCGCAATCGGAAGATTATCCCGGTAGAACCGTTCCTCAAGATGGATGTCTTCCCACATAGAGAGCGGATCAGTTTACATAGCTGTTCTCGTTACACAATTTATTCGTCAGATGAGTACCGCTAATATCTTAGATGTGTTGGACTTCTTACTGTTAACCTTGGTAAGTACGAATATTTGCTAATTCATCAGTGTTTCCTGTAATTGCAAGTGTACAATTAATGAACAGAGATATTATCGACAATATATATCAATGTGTTTTGTTTAAGAGATGTGTTATTTAAATTATATGATAAATTATATAATATTATTATATTATATTATATTATATTATATTATAATATAATATTATATATATATATATATTAATTATAATATAACATTATATTATAATATTATAATATATTATATTATTGGGTTGGCAACTAAGTGATTGCGGATTTTGTCGACAGATGGATTTTACACTTTCTTTTGTTTCGTTAACGTGTTCAAAGTACCTAACCTATATTTTTTTCTTATTGTTTGGACTTCTACCTTTCATTTAGTACAAAAATTATATCGATTAGTTCTTTAGTTTTGTTTTTATCCCAATTTAAAAATGGAAGAGCAAGACGTGCACTTCAGACATATTTTATTGTATTATTTCCGAAAAGGCAAGAACGCATCGCAAGCACACAAGAAGTTATATGCCGTATATGGGAATGAAGCCTTGAAAGAAAGGCAGTGTCAAAATTGGTTTGCCAGATTTCGTTCTGGTGATTTTTCATTGAAAAATGCTCAACGATCTGGCCGTCCAGTTGAAGTCGATGAGACCCATATCAAGGCCATTATCGATTCAGATCGTCATAGCACAACACGTGATATTGCAGAGAAGCTCAATGTATCGCATACATGCATTGAAAAAAATTTAAAAAAGCAAATTAAAAATTTTGAATTTTCATTCTTATTTAAGCAATCACTTAGTTGCCAACCCAATATATTATATATATAATCATATAATATAATATAATATAATATATTATATAATATTATATAATATATTATATAATATTATATAATATTATATAATATATTATATAATATATTATATAATAAATTATATAATATAATGTTATATGATATAATTCAAATTATATATGTTCAAATTATAATTCATCATTTTTTTTATTATCATATATTATCATATTCAAATTTAGAATTATAGTTCAGATTATATATGTGTGTGTACATATATATAGGACTTTTTTGTTCAAAATAATCTAATCTACAATTATATGACGGCTATTGTGTCTAGCGATAGATATTAGTATTATTATACTGAACTTTGAACTTTGAATCTTGCACTTGTCGCTTATTTTGCAAATAAGTACGCAAATTTCCAAATTATCAATTAAAAAATCTCTAGATGTGATCATTTTCAATCATTAATAACTTAATAATTATTGCGATTTTTGCAAAATGGTACATGAACTTTCTTCTCACTTTCATCTGATTAATCTTCACAATTTTTTGTTTTTGAAAAATTCCGGACACCCTATATATTCGTATGTGAAAAGGATATTGTACATTTATTACTGTCACCAGCTGTACACATAATTAGTGAGTTTCTGCAGAGAGTGAACGATGTTTTATAACAAATATATCCGAATAAACGAGCGGATATAGTTTGCTGAAACATCGATTTGCTGTAGCTTCAGTTCTCTCTCTATGCGATAACTGACAAGCACAGTATATAAGCAGCTTATAAGATATACGCATAGAGTCGTAAATACAATGATTTTTTCTTCCGATTTGATATTATAATTATTCCAATAGTCCAAATAAAAGGATTTACTCATTTGTAAAACTTTCAGCGAACATGGCGAAAATTCTCTTTCAGAGTGTAAATTTGTCAAAATTGAAAAACAATTGTTCAATTTTAAAGTGACATAAATATGACACCTGCCAATCATTACTCACGCATTTATCTTCTGCTTCGCTCACGCTTGCCATTCTTTATCTTGCGAGAAGCATTCTCGCATCTTTCTTTGAGCATTTAGTGAATTTCTTAATCTTAAGAAAGTCGACGGATTCATCTGTGTGAACCAGCGAGCAAAGGTAACGTTTCTTTTTCTGAGGTATCGGTTGGTCATCGCGACGAATCCGTTTAGTTCATATGAAGATTATTTGCGAAGTCACAAGTGAATTCTCCCGAGCAATATACATTGCCAAACATTCTGACGCAGTATAATAAAAAAGAAGACATATTTAACAGTACCTAATATCACACATCCGTTCCAGCTCTTTCTTCATGAAAGAAGAACAAATATCACCCATCGAAGTTTGTCTTTTCATCAACGCTTTATTCCTACTTATGCCGTTATCAGTCGACTGTCCGATCCTCCTCGCGAGCATTCACGACATATACTGCTATCTTCACGCATCGGCTAGTCTTCTCGTCGCTATACGTCCTCACCTTACGGCCTCGCGACATCCTGGCGACATCTTTATTGCCGAAGCAATTTTGAAGTATGCGCGCGCAGCGAATAGCTCGAGAAAAATATATTCTTTTAGCGATATTACTCGTTGCATTTTTAATGAGAGCGCGCATATTTATATACACGACCAAAGCACACGATGCATCCTTTGATCTTCAATCGCGGAAGTTATTGTCGGAACTGAAATTACTGTAGCGCACAACTGCAATTTTGTATGAGATGCAACATGAATATTTAAAGAATGGCAATTCAAATATGCTAAAGCCCGATGACGTGGTACTGGGTTCGGTCGAGCGATCGTAACCTGCGGAGAGATCTTAGCTACAGGTGAAGTTACTTCACGATGTAGACCTGGTTCAAGTCCCTCCGCGAAATATCACTTGTCGTTCACGAAGGGATTTGTAAGAAATGTTGACGAGTACACTCAGTCGACTGGTGAAATTCGGCCTTCACATATACGGCATTCTGCCGTATCTACCGACCACCGTATTGTTTCGATCATATTGGATCATGGTACTGTGTACGGCTCAAATCTTTGAATATCGGTACGTGTATGTGTACATGGTTATGGGTAACTTCCCTCTATTAATAGAGGGGCTGAGCAGTGCAATGGTCTCCTCGTTACTTTTCACTAAACTCAACATATTGTGGCATAATCAACGGTGAATCATGAGGTAACGCGATCTCGCATCTGGATTATCGTTGCAGATACAGAGCAACTTATACATAAATAATGTTATTAGTAATTTAAGCAGCAAGACCTTCGTTGGAAAAAGAAATTTTCTTCACCTACGAAATTCACTACGATTGCACTAGTAATTTTCCAAAATAAAATTCATATTCGATCTGATCCTGTGATAAAACGCGACTCTCGGTAGCTTCTCGCCAGGCAAACGTTAGCACGAACCCGATGCGAACCTAGTCTTCTCCGTAGAACATTTCAAGAGATATTACAAGTGATGGACGCCGACTGGCGGAATTACACCTCGAACGACTTCGGCTCACGTGTGATGACAAAGACAGCACATGTCGCACATCGCGTCTCGAAGTTGATCATCAGTCTGCAAGTGGTCTCTGTGCTGTTCTATATGTATGGAACGCTCGTTTCTAACGCGCACGATCCCTACAAGGTCGCAAACCCGGGAGCGCGAGAGCAATTTCTAAAGGTGGACTTTCCAATCAATATGACAAATTCGATTTATTGGGGCCTTATTGGCGTGCAGTTCGTCCATCTGTTGTCGATCGCCTGCGGTATCACCTTTATTAATTCGCTCCTGCTCTCTCTGGTGAGTCTATATTATCTCATTCAAAACCATTTCTAGTGACGTAATGATTCACGCGTATTTTCTGGATATAATTTTCTAACTTCGAAAATAATTCTTTTCTATCTTTTTTTCAAAAATCTCCTCATATCTAATAAATTTTAGATACTTCACGATTGTGGGCAAATTGATATTCTTTGCGAATGGGTCACGAAAATGTTCTCCAAGGATACGTCGCAATGTAAGACAGACGAGATTACAATAAGCTCGATAGTCTTCAAGCACCAGCAGATCATCAAGTTTTCAACCAATATTAATAACATTTATGCGTACATCGCATTAATGATACTATTGTCGGATACGCTGATTACATGTTGTTTAGGCTTTATCATCGTTAGCGTAAGTAACATGAACGACGAAAAATATCGGATAAAGATATTTGAGAATACAGATATTTTGCGATACTCGATAAAAACACCGTGGAAGTACCAAAAGAACGTTACGTTCATCCGTTTGCATCTTTGAAAGTATTGCCCTCAAAAAAAATTTTATGTATAAAAGAGATTTTTCAAAAATAATATAAATATTCTCATATCACCGAATCTTAATACATTCGCTGCTGATGCAAATGGCTTAATTTACCCCGATACAATTAATTCCCACTGAATTACCAAACCGTGAACACGAAAATCGCAGTCGATCGGTACGCCCAATGGTGGAGTAATCGTAGTGAAGTCCATATTGTTTTACATCACAATGAATCTCGAAGTCTTCATATATTGTTTCGCCGGGGAATATCTGAGCTTCAAGGTTAGTGTCTCCGACGATCTCAACGATTCACCCCCTTTGTTTTGTCCACCCCAACGATCTCATCCCCTTTGTTTTTCAGAGTATAAAAATCATAGAGGCGGCGTACAATTGTCTCTGGTACGATGCTCCGCAAGTATACCAGCATAATCTCGTTTATCATAATGAGAGCGCAAAAGCAACTGACGATCACAAACGGCAAAATCATGGATCTCTCCTTGGAACTTTTCACTAGCGTAAGATTCGCTGCGAAGATTGACAAATCGGCATTTATTTGTAGCCTTCTCGTTACTTTTTATACTGACATTTATAATTGCACAATTATACGAGATAAATGACGAACGGTTACGTTACAGGTCATAAAGGCATCAGGCTCATATATATCGGTACTATTGGCAATGGACTCTTGATAGACGAAATACTGATTGATAACATAGCGTTGTATAAGCAATAGAGTAACAGTGAACTAATGAAATTTACAGTAATAATATAGAAATATGGAATATATAGAATATAGAATAAAATATAGAAATGGACTTGTTTTTCTATAAATAACAAACCTGTTTCTATTCTCCTACGTTATTTGTTTTTAAATATATTTATGTCTTTTTTGCAGTATAAAATTTAAAGAAAGATAATAAATAAATATATATATAAATATATATATATATACATATATGTGTATACAAAAAATATATGTAACGTATCGAAGTACGTACATACTTACTTGCATCAATGGCGATTCCAAATTTATAATAATATTACAAATTTATAACTTGGCAATTTTATTTTTATTCTTCCTACATGTCGCGCAGCGTACATCCCCATCGTCATAATTATATTCGCTACCCTCTCGTTACCTTTTCGCAAATATCTGTGGTACGAAACTGTAATCTTGTTGCAGTTTATGCCAGCGAACACCCGTCTCGACGAACTTGCCTCCTGTGCACCCTTCGCGATTCTTCCCCATCAGCAAGAAAACTTTTCCATCTCATACCGCGTCCGGGCAGCCTAATGGAAGGAAAACATGCAGGGGACGCCTTGCGATTCCTCGTACTTTTAAAGAAATCAACTCTGTCAAATTTCACGCACTTCAAGCTATGGAAACATACTCGTACGGTCAATGTTCGGTATCACGTTCTATTCTGACTCAATTAAATATTAGCTTTGATTACGAAGAAGAATCAACAGACGATATTTACTTCTCCCGTTCTCACTTAATCGCATTGTTGATGAACAGTCCGATTTTCTTTGACAGAAAATGCCCCATAGCACACTAAATCTTGAATCGTGATTTCTGTGTTGGAAGCGCGTTTTTTCCTTTCACAATGAGCAATACGCCATAATTTCGAGACAAGTTTTCACTTCTTTTTCTACTTCACCAGTCTTCGAGAATACGCACCCCCGCAGCAAAACTTTTCATCCAAAAGTTTACGCTCAAACGTGGTTGAAAGAGGGTGGAACATGAAGCCAGCCGTTCGTGGAAATCTCTTCAAAGAGAGCCTTACCTTACATGTTGCATTTTTAAAATGGACATACAATGACATCGCGGGAGGAAGTTGGGTGACAGGTGAGGGAAGTACGCGCTTACTTCGCGGACTGGAAAAATCGCTTTAGGTGAGTCATAGAGCAATTACAGTTTTAGCAGTGCAGTTGCGCGTAGTTGCATTTTCGTTTGCGCGCTGTACTTTCAGTAATATTTAATAACGAGGGGCGATTCGAATGGTCAATGACACGAGCATGAGTTCGACTGTCGACCCTGCGAAGAAAGACAGAAATAGAGGGAGAAAGAAAAAAAAGAGATTTTAGTCTGATTGGAATCACTCGATCGTCTCGTACGACTCCGCATTTTCGACGCGTTTTCGAAGAAAGAGGGATGCGGACGAGCACGTTTAGTCAAATAGTGAAAATCGGCCTTCACTTTTTTGGCGTCTGGCCGTATTTGCCGTCAACGGTGCTCTTCCGATCGTACTGTATCATGGCGTTGAGTACAGCTCAGGTTTTTCAGTATGGCTATGTGGTCGTGAATAGTGACACAGACAACTTCTCCGAGTTCATGGACGGCGTGAGCAGCGCGATGGCCTCTTCGTTACTTTTCATCAAACTCATTATCCTGTGGATCAATCAACGGTAAGACGCGCTCATGTTAACAACCTCGTGACCGAGTCATCTCACGTCATATCGTGTCATCTCACGCGATAGCTCACAATTAGACAAACTTCAACATCGAGTCCCGTCTTCCGTAGAAAGTTCAGCGAAATATTGCAAATAATGACGATGAACTGGCAGGATCACTCGTCGAACCACCACAGCCTGAGCATTATGACGAAAACGACATTTCTTGCGCGTCGCATTTCGAGGATAATTATCCTCATGCAATTTTTCTCAGTATTCTTCTACAGTCTCGGAGTTCTCGCCGCTAACGCAGGCGATCCTGAGAAATGGGAGCCGTATAATCGGGAGCTTATCCTGAAGATGAAACTACCGTTCGAAATTAGCACGTATCGCATCTACGTGACAATCACGGTAGTCCAGTTCGTCCATTTGATGTTCGTCGGCTGGGGCATTACCGTTGTCAATACGCTTCTCGTCACTCTGGTGAGATCAAGTTGCGTGAGAACCGACGTTTCCGATCGAATTTGCACGAACCGTGAAGGTTTCGATTTTTTCGTAATGTCGTTATGTGACCATGAGATACAAAGTGTTTCTCCAAAGCACACACGAGTTCCTCTGAAAGTCGATTCATTAAGACAGATCCTCCACATCGGTGGTCAGATCGATATTCTTCGGGACTGGTTGACGAGAGCATTCTCCAGAAACGAGTCAGAACCGTCCGATAAGATCACGTCACGACTGTTGATCACGAAACACCAGCAGATCATTTTATTGTCGGAGAACATCGAGAACCTCTACACGTACATCGCATTCATGATATTATTTTCCGACACCCTGATCATCTGCTGTTTAGGGTTCGTCATCGCCACCGTGAGTATCGCGGTCGAAAGTGACCTTCGCTATTGGTATCTGAAGAATACCGTTGTATCATCAATACAATTGTATCTAATTGTACTGAATCGATCCTGCGAATATTGCAGTCGGTCGGTGAACCCAACGCCGCGGCTATCTTAGTCAAGTCCTTCATGTTCTACGTCACGATGAACCTGGACGTGTTCATATATTGCTACGCCGGCGAATATCTGAGCGCCAAGGTAATCGCATTCTTGGCGATTTCAACAATTTATGCAATCGATCAATCATTCTTTTAGAGCAAAATGATCGGAGAGGCAGCATATGATTCCCTTTGGTACGACGTTGCGGCGAAAGACAGTCAGATCGTATTATTCATCATTTTGAGATCGCAAAAAAGACTGACCATCACCTGCGGGAAAATTATGGACCTTTCTTTGGAGCGTTTCACTAGCGTAAGATTCGTCCGCAAAGATTGATCCGCAAATAGATGTGTATTGTACATTTGTGCGCGATAAATGATGAACGATAACGTTACAGGTCGTAAAGGCATCGGCGTCATATATGTCGGTGCTCTTGGCGATGTATTGAAGGTAGGCAAAGTGTTTATACTGGCTATTACAATAGAATTACACGAGTCGTAGAGCATTAGTGATATTCACAGTAGTATGAAAATAAATGCATCTTTTCTCTAAATAACATCCCTATTTCAAATATTTTACATTATTTGTTTTTAAATCCATTCGTGTTTTTTTTGCAATACAAGTTAAAAAACATATACAGGGTGTCCCAAAAGTAACGGACCCACCTAATAACTCTGCAATATTGAAGTTTCAAGGAAAATGATTTAAATAAAAATTGTAGGGATTTAAATGAGCTACCTTATGATGATCTTGACTTTGACCTTGACCTCTATTTTCAAGGTCATTTGAAGGTCAACTTGCGTTTTTAAATGGGAATTCTTATTTTTTATTACACTGTTTTTTTTTCTACTAATTAATTTGAACAACTTTTGTCTAAAACATTTTTTTATTTGTCTAATATTTTTTTGAGATATTTGAGGAAAACTTGATAACTTTTTCAATATTTAACTTACGATATCTCACTAACTATTTGTCGGAAGAAAAAGTGGTACTAGACTTTCTTGTTTTATTTAGTCTTAAGAGTATATTATTACAATAGCGCTTTGACTTTTGTTAACTTACAGACTTTTGGAAATTTCAAAATCATCAAATTAACAAAAATAAGGACGTTACTGTAACAATATATTCTTGAGACCAAATAAAGCAAGAAAGTATAGTACCACTTTTTCTTCCGACAAATAGCGAGATATCGTTAATAAGTTAATAAGTTAAATATTGAAAAAGTTATCAAGTTTTCCTCAAATATCTCAAAAAATATTAGGAAAATAAAAAAGTATTTTAGATAAAAATTGTTCAAATTAATTGGTAGAAAAAAAAGTGTAATAAAAATAAAGGTTCACATTTGAAAAACGCAAGTTGACCTTCAAATGACCTTGAAAATAGAGGTCGAAATTAAAGTCAAGGTCATCATAAGGTAGCTCACTTAAATCCCTACAACTTTTATTCAGATCATTTTCCTTGAAACTTCAATACTGAAGAGTTATTAGGGTAGTCCGTTACTTTTGGGACACCCTGTATATATAATAACATTTCAAGATATTCACTTCCATCAATGACAACTCCAATTTGCAAAACTTTGTTTTTATTCTTCCTACATGCGTCGTGATCGTGTTCGCTTCCCCTAGTTACCCTCTTGCAAATATCTGCGGTGCGAAACTTATTGTGCTTTATCTCATCAAACCCCCATTTCGACGAACTCGCCTCCCGTCCAATGTTCATAATTCTTTCCCATAAAGCAAAAAAACTTTTCCATCTTGCACCACGACCGGGCAGCTTCAAGGAGGAAAACATGCAGGAAACGCGGCGCGGGTTTTAATACTTTTCAAAAATCTTAGACTTCGATTGTCGACAAGATTATCTTTGCATATGACCCCAACTTCGTTAAACTTCACACACTTCAGGCTATGGAAAAATACTTTTACAGCGCTATTTCGTACGATATTCGATAATGTTCTGCTGTGGCTCAACTTAATACTTGCTCCGATTTCGAAGAATAGAAATTCGTCGAAATTCACTTCTTCTCCCATTCTCGTTCACCAGCATCGTTGGTAAACCGTTCGATTTTCTTCGACAGCAAATGCCCTCAGAAACGTGACTTGAATTATGATTTCTGTGCTGGAAGCACGTCTTTTCTTTTTTCAATAAGCAGAACCCCATAATTTCAAGACAAGTCTCCACTTCTTTTTCTTCTTCATCGATTTTCGCAAGCACGCACCCCTCGCAGCAAAATTTCTCATACAAGAATTTACAGTTCAATGTGGTAGAAAGAGGGTGGAACATAGAGCCAGCGGCTCGTGGAAGCCTCTTTCCTCCTCGAGGAGAGTTTTACCTTACATGCATTTTTAAAATAGACATACAATGACATCGCGAGAGGAAGTTGGTCGACATGGGAAGAAAGTACGCGCTTACTTCACGGTCAGGAGAAACCGCTTTGTTGAATCGCCGAGCAATTACAGTTTTAGCAATGCAGTTGCCCGTAGTTGCATTTTCGTCTACACGCTGTACTACCAGTAATATTTAATAACGAAGAGTGATTCGACCAGCCTATGGTCGACGACACGGGTGTGAGTTCGACTCGGCGTGAGTTCGTCGATCCGGCAGAGAAAAGTCCAGATAGAGAGAAAAGGAGAAAAAGAGAGATTTTAGTGCGATCACTCGTTCGTCTCATACGAAGCGTTTCCGAAGAAAGAGGGATGCGGACGAGCACGTTTAGTTGGTTATTGAAAGTCGGGCTTCACTTTTATGGGGTTTGGCCATATTTACCGTCAACCGTGCTCTTCCGATCGTACTGCATCATAGCGATGACAACAGCTCAGGTCTTTCAGTACGGCTACATAATCGTGAACAGTGATACAGATAACTTCTCCGAGTTCATGGACGGAGTGAGCAGCGCGATGACTCATTCCCTGTTCTTCATCAAGCTCATTATCCTGTGGATCAATCAACGGTAAGACGTGTTAAAGACCTCGTGATCGAGGCTTGTATCGCGTCACCTCACGTGACAACTGACAGTTAGACAAACTTCAACATCGAGTCCGGTCTTCCGTAGAAAGTTCAGCGATATATTGCGAATAATGACTATGAACTGGCAAGATCACACGTCGAACCACCACAGCCTGAACATCATGACTAAAGCGACATTTCTCGCACGTCGTATTTCGAGGATAATTTTTCATACAAACTTTTTCTCAGTATGCCTCTACAGTCTCGGGGTCCTCGCCGCTAACGCGGGCGATCCTAAGAAATGGGAGCCATATAATCGGGAGCTTATCCTGAAGATGAAACTACCTTTCGAAATTAGTACATATCCTATCTATGTGACTGTCACAGTGGTCCAGATCGTCCATCTGATTTTCATCGCTTGGGGCATTGCCATTGTCAATATGCTTCTTGTAACTCTGGTAAGTCCAAGTTGCGCAAAACCGTCTTTGCCGATTGAATTTGCGCGAATAGTGCACGAACCGTGAAGAATTTGGTCCTCTCGAAATGTCGTTATATGACCATGGGATACAAAGTTTCTTCAAAGCACACACGAGTTCCTCTGAAAGTCGATTCATTAAGACAGGTCCTCCACATCGGTGGTCAAATCGACGTTCTTCGGGATTGGTTGACGAGAGCGTTCTCCAGAACCGAGCTCGATGAAATCACATCGCGATTGTTGATTATGAAGCATCAGCAGATCATCTTGTTGTCAGAGAACATCGAGAATCTCTACACGTACATCGCGTTCATGATACTACTTTCAGACACCCTGATCATCTGCTGCTTAGGATTCGTCATCGCCACCGTGAGTATCGCGGTCGAAAGGAACCTTCGCTATTCGTACCTAAGGAATACCACTTTAATCGAACGATATCGAATCGCTCCTGCGAATATTGCAGTCGCTCGGTGAGCCTAACGCCGCGGCGATCTTGGTGAAGTCCTTAATGTTCTACGTCACGATGAATCTGGATGTGTTCGTATACTGCTTCGCCGGCGAGTATCTGAGCGCCAAGGTAATCGTATCCTCGACTATTTGTACGATTCACACAATCGTCCAATCATTCTTTTAGAGCAAAATGATCGGAGACGCAGCGTATGATTCCCTTTGGTACAACGTTGCGGCGAAAGACAGTCAGATCGTATTACTCATTGTTTTGAGATCACAGAAAAGACTGACCATCACTTGCGGGAAGATCATAGATTTGTCTTTGGAGCGTTTTACTAGCGTAAGATCGTAGTTAGCCGCTTCATCACATAAATATTAGCCAATTATTTGACGAGCGATGAAATTGTAGGTTGTGAAGGCATCGGCATCGTACATGTCGGTGCTGTTGGCGATGTATTGAACGGCGAATACTATGATGACCAATATCATTAACAACATGGAAATATATGAAGTTTTTTTCTAAACAACAATATCTTCTATTTCACTTATTTTTCGCGAACAAAAATCGGCGCTTTTTCTTCTCTCATAAAAAGTCACAAAAAAACTTCACAATTATTAGTTTGAAGCTGGGATACGAAAATTGCGCGGGAAAACTTCTCATCTCGTTAGACGCTTATTTCTGCGACAATATAACTCTTACGACAATATTATCAACATACACAACGTAACGATAAACCTGCATTCATACCATTTTTTCCACAACTTACGATTTGCATGTTCATGATGAAGAGAGATCTTTCGCGATTTCCTGAGGGGAGAACTTTTACAACTTCGCTTTCTCTTATTTCCGCCTGATGTGCAAGCGCACTTTAAATTACATCGTAATTAGTTCTCGTTACTACATAATTATAAACTCGCTCACGTACTTCACAGAGAAGGAAATAAGTGCAGATTTAGAGGGATATAAACGTCTCTACAAGATACAAGCGTTGATACGGAAAGTTCCGAGTTTTCCAACTTTCTTCACGAAAAGTAGTCGGGCTCGAGGCTCGAGGTGAACTTTTCATCTTTTCCATGTTATTTTTTGTATCGTGATCATGATCGCGCTCATAACTTTTTGCAATTGTCCGTGATCATAGTAGTATGAAAATAAATGCATCTTTTTTCTAAATCCTACTTTTCTAACACCCCTGTTTCAAATCTTTTACATTATTTGTTTTTAAATGCATTCACGTTTTTTTCGCAATACAGGTTGGAAAAAAGTATATATATATATATACAGGGTGTTCCGTAAGTCGAGGTCAATCGCTCGAGAGATGAATGGAGAACCACAAACAAGAAAGAAAGTTGATACAAACATAGGTCCAAAAATGCGTTGTTTTCGAGTTATCGCCATTTTTATGTTAAAATTTGAAATTCTTTTGCTTTCGAATTTTTTTGGTTTTGGAATTTCGATGGTTTTTATGAGTTTCAAAACACAACTAAAGTCAAATAAAAATTACGGGCTGTTTTAGCACTACCCAGGATGCACCGCGTGGAGGTACAGCCCGCTTAGCATCCCTTAGCAGAGATCAGGACCCCACAGTTCGTCACTCCTGTGGTATTTAGTGACTCCAAACCCTCTCTGTCGTGTGTATATGTGTGTGTGTGTTTTATTTGACTTTAGTTGTGTTTTGAAACTCATAAAAACCATCGGAATTCCAAAACCAAAAAATTCGAAAGCAAAGCAGTTTCAAATTTTAACATAAAAATGGCGATAACTCGAAAACAACGCATTTTTGGACCTATATTTATATCAACTTTCTTTCTTGTTTGTGGTTCCCCATTCATCTCTCGAGCGATTGACCTCGACTTACGGAACACCATGTATATATACAGGGTGTTCCGTACCTGTATATAATAGCATCCCAAGATAGTCACTTTCGTTAATGACAACTCCAACTTGTAAAACTTTGTTTTTATTCTTCCTTGTTCCCCCTAGTTTCCTTCTCGCAAATATCTGCGATGCGAAAATATCTTGTTGCGCTTTATCTCATCGAACCCTCGTTTCGACGAACTCGTCTCCCGTCCACCATTCACAATTCTCCCCCATAGAACAAGAAGACTTTTCCATCTCGTACCGCGACTGGGCAGCTTCATGGAAGAAAACATGCGGGGAACGCCTTGCAAACTCTTATAAAAAGGTCTCAGACATTGCCGAGATTATCTCTAAGCGTGATCTCAATTTGGTCAAACTTCACACACTTCAGGCTATGGAAAAATATTCGTACGGTACTACTTCGTATGATATTTGATAACATTCTGCTATGGCTCAACTTAACACTTGCTCCGATCTCGAAGAACCGCCTGTCGAGATTCATTTCTTCTCTTATTCTCGTTCACCAGCATCGTTGATAATCGTCCGATTTCCTTCGACAGCAAATGCCCTCATAAGCGTGACTTGAATTATGATTTCTGTGCTGGAAGCACGTCTTTTCTTTTTTCAATAAACAGAACCCCATAATCTCAAGACAAGTGTCTTCACTTCTTTTTCTTCTTCATCGGTTTTCGCAAGCACGCACCCCTCGCAGCAAAATTTCTCATACAAGAATTTACAGTTCAATGTAGTAGAAAGAGAGTGGAACATAGAGCCGGCGATTCGTGGAAGTCTCTTTCTTCCTCGAGGAGAGTTTTACTTTACATGCATTTTTAAAATAGACATACAATGACATCGCGGGAGGAAGTTGGTCGACATGGGGAGGAAGTACGCGCTTACTTCACGGTCAGAAGAAACCGCTTTGTTGAATCGCCGAGCAATTACAGTTTTAACATTGCAGTTCCCTGTAGTTGCATTTTCGTCTATACGCTGTACTATCAGTAATATTTAATAACGAAGGGTGATTCGACCGGCCGATGGTCGACGACACTGGTGTGAGTTCGACTCGACGTGAGTTCGTCGATCCGGCGGAGAAAAGTACAGATAGAGAGAAAAAGAGAAAAAGAGAGATTTTAGTGCGATCACTCGATCGTCTCGTACGAAACGTTTTCGAAAAAAGAGGGATGCGGACGAGCACGTTTAGTCGGATAGTGAAAATCGGGCTTCACTTTTACGGGGTTTGGCCATATTTACCGTCAACTGTGCTCTTCCGATCGTACTGCATTATAGCAATGACCACAGCTCAGGTCTTTCAGTACGGTTACGTAGTCATGAACAATGATACAGATAACTTCTCCGAGTTCATGGACGGAGTGAGCAGCGCGATGACCCATTCCCTGTTCTTCATCAAGCTCATTATCCTGTGGATCAATCAACGGTAAGACGTGTTAACGACCTTGTGATCGAGGCTTGTATCGCGTCACCTCACGTGACAACTGACAGTTAGATAAACTTCAACATCGAGTCCGGTCTTCCGTAGAAAGTTCAGCGATATATTGCGAATAATGATGATGAACTGGCAGGATCACACGTCGAACCACCATAACCTGAGCATCATGACCAAAGCGACATTAGTCGCGCGCCGCATTTCGAGGATAATTTTTCATACAAATTTTTTCTCAGTGTTCTTCTATAGTCTCGGGATTTTCGCCGCTAACGCGGGTGATCCTAAGAAATGGGAGCCTTATAATCGGGAGCTTATCCTCAAGATGAAACTACCTTTCGAAATTAGTACATATTCTATCTATGTGACTGTCACAGTGGTCCAGATCGTCCATCTGATGTTCATCGGCTGGGGCATTGCTATTGTTAACACGCTTCTTGTCACTCTGGTGAGTCCGAGTTACGCAAAATCCGACATTGCCAATCGAATTTGCGCGAATAGCGCGCGAATCGTGAAGGCTTTGATTTTCTCGAAATGTTGCTATATAATCATGAAATATTAAGTATTTATCCGAAGCATATGCAAGTTCTTCTGAAAATCGACTCATTAAGACAGGTCCTCCATATCGGTGGTCAAATCGACGTTCTTCGGGACTGGTTGACGAGAGCATTCTCCAAGACCGAGTCCGATGAGATCACATCACGATTGTTAATCATGAAACATCAGCAGATCATCCTATTGTCGGAGAACATCGAAAATCTCTACACGTACATTGCATTCATGATACTACTTTCAGACACCCTGATCATCTGCTGCTTAGGATTCGTCATCGCCGCCGTGAGTATCGCGGTCGAAAGTGATCTTTGCTATTCGTATCTGAGGAATACCACTTTAATCGAGCGATATCGAATCGCTCCTGCGAATATTGCAGTCGCTCGGTGAGCCCAACGCCGCGGCGATCTTGGTGAAGTCCTTAATGTTCTACGTCGCGATGAATCTGGATGTGTTCGTATATTGCTTCGCCGGCGAGTATCTGAGCGCCAAGGTAATCGTGTCGTCGGCAATTTGAACGAATCACGCAATCGTCCAATCATTCTTTTAGAGCAAAATGATCGGAGACGCAGCGTATGATTCCTTTTGGTACAACGTTGCGGCGAAGGATAGTCAGATCGTATTGTTCATCGTTTTGAGATCGCAGAAACGACTGACTATCACCTGTGGGAAAGTTATGGACCTATCCTTGGAGCGTTTCACTAGCGTAAGATCGAAGTTAGCCGCTTCATCAAATAAGCGAAATATTAGCGTGTTATTTGACGAACTATGAAATTGTAGGTTGTGAAGGCATCGGCGTCATATATGTCAGTGCTTTTGGCGATGTATTGAAGAGCGAAGGGTACGATGACTATTATCATTAACAAGATGAAAATATGTGAAGTTTTTTTTTCTAAATGACAGCCTTTTCTATTCCATTCGTTCTTCGCGAGCAGAAACTCGCGCTTTTTCTTCTTTCGCAAAAAAAGTAACTTATAATTGTTAATTCGGAGCTGGAACACGAAAATTACGCAAGGAAAACTTCTCATCTCGTTAGACATTTATTTCTGCTACTTAGGACAATATTGTCAACGCACACAATGCAACGATCAACCTGCGTTCACACAATTTTTTCCACAACTTTCGATTTGCACGTCCATGATGAAGAGGGATCTCTTGCGGTTTTCTGAGGGGAGAACTTTTACAATTTCGCTTTCCCTTGACGCCTGACGTGCACGCGCACTTTTAGTTACATCGTAATTAGTGCTCGACACTATGTAATTACGTAAGCTCGCTCATTTGCTTCAAAAAGAAAGAAATAAATGCAGACTTAAAGGGATATAAACGTCTTTCATGTTGATATGGGAAATTCCGAGACTTCCGATCTTTTTCACGAAGAGGAGTTGAGCTCGAGGGTCGAAGTGAATTTTTCTTTTCCTGGAAAAATTTTTTGTATCGTAATCATGATCGCGCTCATAACTTTTCACGATTGTTCGTGACCAGCGCGAACTATAATCTCAGCATATAGTCCGTCTTTTCAACAACGTTCGCACAAACTTGCGCGGTGCGTTTTCTCGTTTCTCACCCTCGCGACGCTCCCCCAGGAGCGAGAAACTTTTCAACTTTGCGCTCAGCCGTCTTATGGAAGCTGCACTACCAAGTTCGTCGCTTGATGCATTTTTAAAACAGCCATACGATCGCGCTACCCACTCTCGGCGATTACAGAGGAGGTGGAACCCATTTCCAGGATCCGGGGTTAAGAGGGGAGGAGGTGAAGAGCGATAGTCGCTGGAACCGTCACACGTGGTTTCATGTTCGGCAAACTTTGCGTACGTGGCGATAGTAATACTTAACAAGTGCTCGCGCGATTGGTCGCTGTTTGCCGACACACAAAGCTACGACTCCTCCCCTCTAGGTCTTCAGTGTGCGTAGGATGAAGAGCGTAGAATCCGGATGCGCGAAGACAAAGACACCGGCTATCTTGTCGCGTTTCCCGCCAACCTCGGTGAACATGAAGATGAGCACGCTCAGTCGCGTGGTAGAGGTCGGTCTACACGCTTGCGGTATCTGGCCATATCTGCCGTCGACCGTTATCTGTCGACTATTTTGGATCGTTCTGTTGGGGACGGCTCAGGTCTTGCAGTATCAGTACCTGTTGATTCATTATCATTCCGACAATTTCTCCGATTTCATGGACGGGATGAGCAGCGCCATGGCGTATACCCTATTGTTCATAAAACTCACCATTTTGTGGGCTAATCAGAGGTAAGATGTGCATCGTCTACATCTGTCTTTACTTTGAGATTATACAGCAGGTTACACGATAAATTTTAGATTATCGCGTATTCCCATAAATGTATGAACATGTATAACATGCGCATAAACACCAGCCGCCATTTACACTTAACTTAATCACTAATACTCACCTAAAAGAAAGAGTGATATATAGACCAGTGTTGAAAAGTGTCGCGATCGATCGAACCCGATCATCCGTAGAACTTTTTCCGATATACTGCAAATGATGAGCACGGACTGGAAGAATTGCGGCTTGACCGACCACAGTCTGTATATCACGACGAGCAGGGCGAAACTGTCGCACCGCTTCTCGCATTGGATCATAGGCCTTCAAGTGATCGCCATAGTGCTTTATAGCTGCGGCGTTCTTGCCGTAAACGCCGATGAAGTGCGTCAAATGAACGTGTCCGCGCGGGAGCATATTCTTAAGATGAAGCTGCCGTTCACAGTCAGCACTTCTCCCGTGTACGCACTGATTATGATACTCCAGTTCTTTCACCTGGTCATGTGTGGCTACGGGATCTCCTTGGTGAATTCGCTCGTCGTCACTTTGGTGAGATTTACCATGTCCTAATTAACAACACCTTCGCTACCAACGTTACACGCACGTGACGCACCAATCTCTCACTAAAGATTAATGTGACACATGAAAATAATTTATTTGGAAAAATTGCTGTGTGACTTTCCATTTAAGCGCGGTAGCGAATGTGTTGACACAAAATGACAGCGAATGTGCCAAGCCTTGTGATTACTAAACCGTGAATGCTAGATAGTTCACATCGGCGGTCAGATCGACATTCTGCGCGACTGGCTGTTGAGAGCTTTTTCCAAAAATGTCGTAAACACCGTGAACGGAATCACGATAAGGACATTGATCACGAAGCACCAACGGATCGTCGTATTTTCGCAAAATATCGAGAATCTCTACACATACATCGCGCTGATGTTGTTCGTGTCGGATACCCTTATCATATGCTGTCTGGGATTCATTATTGTCACGGTGAGTAACATCAGCAAAAATCGCGAGAACGTGAGGAACAGAGAAATTTCAGACGACTGTTCATAATATCTGTATGGAGAAACAAATCTTAGTTTTTGTAATTCAGTGGAGACCGGAATCGGTGATGAAGAATAATGTCTCTATTATCGTGAGAGGGTTCGTCTAAAAATGTGAAATCTCATTTCGTTAAACTCGATTGAAATAACTGAGAGCGATTAACCGGGTGGGAATCTTCTACAGAAATTTCTCAATCCCTGCAATCGAGTTCCCGTCTGGTCTCCAGGCAACAGTAAATCCACTAACGGACTTTTTCCATGCTTTTTCCGTGTGTACACATTATCGAAACGTTATGAATTATTCCGAATTACTCCGAATATCGATATTATAGTCGATCGGCACACCGGACGGCCCGGCGATCTTGGTGAGGTCCGTGTTATTCTACATCGTGATGAATCTCGAGACCTTCATATATTGCTTCGCGGGTGAATACCTGAGCGCCAAGGTTTGCGTCTCGCGATTTTCACGAGAACATCGATGGCTTCTCGACGACGTAGAGAAATCAATTCTGTTCGTCGTTTTCCTTCTAGAGTCAAATGATCGGCGACGCAGCTTACGATTCGCTTTGGTACGACCTCACGTCGAGAAAAAGTCGAGTTGCACTGCTGGTGATACTGCGGTCGCAGAAACGTTTGACCATGACTATCGGGAAAATTATGGATCTCTCGTTGGAGCGTTTCACAAACGTAAGGCTTGACTTTTCGTTTTCTTTTTGTACGTTCTCCGGCTCGGCGACGTAATATTCACATGTCCGCTTAAGATTCAAGCGGGCTTCAAATCGACACACAAACGACAATTGAATTGTCAATTTTCATTGTATCCCGAGTTAAATTACTTTCTTATGATGCTTATAATGTACGTTATTAATGTAACTAAAATTCATGACACATCACCAGCGATTAACATTGTAGGTCGTGAAGGCATCGGCGTCTTATGTTTCCGTGTTATTGGCGATGAACTGAAGGACCTACATCTCGATCGAATAATAATAGTATCTTCACAATGTTCACATATGGTGGTAATATTAAGTAGTAGCTGTAATAACAACATGAACGCATCGATGTAACAACATTCTAGAAATTGTCATCACATTATTTTAAATTGGTGCATTTATTCTTTGCTTAACCAAAATCTACTCGCATGTATTAACTTGTGGTCTATGCTGTTTACAGCTAATTAAAACATCCAAGACAAAGAAGATAATTATATAAGGAAAGGTCAAGTGATACTTAAGCCGGCAATGTACGGGAAAATTAATTCTTCCTAGATATATGACTAAGTTCTTACTTTTTTACGATGCGATATAAACCTCTAGAGCTTGATGTTATATCGTCCGCGAGGAGTAAGAAAGAGAGAGGAGAAGGGAGTGAAACAAAGAAAATAGAAGAGTGGACATAGCGTTTGAACAAAACTTTCCTTACTATTTTGTTTCCCCATCTTTGGGTGCTGACTTACTCTTTCTACGGTTATCGCATGCAACATTACGCAACTGAGACATATCGGTGTGTTTCACCCGGGGAATTATGCGAGTTACATTTTTCGAGGAAAGAACTCGCTGTAATGCAGGAAAAATTCTGTACGGCAGTGAGCGAAACAGAAAATCTTTATAAAAAGAAACTTTCGCCCTATGCTTTCTTTCCACCTATCCTCCTTCTCGCCTCCCACGTCCATCCGAGTTCTCCCTCCCGCGGAACTACAAAAGTTTCCCTCGCTGTCACTCGAAATTCAATCGTGCTTATTGTACGTTTGCTTGCATTTTTAAAGTAAATAACATTGCGCTACGCGCATATACCCGTTTGCCCGATAATTCGAGAGAGAGTCGACCACTCGGAAATTTTTCGTTCCTTCCGTCCCGCCCGCAGATATACTGCAACAATAGCATATATGTATGCAACCTGCCCATGACACGATCAAAATATTTAATAAGCGGCGGCATGAGGGAGGGCGCGTGCAGTTTGCATATGCACAAACATTCTCTCTCTCTCTCTCTCTCTCTCTCTCTCTCTCTCTCTTTGCGCGCGCGTACTTTTAGTCCGCAGACAGATGTATCGTGCATAAAACTATCGATCAGACATATTTCATCATGTTCGAAATTGTCGTCCTTTCGAGATTGATGCAAACGCATCAATTTGCTTCTATCAAAAAAAAAGAAGAAGAAAAGGAGAACGTTATAAGAAAGAAGTATCAATAGAAATATGAAACTAGAGAATCTGATCAGTTAGTCGATACAAGTTTGGCATCAAATTTTCGAAATCTACCTGGAATTATCGTACGTCATGCCGCGCGGGTTGTTTTGAACCGTCATGCTCATGATTGAGCAAACCTTACAGTATCTGTATATTATGACGAGTTTCTCTGGCGTCGACTTCTCCAAGGTGATAAAAACTTTGAGTGAAATAATGGCGTACTTAATATTGTTAGTTAAGCTTGGGATTTTGGTGTAAACAGCGATGAGATACGCAACAATATACGTAGCGATGTGCAGTGCCAGCGAGACCTCTCCGTTTTCAGTTTGTTTCTATAATATTTTCAAATAAAATTCCCAGTGATGATAATTGTTCTGATCATTTTTTCGTGTTCTTGTTATCAATGTGATATTGTAACCAGCGAACATTAATTGTAAAATGTTTGACAAGATATTAACATTAATGGCGGTCGATTGGAAAAAGTGCATCAATACGAAGTTCAGTATTTTCGCGATGACGAGCAAAGCGAAGTCTAATCGCGAACTATAAGCATACTCAGCATATAGTCCGTCTCTTCAACAACGTTCGCACAAAATCACGCGATGCATTTTCTCGTTTCTCACCCTCGCCATGCTCCCCCAGGAGCGAGAAACTTTTCAACTTCGCGCTCAGCCGACTCATGGAAGCTGCACTACCAAGTTCGCTGCTTGTTGCATTTTTAAAACGAACATGCGGTTGCGCTATACACTCTCGGCGGTTACAGAGGGGGTAGAAGCCGGGTCCCCAGGATCCGGGGTTAAGAGGGGAGGAGGTGAAGAACAATAGTCGCTGGAACCGTCATACGTGGTTTCATGTTCGGCAAACTTTGCGTATGTGCGTTAGTAATACTTAACGAGTGCTTGCGCGATTGGTCGCTATTTGCCGACACATAAAGCTACGACTTCTCTTCTCTGGGTCGTTCAGTGCGTATAGGATGAAGAGCGTAGAATCCGGATGCACAAAGACAAAGACAACGGTTATCTTGTCGCGTTTTCCGCCATCCCCGATAAACATGAAGATGAGCACGCTCAGTCGCGTGGTGGAGATCGGTCTACAAGCTTGCGGTGTCTGGCCATATCTGCCGTCGACCGTTCTCTACCGGCTGTTGTGGGTAGTTATGTTGGGGACAGTTCAGGTTTTGCAGTATCAGTACCTGCTGATACATTACCACTCTGACAATTTTTCCGACTTCATGGATGGGATGAGCAGCACTATGGCGTACACCTTGTTATTCATAAAACTCACCATTTTATGGGCCAATCAGAGGTAACGTGTATCGTGTACTTCTGTCTTTACTTTGAGATTATACAGCAGATTACATGATAAATTTATATTATCTCGTTTCCTATAAAAGTATGAACATGTATTACATACATATAAACAACATCACCAGCTCGTCATTTATACCTTACTTTACTCACTAATACTCACTAATACTCGAAAGAAAGAGTGATATGTAGATCAGCGCTGAAAAGTGTCGCGATCGGTTGAACCCGATCATCCGTAGAAGCTTTTCCGATATACTGCAAATGATGAGCACGGACTGGAAGAATTGCAGCTTGACCGACCACAGTCTTCATATTACAACAAGCAGGGCGAAACTGTCGCACCGTTTCTCGCATTGGATCATAGGTCTTCAATTGATCGCCATAGTGCTCTATATATGCGGCGTCCTAGCCGTAAACGCCGATGAAATGCGCCGGATGAACGTGTCCGCGCGGCAGCACATCCTTAAGATGAAGCTACCATTCACAGTCAACACGTCTCCCGTGTACGCACTGGTTATGATACTCCAATTCTTCCTCCTGGTCATGTGCGCCTGTGGGGTTTCCATCGTTAATTCGCTCGTTGTCTCTTTGGTGAGATTTGTCATATCTTAATTAACAACACCTTCGCTACCAACGTTACACGTACGTGACGCACCAATTTATCATCAGAGATTAATGTGACACATAAAAATAATTTACTTGGAAAAACTACTGTGTGACTTTCCATTTAAGCGCGGTAGCGAATGTGTTGACACAAAATGACAGCGAATGTGCAATGCTTTGCTACTACTGAAACGCGAATGCTAGATCCTTCACATCGGCGGTCAGATCGATATTCTACGTAACTGGCTGCTGAGAGGGTTTTCCCAAAACGTCATCAACACTGTGAACCGAATCACGATAAGGGCATTGATCACGAAGCACCAACGGATCGTCGTATTTTCGCAAAATATCGAGAATCTCTACACATACATCGCGCTGATGCTGTTCGTATCGGATACCCTTATTATATGCTGTCTGGGATTTATCATCGTTTCGGTGAGTAATATCGGCAAAAATCGCGAGAGCGTTACATAAGGAACAGAGAAATTTCAGACGACTATTCATAATATCTGTATGGAAAAACAAATCTTAGTTTATGTAATTCAATGGAGATCAGACTCCAAGACTCGGTGATGAAGAATAATGTCTCTGATATCGTGAGAGGATTCGTCTAAAAATGTGAGATCTCGTTCCGCTAAACTCGAATGAAGTAACTGAGAGCGATTAACGGAGTGGAAATTTTCTACAAGAATTTCTTAATCCCTGTAATCGAATTGCCGTCTGGTCTCCAGGCAATAGTAAATCCATTGACGGACTTTTTTCATGCTCTCTGTGTGTACACATTATCAAAACTCTATGAATTGTTCCGAATTATTCTGAATATCGTCATTACAGTCAATTGGCACACCGGAAGGCCCGGCGATCTTGGTAAGGTCCATGTTATTCTACATCATGGTGAATCTCGAGGCTTTTATATATTGCTTCGCGGGTGAATACCTGAGTGCCAAGGTTTGCGTCTCGCGATTTCCACGAGAGCGTCGACGGCTTCTCGACGACGTGGAGAAATCTGAAAATTCTGTTCGTTGTTCTTCTTCCAGAGCCAAATGATCGGCGATGCGGCCTACGATTCGCTATGGTACAACCTCACGTCGAGAAAAAATCGAATTACATTGCTGATGATACTGAGGTCGCAGAAACGTCTGACCATCACGATCGGGAAAATCATGGATCTCTCATTGGAGCGTTTCGCCAGCGTAAGTCTTGACTTTCCGTTTTCTTCTTGCACGTTCCCCGGCTCGGTAATGTAACATTTATGCGTTCGCTTAAAATTCAGGCTGGCTTCAAATCGACACACAAACGACAATTGAATTATCGATTTTCATCAAATTGTATCCCGAGTTAAATTACTTTTTTATGATGCTTATAATATACGTTATTAATGTAACTAAAATTCATGATACATCAGCAGCGACTAACATTGTAGGTCGTGAAGGCATCGGCGTCATATGTTTCCGTGTTATTGGCGATAAACTGAAGACCCACGCCTTGATCGATCGATAATAGTATCTTGACAGTTTCAGTGTCCACACATAACAGTAATATTAAGTAGTTGCTGTAATAACAACAAGAACGCATCGATGTAACAACAATCTAGAAATCGTCATCGCATTATTTTAAATTGGTGCATTTGTTACTCGTCTGACCGAAACCTATTCGCATGTATTAACTTGTGGACTATGCTGTTTCCAACTAATTAAAACACCCAAAACAAAGACGACAATTGCGTAATGAAATTTTAAGTGATACTTAAGCTGACATTGTACGGGAAAATTAATTCTTCCTAGATATATATGACTGAGTTCTTACTTTTTTACAGTGCACTATAAACCTCTAAAGTTTGATGTTATAAGTTTATCGTCCGCGAGGAGTAAGAAAGAGAGAGGAAAAGGGAATGAAACAAAGAGAATAGAAGAGCATACATAGCATTTGAACAAAACTTTCCTTACTATTTTGTTTCCCCATCTTTGGGTGCTGAGTTACTCTTTCTACGGTTATCGCATGCAACATTACGCAACTGATTGTGAGACATATCCGTGTGTTTTACCCGGGGAATTATGCGAGTTACATTTTTCGAGGAAAAAACTCGCTGTAATGCAGGAAAAATTCTCTACGGCAGTGAGCGAAACAGAAAATCTTTATAAAAAGAAACTTTTGCCTTCTGCCTTTTTTCTACCTACCCTCCTTTTCGTCACTCATGTCCATTCGAGTTCTCTTTCCCATCTGTGGAACTACAAAAGTTTTCTTCGCGGTCACCGGAATTGAATCGTGCTCACTGCAACGTTTGCTTGCATTTTTAAAGCAAATAACACTGTGCATATCCCGGTTTGCCCGACAATTCGAGAGAGGGTCGACCGACCACCCGGAAGTTTTTACCTTCTCCTGTCCCGTCCGCCAACATACCGCAACAATAGCGTGTATGTATGCAAACTGCCCATGACACGATCAAAATATTTAATAAGCGGCGGCACGAGGGAGAGCGCATGCAGTTTGCATATGCACACATATGCCCTCCCTCTATCTCTCTCTCTTTCTCTCTCTCTCTCTCTCTCTCTCTTTGCGCGCGCCAGCTTTTAGATGTATTATACACGAAACGCTATCTATAAGACGTATTTCATAATGTTCGAAATTGTCGTCCTGTCGAGATTGATGCAAACATATCAATTTGCTTCTATCAAAAAAGAAGAATAAGAGAAAGATATAAGGAAAGATAAAAGGAAGAAGTAACAATAGAAATATGAAACTGGAGAATCTGATCAGTCAGTCGATACAAGTCTGGCTTCAAATTTTCGGGATCTGGCCGGAATCGTCATGCCGCGCAGATTGTTTTGGACCCTCATGCTCATGATCGAACAAACCTTGCAATATCGATATATCACGACGAATTTCTCTAACGTCGACTTGTCCGAGGTGATGAAAACTTTGAGTGAAATAATGGCGTTTTTGATATTATTAACTAAACTCGGGATTATTTGGTGTAAACAGCGGTAAAATACGCAACAATATACATAGCGATGTGCAGTGCCAGCGAGACCTCACCGTTTTCAGTTTTTTTCTATTTTCGAACAAAATTTCCGGTGACGATAATTGTTTCGATCATTTTTTCGCGCTCTTGATACCAATATGATATTGTAATCAGCAAACATTAATTAAGAATTAAAATAATTAATAAGTAAAACGTTTGACAAGATATTAACATTAATGGCGGTCGAATGGAAGAAGTGCATCAACACGAAGTTCAATATTTCCGCCATGACGAGCAAAGCGAAGTCTAATTGCGAACTATAATCTCAGCATACAGTCCGTTTCTTCAACAACGTTCGCACAAAATCACGCGAGGCATTTTCTCGTTTCTCACCCTCGCCATGCTCCCCCAGGAGCGAGAAACTTTTCAACTTCGCGTTCAGCCGACTCATGGAAGCTGCACTACCAAGTTCGCTGCTTGTTGCATTTTTAAAACGGCCATGCGATTGCGCTATATACTCTCGGCGGTTACAGAGGGGATGGAAGCCACCCCCAGGACCCGGGGTTAAGAGAAGAGGAGGTGAAGAACGATAGTCGCTGGAACTGTCACACGTGGTTTCATGTTCGGCACTTTGCATATGTGCGTTAGTAATACTTAACGAGTGCTTGCGCGATTGGTCACTATTTGCCGACACATAAAGCTACGACTTCTCTTCTCTGGGTCGTTCAGTGCGTATAGGATGAAGAGCGTAGAATCCGGATGCACAAAGACAAAGACAACGGATATCTTGTCGCGTTTTCCGCCATCTCCGATAAACATGAAGATGAGCACGCTCAGTCGCGTGATGGAAATCGGTCTACAAGCTTGCGGTGTCTGGCCATATCTGCCGTCGACCGTTCTCTACCGGCTGTTGTGGGTAGTTACGTTGGGGATAGTTCAGGTCTTGCAGTATCAGTACCTGCTGATACATTACCACTCCGACAATTTTGCCGACTTCATGGATGGGGTGAGCAGTACCATGGCGTACACCTTGTTGTTCATAAAACTCATCATTTTGTGGGCCAATCAGAGGTAAAATGTGTATCGTGTACTTCTGTCTTTGAGATTATACAGCAGATCATATGATAAATTGTGTAGTGTCAGCGAAACCTCTCCGTTTTTTTTTTTTTCTAAGAAAGCTCCCGATGATGATAATTGCTTCGATCATTTTTTCGCGATATCATGACCAGTGAAGATTAATTGTAGGACGTTTGACAAGATATTAACGATGATGGCGGTCGATTGGGAGAAGTGCGCCAACACGGAGTTCAGTATGTTCGCGATGACGAGCAAAGCGAAGGTGTCGCACTGGCTCGCGAACTGGACGATCACTCTTTACTCGATAGCTGTAGTTTTGTATAGCAGCGATGTTCTGCTATACCGCTTGAATATCAGCAGAATCTCCAATAGCAGCGCACGACCGTTCATTCTAAAGATGGAGATCCCGTTCGACAGTGACAAAAGATTCGTGTACGAGTCGATCATAATTACACAATTCTTTCACTTGGTGTCGTGCTCCTGTACGTTTGCGGCGATCAACGTTTTACTTATAATCTTGGTGAGTACATTGTGACCGAGATTTATTATCATTTTATTGTACATTGTAAGCCATGCTAATTAGTGGCCGGCAATGTCTCATTAAGTCACGTGAAAAATAGTTTACAATTAAGAAAAAGCTAATGAAACGAAATGAAAGATATGTACATTTCGAATTTGATTTATTTACCACATCCTCAATAATTCGATCATCAATTAAGCTCACGTTACAATGAATGCAAATCAGACGAAGTAGTTATCATTAACAAAGTTGCTGTCATGATATATCGTCAAGCAAACAAATTGTTCGGATTGTTCATATTATGAAAAGTATTTTACTGATGAATTTCATTCATCCTGCGATTTTTACTACATATTTGCCTTTTCCAGAGATTTCACATCAGAAGCTTGATTGAGCTTTGAACATTTAACGATTTTTTCCAATCCAATTAGCATGGCAGTTGACAAAACGGTGTATTTCAGATTCTACATGTCGCTGGTCAAATCGATATACTTTGCGAATGGTTGGTGGAAATTTTTCCGTTAGCGAGGAAATGCGACTTGAATCTTATCATGATAAGGAAAGTGATCAAGACGCATCAGAAAATCATCACTTTCTCGGAGCACATCGAAGACCTGTATTCAGGTATCGCGATGGTAATATTCATATCGGACACTCTAATTATCTGCTGCTTGGGATTTGTAATCGTTGCGGTAAGGAGTAGCTTCTGACAATTGCACATCGCGATAAAGAAAGATATGCATCATTGGTTATTGAAAAAACTTTCCTCTTATATTCCAGTCGGTCGGGACACCTGGTGCTTCGAAGATTATAATAAAGACCTTTTTATTTTATATCGTCATGAACCTGGAGGCATTTATATTCTGTTTCGCCGGAGAATATCTAAGCGCTAAGGTTAAAGATATCAGCTATAATCAGATAAACAAGATATCATCTACTCGGAGAAATATCCCAAGATATGTTAATGTCAAGTTTCATTCGACGTTTACGTGCAGAGCCAAACCGTCGGAGATGCCGCGTATGATTCCCTGTGGTACGAATCGAATCCCAAAAACAGTCGGCTGATGTTGCTTTTAATAATGAGGTCGCAGAATCAACTAACCATCACAATCGGGAAGGTCATGGACTTATCTTTGGAACGATTTAGCGGCGTAAGATCGCTTGTTTTATGTACATGGATTTCTAACGCGCTTATTAACTCGGTTGAATATTTCATTGAGACATCGCTTTTTAATATCTGGTGCTGTCAATATCCGGATATCCAAAAGTATGATTCAAATATCACTCAAACACCGAAATTTTTCCAGATAAACATTCCAATAACCGGCCGCAGAAATTTTTCAATTTATACCGACAGCATTGATCTTATTATTAATTTATTGACCTAATTTTCGCACCATGCACATGTTGCTTAACTTCTTGTGTTCGACATGTTTTCTTTTCTTTTAACGTACGTAAAGACCACGAAAATTACAGTTTTACGCTTCTTACTCACTTGCGTTATCCTGTCACCTTCTTTTGCTTGCGGCAATCAGAAATAATGCATCGCGTAAATATTAACTCGGCTGCAGAGACTTGCATCCACTAGCGAATATAACATTGTTGTAGATCGTGAAGGCTTCAGCTTCCTATATATCGGTTCTGCTTGCGATGTACTGAGAAAAGCGGGGCTCGTGCAGCGTCGAACTTCTGCGTTATGAGCGTTCAAGTGCAGCTGTTCTGTTCGCGGAACGAAAAATTTGCACACCAATTAGTATCGACGAGAATCGCTGCGGTACTTCTCATCAGTCATTCCCGACATGCGAAAAGAACAAGAGAATAAAGCTTTTGAGGGGCGAGAGGCTCTCGCACAGCAAAATCGATAATTTGAGATGCGTGATATTAATTCAATGAACCCGAACATAAAGTAACCTCGCAGTTTCCCCTCCACACCGACCTCTTCACTCACTCCTCAGACCCCTTCGATTTTCCGTTTCTTTTTCCTCGGGTTTTCCACACCGAAATTACACGCTTTATGCTCGTGCATAACGGCCTGCATGTTTAATCGCGCGATAATTTGCTGGCGTCGCGACGTCGCACCTGCCAGGGGTAGGAACGAAAACTCGCCTCTAACCTGCGAATTGTTCTTTCTTTCTCCCTCCCCTCCCTTTTGCCTTCCCACCCTCGTGCGACTATAGTCGCGGTTGCGTTTTACGCTTGCTACCGCGAGAATAATTGATGGCTAATCGAGACCGTCAGGGTCAATCGCCCCGCGACGAGCTCTCCCGAAGAGCGACCGTCCAACTTTCAGCGAGACATCTCTGTCGCACGTTGCGTGGCGCCTCGAGATATTCCACGACGGAACAACTAACGACAGAAGAGCTCCTTCTGCCCAGCGATCATGAAAGTCAGCACGGTGTGCTTCTCCATAAAATTTGTGCTCCGCATCTTCGGCGTCTGGCCGAACGCATCGTGCGTCGTCCTACGCAGGTTGTTCTGGTCCGTGTTGCTGATCGTCACGCAGGTCTTTCAGTACGCGTACTTTGTAGTGCACCTCCGCACGGACGATCTACCGGACCTCATGGACAGCCTCAGCTGCGCCCTGGCCTACACCCTGCTGCTCATCAAACTGATTATCTTCTGGGTCAATGAGCGGTAAGTCTTACGGTTGCTGTTGTGCTCCTCTCCCTACCTTCATTTTCTCAATATCGCTCTCCACGGTGAAATCATCCGGGATCACCCAATCCTATCGCGCATGAATACGTCGCAGAAAATTCCACGAGGTCCTGACGATGATCGCCAGCGACTGGAAGGAGTGCGCAAACTATCCGTTCGGCATGCACGTAACCACCAGCACGGCCACGATGTCGTATCGCGTCTCGAACGCGATAATCGGCCTCCACATGGTCGCCGTGCTGACCTATAGCTTCGGCGTGCTGTTGTCCGACGTCGAGAACGCGGGCTTTAATGCGTCCACCGTGCCTGCGCGACCGCTCATCATAAAGATGGAACTGCCCTTCGACAGCAACAGCTCACCCGTCTACGAACTCGTGATGGTCGTGCAATTCTTCCAGCTGATGTCAAACGCCTGCGCGATCGACGTGCTGAACGCCTTGATCTTGACGTTGGTAAGACACATAGGTGCGGGAGGTAACTCTCGTGAATTCAGAGGATGAATACTGCAGAGCTTCGAAAACCTATCGAATCTTCTTTCCTCGAGACGAATATTTCGCGGCTTGAAGTAAATCGAATCTTCCAAGCGTTACTGCATCGACTTAACGTCTTCCAGGAATAATGTTGTTAATCTTGCAAGCCTGACTTAACTTCGTTATTTCGTGATAGCTGAATGCTTGAGCAAAATTCTACGGGATTGTGCAAAGTGGGAGGGAAATCAAGTCTCGATGTGTATTTTCATTTTTCCGGGACGTACAAACTTGAGTAACCGCGATAGAACGCAAGGTTGAGAGAGCGTTGCATCGCGTTTCCTCCAATGAGACATTTCTAGATTTATTTTATAATTTGTAGATACTTCACGTCGGCGGTCAGATCGATATCTTGCGAGAGTGGTTAACGAACATTTTCCCCAGCGGTGGTATGTACGGCACGAGTGGAATCACCATAAAGACTATCATCGGGAAACACCAGAAAATCATCATGTTCTCCGAGAGTGTCGAGAGTCTCTATTCTTACATCGCGCTCATGCAATTTGTATCAAACACCTTGATCATTTGCTCCATAGGCTTTGTCATTGCCTCTGTGAGTATTATTGAGAGAAACTTGCGAGCTTCGATTAATCGTTAATCAAGCATCTTCACAACAAGAGATATCAAGAAAGAAATTAAAAATTCAACTCCTCTTAAATTTCTTTAGCTTCTTCAGCTTCTTGAGTGAGCGAATGAATCGTTAATTGAATTTAATTGCACATTAAACCGGGAAATAATCGATCTCGGGATTTTATCAACGCGGTTGCTACTTAATTATCTTCATCATAAAATTTATATCCTAAAACACGATTTTTGATAGCGTTTCCAAAAAAATGAAAATTTTAAAAATGCCACACGCGTATTAAGGGATAAATAGCGTCGTGCTATGTTGCAGTCGTTAGGCAATCCGGACGTTTCCACGATATTGGTGAAGACCCTGCTGTTTTACATCGTCATGAACCTCGAGGCCTTCATCTTCTGCTTCGCCGGGGAATATCTGAGCACTAAAGTCAGCGTACGATATCAATATGGCATCTCTACAGAAAACAATAATCTCGCTTCTTGCGTGGCTTTTCCAGAGCTTGAACATCGCTGACGCGGCTTACGGGTCTCATTGGTACGATATGCGTGTGAACGAGAGTCGGCCAATAACGTTCCTGATCCTGAGGTCCCAAAAGCGACTAACGATTACGATCGGAAAGATCATGGATCTCTCATTGGAACGTTTCGCTAGCGTAAGCCTCCGTATTGCACCATCGTCTCACGTTGTCTGTTGAATATCTCGTACTGCCAATATCGTCATTCTATGACTCATTCATCCGCATATTAAAGCTCCATTGAATCTCTCATCCGTTCACGCGTCATCTTTGATAATCCTCCCCCATATGTATAGCATATTATCATTATAGATTATAAAGGCGTCGGCGTCCTACGTGTCGATGCTGCTGGCCATGTCCTGAGAGAGAGAAAGAAAGAAAGAGGAAGATAAAGGGACACGGTTAGCAATCACACTTAGTTGCGAAAAACGAGCGTCCAGAAGCGAGCGATTAGTTGCGAGAAAGCCATGAGCGATTTTCGGTAACGAATCGCGCTCTAGATTGAGAGCCTCATGTAAATCTAGGATCCGTCCTGACTACAAGACGACCGATTCCACATGTGTTACTTTTAGATGTTAATTATTCAACTGTACGACTCTGTCGTGCTGGGGTGAAATATACGTCGTTGCGCATGTTCGAGACTGCAGTTTTCACCAATATCGACGAATCCTCGCATGTGTTGTGACGAATTCGCAAAGTGAATTGATAAGGTGAAAGCATTTATGCCCGGACATGTATCTGACTCCGAAAATTTTACCAAAACAATAAGAATGTCGAGAACGAGACATATGTCTCGGCACCGGTACTTTGACCTTACTTTCTTCGCGAAAGAACTTTACTTTCTTCGCGAAAGCTGTCTTTGCGAAATACATGCCTCTCCTGCGACGTCCGCTTCGATCCAACGACTCATTCACATTTTTTGTATCGAGAGATACAATTAGAGATAATTAGAGAGAGAGAGAGAGAGAGAGAGAGAGAGAGAGAGAGAAACAGAGATATCGAGAGATAGCTTGTGATAGGTGTGTTTGCAGTGAAACAGATAATTTGTGCCACGAGAGAGAAAGAGAGAGAAAAAGAGAGAGAAATGTGGACTCCGCAGGACTCTACATGAATAAAAATAAACTCGAAAGAAGAGCCTCAGGAGGCAAGTGAGTAGTTTGAAACACATGCAATTCAAATTTACAGAAATTACTATCCCGACGCGCGCATACACACACACACACACACACACACAGTATGTACATCCCCCGACTTGAACGACAAAATGCCTCAATTATTGAGGCAACAATACTGGGAGTAGTATCTTATCGTACGTAAAAATCGACCGGCTGCTGCCCTTTCTTATTTCTTGAAAATAATTTTCCGGGAAAAATCGAAGGAGCATCATATGCGTGATCGCTGAAAACAATTTCATATCTTCTGTCATACGTCGCACATTATGTCTACGCCTGCTTGACTCTTCGTGAATCTTTAAAGAAAATTTCTCGAATCGCCTTTCGCCGATCTTTCTCCTTTGTCCCTTCTTTTAAATAGCTTTTAATCAAGAAACGCGCAAGAGCAAGAGAAAAACGCGACTGGGGCACACGCGAGCTCTATACTACGCAAATATTTAATGAGCAATTCTCACTGCAATCGGAGGAAAGGCGCTCGTCCAGTGCATTTTCCGTCGAGATCCTCCAGTTCATGGAAGGACACGCACATTGTCCGACAATCAACAACGTGTCCACGCACGATAGCGCTCGATACGAAATTGTCGCGTTGCCGAGAGCCTTTTTCACGAAATAATGGACGGGACGGACATGGGGAACTCGAAAAGCGCCCAATCGAGAAGAATGATCAGCTGGCCGCTCGAGATGCTGCTTCGCCTGTTCGGCATCTGGCCAGGCGTATCGTACGGTCCACTATGCAAAGTGATCTGGATGATCATCATGACGACCAACATGTTCCTTCAGTATGTGTTTGTCATCATCCAAGCGCGCACCGTCAACTTGACTATTTTTATGTACGCGATCGCCGTGTCTCTGGCGGGAAGCATGAAGCTCTTTAAACTAGCCACTTTCTGGTGCAATCAGCGGTGAGACATACATGATATAATTACACGCGTCAAATCGAGCTTCAAAGTACTTTCGCACGCATGCGTCACTTTCACCATGAATGTAGAAAAGCTTATGTCGAGAAATCGGAAACGGTGTAATTACGGCGAAGTTGACTTTCCGATGCTGGGTCCGAGTGAAAAGAATAATTTTCAGTTAATCGTCGCAGCATTTTCGGGTAACAGCGCTCTTATCGTCGCGCTGGAACTTGAACATTTGTTAGTATGTATTTACAGCATCGAAATTGGCACTCACCGTGACCACACCGGGACTCCTCACGATCTCATTTACGACAGTATGTAAAAGTCTGAATCTCCCGGCGAATGTCAATATCGTCCATAAGAATAATCGCTTGTAGACGATTCAACGAGATGTGGGCCGTGATGTCGTCGTACTGGGAGCTCAGCGATGCCTACACGAGTAACATCAGGAAAATGTATGTGATGCGTCACATGCCCAATTTCATCGTGGCGTTCAATTCGCTATCGGTGATAATGACCTCTGTCAGTATCCTCTTGAGCGGGATTCATTACGACGAGGCTTCCAACACGACGCGGCCGTACATCATGATGATGCATCTTCCATTCGACATTAATAAACAGTCCGTGTATTTAGTCGTGATATTTCTGCAATTCTTTTATCTGCTGCTCATTACTACCGGTGCGGCCACCCTTAATTCGATTTTTATTATTCTGGTGAGTATTGGCGGCCGTGAGCTGCAGGAGAAACAAGCTTCTCGAGCTCACCGACGATTCCTCTTCGCTCCTATAAACGAAAATGAATAGGCTCGTGTTTTTTAGATGCTGTACTTAGGCGATCAGATCGATATCGTTTGCAGAAGCCTGACGAAGTTGCCGCAAGGCGAGAATGAACGCATGACGACGATGAAACAGATAATCCAAAAGCATCAGAGTATCATCAATTTTTCAGAAAATATCGAATCGCTGTACACATACATCGCGCTGGGGTTACTCCTGCTTAATACCTTGCTCACCTGCGTTTTAGGTTTTATACTCGTCACGGTGAGTAGCGACGGCAAGTCGAGCAGTCAACAGAATCATTATTGCCGCTAAATTCTTACCAATCAAGGTCCTCCTGTGAACAATGTGTTATTGATAATAACGAGATTTTAATATGGTGCAACAGCAAAAATAATGTATCGATACAAATTTACCAATACTATATTGCACTCCCACTATTATCAAGTAATTTTTTCGATCGTTGCAGTCAATCGGATCGCCTCATTTCACCAAGATGCTGATGAAGAACCTTCTGTTCTATTGCGCGGTTAACATCGAGACGTTTGTGTTCTGCTTCGCCGGGGAATATCTCAGTACCAAGGTAATCATCGGCGGTGAATGATGATAAATATAACGTAGGACAAATTTTCGATGACAAGACGGTGTTCTCTTCTCCGCACACAGAGCAGAGAAATCAGCGAGGCTGCGTATAACTCATTTTGGTATCAGTCCAAATTCCACAGTCGCGTCGTTTTGTTCATGATAATGAGGTCGCAGAATCAGCTGACGATCACGATGGGAAAATTCATGGATCTATCTTTGGAGCAGTTCTCCACTGTAAGGCAGTGCGTAGATTTCAAGATATCACAATAATGGATTAATTAAAGACGTACGTTTGGTATTTTTGCAGATTGTAAAAACTTCAGCGTCTTACATATCGGTACTGTTGGCTATGTATTGAAGAGAGAACACATACCGTATTGATAGTTAATATTTTAAGTAAATGTTACGAATTATTACTACGTATTTAGGAATTGAAGAAAATTGACCCACAATTCTCTCTCGATAAAATCTTTGCTACTAATATCCAACATAACCAGTCAATAACAAAATACGTCGGAGCTTTTCGTCAAGTACACTTAACATGTATATCAGTCCCCATGGAATTTATTAAAACACGCATTATGCGTTTACCTTTGTAATATCGGCAAGGAGGAAGGCGTGAATTTGATCAAGACGAGCACAAAACGTAACCTACACGTTTTTTCGCTATGTCCTCCGAAGCAAACATAATTTATTGATGATATAAGGTGCGTAAAATTTCATAAAAGATTATTCGATACATGTCTCGCGAACTCGATCTCCACTCAAGACATTTTTCCCTGAGTCTCCGACTTTTCCCTCGGTCTAACGGGCTATAAGAGACTTTTTCTCTTCACTCCCTTGGGAATTGCTGTTTCAAAACAACTCGAGATATCTTCCTTGCTGACCTCACACGATTCGCAAATCAATATGCATGTCGTGTGCACATTTATAAAAAACTTGAATTTCCCAAGTAAACTGTCCTTGATCGTAATATCGGGATTGTCAATGAGTTAGGACAAATTGTTATATTGTATTCTATAATTCTTGATATATATAAACATTGAAATATATCGTTTTAAATGTAACTTTGGTACATTATATGATGATGAGTACAATGAAATAATTGACGGTACTAATTTCTCTATATCAGAGACAAGATTTTTTCGAACATTTCTTAATTATTTTCCAGATCTTCAAGCATGAATATACAATTCCTTGAAAAAAGAAAGCCAACAGCCTGAAACACGCAAGTTTGCATGTATGAAGGTCACCACAGTCCGTAAAAACGACGCATCCCCCGAGACGCGTAGCATTATTATTTTCCCTTCTGCATTTCCTTTCTTTAATGCAATTCCTTACCCTGCGAGTTGTTCAGGGCGTATGGTTGATTTTCATATATACACCTACAGCATTTCCAATCGTTACACGATACACTACATTATTAAGGTAAGCGCGCTATGAGCAGTAATTGTACCAAACGTAAAAGATCCTTCGAGCCGCGTCGTCAGGTTTCTTTTCTCTCGAAAATGACTTTCCGTAATATATTGAGGGAACATTGAGTGCGCGATCGTTAAAAACAATTTGATATTATGATGTCCCGTACCGTGTCTACGCATGCTTGACTCCGTGAATCTTTAAAGAAAATTGCTCATCGCGACGTGGCATTCGTCAGACCAACAGCGTGTCTTTTTTCCCGACATTTCTATTTTTCCTTTGTTCTCTTTTTCTGTGAGAGCAGTATCATGAATCATCGAGAAAACACGACAAGCTGTATGACACGAATGCGAATATTTAATGAGCAATTCCCAGTGGAATTGAAGGAGGGAGCGCTCGTCTGGTTCATCTTCCGTCAAGACCCTCCAGTTTACTGAAGGACACCTCGCCGCGCATATCATCCGGCAATCAACAGGTCCACATACAAATGCCCGATACGATCAGTTTGCCTCCGAAGTCATCTTCCGCGAAACAACGGAACATGGAGAAATCGATAAGTGTACATTCGAGAAGGATAATCAGTTGGCCGCTCAAGATGTTGCTTTGCCTATTCGGTATCTGGCCAGGCCTGACGTACGGCCTGGCCTGCAAAGCATTTTGGCTGATTGTAATGGTCGTCGGCACGATTCTTCAGTATACGTTCCTTGTCATTCACGCGCGCACTATCGATTTCACCACTTTTATGTACGCGTCTGCCTTCACACTGGCGCTGAGCACGAAGTTTATCAAAATAGCCATTTTCTGGTATAATCAGCGGTGAGACATACATGATAAACCGCGTATCGCACACGTAGTGTCGATAGAGATCGAAAGTGCTCGGTGATTATCAATACGCGTGTGCTTGTCGGAAAGCTGGAAGCAATGTAATTACGGCGATTTCGATTTTCTTACAGCCGCGATGAGGTGAAAATCGATGTCGAGTTGATGGTCACATTCGTAACGTCGCGATTAAAGGCGACCGGTTGGCTTGCGTGCGTCGCACGCAGCACCGCGGTCGGAACTTATCGCGATTACTCATCGCGACTCTTGAATAGCACAGTATGCTTATTGTCAAAATCGAAATCCGCCGATCGTGAATGTTGTTAGAATAACCGCCTGTAAGAATGACCGCTTGTAGAAGATTCAACGAGATGTGGAGGACGATGTCGACGAATTGGGAACTCGGCAGCGATTGCACGAACGCGATCGACAGCGCCGGGAAAATTCACGTGTTGCGCCACTTGCCCAACTTCATCGTTGCGTTCAATTCGATATCCGTGATCATGAATTCCGCCAACATCCTCACGAACAGTATTCATCACGACGAGGCTTCCAACATAACGCAATCCTACGTGGTGTGGATGCATCTTCCATTCGACGTTAATAAACATTCTGTGTATCTAGTCGTGATATTTCTACAATTTTTCTACGTGCTGATCCTTTCCGCGGGCGCCGCCACAATCAATTCGGTTCTCGTCATTTTGGTGAGTGCCCGAAGCGTACAGGAAATGATTAACGCGTTCGCTACCAGATGGAGAGGAGGACAACCTGAATTAATGCGGTACGAACGAACCAAAAGGCATTTCGCTGGAAGGAGACAGAATTTCCGGGTCCTCGAGTTGATTCTAGGAACGCTTCTTTTTCCGACCAAAATTCGTTTGCCTCTTTCATCGTCGCGTTAAATCAATTTTTTCTTTTTCATCATCACACATGTACAACGTATCGATCTCTCGCTAAAGATCAGAACGTGTAGATTAATTAACGCCCAATTTTGCTCATCTGATACATTTTATGTATATTAATACATGCATTAAATATGGTAAAACATAATGTGGACGTTTAGCGAGCGACCTTCAATTTGAGCGTGGTAGCAAAAGTGTTGAACACATCGAGCACGCTGTCGACTTCCTTTTGTTCTACACAAAATTAAACAGCTTCGTGTGTCTTTTAGATGCTGTACTTAGGCGGTCAGGTCGACGTCATTTGTAGATGCTTGACGCACATGCCGCAGGGCAAGCACGTGCGCATGACGGACGTGACAGTGGTGAAGGAAATAATCCGTAAACACCAGAGCGTCATTACCTTCTCGGAACATATCGAGTCCCTGTACACGTACATTGCGCTGATATTGCTTCTACTCAACACCCTGATCACCTGCGGCTTAGGTTTCATACTTGTCACGGTGAGTAGCAAAAAGATCGCGATAACGAATCACGATCACTGCAGACTGAGTCTTCGTCGACGAGTCCCTCTGTGAACAGTATCAATAATATCAATAATACGAGGGTCATTCAAATATAAACCGGACTTTTTATCTGCGGACTCAGAAAGAGCCGCAAGCGGGCCGAGACACTCCAGGCAGTTAGGTATAGATGTGTGAAGGGAAGCGACCTCCCGCAACATTCCACAGTTGCTATTCCCTCGTCAGTAGCACCATGACTGAATAAGAGGTACCTACGACTGTTGCGCAACGCATTATCATCCAATTTCTTGCTAACGAAGGCGTCAAACCAACTAAAATTTTGACTAGACTGCAAGCACAGTTTGGTGATGGTACCCTGTCAAGAACCCAAGTGTTTGATTGGGCGAAAATATTTCACAGTGGTCGTAATGCTGTGGAAAACGAAAGTCACGAACGTCGCGACGTCCGCGATCGAGTGTCACTGATGAGATCATTCGGGCCGTTCGCGAACTTGTGCAAGATGACCGGCGCTTAACTGTAGTCAAAATCTCATCGGAGATGGGCATAAGTATTGGGAGTGCTCACACAATTCTCTCAGAATACCGGCAACCCATTCGCGACATTCTGCTTCTCCATGACAACGCGAAGCCTCATACAACAGCCTTAACCCGTGATAAACTCGGAAAAATGTACTGAACACCACTTGAACACCATCTTTGCAATCCCGATTTATCCTCATCTGACTTTCACATGTTTGGACCCATGAAGGAGACTTTAGGAGGGGAAAGATTTAACGACGACGCAGCAGTTGAGCAGTACGTGCGCAATTGACTGTTGGAGCACCCTTCTTCTTTTTTTTTATGAAGGGGTCAAGAAGAACCTATCCGGTGGGGAAGATGCATTTCCGTTGAAGGAAACTACGTAGAAAAGTAATATATCGCTTTTGTAATTTCATCTGTTACCAATAAATCTGTAAAAAAGAAATCCGGTTTATATTTGAATGGCCCTCGTATCAAGAAATATCGTGCAACAGAAAATAGTGCATTAACGCTCATTGGCGATCACTCGATCGAGAGAAATATGTCGTTATTGCCGAATTATCTCCCCTGTTGTCGCAGTCGGTCGGATCGCCCATTTTCGCTAAGATGGTCATGAAGAACCTCATGTTCTACTGCGTAGTTAACATCGAGACTTTCGTGTTTTGCTTCGCCGGGGAGTACATTAGCTCTAAGGTTAGCTATAGCATCAGCGATCATCGACAGAACACGGTAATGAGAGTCATGTAATGTACGGCTTCGATTAAGAGGCGTTTTCTTTCTCGCACGCAGAGCAGAGAAATCGGCGAAGCCGCGTACAACTCGCCCTGGTATCAGTCCAAGTTTCACAGTCGCATGATTTTATTTATGATAATGAGGTCGCAACATCAGTTAACGATCACGATGGGAAAGTTTATGGACCTGTCGTTGGAACGATTCTCCACTGTAAGACGCGTTGCGTTACACTTTCCGCGATATTTGACGTTCGATGATTAAAAATATTCCACATTGTTGCAGATTACAAAAGCTTCGGCGTCCTACATGTCGGTCCTGCTGGCGATGTATTGAGAAGAGAGTACATTCCGTAATAATAAACACTTTGACTGAATGTTACCAGTTATTAGTTAGGGATTTGTAGTCATTACTAGTATTTCGAGATTACCAGTGGTTAGGAATTAAAGAGAATTAGCACACTGTAGTTGAGAAGTGCCTTGTTTCCGTTCAATTTCCAGCACGCACCGCAATAGCATAGCAGCTTAATTATAAAACATTCATTCGCGGCAGTCTTTTTCGTCGATACGACCCTCTAACTTTTCCCCCCATAAGACACTTTTTTTCTTCGCTCCCTTCTTCGGAATCGCTACTTCGGAAAAACTGGAGATATCTTCTTCGGTGACCTTACACAATTCGCAAATCGATATGCATATCGTGTGTACATTTATAAAAAAACTTGAGTTTTTCAAGCAAAATGGCCTTGACCGTAATATCGGGATTGTCGATGAGTTGGATATCGTTATCTTGTTCTCTATAATTTTTTACATATATATATATATATATATATACATTGAAATATACCGTTTCAAATGTAATTTTGGTACATTATGTAATAATAAATAATTGACGTAATAATAATTGACGTGATAATAAATAATTGACGTAATAATAAGTAATTGACGGAATTAATTTCTCTATAGCAGGGACCAAATTTTTTTGAACATTTACTTATTATTTTCCGGATTTACAAGCATGAATGATTAGAATACACAATTCTTTGAAGAAAAAAGCATCAGGTCAACAACCTGGAACATACAAACTTTGCGTGTATAAAGGCCAGTAAAACAGTCCGTAAAAATGACTCACCTCACCGATGCGCGTAGCATTATTATTTTTCCTTCAACATTTCCTTCTTTAGTAGCTTACTGCACGAGTTCCACACAGGGGACGTACGATGGATTTTCATATATACACCTACACCAATTCCAATCATTACACGATACCCTACATTATTAAGGTAAGCGCGCTATGAGCAGTAATTGTACCAAACGTAAAAGATCTTTCGACCCGCGTCGTCAGGTTTCTCTTCTCTCGGAAATTTTCCCTAATATGTCCAGGGAACATTATGCGCGCGGTCGTTAAAAACAATTTGATATTACGATGTCCCGTACCGTGTCTACGTATGCTTGACTCCGTGAATCTTTAAAGAAAATTGCTCACCGCGACGTGGCATTCGTCAGACCAACAGCGTGTCTTTTTTCCAGACATTTCAATTTTTCCTTTGTTCCCTTTTCCTGTAAGAGCAGTATCACGAATCATCGAGAAAACACGACGAGCTGTATGACACAAATGCGAATATTTAATGAGCAACTCCCAGTGGAATTGAAGAAGGGAGCGTTCGTCTGGCTCATCTTCCGTCAAGACCCTCCAGTTTATTGAAGGACACCTCGCCGCGCATATCGTCCGGCAATCAACAGGTCCACATACAAATGCCCGATACGATTAGTTTGCCTTCGAAGTCACCTTCCGCGAAACAACGGAACATGGAGAAATCGAGAAGTGTACAATCGAGAAGGATAATCAGTTGGCCGCTCAAGATGTTGCTTTGCCTATTCGGTATCTGGCCAGGCCTGACGTACGGCCTGGCCTGCAAAGCATTTTGGCTGATTGTAATGGTCGTCGGCACGATTCTTCAGTATACGTTCCTTGTCATTCACGCGCGCACTATCGACTTTACCATTTTTATGTACGCGTCTGCCTTGACACTGGCGCTGAGCACGAAGTTTATCAAAATAGCCATTTTCTGGTACAATCAGCGGTGAGACATACATGATAAACCGCGTATCGCACGCGTAATGTCGATAGAGATCGAAAGTGCTCGGTGATTATCAATACGCGTGTGCTTGTCGGAAAGCTGGAAGCAGTGTAATTACGGCGATTTCGATTTTCTTACGGCCGCGATGAGGTGAAAATCGATGTCGAATTGATGGTCACATTCGTAACGTCGCGATTAAAGGCGACCGGTTGCCTTGCGTGCGTCGCACGCAGCACCGTGGTCGGAACTTATCGCGATTACTCATCGCGACTCTTGAATAGCACAGTATACTTATTGTCAAAATCGAAATCCGCCGATCGTGAATGTTGTTAGAATAACCGCCTCTAAGAATGACCGCTTGTAGAAGATTCAACGAGATGTGGAGGACGATGTCGACGAATTGGGAACTCGGCAGCGCTTCCACGAGCGCGATCGATAGCGCCGGGAAAATTCACGTGTTGCGCCATTTGCCCAACTTCATCGTTGCGTTCAATTCGATATCCGTGATCATGAATTCCGCCAACACCCTCACGAACGGGATTCATTACGATGAGGCTTCCAACATAACGCAATCCTACGTGGTGTGGATGCATCTTCCATTCGACGTTAATAAACAGTCCGTGTATCTAGTCGTGATATTTCTACAATTTTTCTACCTGCTGATCCTTTCCGCGGGCGCCGCCACAATCAATTCGGTTCTCGTCATTTTGGTGAGTGCCCGAAGCGTACAGGAAATGATTAACGCGTTCGCTACCAGATGGAGAGGAGGACAACCTGAATTAATGCGGTACGAACGAACCAAAAGGCATTTCGCTGGAAGGAGACAGAATTTCCGGGTCCTCGAGTTGATTCTAGGAACGCTTCTTTTTCCGACCAAAATTCGTTTGCCTCTTTCATCGTCGCGTTAAATCAATTTTTTCTTTTTCATCATCACACATGTACAACGTATCGATCTCTCGCTAAAGATCAGAACGTGTAGATTAATTAACGCCCAATCTTGCTCATCTGATACATTTTATGTATATTAATACACGCATTAAATATGGTAAAACATAATGTGGACGTTTAGCGAGCGACCTTCAATTTGAGCGTGGTAGCAAAAGTGTTGAACACATCGAGCACGCTGTCGACTTCCTTTTGTTCTACACAAAATTAAACAGCTTCGTGTGTCTTTTAGATGCTGTACTTAGGCGGTCAGGTCGACGTCATTTGTAGATGCTTGACGCACATGCCGCAGGGCAAGCACGTGCGCATGACGGACGTGACAGTGGTGAAGGAAATAATCCGTAAACACCAGAGCGTCATTACCTTCTCGGAACATATCGAGTCCCTGTACACGTACATTGCGCTGATATTGCTTCTACTCAACACCTTGATCACCTGCGGCTTAGGTTTCATACTTGTCACGGTGAGTAGCAAAAAGATCGCGATAACGAATCACGGTCACTGCAGACTGAGTCTTCGTCGACGAGTCCCTCTGTGAACAGTATCAATAATATCAATAATACGAGGGTCATTCAAATATAAACCGGACTTTTTATCTGCGGACTCAGAAAGAGCCGCAAGCGGGCCGAGACACTCCAGGCAGTTAGGTAGAGATGTGTGGAAGGAAGCATCCCTGCAACATTCCACAGTTGCTGTTCCCTCGTCAGTAGCACCATGACTGAATAAGAGGTACCTACGACTGTTGCGCAACGCATTATCGTCCAATTTCTTGCTAACGAAGGCGTCAAACCAACTAAAATTTTGACTAGACTGCAAGCACAGTTTGGTGATGGTACCCTGTCAAGAACCCAAGTGTTTGATTGAGCGAAAATATTTCACAGTGGTCGTAATGCTGTGGAAAACGAAAGTCACGAACGTCGCGACGTCCGCGATCGAGTGTCACTGATGAGATCATTCGGGCCGTTCTCGAACTTGTGCAAGATGACCGGCGCTTAACTGTAGTCAAAATCTCATCGGAGGTGGGCATAAGTATTGGGAGTGCTCATACAATTCTCTCAGAATACCGGCAACTCATTCGCAACATTCTGCTTCTCCATCGCGCGGCGCGACAACGCGCGGCCTCATACAACAGCCTTAACCCGCGATAAACTCGGAAAGATGTACTGGACACCACTTGAACACCATCTTTGCAGTCCCGATTTATCCTCATTTGCCTTTCACATGTTTGGACCCCTGAAGGAGACTTTAGGAGGGGAAAGATTTAACGACGACGTAGCGGTTGAGCAGTACGTGCGCAATTGGCTGTTGGAGCGCCCTTCTTCTTTTTTTTTGATGAAGGGATCAGGAAGCTACCTATCCGGTGCTGAAGATGCATTTCCGTTGAAGGAAACTATGTAGAAAAGTAATATATCGCTTTTGTAATTTCATCTGTTACCAATAAATCTGTAAAAAACAAATCCGGTTTATATTTGAATGGCCCTCGTATCAAGAAATATCATGCAGCAGAAAATAGTGCATTAACGCTCATTGGCGATCACTCGATCGAGAGAAATATGTCGTATTGCCGAATTATCTCCCCTGTTGTCGCAGTCGGTCGGATCGCCCATTTTCGCTAAGATGGTCATGAAGAACCTCATGTTCTACTGCGTAATTAACATCGAGACTTTCGTGTTTTGCTTCGCCGGGGAGTACATTAGCTCTAAGGTTAGCTATAGCATCAGCGATCATCGACAGAACACGGTAATGAGCGTCATGTAATGTACGGTTTCGATTAAGAAGCCTTTTCTTTCTCGCACGCAGAGCAGAGAAATCGGCGAAGCCGCGTACAACTCGCCGTGGTATCAATCCAAGTTTCACAGTCGCATGATTTTATTTATGATAATGAGGTCGCAACATCAGTTGACGATCACGATGGGAAAGTTCATGGACCTATCGTTGGAACGATTCTCCACTGTAAGATGCGTCTCGTTACACTTTCCGCGATATTTAACGTTCGATGATTAAAAATATTCCACATTGTTGCAGATTACAAAAGCCTCGGCGTCCTACATGTCGGTCCTGCTGGCGATGTATTGAGGAGAGAGTTCACATTTTTCGTAATAATAAACACTTTGACTGAATGTTATCAGTTATTAGTTAGGGATTTGTAGTCATTACTAGTATTTCGAGATTACCAGTAGTTAGGAATTAAAGAGAATTAGCACACTGTAGTTGAGAAGTGCCTTGTTTCCATTCAATTTCCAGCACGCAGCACAATAGCATAGCAGCTTAATTATAAAACGTTCATTCGCGGCAGTCTTTTTCGTCGATACGACCCTCTAACTTTTTCTCCCCATAAGACACTTTTTCTCTTCGCTCCCTTCTTCGGAATCGCTACTTCGGAAAAACTGGAGATATCTTCTTCAGTGATCTTATACAATTCGCAAATCGATATGCATATCGTATGTATATTTATAAAAACTTGAGTTTTTTAAGCAAAATGGCCTTGACCGTAATATCGGGATTGTCGATGAGTTAGGAAATCGTTATTTTGTTCTTTATAATTTTATATATATATATATATATATATATATATATTGAAATATACCGTTTCAAATGTAATTTTGGTACATTATGTGATAATAAATAATTAAGTAATTGACGGAATTAATTTCTCTATAGCAGGGACCAAATTTTTTTGAACATTTACTTATTATTTTCCGGATCTACAAGCATGAATGATTAGAATACACAATTCTTTGAAGAAAAAAGCATCAGGTCAACAACCTGGAACATACAAACGTTGCGTGTATAAAGGCCAGTAAAACAGTCCGTAAAAATGACTCACCTCACCGATGCGCGTAGCATTATTATTTTTCCTTCAACATTTCCTTCTTTAGTAGCTTACTGCACGAGTTCCACACAGGGGACGTACGATGGATTTTCATATATACACCTACACCAATTCCAATCATTACACGATACCCTACATTATTAAGGTAAGCGCGCTATGAGCAGTAATTGTACCAAATGTAAAAGATCTTTCGACCCGCGACGTCAGGTTTCTCCTCTCTCGAAAATTTTCCCTATTATGTCCAGGGAACATTATGCGCGCGGTCGTTAAAAACAATTTGATATTATGTCCCATACCGTGTCTACGCATGCTTGACTCCGTGAATCTTTAAAGAAAATTGCTCACCGCGACGTGGCATTCGTCAGACCAACAGCGTGTCTTTCTTCCCAACATTTCAATTTTTCCTTTGTTCCCTTTTCCTGTAAGAGCTGTATCACGAATCATCGAGAAAACACGACGAGCTGTATGACACAAATGCGAATATTTAATGAGCAATTCCCAGTGGAATTGAAGGAGGGAGCGCTCGTCTGGCTCATCTTCCGTCAAGACCCTGCAGTTTACTGAAGAACACCTGGCCGCGCATATCGTCCGGCAATCAACAGGTCCACATATAAGCGCTCGATACGATCTGTCTGCTTTCGAAGTCACCTTCCGCGAAACAACGGAACATGGAGAAACCGACAAGTGTACAATCGAGAAGGACAATCAGTTGGCCGCTCAAGATGTTGCTTTGCCTACTCGGTATCTGGCCAGGCCTGACGTACGGCCTGGTCTGCAAAGCGTTTTGGCTGATTGTACTGGTCATCGGCACGATTCTTCAGTATACGTTTCTCGTCATTCACGCACGCACCATCGACTTCACCATTTTTATGTACGCGTGCGCCTTGACACTGGCGATGAGCACAAAATTTATGAAAATAGCCATTTTCTGGTACAATCAGCGGTGAGACATATATGATAAACCGCGTATCGTACGCGTAGTGTCGATAGAGATCGAAGGTGCTCGATGATTATCAATACACGTGTGCTTGTCGGAAAGCAGGAAGCAGTGTAATCACGGCGAGTTCGATTTTCTTACGGCCGCGATGAGGTAAAAATCGATATCGAGTTAATTGTCATATTTGTAACGTCGCGATTAAAAGCGACCGGTCGGCTCGCATGCATCGCACGCAGCACCGTGGTCGGAACTCATCGCGATTACATCGCGACTCTTGGACTACAGCAGTATGCTCATTGTCAAAATCGATATCCGCCGATCGTGAATGTTGTTAGAATAACCGCCTGTAAGAATGACCGCTTGTAGAAGATTCAACGAGATGTGGAGGACGATGTCGATGAATTGGGAATTCGGCAGCGCTTGCACGAGCGCGATTGACAACGCCGGGAAAATGCACGTCTTGCGCCACTTACCCAACTTCATCGTTGCGTTCAATTCGATGTCCGTGATAATGACCTCCGCAAACACCCTCTCGAACGCGATTCATTACGATGAGGCTTCCAACACAACACGACCGTACATCTTCATGATGCATCTTCTAAACGACATTAATAAACAATCCGTCTATCTAGTCGTGATATTCCTACAATTTTTCTACATGCTGATCATTACCGCCGGCGCCGCCACCATCAATGCGGTTCTCGTCATATTGGTGAGTGCCCGAAGCATACAGGAGATGATTAACACGTTCGCTACCAGATGGAAAGGAGGACAGCCTGATTTAACGTGGCTTCGAACGAAGCAAAAGGTGTTCCGCTGGAAGGAGACAGAATTTCCGGTCCCTTAAGTTGACTCTGGGAACGCTTCTTTTTCTGACCAGAATTCGCTTGCCTCGTTCATCGTCGCGTTAAATCAATTTTTTCTTTTTCATCATCACACATGTACAACGTATCGATCTTTCGCTAAAGATCAAATCAGTATAGATTATTTAACGCCTAATCTTGCTCATCTGACACATCTTATGTATATATATATGTGCATTAAATATGGTAAACCATAATGTGGACGTTTAGTGAACGACCTTCAATTCGAGCGTGGTAGCAAAAGTGTTGAATACATCGAGCACGCTGTCGATTTCGTTTTGTTCTACACAAAATTAAACAGCTTCGTGTGTCTTTTAGGTGCTGTACTTAGGCGGTCAGGTCAACGTCATTTGTAGATGCTTGACGCACATGCCGCAGGGCGAACACGTAGGCATGACGGACGTCATGGTGGTGAAGGAAATAATCCGTAAACACCAGAGCGTCATTACCTTCTCGGAACATATCGAGTCTCTGTACACGTACATTGCGCTGATATTGCTTCTACTCAACACCCTGATCACCTGCGGCTTAGGTTTTATACTTGTCACGGTGAGTAGCAAAGAGATCACGAATCACGGTCGCTGCAGACTGAGTCTTCGTCGACGAGTTCAGTATGTTATATTAATAATACGAGGGTCATTCAAATATAAACCGGACTTTTTATCTGCGGACTCAGAAAGAGCCGCAAGCGGGCCGAGACACTCCAAGCAGTTAGGTAGAGATGTGTGGAAGGAAGTTTCCCTGCAACATTCCACAGTTGCTGTTCCCTCGTCAGTAGCACCATGACTGACTAAGAGGTACCTACGACTGTTGCGCAACGCATTATCGTCCAATTTCTTGCTAACGAAGGCGTCAAACCAACTAAAATTTTGACTAGACTGCAAGCACAGTTTGGTGATGGTACCCTGTCAAGAATCCAAGTGTTTGATTGGGCGAAAATATTTCACAGTGGTCGTAATGCTGTGGAAAACGAAAGTCACGAACGTCGCGACGTCCGCGATCGAGTGTCACTGATGAGATCATTCGGGCCGTTCGCGAACTTGTGCAAGATGACCGGCGCTTAACTGTAGTCAAAATCTCATCGGAGGTGGGCATAAGTATTGGGAGTGCTCATACAATTCTCTCAGAATACCAGCAACCCATTCGCGACATTCTGCTCCTCCATGACAACGCGTGACCTCATACAGCAGCCTTAACCCGCGAAAAACTCGGAGAAATGTACTGTGAAATGAACCTATTCGGTGGAGAAGATGCATTTCCGTTGAAGGAAGCTATGTAGAAAAGTAATATATCGCTTTTGTAATTCCATCTGTTACCAATAAATCTGTAAAAAAGAAATCCGGTTTATATTTGAATGGCCCTCGTAACAAGAAACATCGTGCAGCAGAAAATAGTGCATTAACGCTCGTCGGCGACCACTCGGCCGAGAGAAATATGTCGTTATTGCCGAATTATCTCCCCTGTTGTCGCAGTCGGTCGGGTCGCCCATTTTCGCTAAGATGGTCATGAAGAACCTCATGTTCTACTGCGTGATTAACATGGAGACTTTCATATTTTGCTTCGCCGGGGAGTACATTAGCTCTAAGGTTAGCTATAGCATCGACGATCATCGACAGAACACGGTAATGAGCGTCATGTAATGTACGGCTTCGATTAAGAGGCGTTTCCTTTCTCGCACGCAGAGCAGAGAAATCGGCGAAGCCGCGTACAACTCGCCGTGGTATCAATCCAAGTTTCACAGTCGCATGATTTTATTTATGATAATGAGGTCGCAACATCAGTTGACGATCACGATGGGAAAGTTCATGGACCTATCGTTGGAACGATTCTCCACTGTAAGACGCGTCTCGTTACACTTTCCGCGATATTTAACGTTCGATGATTAAAAATATTCGATATTGTTGCAGATTACAAAAGCCTCGGCGTCCTACATGTCGGTCCTACTGGCGATGTATTGAGGAGAGGGTTCACATTTTTCGTAATAATAAACACTTTGACTGAATGTTACGAGTTATTAGTTATGGATTTGTAGTCATTAGTAGTATTTCGAGATTATCAGTAGTTAGGAATTAAAGAGAATTAGCACACTGTGGTTGAGAAGTGCCTTGTTTCCGTTCAATTCCCAGCACGCAGCGCAAGTATATAGTAGCAGCTCAATTATAAAACGTTCATTCGCGGCAGTCTTTTTTGTCTATACAACCCTCTAACTTTTTCCCCTCATAAAACACTTTTTCTCGTCGCACCCTTCTTCGGAAATCGTTTCTTCGGAAAAACTGGAGATATCTTCTTCGGTGACCTTACACAATTCGCAAATCGATATGCATATCGTGTGTACATTTATAAAAAACTTGAGTTTTTCAAGCAACCTGGCCTTGACCGTAATATCGGGATTGTCGATGAGTTAGAAAATCGTTATTTTGTCCTGTATAATTTTTTATACAGGGTCTGCCAAAAGTTCCGGAACGGCTAATTATTTAAAAAAATAATGATTGTTTAAAACAATGTCTGAAACAAAAGTTGTAGGGCTTAAAAAAGCTGTCAAATATTGATAATTGCTTGACCTTGGAATGATCTTGAGAAACGTTATCAAGGTCGACATAAAAATCTTATATGGAAATTCAAATTTTTTATTACACCGTCTTTTTCAATCAAATAATTTGAACAACTTTTGTATGAAACATTTTTCTATATGCCTAATATTTATTGCGATATTTCCAAGATCATTCCAAGGTCAAACAATTATCAATATCTGATAGCTTTTTCTAAGTCCTACAACTTTTGTTTCAAACATTGTTTTAAACACTCATTAGTTTTTTAAATAATTAGCCGTTCCGGAACTTATGACAGACCCTGTATATATATACATTGAAATATATCGTTTCAAATTTCAAATAACTTTGGTACATTATGTGATAATAAATAATTAAGTAAGTAATTGACGGAATTAATTTCTCTACACCAGGGACCAAATTTTTGAACATTTACTAATTATTTTCCGGATTTACAAGCATGAATGATTAGAATACACAATTCTTTGGAGAAAGAAGCATCAGGTCAACAACCTGGAACATACAAACTTTGCGTGTACAAAGGCCAGTAAAACACTCCGTAAAAACGACTCACTCCACCGATGCGCGTAGTATTATTATTTTCCCTCCAATATTTCCTTCTTTAGTAGCTTACTCCGCGAGTTCCTCAAGGGACGTACGGTTGGTTTTCATATATACACTTACATCAATTCCAATCGTTACACGATACTGTATATTATTAAGGCAAGCGTGTTGCGAGCACGCAATAATTATACCAAACTTAAAAGGTCCGCGTTGTCGAGTTCCTTCTCTCGAAAATAACTTTCCGTAATATGTCGAGAGAATATTATGCGCGCGGTCGTTAGAAACAATTTGATATTACGATGTCATGTACCGCGTCTACGCATGCTTGACTCCGTGAATCTTTAAAGAAAATTGCTCATCGCGACGTGGCATTCGTCAGCCCAACAGCGTGTCTCTTTTCCCGACATTTCTATTTTTCCTTTATCCTCTTTTTCTGTAAAAGCAGTACCATGAATCATCGAGAAAACACGACGAGCCGTATGACGCGATTGCAAATATTTAATGAGCAATTCCCAGTGGAATCGGAGGAGGGAGCGCTCGTCCGGCTCATCTTCCGTCAAGACTCTCCAGTTCACCAAAGGGAACTTAGTCGCGCATATCGTTCGGCAATCAATAGGTCCACGTATAAACATCCCGTACGATTTGTCTGCGGATCCGATACATTTTTTTGAAGTCTGCATAATAACGAAACATGGAGAAATCGACAAATGTACAATCGAGAAGGATAATCAGTTGGCCGCTCAAGATGTTGCTTTGTCTATTCGGCATTTGGCCAGGCCTGACGTATGGCCTGATCTGCAAAGCTTCTTGGCTGATCGTAATGGTCGTTTGCACAAGCCTTCAGTACACGTTCCTCTTCATTCACGCGCGCACCATTAACTTCACTATTTTTATGTATGCGCTCGCAGCGTCACTAGCTATGAGCATGAAGTTTATCAAAATAGCCATTTTCTGGTACAATCAGCGGTGAGATATATATGATAATATGCGTGTTGTACGCGTAATGTCGATAGATATCGAGAGTGCTCAGTGATTATCAGTACGCGTGTGTGCAGCGGTGCTTGTCAGAAAATCGCAAGCGGTGTAATCACGGCGAGTTCGATTTTCTTACGGTCGCGATGAAGTGAAAATCGATGTCGAGTTAATTGTCGCATTCGTAACGACGCTATTAAAGACGACCGTTCGGCTTACGTACGTGGTTGCGTGCGGCATCGTGATCGAAGCTCATTGCGATTACATCGCGACTCTTGGACTATAGTAATATGCTCATTGTCAAAATCGAAACCCGCCAATCGTGAATGTTGTTAGAATAACCGCCTGTAAGAATGACCGCTTGTAGAAGATTCAACGAGATGTGGAAAACGATGTCGACGAATTGGGAACTCGGTTGCACAAGCGCGATTGACAGCGGCGGGAAAATGCACGTGTTACGCCATTTACCCAACTTCATCGTTGCATTCAACTCGGTGTCCGTGATAATGACCTCCGCAAACACCCTCTCGAACGCGATTCATTACGATGAGGCTTCCAACACAACGCGATCGTATATCTTGATGATGCATCTTTCATTCGACATTAATAAACAATCCGTATATCTAGTCGTGATATTCCTACAATTTTTCTACCTGCTGATCGTTTCCGCCGGCGCTGCCACCATCAATTCGGTTCTCGTCACTTTGGTGAGTGGTCGAAGTGGCGCAAGAGAAATGATTAACGCGTTCGCTACTAGACGCAGAGAAAGACCGACTGAATTAGCGTGACTATGAACGAAAGGCGTACCGCTGGAAGGAGATAGTATTTTCAGTTCCTCTAGTCGAATGTGAATCTGGGAACGCTCTTTTCTTCGACCAAAATTCAATTGCCTCGTTCATCGTCGCGTCAAATCAATCTTTTCTTTTTTATTACCACACGTATGCAACATATCGATCTCTCGCTAAAGATCAGAGCCATCTGTGTGCACTAAAAAAAACGGTCGATCTTGCTCTGTCAGTTTGACATATTTTGTACGTATAAATACAAACGTGCATTAAGTATGGTAAGACATAATGCGGACGTTTAGAGAACGATCTTCAATTGAGCATGGTAGCAAAAGTGTTGAACACATCGTGCTTACTATCCACATCCTTTTGTTCTAAACGAGAATAAACAGCGTTGTGTGTCTTTTAGATGCTGTATTTAAGCGGTCAGATCGACGTTATTTGTAGATGCTTGACGCACATGCCGCAGGGCGAGCACGTGCGCATAACGGACGTGACGGTGGTGAAGGAAATAATCCGGAAACACCAGAGCGTCATTACCTTCTCGGAACATATTGAGTCCCTGTACACGTACATTGCGCTGGTATTGCTTCTTCTCAACACCCTGATCACCTGCGGCTTGGGTTTCATACTTGTCACGGTGAGTAACACAAAGATCGCGATAGCGAATCACGCTGAAGACTGAGTCTTCGTCGACGAGTCTCTCTGTGAATAGTATGTTATATGAATAATAACAAGAGATATTGCAACAACGTGCAACAGAAAACAGTGCGTTAATGCTTGTCGGCGACCACTCGGCCGAGAGAAATACGCCGTTATTGCCGAATTATCTTCCCTGTTGTCGCAGTCGGTCGGGTCGCCCATTTTCGCTAAGATGATCATGAAGAACATCATGTTCTACTGCGTGATTAACATCGAGTCTTTCGTGTTTTGCTTCGCTGGGGAGTACATTAGCTCTAAGGTTAGCTATAGCATCCGCGATAATCGACGGTACACGGTAATGAGCGTCATGTAAGGTATAGTTTCAATTAAGATGCGTTTTTTCCCATACGCAGAGCAGAAAAATCGGCGAGGCTGCATACAATTCGCCCTGGTATCAGTCCAAATTTCATGGTCGCACCATTTTGTTCATGATAATGAGGTCGCAGCATCAGTTGACGATCACGATGGGAAAGTTTATGAACCTGTCGTTGGAACTATTCTCCACTGTAAGACGTGCCGCGTTACATCCTTTGCGATATTTAAACGACAATTGCATTTGCTTTGATAATTAAAAACGCATTTTCGACATTCTTACAGATCACGAAAGCCTCGGCGTCCTACATGTCGGTCCTGCTGGCGATGTATTGAGAAGAAAGTTCACACATTTCATAATAATAAATACTTTGACTGAATGTTACGAGTTATTAGTTAGGAATTTGTAGTCATTATTAGAATTTCGGGATTATCAATAATTAGGAATTAAATAAAATTAGCACACAATAATTGAGAAATGTCTTATTTTCATTCAATTTCCAGCACGCAGCGCAAGTATAGCAGCTCAACTATAAAACGTGCATATGCGGAAGTCTTTTTTCGTTGAAACAACCCTTTGACTTTTTCCCTCCGTAAGACATCTTCTCTCTTTGCTTCCTTGGGAAGTGCTTCTTCGGAAAAAACTCGAGATATCTTCTTCGATGACCTTACACGATTCGCCAATCAATACACGTGTCATGTGTACATTTACAAAAAGCTAGAATTTTTCGAGCATATGTCGCTTTTGACTGTCTTGCGCGTATCAGCGATTGGAGACGGTATTATGCGATAATTATTACGACGAATAGTTAATGTGATGTTTGATTTCGGATATTATCTAGACACTTGGATCTTTCGAGTATCTGCCGTCTTTTTGCGAATCTCAAATACTTGACTACCGTTGGTACGATGAACAATAACCCAAATCAACAGAGACAAAATCAGCTGTTGTTAAAATTGGTGACAGATGACAATTGAATATTGTTCGAACATTATTCGCAATTTTCTATCGCGTCGATCTGGGTAATCAATTATTTATAAATCTTAATGAACTTGTTGAACACAAATATACCCACACACCTAATACACATACACACCTAATAATCTTAGTAAGAAGTGTTTCGTATACAGGGTGGAAAATTTGTATACATGATCCGATTCCTCGCACCCCGGGCTGATATGTAATTCACCAAGCGCTTTTAAATTCCTGCTGGACACAATACGGTTACGACTTCGACTGACGGTACGGTTGACACTTCACAACGACTGTGTCGCGTGCGAACGAACGCGTAGCGAGACACGTGTACTTCTGTCGTACCACATCTTCCCGCTTTCGACTTCTACCCCTCTTTTGACTTCGGAACTTCCCTGCAGCATGACGGACTACCGGGGGGCATGCATCATCGCACTCATGTCCGCACAAATCGTTGCATATTTAAACGAGGCGATTCACGGTTGCATCGCCAGTGGCTGAGAAGGAGAGAGATCGCCTGACCGTTCCCTCTTCTTGTGCATATCAAAGTTGCCACGAAGCTACGACAAGTGTACAAGTATATGTGAGGGCTACACGCAGCATGGTAAAAAATATTGAGTGAGCGGTTACTATTGGTCGATCGGTGTCGAGGCTGCGCCTATTTGATGACCTCTTAAGACCTCCCAGTCTTTACACTGGTGACTCTGTAATGTACATCGCGTTGTCATCGAGAGCGTAGTCCATCGGGAACGTAGTCCTTTTATTCATCTCTGACAAACGGTCGGTTTTATGCATTGTCGTATATAGACGAGAGGGAAGGAGAAAAAGAGAGAGAGAGAGAGAGCAGATAGGGAACAATGACGCGTAAAAATACCATCAACCGCACGACAAAAGTTATACTCACTTTATGCGGCATGTGGCCAGGAGCTTGCTGTGTGATGGTCTGCAGGGCTTATTGGATCATAGCATTAGCGACAGACGAATTCTGTCACTATCGGTATTTCTTATTGCACTGGCGTACCGATGACCTCTTCGATTTGACGGACTGTTTCAGCAGTTGCATAGCGCAGGTCAAAGTAATTACTAAATTCTTAGTCTTTTGGTTCAATCAACGGTAAGCAAGGGAATGCAATACAACGAATAATTTGCGAGACAATGAAGCTAAGCGTAACGATTTTTTTCTTGTCAATTAATACGTAAGCTGATCACGAGTGTTCGTGACGTCGAATGAATAAAATAATCGCGTGGCCAACTGTTGTAGCTGCAAATGTATTCATTTCCTAGATAATAGATTGAAGTATATAAATATATACAAAATATGTAAAAAAGATGTACACATATTTAATTTTATAAAAAGGAAGAAACTAAAATATGTCTGATAATTTCGTGAGGTTTGATAAAGACACAAAATAAATCTTTACGAAACAAACATTACGCTGCTGTGATGCGGAGGACATAATCGATTTTTTAATCGTTGACAGAAAATTCGTCAACATCTTGACAATGATGGCGGAAGATTGGCGCGACAGTGCCGACAGTGACGTCGACATGCGTGAAACAACATGCAAAGCGAAATTATCGAGTCGCATCACTAACGCGATGGTCACTCTTCACGCGATAACAATTGTTGTATATAGCAGTGGGGTCATCCTGGCCGACGTCGATATCAACGATCGCGAGAACATGCCGCCTCTTCTGTTAAAAGTGGAAGTTCCTATTGATATACATTCGCAATACAGATACAAAGTACTATTAGCCGCGCAATTTCTGTACCTCTTTATAGCCGGCTGCGGGGCTGGCTTGGTGAACGCTCTACTCTTAACTTTGGTAAGTTGCAACGACGACGTCGGTACTCGTCGACGACTTATACAGAAATTAGCAGCAGCGACGCTAACGATCGAGCGACAGCTTCTCTGTGAGATTTTTGCAACCCTTTCCCCCATTCTGTTTTTGGATCATTTTAAGTGATAAAATTACTGTTTCTGACAAATCGCGAGAATCGACACGCGTCGTCTCTCGCACCTAAGTCTCCGATGAAGAGAACACATTTGTGCTTTCTGGGGACGGCCACGCCGCTCCGTCAACCGAGTCCCGACTTAAAATGTCAACACGTTGAGGAGATCTAGGTGTTAGTTGCCAGTTATACGCCCCATTGATTTCCTTCCGACCGGTCCCCACGACCGTCCGGAACAATTAATGTTTTCAGATTCTACACGTGGGCGGTCAAATGAACATTTTGCGTTGCTGGTTAACCAAGCTTGTGCCCAAAGAGAACGAGCGGAAACGCGAATCCATCGTCATCATGACTAATAAAATTATACAAAAACATCAGAAAATTATCATCTTCTCCGAATACATTGAGGACTTGTACACGTACATCGCGTTGGTGCAGTTTGTGTTGAACACGTTGCTAATTTGCACGTTGGGCTTCATTATCGTAACCGTGAGTAAAAATTTTTTTAAGTATCAAATGTGAATGAAAATATATATAGCTATAACTTTTATACTGTTGAATAATATAATAGGATAGTTTAAATTTAATCTCATAAATTTCTCCATTTATTTATTTATAAAAGATTAAGATATAAAATTATTTTATTAATTAATTTTTGTGTGTCTCCTTACGTACATTAAGTAGAAAATGTCAACCACTTTGCGAGCAAATTTTAATAATTTTTTACACGTTGCTGCGATGTTACAGTCGATTGGCAATCCCGACACCAAGGAGCAGTTAAGAAAGTCCCTGTTATTCTATACCGTGACGACCCTCGAAGCGTTTATATTTTGCTTCGCCGGAGAATATCTGAAAAACAAGGTCAGGAAAGATAATTACGAGGGTGATAAAAAGTACAGATTATTTCATTTTTGTCGAAATGAAACAGGAGGTACAAAGCTTCTCTATTGTTATCTGTACTGTTATCTGTATTGTTATTTGCAGAGCAAGGCAGTGGGGACCGCGGCGTACGATTCCTCATGGTACGAACTTAAACCCGAGAATAGTCGTACCTTGATACTCGTGATATTGCGAGCGCAGAAGCAATTGACGCTCACGGTGGGGAAAATCATGGATCTCTCCTTAGAATCCTTCACGAGTGTAAGATTCAGCACGCAAAACAGTTCGGAGTGACAGTCGCGTGTCTATTCGTATGAATTTTTTCTTTTTTCTTTCTTGCGACAGGTTCATCGCGGCAACAATATTTAAAGAACATTTTTTTTTTATTGCGATACTAGTAAAAATGACAAGAGAATAGAAACACGTTAATCAAAAGACGTTACTGTGTATAGATCATGAAAGCTTCGGGATCGTACTTGTCGGTGTTACTGGCGATGCAGTGAGCGTTGTGTACAGTTCGGACGATTTCAAGCGATATAGTCGTGAAACATGTGTATCTCGAAGGAAGTGCGAATATGTCTTCACTAGTGATGCAATTGCATGGCGTGACGCGACGTACTTCTCTGCTCGCGCGATCTCTGTGAAACGTCGCTAGCACGAGAGTCGCAACATGATTGTGAAGTAATACAAAGCTATAGTCTTTTCCGAGTCGTTGTTGTTCATACAGAGATTTCTTCATAGAACCCGATACACCGATACTCACCAAGTCACTTGATCCGCTTCGCAATTAATGAAGAACCAGATACCAATGTCGACCCGCCGGAAGCCGGAAGCGCCAACTTGTGACAACAGCAATACGAAACTAACCGCGAAGCATGTTTCTTCTCGCCTGCTTGTGAACATTGACGTCGCTCTCTCGGATCACCTCCGCGTGTAGTCTCACTCGCGACTCACTAATGACAGGCCGCGTTGACATTCGTTGATTTCTTATAAACAAACCCCCGCGTAGAACACACCCTCCGACGTTCGTGCGAAAGCCGACCGACACCTCCGCCGTAACGCGACAGGCTTCCGATGGCGCGTCCACCCTCACGACTCGACGACTTTCCTCAAGTGCGACGGGCGCGACTAAACACCCTGCACGTTCACCACCACGTATCTATGGCCGGACGAATCATTGCATATTTAAACGAGAGTAGAGCGCATCACCGGTGTTCGAGAGAGGGTGGGAGGGAGGGAGCAATCGGTCTGCCTATTGTTTTTTCGTGTATCAATATCGCGAAAATACATATTGAGAGCGTACCCGGAGGAGGGAGAGCTGTAGACCGCACGACATAACAATATTTTATGAGCGGCTTCCATTGGTCGAACGGTCGAGGGGAGTGCACTCATTTCATGGCCTCTCGGGATCGCTCAGTTTTTACGCTGATACCTTATAGTACAACATCAAGCTGTTATTAAAAGATCCATCGGCAATTCATTGGGGTCACAGTCCCCCCTCTCTTTTATCTATCTCTCTTTCCTTCTATCTCTCTCTCTTTCTCTCTCTCTCTCTTTCTCTCTCTTTCTCTCTTGCCCTTGCCCTCTCATCTGTCATCGCAAAGATATCCGTCCCGTTACGTATGCTCCGATGTTTTTCCCCGTTCACGAAAACGATAGCGGACTGAGACACAATGGCGCGCAGGAGCACGATTAATCGCACGTTACAATTAATGCTGACTGTATGTGGTGTGTGGCCAACCACATCGGGCATCGCGATTTGCAGGGCATATTGGGTGATCGCGTTAGGAATAGACGAAGTCTGCCATTATCGCTACCTTCTGCTGCACCTGCACTCGAATGATCTGTTTGACCTGATGGACTGTTTCAGTAGCTTCCTAACTCAGGTGAAGTTCAGCACGAAGCTGATTATATTCTGGTGGAATCAACGGTAAGAGACAGCAGGTTGCGTTCGCGATGTTTCCGGAACCAAGAACCAAGAATCAAGAACAGGGTTCTCATTATCTGTCGAGGACGCCGGCAGATGGGAATCCGTCGATCCTCCGTCGAATTTCTTGATTCTTTGAATCAAGAAACGTCTCGACAGAGAGTTGACGGTCTCCCTGTCTGGCGTTGTCTAGACGAACAATGCGAATTCAGCCGAAAATCAGGGTCCCACGCGACAGAGAGTCATCAATTCCCAATCCGATGGATTTCCTGACGATTATTGCGCAGGAAGTTCATGCGAATATTGATGATGATGGCCGAGGATTGGGACGATTGCGCCAATAGCGAGGTCGACGTGTGCGAGCCTACATGCAAGGCTAAACTATCATCTCGCATCACCAACATGATGTTCACCCTTCACATGTTAACCATCGTAGCGTACAGCGCCGGCATACTGTTGGCCGACGTCGACTTCACAGATCGGCAGGCCGAGTGGCCGCTCTTGCTGAAAGTGAACCTCCCCGTCGACATCAGCACCAAGCGCACGTACAGGCTACTGTTGAGCGCACAGTTCGTGCACCTTATCATGTCCGGCTGCGGCACCGGCTTGCTCAACTCGTTGCTCTTGGCCTTGGTAAGTCGCGGCGTCCGTTGTTGAAAGTAGCGCGTAATTCGGCAATTTAGCGCGAGGTGAGTAACGTTGCCGCTTTTCTCTCTCCTTCATTTCCGCGTTCCCTTCGCTCTCCTTTCATTGCCTGATCGGCTTAATGAAGACCGTCGGAATTATTATTATCTCAGACTCTGCACGTGGGCGGTCAAATGGACGTTCTATGCTGTTGGCTGACCGAGCTAGCTCCCGAGGAGAGACGCGTGGAAAGACGCGAATCGATCGTCGACAGAACGAGCAAAATCATACGGAAGCATCAGAGGATTATCCACTTCTCGAGATGCATCGAGGATCTGTACACGTACATAGCGTTGGTGCAATTCACGTCGAACACTGTGCTGATATGCTCGTTGGGATTCCTCATCGTGACCGTGAGTCGAGTCACAGCGTTTAATTGTGAATGAAGACGAACTCGATCAATCGCATTTCCGATTTCCGGCGTCCGCGTTCACGTTCCCGTTATTACGCCTCTCTTCCGTAATTCTCTCTCCTCGCCTTCTTATGTGCATGAGGGGTAGTATTGATTTGTACTGCGGTTTTGATGATTCTTTTGCCTCGATACTTCGGTATTGCAGGCGATCGGCAGTCCCGATGCGACGGAGCAAATAGTGAGATCTCTCTTATTTTACACTGTGACGAATCTGGAAGCGTTTATATTTTGCTTCGCCGGTGAATACCTGAAAAACAAGGTTAGAGACGAGCTGCAGTGATGCCCGTGGCGATGAACTTGGTATAACGGGCTGCCTCGAATCCGTTTGCAGAAATAACGATCGCACATTCCATATGATCGTCTCGTGGCCTCTCAACTGAATTATCGCTAATTAATTAACTATCTTTACAGAGCAAAGCTATCGGGACCGCAGCGTATAATTCTGCATGGTACGAGTTGAAGCCCGAAAACAGCCGTCCCTTGATATTCGTGATATTAAGAGCGCAGAAGCAATTGACGCTCACAGTTGGGAAAATAATGGACCTCTCTTTAGAATCGTTCACAAACGTAAGACTCGCGCGTAATACGCAGCATAATTTTGGAGAATAATTGCGTAGGAACACTATGTTCTCATGCCGGTGTACTCTCTTCTTTTTCCGTTTTATATAAAATTCGCCACTCGCTTGGGCGCGTGAACCTTTTGCCAAGCTTGTAAGAATCTCTCCACGACGATCTCCTCTTGGCGAATATTTTGTGTTGATGTTCAAGAGCGTATTTTTTTAACAATGTTTTCTTTTTACGATAATGCGACAGTCTGCAAATGTATATATTTATCTGTAATATAAGGAGCATAACTCATTATAGATCATGAAAGCCTCGGGATCGTATTTGTCGGTCTTGTTGGCGATGCAATGAACACACACACATACATAGCGTTCAGTCGGAAGATTATTGAGCAGTAGTCGTGAACCGCATAATACCGCATGTTGTGAAAATATGCTCTCACTAATGATAGACAATAATAGCGAAAAATATTTTTCCATACACCGAGAGATACTCCGCGACAGTGATAATAGTTTTGAGAGGAAAGATGTGAGAAACAATAAATCAAGCTAAACCTCAACCGTTTTGCCTTGAGACACGCAGCTTCATTTAGCACGAAACGTCATGATTAATCACGCAAGGCTATATGGCGCACGAACTGCTTCCTTGCACAAGAGTCTCTTTCGATTCTTTCTTTTTTTATTTTGCCTGACAAACGTCTGAACAAGACTAACTGACGAACGTGCACTGTGATGCCTACAACCGCACGAATTATTACATATTTAAACAACTGATGGTTCCAGCAATATCAAGCAGGAGTGAAAGGGGAATGATCCTTGTGTGGTTCTTTTTCGCGCATCGAATTTATGAAAAGCCGCGACGAATATCGAAGGGTTGCAAGCATCACCACGTGAAAAATATTTGATGAAAGTCTTCCACTGATCGGTCGTCGTCAAGGGTTTATTTATTTGATGTTCTTTTATGTTATGTATTCGATTTCGAGATCCTATAATATATAACTTTAGATACTATATAACTTTAGTCACCGACGAGATACTATTATTAGGAGTGTGAATTAATTCGGTCCGTTTTTTCTTCCAAAAAAAGGCTTTAGTATGAAAAAACATGAAAAAGTACACTAATCAAAGTATTTGCCATCGCTTACTATTATTTTTTCCCATTTGTCTGGCAGTTGTTGCATTCTGTGACGGAAAAACGACTCGTCCTTCGAAGCGAACTATTCATTGAGCCATTTCTCTATTTCTTCATAATTGTTAAAGTGCTGGTCCGAAAGCCCGTGTGTCATCGATCTGAACAAGTGATAATCGGATGGAGCAATGTCTGGTGAATATGGCGGGTGAGGTAAAACGTCCCAGCCAAGTGCTTCCAAGTGGCCTTCACAATCTTTCCAACATGTGGCCGAGCATTATCGTGCTGGAAGATCACTTTATCGTGTCTCTTTGCATATTCCGGCCGCTTATTCTTCAATATGTTGTTTAAACGGATCAATTGTTGTTGGTAAAGTTCGGCAGTGATGGTTTGGCTCTGTTTTAATAATTCATGATGCATTACACCCTTCTGGTCCCACCATATACACAGCATTACTTTCTTGCCGTGAATATTCCACTTTGGTATCGATGTGAATGGTTTTCCTGGGTTGCTAATGGATTTCTTTCATTTGGGAGTATCGAAATATATCCACTTTTCGTCACAATACGATGCAAAAACCCTTTTCTTTTTTACCTGGTAAGCAAAATTTCAGACATGGCTTTTCGCCTCTCGATGTTTCTTTCAGATCGTATGGCACCCATCTTCCTTCTTTGTAAATCTTTCCAATGGCTGCCAAACGCGCAGAAATTGTTGATCGATCAACATTCAACAATTGCGCGAGCTCATGTTGCGATTGACACGGATCTTCATCGATTAGCGTCTGCAATTCCTCGTCCTCGAACTTCTTCGGCTGACTTGGACGAAATTTGCCATCGACACTGAAATCATCACTTTTGAAACGTCGAAACCATTTTCTGCATGATTTATCGGTGGGAGCACTTTCACCATAAGCTTCTATACGAGCATTCGATGAGCTTCAGCGGCTGTTTTCTTCAAATGAAAACAGAAAATGAGAACTTCCCGGAATGATGCTTTTCTGGCTCGAATTTCGACATTTTCGAATCAGATAAACACGATGTTATTGTTACAAACTCAAACGTTTATCAACTGAATATTATTGCCAGATATCAAAACTAAAACATAAAGCCTTTTGCAGACATTAGAGGTTAGAAAATTACATAGTACAGCAATTGACCGCCAGATGGACCGAATTAATTCATACACTTAATATATAAAGACTGTTGGTTTTACGGAATTTAGCGTACCAGAGAAATCTCGCTGTGCATTAGCGTCCTCTTAGGAATATTATGGACGGAATATGAAACATAGCTCGAAATAAGCATGGATGGTAACAAATATCGAATAATGAGGAAAATATATCGGAAAGTATCAAAAGACTATCAATACGGAAAACAGGTCAAATGTGTGTATGCGCGTATGTCTCCTAGGATTAGGAGACATGAGAAGATTTGGAATAAATTTTATTTTAAATATATACACATGTTGGCATCCTTGAGTTAATAATTCGAAGTTGAAATAATACTAAAATTGCAGTCGAAGATATATGTACAGAATGTTTCACGAATTTCTTCCTTAGGAAAGATTACTTTAAGATGTTCAAATTAACTTAAAGTTACTTATAGTTACCTAAAGTTACTTATAGTTAACTATAAATTACTTACAGTTAGCTATAGGTAATTTTAAATTAATTTGAAAATTTAAAGTAATTTTTCCTAAGAGCTGGCTCAGAGGAATTCATGGAGTCATAGAGCGGATTAAGATAAATATAAAATTCCCATATCATTTTGCGATATTCGCAATATCTCCCGAAATATTATAGGAATGTAACGAATGAGCACGCGCCGAGATGATATCAAAAAAGCATCAAAGCCGCTCGGCCCAAAGCGCGGCCAATTGACAGCGCCAACAGCGATTGTTGCCAGCGCGGCGAGGGGAAGGACAATGAGCTACTACTTGTATTTTATCTCGCCGTTATTCGTGTTTTATCGTCTTCGTAGTCTTCGTCATCGTTTTCGTAGTCCTCGTCGTCGTCTTCGTCGTTTTCATCGTCGTCTTCTTCGTTTTCGTCCTGGTCTTCGTCGTCTTCGTTGTTTTCATCGTCTTTGTCGTCTTCGTTGTCTCCGTCGTCATCTTCGTAGTCTTCGTCATCTTCGTCGTCGTCATCGTCGTCGTAAAAATTGTTCTTCGACACTCTGTATACAGAATGTCTTCTAATAATTGTTGCAGAGCTCATGGAGACATAGAGCGGGTTAATGCAAACATAAAAGTCCCATACCGTTTTGCGATATTTTTAAAGGTCATGCTACAATACGTGTCGTAAGTTGTAAGCCGTAAGAATTGGCGAATCACAGTCGATTATTACAAAAATAACCGGCTATAATTGGTCAATTTTTACGGCTTACAACTTACGACACGTATTGTAGAATGACCTTAACAATTATGCAGTTATTAATTACAAAATTCTAACGAGTAAATGCGCGCTAGGATGAATGATTGGAGAAGCGTCGCAGCTGTTCGGGTCACAGCGTGGCTTAGTCGATTCAACAACCGCTAATGGCATGTGTCGAGAGACGTAGGAGCGGCGAGATAAAACATGAATAACAGCGTGTTGTCTTCTCTTCGCCGTGCATCGGCAATAGTGCTAGCTGTATTATGTATCTTGAGTGTAGCTAAAGTAGTCGGTATCGCTCTTCAATTACCTGTGGGCCCTTTGGCTCCCCCCCCCAACCCTTTGGCTGATACGAAAATTTACCCAGGGCTGTCAGTCTTTATATTACTCGTCGGTGCTTTAATCATAATAAACATATTTTGAATTAAGCCGCGAAACTTTGCACATGCCCGTTCTTCACTACGCAGGCGCGAGTAGAAAGAGAAAAAGATACCCTGCTATTGTTTTCTATCTTTCTCTATTTGATCTTCACTGTCAGTTAATAAATACGTTCGGTCTACTTTTCTCTATGTCTATGATTAGATTAAACGCGGAAAAATGCTGTTTTGATTAGACAACAAGTGTCGTGTAAACTTGATATGAAACATTTCTGCAAACATATGACTCAAAATACACAATTTTGAGATTGGTGATGGTCGTTATCTGTTAAATGTATACTATCGTATAGTGCAAATAAGACTCTCCTTGTGCATTATTTGCACACAGTCCTCCTTCGACAGCTGAACTGGCAATAACCTATCTGCCACGTCAAACGGATTTATTTTCATCATTATGGCAGCTCAAGTAATAAAAAATAATTTTGTGATTTTCTTAAATGAATGGAACATTTGACTGATGATCTCTTTGTCAGGTGTATGAATTCAACGTTGAGATGACATGCGAAGGGTGTTCCACAGCTGTGGAGAAGGTGCTCAAGAAAAAAATAGGTACTTTGAGAAGATATTTCTATTCGACTTTGTAAATATAAAATTATTTCCGCACATTTATTTTCTTTCAGTGGATATCACTATTATAGCTTTCTAAAAATTTTATTTTTGTGATAATTTTGATTAAATGTATGAATTAAGGTTAAATGTTCTCGTGTATTGTAAGAAAAATAAAGATAAGAGTATACTATGGAAAGTAAGATTGTAATAATAAGACAGTGTAGATGTAATATTGTAGTCCATATGTTTTAAATAGATTTAAGAAATATAACTTAATGTGTATTTCTTAATATATATAACTTAACATATATAGATTTAAGAAATATATTTTATGTAAATATATATAATTTTTGTAGGTATCGATGATATTAAAATAGATTTATCAGGAAACAAAGTTTTTGTCACCACTGAACTCAGCTCAGATGAAATTTTGGAAGCAATTAAAAAAACTGGGAAAAAGTGTCAATTTTTAGGGACACAAAATTGAGTTTATATGATATGATTATACCAGATGCTGCTAATATCTACTGTCATATATATATATATATATATATATATTAATACATAAATATTTTTTATGTTGCATTATTTTCTATAAAAATCTTTATTATACTTCAATTTGTCATTTTGCTTAATGTGTAAAATTACAAAAATACTGTATTTAAAATCTTACATAATCTTACATAATAAAATCTAAAACAAATCTTACATAATAAAATGTTTTTACATACATATGGCCACATGTAAACATTTAACATTAAAATTTATAACAATATATTGTATTATATTTGTAGAATAACATAAAATATCCAGACATTTATCATCGGTAAACTTTGTTAATCTTCATATGTATTACAAGGTAATTATCAAGATAATTTAAATTCTATTTCAAAAATATTTATCAAGGTTACATGCATACACACAATATACATACATGCACACACGTACAAATTATCCTACATAGTCAATAATTATGATTAAAAAAATTAAAATTTACTTCTTAAGTGTCTCCTCTAATACTGTCAAACGTTCCTCCAATACATTAACGGTGTCGTGTAATGACTGTACTTGATCACGAAGTGCTTCTACTGCTCTGATGGATTGACTAGATGACTGCGCATAAAGTGATTTCTCATGTCGTTTTGATTGTGGTTTTAGATTTATTACACGACTCTTTTCTGGAGATTTAATATTTCTCATATTGATTATTTCAACTTCTTTCCTCGGTATATCAGCAATGGGGCCTCTGCAATGACTTCTGTCTGATTCCAAGTTCAAGTCTTTCAGTATATCTGATAAGTACTAAAACGACATATATATTTCATATAAGTTAATATATTAGAAATCCTTTGTAAATTAATATATTGCGTTCTTTACAATGCAATTGTTACTCTTTGTAATCTGATATATTTATATATATTTTTACTGATATATTCTATTTATACATATTTTTTACATATTTATATTTTATATATTTGATTCAATTACTTCCTCTCGATTTATTATTTCTTCTTCATCCTGTTCTCCTTGCTGCTTATGTTTCTCACGCTTTTCACTATCTGCAAGTGACTTTCCATCTGGTTCAACATCCAGCTTAAATTCCAATTTACTAGTAGGTGATATTAATTGTCTCGGAACTTTTCTGGCTTTGTCATCCTTACAGAAGTTAGATTTCCACATGAGAACTTGTCGATCTGTACCACCAGAAGCAAAAAAGTCACCATCTTGGGAGAATGTTATCGATGTTATTTCACCAGTATGTCCCTTCAGAGTGTAAATCGGCCGACCTTCCAATAAATCTAAAACCTACGCGATATTTCTTGTTAACAATATAAAAAATAACAATTAATTAAATATTAATTATAGAAACACGATAAAAAATCATAAAATCTCTAACCTTCATTGTAGAATCACTAGAAGCTGTTAACATGAAGTTACCCTTTGGATGAAATTTAATCATGTTTACAGGTCCTTTATGAGCAGCATAATATTGATACAAAGATCCTGTTCTCAGATCATATAATTTAACACACGCATCCATATTCGCTGATCCAACAGCTGCGCCACTTGGATGGAATTCTACATATGCAGGAGGAGCTAAAACAAGCAATTATACTTATATATGAGATAAAAATTCTATATGCTAAACAAACCTTTTATCTCACTGAAAGTTTTAACACATTGTCCACTACTAATGTCCCATATTTTTGTCGTTTTATCGTCACTACAGGATACTAGGAGTCTACCATCGGGAGAAAATTTGGCACAACGGACCCAATTTGTATGTCCATTGAATGACGTGAGAAATCTTCTTTGACATACCATCCACAGTTTTACGCTTTTATCATCTGATGCAGTAAGCAACTAAAAATATTAAGGAACAATTTTTTTCAGATATTACTCTACAGTAGCTACAAATTAACTTAACAATAATAATTTACTTTAAGTACAAATTACCTTTTCTCCATCTGGACTAAATTGTACAGACCTTACAGCAAAACTATGAGCTTTAAAGTCTATTGATTGTCCTGTTACTTTAGGAACCCAAATTCTCACAGATCTATCCTTCGAGGCACTAGCTATAACTTCACCGGATGGTGCATAACATACATCCAGAATACTGTCACTATGAGCTATAAATCTGTAAGCTCGTACTGACTCTGTCAAGTTCCATACCAATAATGTTTTATCCAGACTACTTGATACAAGTTGAATAGCGTTTGGATGAAAGGATAAAGCTGTAACTCCATCCTTGTGACCTTTGAAGTGTCTCTCAAATGTAGGATCACAGGCAGTCTCTACCATTGCTCTAGAAACAATATAATAAAAATAGAGAACAAATATATGCAAAAGAAATATCACTTTATAATATAATAATAAATATAATCATAAATATATGACATATAAAAAACTCTAACTCAAACTGAATAAATAATGTTATATAAATTAGTTTATAATTTACATAAATCATAGCCTTAAAAATGTATGCTATTAAACAGCTTTTGAATAAGAAGCATTCTTAATCCTCAAAAAATATCACAATAAACGTTAGATTTTTATAAATTTGTTAGCACTGTCAATGTAATTAACATAGTATAAGTACAAAGTTGACAACAGTGAGTCATTAAATAGAAATATCTGTAACGCATTTCTTTCATCGGTATTCTTAACGATGTCTAGGCGTGAGCTGTACGGTTCCATATTGAATTAATATTTCTTGTAATGATATTTACGTACAGAATATTCTCACCAGGAGCGTTCACACAATACACTACAGCATCATAACTCTCAACGTTTGACGGTTTTGCTCTGGCATAAAAACAACGCGCGGCATAGGGTATTTAATTCAAACAGATGTTGACCACTCTCGTCAAATGAAGTCCAAACTGTGTCATTCGTCAAATGACCAGAGTAGTCGTACGCAATTACAATATCTTAAAATTAAAGATATTTTTCCGAGATTAATTATGTATCAAACCACCGACGAGACGCTAATAAAAACCGTTGGTCTTAGAGGTTGGGATTTTGAGTATCGGAGAAATCTCGCTAAGCGCAACGCCCTCTTAGGAATATCGTGGCTGGAATATAAAGCTGTGACTCAAAATAAGCATAATTGGTAACAGCAGAGAGGAAGCTGAGAGCGGCCAACACGGCGTTTTCGGCGACACCGATTTTTCGCACTGGGAATGGGCGCTATCTGCATCCATTTTGAGAGGGGAACTACGATACTACATCCACTTTTAGGTCTCGACGGTAAAACCTGCATCTGGTGGCTGTCCGTGCTACATCCACTTTCAGGAAGTTTATGTCCGTGCTACAACCATAATAGCGTACTTGACAAGCACGGTCTCGCGCATTGTTATGCATTTGTAACACGAATTAACATGTTAACATGCACAAAAAAAATAAGAATTGAGATTGTATATGATTAATATCATGAAAATTATATACGATTTATATCGATATATAAATATATGATAATAAGATAATATTTTGTGTGTACCCAAAATTATTTTTCCAAAATATTTCAGCGTTACGTTAGTATTTATTTATACTCCGGCAGGCGTTTTTTAGCGCAGTTGTGTCCGTGTGCATGTGTTGCATTGAAAGTGTGCGTGACGTACGTGTGCATATATGCACTCACGCACACCCCCCCCCCCCACACACACACACGTGTCAACGCAACAGATAGAATCTCAGGGTATATGCTTAAACATTTTCAATTGCCGTACGTTTCTATATAAGAATGTAGTCGGCACACACACACAGAGAAACTGCTCCCGTCTATCCGTCTGAAGTCCCGTCTTCCGCTCGGCTTGTTTTGATGAGCCAAGCGAAAGAGAGAGAGAGAGAGAGGGAATGTGTTCTCTCCATCTCGCTCTGATTCGCAACGTTGCCGAGATTGTGCTTCCCGACACACGGCCGAGACTGACGTTTCACTCTGGGCGTGAATCCAACGAGATGATCAATAGCAATCGATTTCGACTAAACTCGTTGTGTCGATAGATTTGCATGACAAATTAACATTGCACTTAAAGATACGGCGTAGCATTGAAGCGTTTGCAAGAAAGTCGCGATTGAAAATCGCGAGTGCCTCATAAACCGAATGAAGGAGCGAGCTTCTCAAAGAGCGTGTGGCTTGGTGGAAGTACGCTGGACTCGCGGGGTTCAGGTCGGTAGTTCGCATCTCCTTGGCGATCGGCGTTGTCCTTTTTCGCCAATCTTTTTTTTTCGTTTTTTAGGAAAATGCACGTGTTGCATACAACATACGTGTATCACAATAAATTTTTTTTCATTTTTTAAGAAAATGCACGTATTGCATACAACACACGGGCATCGCAAGCATTGCACGTTTCGTCGATGACACTTCCTCTGAGACCCCGCCCTCCGCTCGACTTGTTTCGACGAGCCAAGCAAAAGAGAGACAGAGAATGTGTTCGCTCCATCACCTCTGTGAAGATGGCCCTTCATTCTTCAAAATTGAAAAAAATTATTAGAGTTCTGAATGCCCCTCGCAGAGTTTTAGAGTTCGCAATCCTTTATAGAAAGAGTTCCGTCATTTAAAGTAGAGAAAATACCATTTTAAAAATCGGAAGGCCAACTTCACGACGCCCCTCATTATGTAAAAAATGACAATTTTTTTAGAGTTCTAGATAGATTTTTAAGTTCTATAGTTCTAGATAAGTTTTAAAAATAGTTCTGTTTAAAACAATAAAAAAAATTATATTTAAAATTCTCGAATTAGAAAACGAAAAATGGCAAGAACTATCAATTTTGGTTTTAGCGCGTCGCGTGTTAATAATAATCTTTAGAACTCGTGAGGGGCTAACCAGAACTCTGAATAAAACATCGGATTTTCAAAAAAATTGATTGTTTATTAAACATGTAAAATTTTTTTTCGGAAATCCGATGTTTCATTCAGAGTTCTGGTTAGCCCCTCACGAGTTCTGAAGATTATTATTAACACTCGGAACGCTAAAACCAAAATTGGAAGAGTTGTCGCTGATTTTTGTCCCTCGAGTCGAATATTTCCATGTCCCTCGGATCGAAAGATTTTTTCGGAAATCCGACGTTCCATTCAGAGTTCTGGTTAGCTCCTCATGAACTCTGAAGATTATTATTAACACACGGAACGCTAAAACCAAAATTGAAAGAATTCTCGCCGATTTTCGTCCCACGAGTCGAATATTTCCATATCTCTCAGCTCGAAAATCGGTGAGAACTCTTCCAATTTTGGTTTTAGCGCTACGAGTGTTAATAATAATCTTTAGAACTCGTGCGAGGCTAACCAGAACTCTGAATGAAACGTCGGATTTACGAAAATAAATTTTCTGAGTGAGATGGGAGTCACAATTTATGGAAAAATGTAGCGTTTTCACAGTGAAATCCGGTGATCGAGGTGGAAAATCGATTGACCCATATTTGCCTATTCACGTATAGGGAAAAANAGAGAGGTTCCTTGGCCGAGATAAAATTAACCGGAGCGCGCCTCCTCTTCCGTTTCAGCTCCAATTGTCAGAAGTGATCATGCGCGCACGGCAATACATGACGGAAGTGGTCGGCGGCGAGGGTGCCGTCCTGGCACACCATGCGAAGCCCGACGACTTCATGAAGAAGTTCGAGGAGGCGCATATCAAAGACGCGGCGCCGGTGCAAAAGTTTCTTCAGAAGATTCAGTCCGACAAAGAAGGGTACGCGACAGCCAGACTCAGGGAGCTCCCTTTCTGTGTCCCACTCTCTTCCTCTCTGTAACAATCTGTAATGATAAATCTACCCGTCTCTGTTTCTCCACAAAGATGGCACACGATTAGCGACGGACGTTGTTTTTCGCAGTGTGATCCACTTGTTCCCATGGAGCGGTATCTTGGACGAGAATTATGAGCTGAGCGAGACCTTCCAAGTACCTGATATCAAGACGGGCAAAATGGTCAGGCTGATGTCGCAGCTCACATCCAAAGAGGAGGAAATGTTCCGGAATATGATCCGACGTCTGAACAACATCGTCACGGTACGTACATTCAGTAGACCCTTAGACCTTAAGATACCTGGCTTGTCCGCGCCTGATTGGATAAAAACGTCATCATAATTCGCCCGTCCAATTTCTGTCCTTTTCTGCTGCAGGTCGCCGACAAACTGGACGTTCGTATAATGATAGACGCGGAGCAGACGTACTTCCAGCCGGCCATATCCCGCCTGACGCTGGAGATGATGCGCAAGTACAATACAAGAAAGGTAACGTTCCGACGCTCCGAGTGTATCGCGACTTTTATCACTCAGCCAATTTTCAGCGAATGATATTCTCACTGCCAAATGGTCTACTTCTCAGGCCGTGGTGTTCAACACGTACCAGACGTATCTGCAAGAGGCGTATAACGAGGTGAAAACCGACCTCGAACAGGCGGAACGCCAAAATTTTTACTTCGGTGCTAAATTGGTGCGCGGTGCTTACATCGAGCAGGTCCGTACAACGACAGTTATATTGTGTATTCGTCGAGTCGTGTGTCTCTCATGTGCGGTCAAATTAAAATAACGACGCGTGCGCGATTACGTCGTTAAAGGAGATAATGTATCGAAAGTTTTTTCGTTGTAGGAGAGAGCGAGGGCGGCAGCTATGGGCTACCCGGATCCCACGAATCCTACGTACGAAGCAACGACCGATTCCTATCACAAAACGCTCATGGAATGCCTGAGACGAATGAAGCAGTATAAAGATAAGGGAGAGGATCCCAAGAAAATAGGGATCATGGTCGCCTCGCACAACGAGGACACCGTACGCTTCGCGATCGAGAAGTGAGTGGACGCAAACGAGTCGTTCTTTTTGTTATCGACGTTCCCCACGGGTCGCTGGGCACTTTTGTGAACATGTCCGAGGTATGCCGCACGCGAGATAATAACATCTTCACGTTTTCAGGATGAAAGAGATCGGAATTTCCCCAGAGGATAAAGTCATTTGCTTCGGCCAGTTATTGGGAATGTGCGACTACATAACCTTCCCGTTAGGTAAGCGGGTGGCGAAGATACGTTCTCGAGAAGATCGTGACGAAGATGAAGTGAATGCGATATATACATGATCCGATCGTTGCAGGTCAGTCCGGTTATTCTGCGTACAAGTACATCCCGTACGGGCCAGTTAAGGAGGTGCTGCCGTACCTGTCGCGGCGCGCACAGGAGAACCGGGGCATACTGACGAAGATCAAGAAGGAGAAGCGCCTGCTACTGAGTGAAATCACGAGACGCTTAGTGCGCGGCAAGATCTTTTACAAACCCAAGGGCAACTACACTCCGGTTTGAACAGTCAACTCCCTTAGTTTGCACAGACAGAGAATTTTAAGTATCAAGTTTAAGTAGTGGTTGTAAATTATTAAAAACTCTCCAAGACCTTGATGCGGGCACTTTGGATCGGACTCGAGTAAGAATATGACTTTTGACGGACTGTGTGGTACTCGGAAGATAGAATGAAGGGGCAGGGAGGGAGAGCGAAATAGAGAGAGAGAGAGAGAGAGAGAGAGAGAGAGAGAGAGAGAGAGAGAGAGAGAGAGAGAGAGAGAGAGAGAGAGAGAGAGAGAGAGATTAAGAAAGAGCGACGCGTGTGCGCTAGTGTGCGTGAGAGATTAAAGTATACGCAGTGTTGTTCATTACGTAAAAGCCGCCTCAGTGCTGCATCGTCGAGTGTGTCGACGTCGATGTTCAATACTACAGCATTCGATTGGTAGAAAATTATATTCGTTCCTCGTTTCGCCCGTTCATTGTTTCGTTAAAAGGGCTGCCAATGACTGTGTTACAATTAGTTTCACTCGTGCGAGAGGGTACCCCCGTTTTCGACTCCGCTTCGCGCACGATCGGAAGCGAAGGCAAAAATTGTTGATTAACGATCAAGTCTCATATCGACGCTTAACTGAGCCACCGACGTTTCCTTTCCGCGCACAATATCCGAGAGGATCGATCGCGAGGGCACGGACGCGACTTTCGCAAGCGCGACACTCCAGGAAAAAGGATTAAGAGAAACGAGCCTTAGTATCAGCGCGTTCCGCGTTTCCCTCGAGCTACATTCTTTTTCCTTTGAGAGAATCTCCACGAAAAGAAGAAAAAAGAAGAATACTTTTCTCATATGTACATAACATACACACACACACATGCGCGCGCGCGCGCGCATTGGTTATTTATGACTCGTGTTCACGCAATATCATCCATAATGTCTGTAGTAGCGAAAAAAAACCAGGGAGAAAAGACCGCGCGGATGTCTCACCGCGACTCGCTCCATCTTCCTGACGATCATCATTTACACCGTGATGAACATATATGTTCAACACGGGCGCTCGGTGTTAGCCTTGTGATGCGGTCTACGTATCGGACGACGCGTCACATCGTCCTCATCCTCGTCCTCGTCGTTGTCGTCGCCGTAATTGCACACACGGCGAGTGATACCGATCGATTGCGTAAGCGCGATACGTATCAACATGTGACGAGTTTCACTAGCGAACTTCTGGCACGACATAGGCGCGGATAGCGTGACGATCCGCGAGTTTAGGAAAAGAGAAAACACAAGAAACGAGGCGAGTCAGGTGTATCAAAAACAAGGAGGAACATGGCTCTTGTTAGGTGTGTGCGACGAGATACAGGGTGAAAATATACAATGAGATTTAGTAATTCTATAAGAGAGAGAGAGAGAGAGGGGGGGAGGGGAGAGAGAGAAGGAGGGAGAGGGAGGGTATGTGCGTGAATTTATCGAGTACAGTCGTCCTTCGTAGAGTGCACGCGTTGTTATAGAGCAAAATAAGCTTGGGCTGACACGGTGATAACTAATGCAGAAGACACGCGACATTCTTTTCCATTAGTGATACGCCATAAACTAATCCACGTGCGCGCGCGTACACACGACACACGTGAAAATGCAATACACGCGCGATCAGTCCCATTTCGCTTCAGCCTGAAATTGTTTATCGCGTTACACGATGTAAATCTTGCTCTCCGCCACCGTCTCGTTTTATGCCGAGAAGCTGATTTAAAAAAAACAAAAAAGGCGAAAACGAAAAAAATAGAGGGAGGATAAGTAAGAAAACGATGAAGTCGTGCCGCGTCTCAAATAAGAATTTTACGTAATTAACGAATTCCTTTTTTATCTGTTGTGAGAAAATTTAAATTGAGAGAGAGAAGAGAGAGTAAGAGTGAGAAAGAGAAAAAAGGAAGTCTCGGCGACCGTGATCGATGTTTTGAAAGAGGACAAAAAGAGAAGAGGGGAAAAACAACACATCGCTGACTCTCCGATGCGTCTTGGATAACTTAGCGTTCGCTTACTGTTGTTCGATAGTCAATCCGACCCGTGGCTGTAAGTTCATGTTTCCGGGAACGACGATCACCAACGAGATCATCCGGCGTTACTCGTGATTAATCGAGCGTTGTCTACGTTGCATGGGAGTTTCTGTTCTGCGAGCGATGTTGCGCATTCTTGATATTCTTAGGCCAGTATTTCTTCTGATACTCGCGGTGGTCGAGTTCTGTGTTCCGCACAAGTCGGCGACCACACGTTATTGTCTCATCGTTTTTTCTCTTTCTTTCTTTTTTTCCTTTCGTTCTTTGTTTCTCCCTTCTTTCCTTTTTCTTCCCTTCTTTCGTTAAATATTAATCTCATACAGATTTTCATACTCAACAATCGCATCATTTCGTTTTTTTGAACGATGTGTACGCGAGTACAGTCACTTGTGATCTCCTACTTTTGCTATACGTTATGCGAGAGAGCGTTACATTTCGGAGTGTGTATGTAACCTATATACATTTATATATGATTGTACTCTGAGCGAAAGAGAAAGAGAGAGGAAGAAAGAGTGTATGCGTATGTAGAGATACGTTTGCGTGATATATTTACTCGCTTCGTAAATACATGTCGCACGTGCGTACAATGATGTGCGTGCGTGTGTGTGTGTGTGTGTGTGTGTGTGTGTGTGTGTGTGTGCGTATGAGAGAGAGAGAGAGAGAGAGAGAGAGAGAGAGAGAGAGAGAGAGAGAGAGAGAGAGAGAGAAAGAGAAGGAGAGAAAAAAAGAGGAAGAAAACGAGGAGAGAAATTTATAGCGTGGCTGAATCTCTCTCTGAATTATGTTATTAGACGCAAAAGCTGGAAAAACGAATTGGAAAAATATGAACGACAAGTGAATAAATAAAGGGGCATTGTTACAAGTTACACACAGGCTACCAACAGCTGAGTGTCTTCACGTGTCTGTGTGGTGTGTTCTGCGATGGGTGTGTGCGTGTGTGGTTCTGGAAACGTGTATACGCCGCGATGATAAATTCCGTTCAACTAGGGCTTTGTTAGCCGCCTGTAAACGCACTTCTGTCGCCTCGCGAAGGCGAACGCACCTCTCTACTTTCGAGAGTAGACGTAAGACGCTGACAATAATTTAGGTAGGCAATGTCGACGTGCTAATACGTAATATATACGTAGGTATGTGTGCGTGTGTACGCTGTGTGTATGTGCGTATGCTGTGAGTCCTGTCACTTGCATTTATGTCACCTCGGCGTGACTCCCGCAGAGAAATAGAGCTCGCGAGACCCGACAAGGAGATTTATCGGCGAGGATGAAGGCGGCATTTCTTTCGACGCGTCGGCCTGAAGAAATCGTCGCGAAACTTTCAAATGCTTGAGAACATTCGGCCGTTTCACTGATCGTGCAAACGCGGCGGCGTCGACGGCAGCGATGACGACGGTGACGACGACGGGACTCTTTGTTATCTCTTTTTAGTCGAATTTCCCATACGTTAAGGGTAGCAGCCGATTTCGCCGATTTTCCTCCTGCGGACGTGCAATCACCTTTATTAGTCGTTGGACGTGTGCAATTTCACTTTTACGCGTGCGATCCTCTCTCTTTTCCTCCCTTCCCCTCCCCCCCCCCTCTCTCTCTCTCTCTCTCTCTCTCTCTCTCTATTTCCGCTTCGACCGGCAGCAACCAATCATTGTGACGCGCGTTGCGACTTATCAGCAAACCTTTCGCCTCGTCAAGTCGGGACGTCCAAGCGTCCTCGAGGAAAATCGGCGGAATCCGCCGTGAGCGCTCGTCGCCTCACGACGACTAGCCATGAGCTGTTAGTACGTGGTTATTTTGTGGAGTACAAAACACGTTAATGCCAACGATGTCCACGATGAAAGTAATATTTCGAAAGAAACAAATAAAATAAAAGAGCGTGTGCGATTTGGAGGGACAGTCGAGCGTGTGTTTGTACTTTCCCTCCGTGGCGACGTTCTCGGGGTGCGGGAAGGAAGGAAGGAAGGAAGGAGGGAGGGGATCGGGAATTTCTTTCTTCTTATTTTGGTTTTAAAGCAATTCTCACAGCCGAGACGCGATATAAAATAAGATGATATTTATTAGCTTTACGGAATACAGAGATAATGTATGCCTTTCCAACGCACCATTGAGACGATGTTCCTTATTCCGCGCGCACGCGCGCCTCACTAAGACGTAAACGTTTCGCTTCCGTTCGCCGCCGCAACGGACGACGATCGGCCGTGCGTCGGCCATGCTGAGGCTGGCTCAATCCACGACGAGCCGGAAGTGAGCGAGTTTATTGCTGCTGATTTTCAACACAGACCGGTTCTGGGAACGTTTTCATATCCTAGCAGTCTCTCCTTTTTTCCCCTCGCCTACGTTCGCGAGAGACTTTACACGACACGCAGCAGCAGCAGCAACATCACCACCACCACCACCACCACCACCATCACCACCACCTCTGCCACCACTATCACCTCCTCCTCGATCCTGTTATTATGGTTGCTCCTGCGATCTTCATTCCACGCGAGCCTCCCTCGATAAATTTACAATTAACTCGAAAATCGTAAAACATATACGAGGCATAAAAAAGAACCGTACCGCGCGATGGGGTGAGATTACGGGGGTAACTTTACGCTCCTGGGAGTTGGAGTGATTCATGTCGATCGATTATACGAGGCATAAAAAAGAACCGTACCGCGCGATGGGGTGAGATTACGGGGGTAACTTTACGCTCCTGGGAGTTGGAGTGATTCATGTCGATCGATTACAACTGAGTCGCGATCAGACGACTCGGCGCGCTCTCTCGAGCTGGAACGCATCATTCGTACGAGACTCCACCTAGACGAGGTTAAAACATGGCGAGATTGAAAATCAGCGATTGCGACTTGCGGAGCGTCCAGCAGTTCCGAGGAGACTTGGCTCCTTCACGGGGCAAGCGAAAGATCTGCTTTTTCTTTCAAATCACCGCTGTAAGTGCCATCTCACCCGCGCGTCGCGCAAAAGAATACGGCCCCGGGTCGAAAGGGAAGCGGATAAGAGACCGGACTCCGTATATTTTCAGTCTGGCTAGAGTCTTAAATGATCAGAGCAAGAGTTGTCCCCTCTATGATTCCAATAATCGACATGTTGAGCCCGCAATAGGCAACTGATCGCTTTCCATACCGCACTGAAGTTGCAGCAATATTGCTGCAACGTTGCTGCAACATTGCAACGTTGTTTCAACGTTGTAGCAACGCTTTCTAACTTTATGTGCTGTATAGGTTGCAAAGAAAATAATATCTGCCTATACAGCACAGAAGTTGCAGCAACATTGCTGCAATATCGCAATATTGTTGCAACGTTGCAACAACACTTTTTCAACTTTGTGTACTGTATGGGTGTATATCAGACGTAATTTGGTCACTCAGAAATATTTTTATTTTAGTTCCAACATTGTAATCACATAAACGTGAAATAAAAGATTTTTGAAGTTTCATAATATTAAATGAGAAATGTCGACAAAACCGATACGCGCGCGTGACAGCACGATATGTTGTTAAAACGATAAAGTAATGTCATTATCATATAACATTTGTTTTCTTCATTGTCTAGGGACTAGCTCATCTTGTTAATAATATTACAAATATTAATCTTTCTTACTTAGAAATATCAGCTGCGGGCTCAACTCCTGGTTTTGATTGGGGTCGCGGTCAATCAATCAGCAAATGAGCCTCGGACTGCGCTTCTTTGATTATTTAGAACTCTACGTCCGACGATGAACATCAGACGTCCGCTCGGCGCTGTGAATGCGCTTGAAAGTTTCGAGTATAAGCACCACTTTTACCAAGCTTTGGTTAAAATAACCATTTTAAACCCAGCTTCACAAATTTGAGTTTAAACCAAGCTTAGCTGAAGGGCTGTTATATTTAACGTCATGGTTAAACTTGCATTGCATTCCACATCGTATTTACAACTGTAGTTTATGTAAACCTATAGTCTGTACGAAGAAAATCTCAAAGATTCCTCCTTTTTCTCAAATATAGATTGTGATTGGTTAACAATAAATAGCCGAAAGTAGGAAAGTAGGACGTAAGGGCGAAAACAAGTCGCTCGATTTCTGCTAACACTGCAATACATATTCTTTGGATAAACGAAATCGCGCATTATCGACATTATCGAATTCTTTGATGGTCTTTTTTTAATAATTTTCAGACGTTGATAATTAAATCTTCAAAATCGTCACCTTTAGATGAAGATAATATATATATTTCAAAGCCATGTCTTCTAACAAATTTATTTTTCATTTTTTGTATAGATTATTTTCTTATTATCTTTCGACGCTCAATAAATCGCGATGTTGTACCAACATAACTCTAAAAAGCTAGACGATAGATATCTTGATTTTTAAATTGGTGGCATTGCAGCATTAAACTTCGTTTATGTTCATTAGACGCTCGAAATTCGATGTTGAACTTTGACCCCAAAAAATAGACAGTAACCGGAATTTATGGCAATTGTGGAACGCAATATTTCTTTTAAACCAGGTTTAACGAATCAAACTCCGCTTAACACTTTGCCGGCCGCTGTCACGTACGCGTGACTTTTGCTCGTCGACGGTTATCGGCCGCTGTCATGTACGCGTGACTTCGGTTCAGCGCGGCAACAATGTTTCCACTATGCTTCTGTTTTAACTATCCCGATTGTCTTTTCTTGACATTCTTTAATATCACCGTCAGCGAGCAGTAGAACCCGTTCGAAATTCGCTGGCGGCAGCGTAAAGGCGATGCGAGAAGTAAGCGGCCGGCAAAGTGTTAAAGTAAGTTACCGAGGTAAAGAACCGAGCTTTAATAACTTTGCAGAATCTCAACTAAAGTTGCTGCTTTGCTTCTCATTTTTTATTTCCTCTCATAGCGGTTTCAATTGAAAGATTATTAAAACGGTTGGTTTAACTGCAACTTAGTAAAAGTGGCCCTAATGTTCTACCAACCGTGGTTAATTTAACCGACTGGTTATTCCATCGGAATGGACCAATCGCATTTAACAATTCTAATTAACGACAAATGCGATTGGTTAATTTCGTTGGAATAACCAACCGGTTAAGTTATCCAAGGTTGGTAGAAATGAGCATAACCGATTTAAATCTCAAATGCCATAAACGTCGTCATACTGAATTTCAATGTGCTATTTGATATCATTTTATCTTATATTAATTAAAGTAAACAATAGTAAACGCCCATATTTTTTCAATACTCTTTTATCGATAAATATGCCGAAATGTGACCTTTAAGTCATATTTATCGATAAAAGAGAGTTGAAAAAATATGGACTTTTACTATTGTTTACCTTAATTAATGTAAGACGAAGTGACATAAAACAACACATTGAGATTCAGTTGACAGCGTTCATGGCACTTAAAACCTAAGTTGGCTACTCTGCTACTTTTAACCGTCGGTTAGCTTAACCAGAGTTGATGAAATTCAGCCTTATATCCGTCGCTTCGCGGCATTCGTGGCGTCAAACCAATCTTATCCTGCCCGATGGTACCCCCGGGTCCACGACCTTGCTTTGAAACCAAACAAATTGGCCGATCACACATTCATTTATTCACCGTAAGAAGAACAATCAAGTGTGGTTAGTGAATCTGTTTACTACTCGCGTCTTGGAGCAAGCTCGTGGAACTCGAAGCTAGAAATACATCATGTTGATATGTTGCCCTTCGCCTCCTCAGTCGATCGCTCGACCTCTTCGCCCACACACCACACCTGTGTGTAACATTAAACGAGATAACACTTATTAGTCTCCCTTAATTTTAGCGTGACTACTAGGTACCGCTTAGTCTCTAAGATCCGTAAGAAAACGCTGGCTAACATGTTTCACGCGCAATCGACGGATGCGAGCGTTCATCTTCTCTGTCTCGATGCGGCCAGGGAGAATTGCTGAATGTCTTAACGGGCCAGATGTTATCCCAGCCAGTGGGAAGTTACACGTAACGCAACAACCCTACACTAACGCACCACCCTCTCGTGAGGCGAATTGCCAGGAGTCGACCTCTCCTCCACCTCCTATCGCCAACACTCCGCACGTTTCAGAGACAATTCTCATCCCGTCGCCGTAAGCGCGCTCGCGCATAAGTCTCTCGAGATCGAAGATCCGTCCGTTTTCGAGGAACTTTTAAACTAATGCACTGTAAGTTCCCATACAGCACAAAAAGTTGCAGTAACATTGCTGCAACGTTGCGACGATATTGCAATGTTGCAGCAATGTTGCAACAATGTTACTGCAACTTTTGTGCTGCATGGGTTAGAACGAGACAAATTACCCATATAACACAGAATTTGCAGCAACATTGCAGCAATGTTGCTGAAACTTCTGTGCTGTACAGGTATTCTTTCTTTTGCTCCGACTTACCACGCGTTGGCGATAGTTGACAAGCTCTTCGGAAACGATCGAAGACCTCGAGAGCACGATGATAAAAAACCCTAATCGCGCGGATATTAAATCGTGATATTTAGGGTTTCGCTTGATGTGAACGCGCGATGGCGTTCGTTAGAATATTATCGCTAGATACAGTTTAGCGTTCTACGTGCCGTTGGTTTTGGTCTCTCTCTCGACTTCGACGACGACGACGACGGCCACCCGATCGCGGGGGATTATAAACGGTGTACACTTGGCGTCGGGGATCACTTTTCTCACAATTCCGAGCTCTTGGTTCGGCAAGTACAAAATGGCAAGAGTCGTTCGCTCAGGAAAATCGATGGCGCGCTCTCGCGAAGTGCGCACCACAAGCGAGCATTGCACGCACGACGGGTGCTGGAGAGAAAGAGAGAGAGAGAGAGAGAGAGAGAGAGAGAGAGAGAGAGAGAGATGCGTGTGTATATGTGTATATATATATGTACACATTATTATAATATCGGCTGTCCTGCGCGAGGCATTCTCGCAACGCGCACGACTCATGCTCGATATACGTCATGTAGCTTGGCTTTGAAAGACATCAGGTACATTTCGACGTTTCGTTCAAACGTCAAACGACGATTCGTTCGAGTGATACAAAAGAAATGGAGTACGCTCAGGACTAGAATACACGTGGATGTGTGTATGGGTGTGTCTGTGCGCGAGTACGTGTCTAGTGTATGTACCGCGTATCATTTCCCCGCTATTCAGTCGTGTGCATCGATCGCACCGTATGTAGCGGGGAAAAGCTTGTACATATGCATGTGTAGAGTATATATATATATATATATATATATGTATATAGTGTCCGTATACACAGCCGTTCCATCCAGCTTTGAGAAGAGAGCTATCCCTCATTAATCGCGACTTAGACGCGCCTGGAGAACTTAAAAGCGCCGGCCACGGCGGCGTGTGTTCATCGATCGTCGCCGTCCTCGCTCCAAATTCGCGAGGGAACTCGCCACTTCCCGAGTCGGTCGCGAAATAACGCGACACTCGCAGAAGGTACACAGCGCGCGCAGCTCGCTCATGCGACGAGTACGAGCGTAGCGCCGTATGACGATCTCCGCGTCGCGATTGCACCAACAGGACGCAAGTGTGTGTGCGGAGGAGACAACGCCTCGTTCTTCTAGCTCGAGCACCGAGATCGATCGGTGGTACGAAGAAGAAAAGGAAGCGGGAGAAAAAGAAGAACGTGCGTTTCAACGGCGCTCTCGAGAGAGCTTCTCTCCTCGCGGCCACCGGTCGCGTTCACCATTCGGCGCTAAGCTCCACTCACGCTGCAACGGAGTCGCCTCCTTAGGCCCGGTCTACAATAGGCAAGTGTAGAAAACCTTTAGCCGTTTGCTCCAAGTCCTACCACTTCGGGCGAAAGGCATTTTCCACGCTGTCTTAATAGCTGGAATCTCGGACGAGCTCATTTGAAGCTTGAATATTACGACTTTAGGCAACAGCGGGACACGCTTTTAGCAGAAAACGAAGTTACAGTTGTGGGCTTAGAACAAAGGGCCAAGCAAGGGTGACCTTCGCCAGAGTCCGGTTAAACTAACGGGCGGTTAAGTAAGAGAAACAAAGAATCATATGCTAATGCCCGTTTCTACCGACCGTAGTTAACTTAACCGGCTATCATTGCAACGGAATTAACCAATCGCATCTGTCATCAATCAGTATTGGTAAATACGATTGGTCCATTTCGATGGAGTAATTAACCGGTTAAATTAATCACAGTTGGTAAAAACAGGCGTAATGTTCGTTTCTATCAACCGTGATTAATTTAACCGACTGGTTATTCCATCGGAATGGACTAATTACATTTAACAATTCTAATTAATGATAAATGCGATTGGTCAATTCCGTTGGAATAACTAACCTTGGTTAAGTTAACCAAGGTTGATAGAAATGAGTATAAGTGACGTTGAGTTGGATCTCACATAATATAAACACATCACTTAAAATGATAATACAAATATCAGGAGAGCACAAGGGCGGTTTCCTTTCTGGTAAGAAGCTATTCATTCTTCAGAATGGTAACTCCGTCGACTGAGTTAATCCGTCCGTTAGTCCAAGCAGACTTTCGCAAAAGCCACCCTAAGGGCTCACTCACACCCATCGTGGATCGGAATTGAAGCGACTGCGACGCGAGCTGATGACCGCAGCGCGACTGTCCACGAGCCGTTTCTCTCCCTTCAGACTCGTGAGTGGACGTCGCCCTCGGAACGCGAGAGTCATCTCGCCGTCTCGTCATCTCACGAGAGTGTGAAGATGCTGGTGATGGCGGCGCGATCACGCTCCTTCGCCTCGGCGGAATCGTTAGCGCTTCTGCGACGCTCGTCCGTGACGAAAAGCAACGGCTGCGGCGGGCTGTCGTCGTCGGGCAGGCCGATATCGGTGCGGCAGGCGAAAGCGACGCTATTCGCCCTGCGTCGGGTCTTGATCTTGACTGCCGTCGACGAGCCGCTGCTTGACCTTGATCGGCGATCCTGATCCTGCTGTTGCTGTTGCTGTTGCTGTTGCTGTTGCTGCTGCTGTGGCTTTTGCTTCTGCTTCCGCTGTTGCTTCGGCTGCTGCGTCGTCAGGCCGCTGCTCCTCCTCCGGCTTCTTCTCCTGATCAATCTCAAGCCGGACGGAACGGCTTGCTCTCAGTCGGTTCGATGTCTCGTCTCCGTCGTGGCTGTCGTCTCGACGCTGGAGCACCGCTCGCTAGCGGTGGAATCGCCCGGTCATAAAGGCGCGAGCGTCTTGCCGCGGCGCGCCAAGCGGCTCTCCAGCCACAGGTACGGCACCACCGCCAAGACCAGAGTGGCCGCGAGACCCACCACGCGGTAGCGGGTGCACACGAGACCGTGAAGACCGAGGGCGAGAGCGAGCCCGAGCCAACGCCAAAAGAGCGATGTCGACAGTGGTCCGTGCCACGCATTGGGATACAGAGCCATCACCAGTGCTGAAACAGTCGCAGGGAAGGACTCTAGTGACCTCATCTGTCGATTGTCTCTTCTCGCATCTGGCCGAATTTTGGAGAGATGATTCGTTTCGCGAAAATACCGAGTTCTCAGCGCGCGCTTGGTATCCCATTTTCAAAGGTTTCACTAAAAAATCCCTGCCTTTGTTCCGCGGCTCTCGCGGTGCCGAGCGAATGAGATACTTACTGTATATCAGAGTCTCCCAGATGGAGTTACACACTCCCCAAGCGGCTGATATGACGTGAAAGAGCGCCGGGTCGTCTCCCGTCGGCCTCCAGGTGAGCAAGACGAGCAAAAGACAGGCGTGGAAGGCGCAGCCCACGACTGAAACGGAGGATGGTGTATCAGCGGTGTAATCGATAAACCATTAGGTGTATGCAAAATGTCTTAGTCTTTTTTTTCAGCCCTGTAACGTAATTATTTTAAGTCGAAATATTTTTCCATTTTGTATCTTTGTAAGGTTAGAATTCTTTCTAAAACGCCATTCATCATGATTCATTGGTGCACGTAATCTTTCGCATCCACCAAATACACAAAAGAACTTTTTTACTGTAAATATTTAGTTTTGCCATTGACGTAGAAGGCTGTCCAGAGTTCATGATCCTATGAATGTCTGCGTTTAGGATTATTATATTAGGAAGTTGCATTGAAAGCTGCTGTTTTTCTGTTCTTTGAACATTTATTCCAATAACAAAATGTACGAATACATCAATCAAAGTATTTGCCCTCGGAAGCTATGACTTTTCCCCACTTCTCTGGCAGAAATTGAATTTCGCGACGAAAGAAAGGTCTATCTTTTGAACCAATCTATTCAGCAACCCAATTTTCGACTTCTCCGTAATTATGGAAATATATATCTTCCAAAGCGTGTTGCATCGATCGGAACAGATGGTAATCGTTTGAGGCTAGGTTCGAAGAATACGCTGGATGCGGGAGAACCTCCCATTCGAGCTCCATCACACGTTTCACAGCTACAGCAACATAGGGCCGAGCGTTGTCATGGAGAAGAATCACTTTCTGGCGATTTGAGGCAATTGATGGTCGTGTTTGCATCAAATTATCATTCGAACACTCCAATTGCTATCGATAACGTTCGGAGGTGACTGTTTCGTTCGGTTTCAATAGCTCATAATACACAACACCCTCCATATCCCACCAAATAAAGAGCATTGTTTTGTGACCGTAAATGTTTCGTTTTAGTGTCGATGACGTTGATGGTTGACCAGGATCAACCTATGATTTTTTGCGTTTCGGGTTATCGAAATATTAAATATACAAATAAGTTTTAAAACGTTTTTTGTGTAACGTATACTGCTGGTTTACAAGTCAGAAATTCTCCCGCGATTTTGTCACGTAACTGTAACCGGTCCAGAGTAATAAAAACGACGCAGAAGTTGCCTCAGCATTTAAACGTTCTTAAACGTTGGTAAATGAAAGATGGCAAGCGACAAAGCATTTATTCGTCACTGCATTCGTTACGAATTTTACCAAGGAAAAAGTGTTGCAAAAGCATATGCATCGATATGTTCTGTTCTTGGGAAGAATACTGTATCGAAAAATACGTGTGAATTTTGGTTCAGGCGGTTTAAAGTTGGTGATTTTGAGGTTAGCGATCGAGAACGTAGCGGCGTCCCGCAGAAGATTGAATATAAACAATTGCAAGCATTATTGGATGAAGACTCCGCACAAACGCAAAAAGAACTTGCTGAACAAGTGGGACAACAAACAAGTGGGTAACTCAACAAACTATTTCTAATCATCTACATGCAATGGGAAAGATTCACAAAGAAGGAAAATGGGTGCCACATGAACTGAGGCAGAGGAAAAAAGATGAAATGTGTCATGAAATGTTTGAATCTGTTAAACAAACAACGTAGGAAGTCTTTTCTGTGGAAAATTGTGACGGGCGATGAGAAGTGGATATGGTTCGACAATCCCAAATGCAAAAAACACTGGGTAGATCCCGGTCAAGCAACGACATCAACACCGAAGCGCAATATTCACTCGAAAGGAATTTTGTTATGCATCTGGTGAGATATCAAGGGTGTACTGTATTATGATCTTTTGCAATCGGGTGAAACTGTTACTGCTGATCGCTACAAACAACAATTGCTGCAATTGAACAAGGAAATCAGTCGAAAACGTCCATTTACTGGCAAAGAATTGCGCTCTGTTAAATTGCTCCATGATAACGCCAGACCATATGTTGCGAAATCGGTCAAGGAAACGTTATTAACGCTTGGCTGGGAAGTTTTGGAGCATCTGGCGTATAGTCCCGACATAGCCTCTTCAGATTATCACTTGTTCTGACCCATGCAAAATGCTTTGTCTTCAATTCACTTTCGGACATTTGACGAACTGCAAAAATAGGTTGATGACTTCATCGTGTCGCACGACAAATACTTCTTTACTGCTGGAATCCGTCAGCTGCCTGACTGATGGCAGAAGATCATAGATAATGACGACGCATATTTTAATTAATAAATGTATTGTTCTTTTCTCTCAAATACGTTTTGCATTGTCTTAAAAACGCTTTAAAACTTATTTCGATACCTTATAGATCCATTTTTCATCGTCGGTCACGATACGCCACAAGTACTCTTCTTTTTATGTCTTGCAAGCAAAGAAATCGAGATGTTCAAATTATTAGCAATGGCATTTTCGGTCAATTCATGTGCCATCTCCTTTCTTTCTGAATCTTTCTCATAGGTTATAAACGTCGTGAAATGGTTGATTTATCGACTTCAAGCTGTTGAACCAATTCTTTGAGTATTTGAGCAGGGTTTTCTTCCAATAAAGCTTGCAGTTGTTCATCTTCGAACTTTTTCGATTGACCTGGCCGTTGTTTGTCGTGAACGTCACAATCATCACTTTTGAATCGTCGAAACCAATCTCTACATACTGTTTCCGATGGAGCAGATTCACCATAAGTTTTTGCAAGCAATCGATGAGCTTCAGCAGCTGTACTTTTTTTCAAATCAAAATGGTATAAAAGTATACATCGGAAAAACAATTTATCGCGTTTCATTTTAATTCAGTTATGGAAGAGCACTTTGTTATAGAAAATTTATAAAAAAGTATAAGACCGGGTCTACAATAGATGTAGTAAGCTTGTAGCTTTTTGATCTAAGCTTTACCAATCGCTTCCCATTTCATTTCCTTTATGTTGTGATCTTTATAATATTTATTATCTTTTGCATACAAACAGGTTGTTTGTTATTAACTTAGTCGTCAATGTCAGCAACATATTCTTCGTTGTCGGACATTTTGCCAAACCAGTGCGTGAAAACTCAGAGGCAGGTGTGGTGTCCCCCGGCGATGTCGTATACGCCTGTAAAACAATCGAAAGCGATGACAGGCATATACGCATACGCATATGGGCGTACTGTACAGCGCGAGAGAAGTTAAGAAGGAGAAGTGGTGGGAGACGTTCCGATGTTGCATCCTTATCGCACGTCGTACGATCAAGAAAGAAAGCATTACCAGACGTGGTATGGTTAATGGTGTCCCCAATAGCTGTCTCACTCACTCTACGCTTGAATGCAGGGAATATGAGTGAGACAGCTATAGAGACGCCACACTGTCTCTATAGGTGTCTCGCTCGCTCTAATAGCGATGTATCGCGCTTCCCTCTTTTCTCATTAGCAGAAATGCCGATTAAGGGAATCCTATCTGTAGACCAGAGAAATAAGCTATTTCCACGAATTTTTTTTTCGGAAACTAAGCAGACGATTGATTTCAAACTTGATAGAAATAATAATATATGTTTTATTGATAAGAATAAATTTTTATAGCGTTATATGAATAATAATGTAGCAAATACACAAAAAATAACGTGACGTGTTTAGGCGCGCGCCGTTTCACGGTTCTTATAAAATCTCGAAATATGGTGGACTGGGACAAAAACGCAAGTAAGATAAAAATGCTACTTAAAATGTAGGCTCCGCTTTTTTTGAGAATATAAAAAAAAATTAGGGGACTCTTAATAATAATAAAAATTACAATTATAATAACGAAACGCTATACAGCATCTCCTGAAACCAGAGAAAAAACCTTTTTTTTATATAAAAAGTCGATCGATCGACTTCAGCATGTAGTTACATATTCGAAACATGTCTATCTATCGTGCGAAATTAAAAAATATTAATTTTTTATATGTACCGCGCTGTCTCTATAGGTGTCCCGCTCGCTGTAATAGCCATGTATCGCGCTTTGTTCTTTTATAACGCTATAAAAATTTATTCTTATCAATAAAACATTATATCAATAAAATATTATTATTTCTATCAAGTTTGAAATCAATCGTATGCTTAGTTTCCGAAAAAAAATTCGTGAAAATAGCTTATTTTTCTGCTCTACAGACAGGATTCCCTCCTTAATCGGCATTTCTGCTAAAGAGAAAAGAGGGAAGCGCGATACATCGCTATTAGAGCGAGCGAGACACCTATAGAGACAGCGTGGCGTCTCTATAGTTGTCTCACTCATATTCCCTGCATTCAAGCGTAGAGTGAGTGAGACAGCTATTGGGGACACCATTAACTGTACCACGTCTGATAATGCTTTCTCTCTCGATCGTGCGACGTGCGATAAGGATGCAACATCGGAACGTCTCCCACCACTTCTCCTTCTTAACTTCTCTCGCGCTGTACAGTACGCCCATATGCGTATGCGTATATGCCTGTCATCGCTTTCGATTGTTTTACAGGCGTATACGACATCGCCGGGGGACACCATACCTGCCTCTGAGTGTACATGTGCATAAATAACTTTTCTTATTGGCTGAGAGAAATCGGCCTTAAGCTTTAATTCCTAACTTCAAAAGTTCGGATCTGCCCAACTTTTGAAGTTAGGAATTAAAGCTTTAGGCCGATTTCTCTCAGCCAATAAGAAAAGTTATTTAGGCACATATACACGTTTTCACGCACGTTTCGATCTGGTTTGGCAAAATGTCCGACAACAAAGAACATATTGGTGACATTGACGACGAAGTTTCAATAACAATTGTACAAGCAAATCCCTGTTTATATGCAAAAGATAACAAATTTATTATGAAGATCACTACATAAAAGAAATGAAATGAGAAGCAATTGGTAAAACTTAGACCAAAAAGCTACAAGCTTACTACATTTATTGTAGACCCGGCCTAAACAAAAAATGGCGTCTGATGACTGAATTTTAGTGAGAAGTATTCATACTTTAAAATGACATAAAAGACATCTGTCACTGTTCACAGCATACATAGCTAGAAGCCATTTACACGTGAACAGCGACTAACTTCCTAATACGTATAATCCACTTTTTATCGCCAGTAATAATTTTCGCCA